TTAAGATACCTGGAAGCTGAATCGCTCGTTGAAGGTGGGGCTCAGTGTGTTTCTGAACACTTTGGTCTCAAAGGTTTTGGATTTGTCTGGGCAAGTGTAGACTTTGACGTACGGGTCGGAGCTTCCTCCCAGGTCCATGGCCCTCAGGCTGTCCGCCTGTTTGATTCCTACCGTGAGCTGTGGCAGACGGGCAGGAAGCAGACCTTCAGTGAGTTAAAGGGGCACTGAGACAAAGTCAATGCAAAGACAAGAAGGACGCTGTGTCATATTTATGTAGAGACAGGTGGAAACTATGCGTAAAGATTTTTGTGTGTAAACCATAGGCGAATCTGACGTATTTACGTAGATATGATGACATGCTGAGATGATATATATAAGAAGTGTTGATGCAGCAGCTACTGTGTAAGCTTAGCCTAGCACTCATACCTCAAGATTACATTCAGAAAACAAGCTTTTTAAAAGTTATGTCATTGCTGTCTTGGGGCGTGCATTAAATAGACATGAATTTGGACTTTTTACTAATTGGCATGTTGTTATGGCTTCCTTTTAATCCTTGTACTGTGATTAAATTACATTAAATCTTCTCATTTCGGCTTGATACATCTATACTAAGCTTGTAGACGTTGCCTCACGAATGTCCTCGATCAATATGACTGGACATGGCTTGAAGAATACAAGTGTCTTCAGAATTAAAATAATGTGAGAGTCTGCCATCCAAGTGGCATTGTGGGTAATGTAGGCACCATGTTTTGACAAGGAGGGAGAATATGTGGAACAAAACTGAGGATATCAGTGATTCTGCGGGATCGATTTTGACTCTTCTTGTTTTGCTGTGACCCCGCTGCGGGGCGGAGTTGAGGCCCAGGGGGGGACGTGCTGGTCTACTCACCACGGACTCAGCGGCGTTGTAGTCCAGAGAGTAGAGCAGCTTTCCCCTCGGCCGTTTGGTCGAGCCGTAGCCGACGTCCGACACGTCGGGCTGAACCTGAAGCACAGGAAGCACATCTTCTCAGAGCAGAGACGAGGAGGAAGCAGAAAGAAGGATTCGAAATTTGAGGCCAAGAGAAGTGCCAGACGTAGAGAACTCCAGGCAGGGATGAAGACAGGCTAAGTTCCTTCATCGTTTTTCTAGAGCTTCCCAGAAAAGGACTAGCAGTGATGAGGAAACGTCTTATCGACGCTCACCAGAGCTGTTGTGGTTTTTCCGTTCACGCCCTTCAGATCAATCTTCTCGTTCTTCTTCTGCTTCTTCTTCTTCCCTTTGCAGCAGCACTTGGCGCAGATGCAGATGCAGCAGATCAGGATGAGCAGAGCGCCGGCCACAAAGATTGCGTAGATTGCCCATCGAGGCACTGAGGGGGACATTTAACTTTAACATTAACGGATCATGTCCTCACACAACATTATTCATCCTCTTCACACATACAAGAGATGTTCTGCTTGGTAAACCTTCAGAGCCCGGTGAAGCTTTTAATTGACCGTATATATATATTCAACATATTATATCATATTTTGAATTATATTGAATTTATATATATATATTAATTATGAAGGTGCTGAACTGGACAGATGAGCTGAATCGCTCATCGCTCGTTGAAGGTTTATGGTCTTAATCTCTAGTTTCACGTCTTCAACACAGCATGATGTTCATTTAGTAAATAATGGTCCATTTAGAGTCAAACAGACTATAAAACAGGGGATGCTTTAGGGCGGGGCTAGATGCTGATTGACAGGTCACTACCAGAGGGGTAAACGGCACAGAACAGCCTTCCACTTGAACTCTTTCACAATATGTTTTGACTTCATGGAAGTTAATTGCAATATTCTGGTCAACTCAAAATATCTTATTCAGTGTTTAATTGTGGCTCCGCCCTCTAGTATCACTTATGGTTGCAAAAAAAAAAGATTGCGACAGCCGTAACATTTGTGGCCACAAATTGAAAAACCCAATTTCTTATACTTCTGATACGCCATGTACTTTCAGCTAATATTCCTGTACTTTTTGGAATGACTTTTACTCACAGGGGATCTTGTTAAGGAGGTCGTTGACAAGGTTGGCGGCGGCGGCGGCGACTGGGTTGAGGGTGGAGTTGGAGGTGGAGTTGGTCACTGGCAGGGCGGTGGTGAAGGGATGAGAGGAGTTGGGGGTCGAGTGGAAGGAGGACATGATGAGGAGGACGAAGAGAAGATCTGAGGAGGAACGAGAGGAGGAAACCTTCAGTGTGGACGTAGACACAGAAAATAACAAGAAACTTAACACGTCATTAATTAAACAGCACTTTTACTACACGACTTGTATTCAAACTCATAGTTTGTTACTTTTGCAGATCTAAAAACAACGACACATAAGCTGAGTTGTAGCTTCCTATTTCGTTTTGTGTATTTTGAATTTTCTCAAAACATAAAGAAACCTAATTCCTGCAGTTTAACACAAACGTTCAAACATTTACAGAACATTTATACAACTGAAAATAATACAAAGGGAGCCACAAATCTTATTAACAATTAAAATAACATTTTGTTAAAGAAGCCTGAGACATGATGTGAACACATTGAAATACTCGGTTTCTTGAATATTTCCATTTTACTGCACTACAATAATTTCCAACTTTGCATTATTTTTTTTATTCATAAAATGTTGTTGCTTCGTACTTCTTTCGATATAAAGGAAGCTTCATTACAAACATCTGGAGATTGATTGTTTATAGTGGACAGGAAGCAACTAAAGCAAGTAGAAGTAGAAAAGATTGGAAAGTGAAGGTACCTTAAATGTGTACCCGATCGCAGTACCTGAGTAAATGTACTTCCACCAACAGTGACGTACAAAACCAAACATCAGGAATTCCGACATGACTGGGTGGAAACTCCACCTTCAGCCTCCGCCCTGAACAAACAGCTCGTCGGCCTCTGATTCTCTGATAACGAGAACAAAGACCCGGGAGGAATCAGTCAGCTGATTCTCAGGATGAAAACCCACGATCCGTCTGACTGTTTGGGTTTTAAACTTGAATACTTAGGCAAACAGAAGTACAAGTGGAAAAAGTTCTTCCATATAGACAAACGGACTGAAACAAGGACCAAAGATAGAGTCTTACTATTAATTAATTAATTATTATTATTAAACGGTGCTTTTTTTGGTCAGGATTTGGGCCGTTAAACTTTCGACCTGCTTCAGGTGCACAAAGCTAAACGGAGTCAAACAAGATGACCAACGAGACAAACCTACTTCCTTTTTTTTTAACTTCCTAAGATTGTAACAGCTAATAACATATTTTAACATTATTTATATGCAGTTTTACCATTTAGTCGTGTTTAAAACTCCATTCTGCTGGACAAGATTTGTTTGTATTGTTGACATTTGAAATCTGAATCAACCTTCAAAATGCTAGAACCATATTTTTACTGAAGTAAATATTGCACTTTAATCCAGTTGTTGCCTGTCAGCTATAAAAAGAAAATATTTAAATCGCTTTCTGTCTTTTTAGCAATCTGACAGCATCATAACTTACAACCCTAATAATATATTATAGTAATACATAAAGAAATATATTTTCAGGTGTTCATCAATTATGAGGAAAAATATTAAGATGTTTATTTAAATAAAGAAACATAAAAACTTCAGCCCAACTATAAGAATAGTTGAAAAATAACCCTCATTCAAACATCAAAGATCCAACGTGCTTTTATTTTCTCCTATTATTAGCATATTCAATTTTAAACACACACCACCGCCAAAATAAAAGCCGAAAACATTTTACTCACTAGAGATGAGTTCGACAGAAACGACGACATCCCAGAAGAGTTTCTGACTCAGAGAATAAAAGAGGAGGAAGGAAAGGAAACTTCTCCCTCCCCCTCCTCCTCTTCCTCCACACTGAACTCAGCAGGAAGACATCAATCGTCTCCTCAAATCTCACAACCTCTACTTCAGTAAAAGTACTCAAACTGTGTAGAAATACTTAATAGTAAAGGTTCTGCTATTAAAATCAATATTCTTCTCTAAGAGGTAGTGGAGTAGAAGTAGGAAAGAGCACTAAACGGAAATACTAAGTAGAAGTACCTGAATATTGGACTTAATGGAGGATTAGTGGACACAATTGACATGATGTATAAGGACCTGGGACTGAATCGTCCTCTCATACGTGACCGCAGAGACATAGACTGTCCCTTTAACCTCAAAACTTTGTCACTTTGTTTCGTAAAGAAAATGTTCACGCGATCTTTGTTGATCGAACACAAACACACACACTCACGCGTAGGCTCACTCTCACTCACACAGAATACAGTTATGTACTTTAACAAACGTATTTGTCATTTTGTCTTTTTAAATCAAATATTGAACCAATTGATCAATAATTTGAAAACTGAATGCAGGAAATGGAAATAAAAGATAAATAACATAATATAATAACAAAGAAACGACAAAACAGAGTAAAACAAAAGAAATGCATGATGGGAAAAAAAGAAGTCCACTTCTGAAGCAGTGAAAGTGTCCACTGTGTTTGAACGAACAAGACAAACAGTAGGACACAAAGGATTAAATGACAATAACGGTACCTTTATGTCACCAGGAGAAGCTCCTCTTTATTTAAATCTCATTCTTCTCTTGTTCCGACGGACGAACAATCTCAGGTTTGATGTTGTGAAGTTCAGGAGTGAAACTTCTGTCCTCAAGTGGGACGACTGTTACCTGCAGCCACACCTGCTGCACACACACCACTCACACTTCAAACAGAGGTGCAGTCGTTAAAATACCAGTTATTCAAATATTCGTGTCGTGAAGTCTCAACCTGAGTGAAAAGAATGAAAAGAATAAATATGACGGTAATAAAGTTCCTCCTTTGATTAACACACATTATTGGTTTTAAAGATTAAACTGTGGAATAAATACATAACATTAATAATATATATGGGTTTGTGTATGAGTGAGGTTCTTTTCATAGATTATTTTGTAACGTGTTATTACTTTTTTCTAAAATAAGAGACACCACAAGCATTATTTTAAATAAATAATATCAGTTAAAAGAAAAGCTTCTCAAATGTTTGTTTCAATAAACTGCTGTTTATTGCATTAAATGACGAGATAAACAAGAGCCAATCACAGCGGAGCAATCAGAGCAGGAAACATCTCATCTCCAATCGGTACCAGCAGGTGAAGAACTTGGTGAAGAATGGTTTTAGTTATTTTAAGCTGCGAGTCGTTCACCGGCCTTCCTCCTCCTCTGGCGTTCCAGCCTCCTCGATACACCAATAGTCTCCATGGCAACAACACAGGTTAAAACTCTACACAGACCCTTTAAAGCCCAAAAGCGAAGTTTTCCATAAATAAATCAGCAGACAATTTCAGATTAACTACAAAAAGAATCTGAAAAATGAAACCAAAAAAAATAAATAAAAGGTGCTCTTTTGTTTGACACTTTTTATTTCACCATTTCCCATCTCAATGGGATTTAAAGTATGGGCCGGGGCAACAAATTTGATTTTGAAAAAAGTGACTTCATTTAGTCCAAAGACAAGCTCTGGGGATCAGGTTAATTGGGGACTTTAAATTGCCCGTAGATGTGTGGATGCGAGTGTGAATGGTTGTGTGTCTCTGTGTTGGCCCTGCGATTGGCTGGTGACCAGTCCAGGATGAACCCTGTCTATCGCCTGAAGTTGGCTGGGATAGATTCCAGCCCCCACAGTGACCCTGTGTGCAGGATAAGCGGTTTGACAATGGATGGATGGATGGACTTCATTTAATTCCAAATCTGAAAAGCTTTTTCTGCAAAAATGAACTTTCATATTTTATACATCAATGTTGAACTTTTATTATTTGCTGCTGTGATCAAACATCATAAATGTTGAGTTCTGTAAAAAACAGAAATGCTAATGTTCATACCTCCATGGTAGGATTAATAACTGTGCAAATGACTGATCCAATTGAGGACATTTAAATAACTTCAGAACTATATGTGGAGAAGAAAGTTTCCCGCTTCCTCCTCTGCTTGTGGAGGAAGAAGCAGCTTCCTGTTAGGAGACAAGGATCTCCTTGTGGTCCTCATGGAGGCGGAGGATCAGAAGTTGATAGCTTTGCCGAAGGAGGCGGCGAGGTTTGCTTCTCTGAAGGCCTCCGACACCGTCTGCATGAGCAAGATGAGAAGGGGGGGGTTGAGGGGAAGGGGGAGGAAGATGCATAGGATAAAGGATACAAAGAGGATTAAAATAAAATGGAGATGTTTTTAATAAACATGGAATATTTATTGTCTTTATGATTGTGAGCTTTTAAAATCGATGGAAAAGATGCTGCATGTTAAAAGGCAAACACAAAATAAATGTTTGAATGTCACTGAATATCAACCTTTCAAATGGAAAATAATGACATTAGAATGACGCGTCAAACCATTCTGAGCAGCTCGACTGACGTGTGTATGTGTGAGAGCGTTCACGTACAGGGTGGGCGTGGCAGACTCTGGCGATGTCCTCACAGGAAGCTCCGTACTCCATCGCCAAAGCGGCTTCGTTGATCATCTCGCCAGCTCCCTGCGCGGACGTGAGCAGACCACAGTGCTAATGTAACGGCTAGCATGCTAACTCTGCACAAGCTGATTATGCTAGCCAGCTAAATGTCAACATGTTAAGCTAGCTTAGAGCATCCAACACGCTATACGCCACATCCTCACGGGAACAGTTTATCCGCTAACATTCGTTACCATGGTAATAGGGTAGAAAAGGTTTGTTACTTCTAGACTAGAGCTGACTAACTAGCCAGCAGCTAAATGGAAACGCAGATCTCCTGCGAAATGAAAAGGGAGGAGCTCTTACGGTTCCCACGATGTGCGCCCCCAGCAGCCGGTCAGTCTCCTTGTGGCCGAGGATCTTCACCAGGCCGTCGGTGTCGGCGTTGGTTTTGGCTCGGCTGTTGGCTGCAAAGGGGAACTTGCCGACTCGGTATGGGACGCCCTGAGGAGAAAGAGGAGGACTTCAATAACAGCTTTCATCAGCGACTTCTGTTCCTCCCAATGATCACTTGTAAGAATCCTTTATTGAGAGAACTGGAATGAATCTTCTCTGGAATTTTTTTTCTTGCATAAACTCGTGTCGTCCCCTGATGATAAGAAACATCTGGAGCGTTTCGGAGCTCAAATACTTCACGTATAAGTTTGATCGACAGACGGAAAAAAAAACATTTTAATGATCAACTCTACCGAAGGTAAAGGACCCGTGTCTAGAGAAGGGCAGTCTGGGTAATTGTGTTGGGAGGGGCTTCATGAAGTGGCCAAAGTCCCTTCAGAGGAATTCCAATCTTTCCAATCACCAATCATTTCCAAAATATTCACATTGGTTTTTATTTGATTATCAGTCAGCTGTGTGCGCCCCCAGCCCCGCCCACCTCACCTCCTCTTTGAGCTGCTCCTCAGTCTTCCCCACCCAGGCCACCTCAGGGTGCGTGTAGATGACGGAGGGCACACAGTTGTAGTCAATGTGCACGGCGCCGCCCGCCATCCCTTCCACGCAGATGATGCCCTCGTCCTCAGCCTTGTGGGCCAGCATGGGCCCGGCCACCACGTCGCCGATGGCATAGACGCTGGGGGGGGGATTCATTAGAGGAGCTCAATGGGTTTCTTTTATACGTGGGGAAGAAAATCTGATGGTCTTTAACCTGGACCTTGGGTCATAACCCAGCATGAGTACCTGGGGACTTTGGTCTGGAAGCGGTTGTTGACGGGGATCCGGCCTCGGTTGTCCAGCTCGATGCCGACAGAGTCCAGGCCCAGGTTCTGGGTGAAAGGTCTCCTGCCGATGCAGACCAGCAGCACGTCGCAGGTCAGGGTCTCATTCTTCCCTCCGGCCGCCGCCTCCACTCTGAAACAGGCGACAGGTGGCTCACTACGGGCGCTCCGACAGACCTGGGAGGCTTCTCCTGGTTCTACTCACGCCACGTCGATTTTGCCGTCGGGCCTCTTGGTGGCACCCATCACTTTGGTGCCCAGCTTGAACTTCAGGCCCTGCTTCTGCAGGATGCGCTGGAAGTTCTTGGAGATCTCCATATCGATGCCCAGGCCGCCCACGTGGCCCAGGTACTCCACCGCCGTGACTTTGGAGCCCAGACGCTGCCACACGGACCCCTGTAGAGGGGGGTTGGGGGAGGAGAGGGAGGGAGGGTGACTTTGAGGACGTGTGCAGACGGGCTTCAGGCTGCAGCGTTCATAGCAGCTTTAACCTATAATAATAATGATAATTTGATAATTCCTAGAACTTCAGACTAAGTTTTCATTCAACATTTCTATGGATAAAAAACAGCCGTCAATTTCTCCGCCAAACAGAAGCAGTCGCTTAAAGAAAGAATTCTTCCTCAGTGACCCACTGGACCTCAATGTCCTTAGGGGAGGAGGGAGGGGGGGGGGGGCAGAGGTCTAACGGTGAGAGAGTAGAAAGAGAAAGGGTAGCCGGAGGTTGAATAAAGGGCGGCGTGTTCTGTGTTCCGGGCTCTGATTGGACTATTTGTTCAGTAATGTGATGCTGACCAGCTCCACTCCGATGACTCCGGCTCCGATCACGATCATCTCATCCGGAACCTTCTTCAGGGACAGAGCTCCTGTTGAGGACACAATGGTCTCCTCGTCGATCTGAGGGAGACAAACGAAGAAGAAAAACACGACGACAGTTTGATCTTCACAGATTTCACTATTATTATTATTATTATTATTATTATATTATAATCTCAACGATATTTGTATCCTTCACATCCTCGTCCTCTCTGTGAGGCCTACCTGGATCCCAGGGAAGGGTGTGACCTCTGACCCTGTGGCGATGAGGATGTTCTTGGTGTTGATGACCTGCTCGCTGCCGTCCTCCGCCACGGCAGTAACCTGGTTCTTACCGCTCACCCTCCCGTACCCGTTGACATGGGTCACCTGGGGGGGGGGACCCGCAAGGTGAATATGAGCAAGCGACAGTTCAACTTTTAATGAGACAAAGAGACGGAGACATATTGGACCTTGTTTTGTTTGAATAAGTGAGCGATTCCTCCGGTCAAAGCCTTCACTGCTCCGCTCTTCTGAGCCATCATCTTCTCCAGGTTCAACGTGAGGCCAGTAACTGAGGGACCGTTAAACATCAACTCACTAAGAACAACAAGTGAGCTGCTGACTTATCGAAAAAACTGAAATATTCATTTAAAGAAAAAAGGGTTAAAACAGCAAAGATATAAATGTTCCTATTTTCAGCTTGTTGTTTTGGATCATTCATCATGCTGAGGATCATGTATATATAAAATATAGACATATGTGTTTTCGTACATTCGATGCCTCTGCTCTCCAGGTCCTTCCCGTGCGCCATGTGGTAGAAGTATGAGTTGTTGAGCAGCGCCTGCACACAACAGAAGGTCACATCAACTAACGCGCTGTGCAGAGCTCCAACCAGCGCGCTCAGACCACAGAAGAGTATCCCACCTTGGAGGGGATGCAGCCCACGTTGAGACAGGTCCCGCCCAGCGTGGTGTTCTTCTCCACACACACCGTCTGGAGGAGGGGCCAAGAGAGCGCAGGTTATTTAACAAATAGACCATTAGAAGTATTCTGAATGTGTGAAGCGAATTATCGGTGACCATTTAGCTGTTATCGATATCTTTGATTTTCTATTCATGAATTGATGCTTCCTGCACTCTGCAGAATGTATATATTAATAAATAATATGAATAACTTGATTATTTATCAAACAGTACGGTAAAAAACATCCACGGATGCAGGACGCATTGCTATTGGCACCCAAGAGGTTGGAGGTCGCTCACCTTGAAGCCGAGCTGCGCCGCTTTGATTGCGGCGACGTAGCCGCCCGGCCCGGAGCCGACCACCGTGACGTCTGCATCGACTGCGGAGGCAACGCAACACTTTCATCAACAGCTCGTAACCCGGGGCGACGGAGGGTCGACCAGTCACTCATAACAAAGCTTCAGATCTGAAGCTGAACATGCTTTTATTGTGAAATTACCAGGAAAGCAGTAACTGTCACAGCTCGATGATCATGATTAAGACTTTATGAAATCATGAAGTACATTTCAGACCAAATGAGGATGGCAAACAAACAGCAAACATACATTGTGCAAAATGAGCTGATTATTTTCGGATGAGGAAAAAGTCAAAGGATGAAACATACACATGTCTTAAAGCTTTTGTTTGCACATTTGATCTTTATGTTCTCGTTGAATATGAGGTCAACGAGGAAGACTGACGAGAAGGAAGTACTAGAGAGGAATGTGTCGAAATAACTCATTTAGTTCAACTCTACTAACTTGCTGATTTTTTCATTTGTATTATTTAAAGTCGTTTTATGATCCTTTAATCCTTGAAAAGCTACAATTCATGTCACTCTTCCTCTGAGTGACAGTGTGGATCAAATACCTACTTTAGATTCCTCGCAGCCCCCCTCCCTTTAACCAATGGCGGGAACAAACCTGCGATAAGATTTAAGAGTTTGACTCACTTGCAGCTTTGTCGGCGTAGGTTCTGACGGACAGCGCTGAGGCGCCGTGCAGTTTGCAGGGAAGGTTGTGGCTCCGCTGGGACGGAAGAGCAAGAAAGGAAACCTTAAACCAGAGTGGCAAAAACCTGACGCGGGCACCACCCAGAATCATCAGGGACGGGATGACATCAGGAGAATCAATCAGTTCCTCTTCTAATGGATTGGATTTTATTCCAGTGCAATGAACAATGTTATTTGAGAACGGTTTTATGGGAAACGCAAAAGCATCCCAGTGATAAAATCATGATTATGTTATAAAGGATGAAATAGATTAGATATTTTTACAGAAAGGAAGTTGTTGTGCAGAAATAAAACACGAGTGAAAACAAAACAAGATTCTAAAAACAAATAATTATAATTAATAAAAAAAGGTGCAAAAACATGTATACACCCGTACACATGAAAGGTAATCAATGGGGGTGAAAATAGCCACTAAAGAAAATAAATATAAAATAATGTGGACTAAGAACGTAATCTTCACATGAAGGAACCAGAGAGGGTAAATACATCGACGGGGTTCTTTCTGTCTGTACATCCCTTCGAAGGGGCTCAGCTGCCGGAGCAGGTTTGGGCTTCGGGGCTTTGCTCGGCTGCCAAATGTTGAGCTCCGCGGACCTCTGTGCTGCGCAGCAAGCCAGCACCTCGGAGTTAGCTTCTGTGTTAGCATGTGAGCTTATAGAGACGCTAATGGTGAATTAACATCCCGGAAGAGACGAGCAGAACAATTTAAAATGTAACTTGAACGAGGTCGTGACGACGAGTCGCATAACAGATAGCGTTAGGTAACCGATGCTAGGGACATTAGCATGCTAGCATGGCTGTCATCTGTCAGTTAACAGACGTTAGTTAAGTTGCATCCAGAAAACTTCCCCCTCAACAAAACAACGTTACATACAACGTGTAACGTTACCTAACATCACGAAAGTGAATTAACTTAGTCAATGACGTCACGTGTTTTAAAACATTCGACACACCAAACTAAGGTTAAGTAGTTGATTGTATTTCAATATTTTCCTTATTGCGAATTAATGGAGGGGGGGTTAGAGTTAGACAATGAATGCAATAGGTATTAAGCGACTTATTTCAACAACCCGTTCCCGTTTTCCCGGTGTGGCGTTACGGCCTCTCCGTGCGATTCATCCGGGCCAGAGCGGTTAGCTTGAAGGCTAGCTGAACCAGCCGGGGGATCCGTAAGAATGAAGATAACCGGGTCCCTGGATCGAAGCTGCTCTGAACTACACGTGGCGGGTGATAACTGGACATGATCCGTTCTTACCGTGGCCAGCGACCGGTAAAACTGCGTCCAGCTCTGCATGTTGTCTGTGTGTCCCCCTCACCGGATCCGTAACCTACAGCAGGCCGACAAACCAAGGACTACTACCATTGCGCATGCGCACTACTGGCCAATTAAAATCCGCCCTTTTTAGTCGCCTCCATATGACGTTAATGGTCGCTGGTCCTTTTATCATAACCGCTCTTTGGGTTTGGAAAGGCTTTAAACTAGTCAAAACTTAAAAAGTAAAAAAACTACTACAATGATGTGAAACATCTTTGTGAAGTATTCACTTAAGTAAATGTACTATTAGTATATGTACATTACTATTCAGTAAATGTACTATTACATGTACTACTATTAGTACATTTACTGAAGTGACTGTCACACTGTCAGACAGGATGAGTTTAGGATGTGCTGTATCAGGATCAAGTGTCACATCCATTGCAGACTGCTGGACTCTCTTCAGCTCGACCTCATCAAGCAGCTTCTTCATCTGTTTACTAAACATCTCCTCCAGCTGATGCACAGCTCTCACCATAGTCCCCTCATATGAAGGTGCACTGACTCTGACTCCTGTCCAGTCCTTGGTGGAGCAGTGTTCAGGGTCCTGAAGCTCTGGAGGAGGTGGAGAGGGTCTTCAGAGCGTGAGATCTGCTCCACCTCAGTGTGTATCGATGAGCTCTGCCTGACTTCTCTCAACAGACTCCTTCAGAGCGCTGAAGACCAGGACACCTTCTGCTACCTCTCTGTCTTCTTTTTCTTTATTAATGCTTTGTCTTTATTAATTTCTCCTTTTCATGTTAAGATTCTACTTCTCAACCTCTCCTGTCCCATTTAATGCAGTCGTGTCGCGTGGGGAAGGTACTTTATTTAGTAAATGTGAATCTGTAAGAGTCATCAAATAAAGGTTGTGGGGGTGAAAAAGGTAGCATATGTCTTTCTTAGATGTGTTACTTTATCTTACTTGACGACGATTGGAAATGCTTTTTTAGAGGAAACAAAATGTTTGTTCTAATCTGTAAAACAATCTTTATAGAGTTCTTCAGCTCTTCACTGTTCATGCGTTCTGTCACGACAATCTACACTGTATCTACAATACATTTCCATAAAGGTCAAAGCAGAAGCTGTTTTGTTGTTTGATGGTTTTAAACTTTTGCAGCATCGTTTGTAGGTTTACACTTTTATATTCTCTTTTGTGTTGCTGTATATTATTGTGATATAAGGAAACTGATCATATGGGTTAGGTAGACGACTACACTGTAATCTGATGGAAAACATTTACATTAAGGAGAATGTTAATTAATGTGCACTGACCCCGGTGAACATATACATTAATAACAAAAGAGGAGTACAACATGGTGTTCTCTTTGAATACTTTCAACACAAACACAAAGTACATATTGCTGCATATTCTTATGATTTACTTTATTTGTATCAATGGAATCTTCTTTGGATCAGTACTTTAAAGTCACAAACACAAATAGCACAAAGGTAAAAATGTGTTCACAGGTGTGTCGTTGAGTCGCAGGATCAACACTCGAGCTGCAGGAGGTGTCCCTGAACGCACCGCAGCGGTCCAGGCTGTTTAACATTCTGCCCTGGACAGGAGCAGGTTGTTGCGCAAGCGCAGCCCATTCAGCCCGCATGAATACGGAGCGGGGAGAGGACAGCAGCACTGGGACTGGGAGGACACAGTGGACTGGACGGACCGGACCCGACCCGGGAAGGCGGACATGGAGGGACAGAACGGCAGCCGGGCGCACGGCCCCGTGACGGACGGCCAGAAGAGGAGGAAGAAGCAGGAGGAGGAGGAGATCCCCGACAGGGTGACTCTGAAGAAGGAGATCGGGCTGCTGAGCGCGTGCGCCATCATCATAGGTGAGGCAAGAAGAAAAAGAAACACAAGAGAGCTGCTAAATAGCAAAGTGTGTGCGTGCGCGCGCCTGTGTGTGCGTGCGTGCATGCGTGTGTGTGCGCGCGTGTGTATAGGAGCCGATGCATGACAAGCAGTGTAAGGATGAAGCTCCTCTCACAAGCTCCTCGGGATCTCCATGTCGGCTCGCATGTTCACCTCCGACTGACAAGTGCTTACGTGGCGAAATAAAGTGAAGTCCAGCAGCAGTCTGCTGTGAGGCAGAAGAACATTGTCTGCTGGAGCAGAAGGACCATCTTTAAACACACACACACACAGGAGCAGAACCCATCATCGGATGGAGGAAAGGTGGCCACGTCTTAAAAACTGCTGGTTTCCAAGTCTCTTTTTAGAGCTGCACTCTTCTAATCTACAGTACGTTTCACACTCTAAGTACCGAGAGCAGCTTTGGACTGGTCTTGAACCAGGCTCAGGTTAGTCCTGATCCACCAGATCGGACTGTAGTGACCCCCGATTACAACCTGCAGAACGTCCTTGAGCTCAGAGGCCATCAAAGACCAGTCCACCGTGGACCTGGGAAGCAATGCTGGACGCGCTCAATGGAGGGAGGCCCGGGAGAATCAGAACCAGGACTGAGAGGGTCAGCCTGTGCAACTCTGCAGAAGAAGGAGAGGTTTCCTAAAGGGACCCTGGTGGGAGGAGACAACACCATCTCAGTCCACAGGGGGCACAGAGTCCCCACTAAATGAGAGCTTGGAGTAGTCACAGAGGCTCAGGGGCTCATTTAGGTTTCTATTCTTCTTCTATTCCCCCATAACCCCCCCTAAAGGTCACATGATCGGGAATGTGGGGATTTAGTCTGATATGTTCAGAAAAAGGTTGAGATGTGGCTTCCTTACCGAATCCTCCGTGGTCCTCCATGGCCTTAATGGACAATGTGTTGTACTTGTTTTGATACTATGAGGGGACATGAGAGTCAGGAAGGGGCCAAAGGGATGAATGGATGAACTGTTGGGTCCAATTAGCTCAGACATTGTCTCACTGGGGGGGGTGGACGTATTGTCCAGATTCAGTCTTTGATAGATCTCTGGGCTGTAATTGAATATCTGTCATCATTTGTCTGATTTTCCAACGCCGGCCACTGAGAGCGAAGCCGAGGAAAGTCCTGCAGGACGGAGACGAAACTCATTTGATTATTCACCGCAGACTGCTGACGGATGAAAGAGACATCACTGCTTGTATGTCTGAGGATTTCACAAAGACGCACCAGACGTTCAACGTTTGTGTCTTTATAATACTCTTAGTATTCAACTTGTCTCATGAATATAATACGAGTTCATGAATATGAGACACACACCTTCACTCGTTGTCTTCCTCATTCTTCTTGGGTACTTTGTTCTTTCAGAGGATAAAGCAAGGAATCATTTAAAATGTGCTTGCAGGGCATTGGGAGGCCTTCAGCCTACCCCCTCCCCCCACACCTCACCCCGTGACGTCCAACCTCGGCTTTCAGGTGCGGCCTTTTGGCCGTCTGGGCCGCGCTCTCCCTCTCTCAGCGGATGTTTTCTTCATCACAAGAGAAAGGTCCTGTGTGCAGAATGCTGAAGCAGCTGCCAGAGAGACCGTCTGGCTGCTCCGGAGTCACTTCCTGCCTTCCTGATGAAGAGTTTTAATGCTTCCGGGTTGAGTTACAAAAGAGCTTCTAGAATTCCACATCTTTCGGGATCTTTCTTTTCCAGAACTGTGTGCAAATATATTTGTGTGTGGAGAAAGTAACAGGAAAGTTGCCATTGACATAAATACTGCACGCCCTCCATTAGTGTTTCCTGCCTCAGCGATCAATACCGAACACACATTTATTACTGCCACTTTGGAGCTTACTGCACATCTTTTTGCTGCACAACACCATAATCTGTTTGTTTTTCAATAGTCTCAGGATGCAGAAAGGTGAGTCACTTCCCTCCTCTGCACCCCCCCAGCTGGATAATTCATGTTGGGTTATGTAACGGCCGCCTGTGCCACTTGGCTGCTCTCTGCCGCGCTACTGGTAGCGGTGTAGTGTGAATGTGTCGGATGTGCTGGTACTCCATGCTGCATACTGAGGCTCCCGGCCTGAGTGATGGCCTTCACCTCCTTCTCCAACCCGCTCTGCCGTGGAGCCCTTTGTGCTCTAATGGGCCCACAAGAGGGGGCGTGGGGACTGTCTCCCAACGGGTCACTGTTGGAGACGCTGCGGGTGATGCACCCTGGCTCCTGTGAAGCTGACTCTCCCCATGGGGGGAAATCTTTGCATTTGATGGTTCTTCTGGGTTCATGTCTATTGTCATCCTCACCCACTCTTAGGTTCCATAATTCACTAAATGAACATCATGCTGTGTTAAAGAAGACTTGAAACTAGAGATTGAGACCAAATACTCATGTTTACAATGTTTACTGAGGGAATAAATAAAGAGAAGTAGTCATTTTCTCATAGACTTCTATGGGACCAGAGGAGTCGCCCCCTGCTGGTCACTACAAAGAATGCAGCTTCAAGACATGAAGCTTCGATGTCACTTTAATGAACCAGAGCAGCTTTTTATCAGATATCAGATCCATTGCTCGATGCTATAGATCAGGGGTATTCAACTAAAATGTGAAGAGGTCCGGTTAGAGAACATTTCTAGAAGCAAAGGTCCGGAAGATCATGTGACTACATGTGAGTAGTTACATGATTAGTCACTACCTGCGTCGTCACTACCTGAGTGTGATTGTATATCTATAGGAATAGAGTTGTATCAACATCTGCATTTAATCACTACACGACAAACAAATCAAATGAATTCAGTACGATTCAAAAACGTAACATTTATGTAACAAAAAACTGAACATATTTTTGTGACGGCAAAAATAAATAATGTTCTCTCAAATAACTAAATAAAAGTAGGGCTGCATTTAAAAAAATGAAAAATGTATTGAATGAAATTCAATTCAGAAAAAAAAAAAAATAATATATGTATCCACTCCCCCACTTTTTTGGTATGTGGGAGAATTAAGATCTAGTTTTCCTGCCAGGATTTTAAACCTGGGCCTGAATACATCAGGGCCGGTCTCCTCCTCACGTGGAGGAGCTCATTGGGCTGAGCATTGTCTTTTAACTTCCAGTCCGGTCCAGGTCCAGATGGGACGGCTTCTGGGTCCGGATCTGGACTGTGGTCCGCCAGTTAGTGACCTCTGCTATAGATGAAATCTATGTTTATTTATTTGTATCATTTTGTCATGTCAAGATTATATTTTACATTTTTTTAAATCTAAATTCATCAGATTGTGACTCAAGTCCACGTCTGTGCTTACATTAGATTATAAAAAAACAAAGACAAAATCACACGGGAAGGAAGAACCATATTGTAGCTTGACAACCATTTGCCGGATTGCTTAGTTCCTGTATAAGAGGACCCAGAGTCCACTCGGTGCTAACACATGCTAGCCACGTCGTATCTGGACAACACTTGAAGGCAGAGGTGATTCACCTCTAGGGACCTTCTTCCTTCTCTCCCCAGGGAACATCATCGGCTCCGGGATCTTCATCTCTCCAAAGGGGGTTCTAGAGCACTCAGGCTCGGTGGGCCTGGCGCTGGTGGTCTGGGTCCTGGGGGGCTGCATCGCAGCATTGGGCTCCCTCTGCTACGCCGAGCTGGGCGTCACCATCCCCAAGTCCGGGGGGGACTACTCCTATGTCACCGAGATATTCGGTGGTCTGATGGGGTGAGTGAAACTAACGCTCGGCCACCGGTCGGTGGATGAGGGGGGAGTTTGGGTCGTCTGCAGAGGACGGGGGCGCCGCAACGTCCCCCTGACATTACCTCAGGAAATAGTTTGGGGTGTTTTTGTGCGTCCGTGCTGGCAAGTCGTTATGTGTCCGAGTTGACAGGCCGTCCGTATTTGGGTTCATATTCCCATCCGGCCCATAATCCAGAATATGATAATCAGGAAAAACCTTGAGGGAAGTCCTCCAAACCCTCCATAAAGGTCCTTCTGGACTCCAGGACGGACTGACTAGAGTTCTCCTCCTTAAACAAGTACTCCAGACCCTCCTCTCTCTGCTTTGCTTTCATTTTGTCAAACCCTTTACAGTATTGTTCCAGTGATCTGATCGCCTCGAGTGGGTGAGAAGTAGCTATAACCGCTGAGTCCCCCCTGCAGGTTTCTGCTGCTGTGGAGCGCCGTCCTCATCATGTACCCGACCACGCTGGCCGTCATCGCGCTCACCTTCTCCAGCTACGTCCTGCAGCCTGTCTTCCCCGACTGCGTCCCCCCCTACATGGCCACGCGGATGCTGTCGGCCACCTGCCTCCGTGAGTCCCACCCAAGTACTCTACTTTGGTACTTTTGTGCCGAGTGCACTTTGTAGGAGTGTTTGCATTTTCCGCTATTTGATATTTCTACGTCACTAAATCTCAGAGGGACTTTTAACCACAACATTTATTTGATACCTTTAGTTAATTTGAATGATTTAGATGACTAAATATACTAAAAATAACAAAATATTATTAAATAACAATGATGTTTTATTGTAGACTAGCCAAACTAGCCAGCGGTTTATAAAGTAATTAAATGAGTGCCACGTTAAATAGATAAACACATGAATACATGAATAATATGATGTATATTGTACTATTCATACGAATATGAATTTACGTTGTACCTTAACTTTACTGAAGTAAAAGATATAATGAGAAAAACACACAAAATTGTAAGAAAAAAAAAAGTCAATTTTCCCAAATCAAATGTTTTGTAAGGAAATATCGCAATCCATTTTGATATTCTCCCAGATTAAGGGGGGGGGGGGGGAATTTACAGAAAAACAAAATCAGAAGTTGTTCCCAGAAGTGGAGATTTTTTTTCTCTGATGGGACCCCATAACTTATTTATTTTATCTGCCATTACTGGAGTACTCCATGCTACAAACCTCAGCTTCTCTGTGTTGGTTCCCACATGGAGGAATCTGGATCCTGATCGTCCACTCTGATGCTTTCACAACTTTTTTTATCAATGAACTGTGTAGGAAATGGAGCAGGAGGCAACCTCCTCTGATTAAAGTGAAGTAAAAGCTGCTCTGGTTCATTAAAGTGACGTCAAAGCTTCATGTCTTGAAGCTGCATTCTTTGTAGTGACCACCAGGGGGCGACTCCTCTCGTCCCATAGTAATCTAGGAGAAAATGACTCTACTTCTCTCTTGATTTATTTCTTCAGTAAACATTGAAAACAGTCTTTGGTCTCAATCTCTAGTTTTTAAGTCTTCAATACAGCATGATGTTCATTTAGTAAATTATGGTGCATTTAGAGTCAAACAGACCATAAAACAGGAGAGGCTCAGTCCACGTTCGCCTCATTCCATATATGGTCACTTCCTGTACCATACAGTTGGATTTGAACAGTTGTCAAAGGATTTAAGGCGAAGAGCTCCACTTTGAGTTGTTAACATTTAGTGGTCTTTGTGGAAGAAGGGAAAGACACCGACGTGAGAGCAGCTTCCTTACTCCTCGAACATTTAAATGTTCCCAGCCAAGATTGAATGTAACAAACAGAAAAGCTGCATTGGGACAGAAAGGACAGGAACCCTGGTGCAGGATGCCCCGTGTGGTGCAGCCCACATCACGCCACATCAGTCCACATCAGTCCTCGCGGGGTTGCTTGGCGTGGGATCGCACTCCTGTGACTCCATCGTTCACTCAGGGCTTTTTTTCTTATTTCTTGTAGCTTTGATGCGGAAACGTGAGTTCTGTTCGGGCGACTTGAGGTTGGCAGGGTGAGGGGTGGGGGGCATTGAGGGGGGGACGGGGGAGGTTTTGGAAAAGTTTTGTTTGCTCTTTGCAACGGAAGCGGTCCGTTCGACGGGGCTGACAGCTCGTCTTTGTGTCGGGGGGGGGGGGCACCGTGGAGCGGGAGCGGGGCAAAGCCGGTGACAATGATGGACGAGGTGGAAGAATCGCGCCCCCCCCCTCACCCGTTTCCCACATTCCTGCCACCCATGGCAACCGGCTGCTGCCGCCCACCGCCGGCAGGAACCAGGGGTCCCTGACATAGAAGCGGGGGCCGGTGCCTTTTAAAGGAGCACTCTGCACAGTCCTCGCTTCTTCCCGTCAAAGGCCTCCGTCGCTCTCGAGGTTACTTACTGTTATGACGTCATCAGGGTTGTCACAGAGGTTTTGAGACATGGATGATGAAATCAATAGAAGCTCATAACAGAAAGCCGGCCTTGGAGTATTCAGGATGTTTGTGTTTCATAAAAAGAAGCTGCTCTGACTCCCATGAAGCATTAGCTTTATGGGATATGTAGCATCCAGTGTGTTTGGAGCTTGACCAATAGTAGATTTTAAGGCCTCCCTCCAAAGCCGATCCCATTAAATAATAGTAATCAATGTAAACAACCGACGGCCAGCAACAACATCCTTTCTCCTGACCACCAGGGCCGACTCCCATAGGAATCTATGAGAAAATTATTACTTCTCTCATGATTTATTCCCTCAGTAAACATTGTAAACATGAGGTTGTGGACTCAATCTCTAGTTTAAAGTGTCCGTCAATACAGCATGATGTTCATTTATTAAATGATAGTCCAATTAGAGTCAAACATACCATAAAGCAAGCGATGCTTTAGGGCGGGGCTCCTCGCTGATTGACAGTCCTTTTAAGTCCACTTCCTGTTCACTGGTTTCAAAAGATGCTTCAAATTGTAAACAGCTAGCGCTCACAGACTTTAAGCTAACTGGACTTCTTGGCTGATTTAGCCATGTAACTGTACCAGACCGTTTTCTGGTTTCTTGTCAGAGCAGATTTACGATCCCAGCTCGAGTCTGTTTTTTTACCCAGAGTGCTCCTGCTGGGCCTGATGTCCTCACCGTGTGTTCTCTGCTCAGTGCTGCTGACCTGGGTGAACTGCTCCAGCGTCCGGATGGCCACCAGGATCCAGGACGTCTTCACGGTGGGGAAGCTGATGGCCCTGGGCCTCATCATCATGGTTGGCCTCGTCCAGATCTGCAATGGTACACTCCCTCAGCCTGTGAACCTCAACCCCCCCCTCGCCTCCCCCGGTGGGGAAGGAAAAAACACTCAAACGTCCGGCTTACCTTCCAGGGAACTACGAGGCCCTGACCCCCCAGGTGGCCTTCGCCATGGAGAGGACGCCATCGGTGGGTCAGATCGCTCTGGCCTTCCTGCAGGCGTCCTTCGCCTTCAGCGGCTGGAACTTCCTCAACTATGTCACGGAGGAGGTGGTTGAACCCAGAAGGTGAATATTCACGCTCCTCCATCTTCAACCTCTTCCCGCCTCACTTGTCTCTTTGCCTGTTTCCCTCTCTTGCGGTTTGCCCCCCTTGCTGTGACTTTTTTTCTAGGGGCAGCTTTTGTCTTGATCAAATCTTCAAAGAGGAATAGTTGGACATTTCTCATTCCTGTCCATTAGATATTATGGGGCAGCATGCCAACTTAGCTTAGCATAAAGGCTGCAAGCCAAGGGAACCAGCTCAGTCCAACAGGAAGAGAATCGACCAACCTGCTTCTCTTGAGCTGTGTTTGTTTAATCTGAACTAAAACAAGTCTTTCTGAGCGTTTTAAAACTCTCCGATCTCCGACAGATCAGACAGATGATGAACTATTATTTTCATGTCTGTTTATCTTTCTCATCTACACATGTTCTTTTACTTTCACTCAGTTCATCATTTTCTAGTTGACTCTTGACTTTTTATAAGCAGAATTGTGTCAGTTGAAGGAGATCCATATTTTCAGTTTATGTTTTCCAGCAGCAGAAAACCCGCTGGCTTTTTTTCTCCAGACTTCTAAAAGTCAGAAAAGTGTTCTTATTGGGGAGGTTTTGCCGCTGCTTCTTCTGACCTTGGTGCATGTTTGTGACCGTATCACCTGTGCATGGTGTGTCAGGAATCTACCTCGGGCCATCTACATCTCCATTCCATTGGTGACCTTTGTGTACACGCTCACCAACATCGCCTACTTCTCCTCCATGTCGCCCGAGGAGCTGCTGTCCTCCAACGCTGTGGCCGTAGTGAGTAGCGTGGCCTCTCTCTCATGTACATGAAGGTGCTTTCTGCACACGGGGGGGGGGTGCTACCTGAAAACATACAGCCATGGCATCCAAAGTGACGTAACATTACATTTATATGTACTGCAACCAGCATGCGCACATTTATATACCATGATGTGAATATCTCAGAGTAAGAAGTACGAGAATATCAGATAAAAGGAAATTGCAGAACACTCATGTGAAAATGACTTTTAATCATCACACCTGTAACTGGTGTAGTAGATTAATAATGATAACGATAGTCGTGGTAATCGTACCTTCCTCTGGCTCCGCCCCCCCAGACCTTTGGAGAGAAGCTGCTGGGGATGTTCTCCGTCGTCATGCCGATCTCCGTGGCTCTGTCCACCTTCGGGGGGATCAACGGCTATCTGTTCACCTCCTCCAGGTGAGACCCACGCCCCCACCCCCACTTTGATGCGGCCCAGCTGACCGGCCCGTCTCTTGCCCCCCCCCTAGGTTGTGTTTCTCTGGAGCCAGGGAGGGTCACCTGCCCAGCCTGCTGGCCATGATCCACTATAAGAACTGCACCCCCATCCCCGCCCTGCTGGTCTGCGTACGTACAACCCCCCGCCACTTATATGAGGCTGCTGGTTGTCATGGTGATGTGTTGCACGTCCACAGTGCAACAACAAAGACATTTATTGAACATAGGAACTTTTTTAAATCCATGTAACGGTATATTTCCAAAGCGTTTTCCTCCTTCATGCCGGAGCTCTAACATCTCTTGGATGCATTTCAGTGCGCCGCCACCATCGTCATCCTCTGCATCGGAGAGACACACAACCTTATCAACTACGTTTCCTTCATCAACTATCTGTCGTACGGCGTCACGATCGCCGGCCTGCTGTACTACCGCTGGAAGAAGCCCAACCTGTTCCGACCAATTAAGGTACAAATACCTTTTTTTACCTTTGAAGTAGTACTCTGACTCAAGATAGATTTAAGGCTCACAGTGAAATCAGGGGGGAAACCTCTGGTTCTTAAAGTCAAAGCTTCATATGTCAAAGCTGTATTCTCTGTGGTGACCAGCAGGGGGCGACTCCTCTGGTCCCATAGACGTCTATGAGAAAATGACTGGTCTCAGTCTCTAGTTTCTAGTTTCCATTCTTCTTCAATACAGCATTATGTTCATTTAGTGAATTATGGTCCTTTTAGAGTCAGAGGCGTATAAAGGTCTCAATGTCCTACTCAGTCCATATATGGTCACTTCCTATACACAGGTTTAAAAAAAGGCTTCCCGATCCAACGACTTCCTCCTCTTCCTAGAGACAGTCTGTCTGATTGACAGCTCTCTATTTGCTCACCTTAAAATATCTCGTTCCGAGTCAGGTCATACGTCGTCCCCCCCTCCCTCTTACCACAACGGGAGACATTTGTGACTTTGCTCTGTGGATGAGCCTCAGACCTCATGTTACCTGCAGGTGAACCTGCTGGTTCCTGTCTGCTACCTGATGTTCTGGGCGCTGCTGCTGGGTTTCAGTCTCTACTCTGAGCCCGTGGTTTGTGGCGTCGGTTTGGTCATCATGCTCACCGGCGTACCCGTCTACTTCCTGGGCGTCCATTGGAAAGAAAAACCAAAGTGCATCTACACGTTCATCGGTGAGTTTCAAAAAGGAGGGGTCGCTAAAAGAGTTGGCCTCTGAGTGTTGCCGCGAACATATGTTGCGTATACATACACGACATGCGTTCGCTATATTTATATATATATACATATATAATTGGAAGAATAACCCTTGTTTTCCTGCAGAGAGGATGACCTTCGTGGGCCAGAGGTTGTGTTTCGTGGTCTTTCCTCAGATCGACCCCATCGTGATCGACGATCCTTCGGAACGGACCGACACTTAGTCCGCCAAGTCTTATAAAAACATTTCCTCTCGATATGTGAAGATCATTTATTGTTTTGTTCCGTCACCTGTAATTCCGGACACTTCTTCCCGGGTTTGGGAGCTTCCTGTCTGAGCTTTGACCCTCTGACACTGTGGAAATGTCTCTCCTCCTTCAAGTTCTCCGACCCAATGATGCAAATTACTTTTATTCCCTTTTTGGAGCCCACAGAACTGTGATGGCTCCTCTGTTTGCTTCTCGTCCCCAACCACCTGTCCAAAAGAAGTAAGACGGTTGAACATTCCAGAGAAGATATGGAGTGAATGCTTGTAGTGCCACTAATATTCACATTTCACACAAGTGCACCCATCTTGTATCCTGCTCTGCTGGAAGCAGAGGTTGGGATTAGAGCTGGAAAGAGGACCAGAGCGCTGGCTTCTGTAACAGGAAGTCGGAAGCTGCTTTTGACCTTCTGTGTACTTCCTGCTGGGCATAGACGACACACTGACTCTGTGTCTCTTTCGAATCGGCCTCCGTGGATTTGAGTCCAGACGTCCACTGGACACGTTCTGCACAGCGCTGGGGGACAACTTCTCAGAGAGAATCATTGCTTTGGATGCCATTCAAACATCAATCTAGATGGAACTGGACGTGGCTTTTTACTCCTGAGACTTACGGGTCAAAGGTCACTGGTCGTTATAACGCCACCATCTGATCTCTGGATCCCGCAGACGGGGGGTTGCTTTTATAGTAAGAAGCAAAATCACAATAGTGTAAGCATCAAAGTATACTTAGAGTACTAAAAGGTGAAGTACTCATTATGTAGACTGGCCCATTTCAGAATAAAATACATCCTATCATCAGATTATATTTCTTGATACATTAACGTCACTTTTGTTTGTTATATTTAGATTATTTGTTGTTTATTTTTTGTCTTTTTAATCTAACCAGAAGTAACCAGAAGCCTTTGAATGTGTGTTAAATGTTTATTATTAACTCATTCTCTCTGTTAGATTTTTAATATATATATATATTGTTTCTGTGTACTTGTGAGCTTGTTGGTTCTTCTTCTCTGTAAAGAAAAGAAGTTGCGGCAAACTTGTTTTGCACAAATTTTCTCTGATAAATAATGACATATAATGACTTATATAAGAACTTTCTTACGCTCTCTTATGATGTCATGTGTTATGAAACAATGATGTAATGAAAGTAAACCTTAATGCTAGCTGTTTAGCATCAAATCGCTATTTCATAACTCGCTAATCTTACTGTTATCCCAAATCTGACTCTCTGGTTTGAACAGATCTGATTATAAGTTTATGGATGTTGCATTTGTGAATAATGGTTTGAATGAAAACGTAACCATAAACACACACACTGTCTGTGCTGCTGCTAATATTTATAGAATAGAATACTAGCTTCTAAAAAAAGAAATCACAATGAATACAGAAGAGGAAACATTCACAAGTAACAGGATATTTTCTTCTACAAGTAAAATTCCTGCATTATATAATATAATATTATAATGAATGCACTCCTCCCTTTGAAGGTGGAGCTCATTTCATGAACTCACATGCTGCAGTGTAGTTTTATTTACTTGGTTTTAGTAATCTGAATCTGTAAAGTAACTGAAGTTATTCAATAAATTGAAGTAAAAAGTACTACATTTGCCTACGAGATGAAGTAGTGTAGTAGAAGTATAAGTAGCATCAGATGAAAGTACGAAAAACCGAGTACAAGTACCTCAATTGTACGACAGATGATTTGATATTTTGCTGAAATCAAACTTCACAAGGAAATATATTTTTGTTTATTTTCTGAAGTATTTTCAATACTATTTGATTTTTGGTCGCGGCTGTGAGTCGTTTCACTGGTGCAATGCATTGTGGCCCACTAAAAAAATGATTTTGTAGGCGGGATTCAGACTGTTTAAGATCCACATTATCTTTTAATTATAATTAATATGGACTGAATCGATCGAATCTTTGGAAGAAAAGCCAATAAACTAAGAGAACATTTACTAATTGGAGATTTAGGAAGATTTTCAGACTTCTCTCAGAGAGACGTTAATAAAGCTGTAAACGACCTTTAAGAGAAACACTGGGACACAGTGTTGTCTTTGTGAAGCATCCACCGTTTATGAATCACCATCATCATCACCACCATCGTCACCATCATCATCATCATCATCATCATCATCACCATCACCATCATGATATCCTGGATTTGTTTTAAAATAACTGTAGCGGCTCAATAAATGAGATTCATTCAGACTGTTTGACTGTTCATGTCGAGGACTTTCCTCCACATGCTGGACATAACCATGGTACTCTACACGCCCGTGGTCTATGACGTTGCGGTGACGTAGCATCCATACCGGAAGTTAAACCTGCACGCCGCGGTGTCCCCACGTTACGGCCGCTCTGGCGAGTGTCATCAACGTAAATGCCGGTGAGTGGATCCAAAGCAAAGTTACGCGTCGTACAGGTTAATATTGGCACACAAAGAAGCATGTGTACTGTAACATTAGCACACACATACATATGCACTGTATGAGTGCTCGGGTTAAGCTAACAACGTGTTAAACAACGCACTGTTTACGCAGCAGCTAATGCTAGTAATAGCATAGCTCGGATCATACGAATCACCAAACTCCGATAAGAAGTGGGTCGGTTGAAAGGTTCCCTGCTGGTGGGTCTGCTGACAGACCAAGCAGAGCGAAATCATGCCCCGTTAGTCAATCGATAGCACTCTGATGTTACTCCGGCATACTTTCACATCGTTAATTGCCATTAAATGACAAGTTGGAGAGATTGAGCCTGTTATGAAATAGTTGTGTTCGTTGCATTGTGTTTGACGGTGCAAATCTGCACGTGTCACGTTGTTTGTCCGCTGTTAAACGTGCACTTTCCCTGAAACCAAGAGCGCGTTAAACCAGCAGGTTTCCGATCGCAGTTTGGCTTGATGTGTCCGGCCTGAGAAGTGAGGCTCCACGATGGCAGCAGCAGGCCGGCTGAGCTTCAGCAACATCACCGCCCTGGCCCCGATGGTCCGGGTGGGGACCCTGCCCATGAGGCTGCTGGCTCTGGACTACGGAGCTGATGTGGTCTACTGTGAGGTGAGGACCGGGAGCCACAAAAAAACACATCCCATAAGTCAGCCATTCCCAAATTTTTTAGGCTTCTACAACTGTGTTCATGCCCCCCCAATCCCCTCACACTTGAAAAGAAAACGTATATTTATAGCTACATTAAAATTGGACCAATGACAGTTTTCTAACAAGTGTTGTTTGTTTACAATGTTTAGTCCGCTGTTAAATGTCAGTGTGAACACAGACCGAACAAAGGGGCAAATGCAACATTATATCATTGTAATTCTGAATCCGGACAAAGAAAATACTACATAAATACCCTGAAACACTGCAGCAAAGTTTCAATAAACTCCATTTATGTCACTTTAAAGGAGCAATGAGATGGACACAGGCACAGGCTCAGAGGCAGATTGCATCATATCCCATTTACTAGTAACCATACATAGCGGCTACATTATTAAAAATGTAAAGTTACACATCACGACTGATCATCAGTTAGAGTAATTTGAAATGACTTCAACCCAGTAAACCACGTAAAGAACAAATAGTGGCACAGTCATAAAAGGGGGAGGGGGGGGGAGACTCTCTCGGTTTCTATCGCCTCGGATTCCTCAGTCTCTCTCTGTCCCTCTCCTCTCTCACGACTGATAACTTCAGATGTCCACCTGACGGTGTCCCGATTCGGCCAGTTCAGCATGTTTTATAAATGTTGCCTGAAAAGTAAGCTGTTAGCTGACGTTAGCTACACAAACGAGTGTGTACGTAAAAGGAAGAGCTGTATTGTATATGGAGAAGTGTATTTATTCATTAAATTGTTAATTTTACATTTTATAATTCATGTCTCTATTTTGTGTAAAACCCCCAATATTTAATATGAATTATTACTCCATTGGATCACCCATTACATGTTTCCTCTCGCACACCCCCTAGAGGCCACTCGCGCTCCCCCAGGGGTGCCCGCACCACACTTTGGGAATTCCGGCCATAAGTCATTATGAAACAGTTACTGAATATTTTATTTTTCTGCGATAATAAATCTCCATTAATGATTCTACGTCATTATTTTGAGAAAGTGTCATCATAAAAGCTTTGTTTTGTTCTAGTCTGACGTGTTCCTCCAGACATCTGCCTTATTTATTGTTTTTGTCTGTTTCAGGAGTTAATCGACATCAAAATGGCCAAATGTCAACGAGTAGTGAACGGTGAGATGGAAGAACTTCAGTACAAGTAACAATACCACAGTTACTTAAATGTAATCCTACATATGGACCGTTCATACAAAACTCAGCACAAAGTGCTTTAATTGAGTAAAAACAACAAAAAATCAAATTGTTCGAGATCAGCAAAACATGTAACATGTAAAAAGTCACAATATTGAGTTCTTCATTGAAATCACCAGCTTGGCTAAATAATGTTTAAATCAATAATTAAATCTTTGAACTAAGGCTGTAACGTAAAAACAAACCAAACAAATTGAAAGCCAGATTAACAATAATATTAGGATTAAAATATACTTTAAGTACTAATTATGCAAATCTCTACAATCTCTTGTAGAATATATATTTTTTATTGTAGATGAAGGGCTGTACCCCCCCGCCCACTCCTAAGTTTGCAAATGAATCAATTTAAAGAAAAATTTCAAATGGAATAATTTTGCCCCAAAATAAACCTTTTATCCTGTCAATGAAATTTAAGTCTTTGTTTGACAGTCACGTGACAATAAATCAGAGAAACCTCTTCTGAAGTAACTCAATATAAATATATAGTTTATACGTTCATGAACGTATATAGTTTGTTTATGAACCGATATCACCTCGGAGGTACAGGACAGATGTTCGAGGCTGCTTCTTTCTCCAGATGTTCTGGAGACGGTGGACTTCGTGGCCCCAGACGAGCGAGTGATGTTCAGAACCTGCGAGAGGGAGAAGGGCCGAGTCGTCTTCCAGATGGTGAGACTGACAACGCTCCCGTCGGATGTAAGGCTGCTATTAGATTCTCACCCCCCTTCTTCCTGCAGGGAACAGCTGACCCGGAGCGAGCGCTGGTGGTGGCCCGCCTCGTGTGAGTTCACCGCTCGTCGCTGAGCCGTCGGGCTGTTGATTCATTCATGCAAACATCATTTGACATTCTAGATTCAAGCTTTCCAGTTTTTCAGTTAAGTAAAATGAGGCGTTAAATGTCCTCCTCCAAAGACGAAGAACACCAGGAGTTTAGTTTGAGTTACGACATTCTGAACATGAACATTTGACTTTTATCTCTCAAACAATTCTGGCCTTTTAAAATACAACGTCACTACAAGAACATCACAATGTGTTTTAAGGAGTGAGCCATTTTGTTACCCATGATGCATTGCTGAGCCCACTTGATCTGGTTAACGACATCCCGTCTGTGTCCCGTAGGGAACCCGACGTGGCTGCTATCGATGTGAATATGGGATGTCCCAAAGAATACTCCACTAAGGTGAGTTCCTGTCAGGATCCACCTGTCGCGCTGACCATTGCCCTCTAGCTGACCTTTGACCCTGACGTTGTCTACCACTGACAGACTTGCTCTGCTCTTGACTTCTTTTTATTGACCCGGGACCTCTGGTTGACCTCTGGCTGACCTCTGACCTCTGGCTCGTTGCAGGGCGGGATGGGAGCTGCTCTCCTGTCGGATCCTGATAAGATCGAGGCGGTGAGTACGTCGGCTCCCTGTGTGCGCAGCCTGAAATATATCAATATTCTTAGGGAGTTAAAAAAAAAATTCGTTGTTGTTGTATTTAATTTTGTATTTGTACTTCTGACACATTTGACTTAAAATACTATTATTTTTCTGGCATTGTTCACATACCTTTTTATGATACTCTTAGGACATTTTTTTTCAGATACATCAAATCATTCTCATATTTCTTTTCCCTCAGATTTTTTACAATATTTTTGAATATGCATTTGTCACATTATCTCAAATTATATTTGCAAATATATTATTAATACTCTTAATTAACGTTTGATATTTCATATTTTTTCTTCCAAAAATTCCCCACATATATTTATTATTGCTAATTTTCCGACATTTCGATTTTTTAAAGGTTTTACTAAGAATTTTTAACGTTTGCCTGATAGTGTCTCTTCAAAATAAATCACAAATCCTTCTCATATATAATGATAACTTTTAAACATAATTTTCTTTTGGGATATTTTCAGTTGTTTCTACTCATTTTCTAAGAATGTTTGAAAAATGTCGTATTTTCTGAGTTGCCCCGCAATGTTTTTTGGACATTGTGTCCCCTCTGACAGTGTTAAATGAAGATGATCTTCTACCGTAGATCCTGCGGAAGCTGGTGGCTGGAGTCTCCATACCGATCACGTGTAAAATCCGAATCCTTCCCTCGGTGAGATGTGAACTATTAGTGTTATCATTGTTTCTGTTCAGAAACGTCAGATTAATATTCTTTCGTTAAAAAGCTGTTAAATTGTGTGTTTCGTCTTATCATCTTATTCTTCTTCGTTTATTTGTCTCTTTCACTAACTGGTTCTCCGTGTCCTCTAACTGGTTTCAGTTGGATGAGACAGTCAGTCTGGTCCAGAGGATCGAGCAAACGGGCGTCGCTGCGGTCGCTGTTCACGGAAGGTAAACATGTGATCTATTATTTATTTATATATAAATCAAAGGTTTAAAGCAGATATTTCGAAACTTAGAGTTCAGTCTTTTCTTTTAGTGGCTCATGGTGCATATCTGCATGTTCATTTCATCATTCATTCGTCCCTCGTTGGTCCTCCTCATGTGTTCACTTCCTGGTGGATGATCTTCAGGTTGAAGGACGAGCGACCTCGACACCCGTTGCACCTCGACTACATCCAAGCCGCCGCAGGAGCAGTGTCCATCCCCGTCATCGCCAAGTGAGCCTCCTCGCCTCCTCATCCTCTAAAGCTCCTCTCTTCCTCTAAAGCTCCTCGCCTCCTTATTTTTTAAAGCTCCTCTCTTCCTCTAAAGCTCCTCGCCTCCAGTCAGCTGCAAAAACATGTAGTAAGATGTACACTATGAATATGTACCCTGAGTATGAAGTACACCCTGAGTACCAGCACCTCCTCTCCCCAGTGGAGGCTCTCTGGACCTGGTGAAGACCAACAAGGACATCGAGGACTTCCGGAGGACCAGCGGCGCCTCCTCCGTCATGTTGGCTCGAGCTGCCATGTGGAACGCCTCTGTGTTCAGGGCGGGGGGGCCCCTCCCCCTGGAGACTGTCATGGAGGACTACCTCAAACACGTGAGCATACGTGGCTTTGTTTTATTCTCTCATGAATTGTTTGACTTTGACTTTACAAACGGTTTGAGATTTCCTTACAGTATGAACTTCTCACGTACCGTTGTTACGCCATAACAACTGATGTTGCTCTTCGCCCTACTTGTCTTACGTAGAGATTGAGTCGTGGTCATTACTTTATTACAACAAAGAATAACTCCCAACAAAGACTCTAACAGGGTAAAACAACACAACAGCTTGTGACACAAAAACAAGTTAATACAACCTAATAATTGTACATTTATAAAAATGACCCTGCTGAACTGCATGCTGGGTACAGCTCACAACAAGAAGTAACTCTGTTGCTACATGAAAACACGGAAAAGAGCGATACAGGAGGAACAACGAGAGACCAGAGATGCACCAACACAACTTGTGCCCAACAGAGGAGCTGAGTCTGTTTGGAGGGATTTTGGTTTTGGAAAATCTGACGTAAATTAGACCAGAAACACTAGCAGCCATAACGAGCTAACGAGCTAACAAGCTAGCTAGCTCGCTAGCCAGTTGCGAGCGGCGAACAGCTGTTTGGGTAGCCGGTGGTTCCTTTAGGGGTTAATTCATTAATGTGTGTACTTCAAAAAGCAATAGGGTCACATTCCGGGATACCGTCAGAATCTTTCTAAATACTGTGATATGGATTTCTGGCCAAACCGCCCAGCCCTAGCTCGTTGTGTCAGAAGTCGATCATTTATTGTACTACTTTGTTTACGTTTGCTCCTGAACTCCCCCACGTTTCCATAGCAACTTTACATATTCAAACAGACATTTCAATAAGCCTTTGACTATTGTCAAAGGCTTATTGACCCTTATTGACCCTAACTGAACGCAGTGATGAACGTTCTGTGTGGAACCTTCTTACCGGCTGTCTGGTTTCCTAGGCCATCCGGTACAACAACCACGCCTTCAACACCAAGTACTGCCTGTGCCAGATGCTGAGGGACAAGGTGGAGTCTCCTCTGGGGAGGCGGGTGCAGGCGGCTCAGACCAGCGCCGAGATCAGGTTCTCTCTCTCTCTCTCTCTCTAGATGTCTCCTGGCGCCGGTATCGACCCCTCTGGCTTTTTTTTTAAACATTTCCCCTTGTCCAGCGAGGCGTTGGGGCTGCAGGAGTTCTACCAGCAGACCCAGGACAAGCTGCAGGCCAGGAGGGATGCGGCGCACAGCGGAGGGGCGCCGGAGCGCCTGGTGATGGACGGGGACGTCACCACCATGGTGGTCCGGTTTGAGAGGTGAGAACGATTCCAACCAGGACCACTTTATTCGCATCAAGGATGCTAGTTTTTCCATGAAGTGAATGTGACGTCATAAATGTATGATGTCATGGAGTTTATGGTTCCAGGAGGGAGTATCCGCCCCACATCACCCCCAAGATGTTCCTGCTGGAGTGGAGCCGCAAGGAGAAGCTGCAGCAGCCGCTCTATGAGACGGTGAGAAGCGAACAAGCCGGCCACATGCCTGTCATTAGTGATGGACCTTCTCCATAACATCAGTTTCTCTGAAGGAATTATTAGTAACTTCTAACAAAACTAAAGAAGAAACGGACAGTCTGACTGAAAGATTCTCCTACTGATGTGCTCGTTGGCTGATTCTCTTATCTTCCCATTCATAACAATAAAACTTGTCAAATCCATATTCTTGATTGAAGTAAATTGTGTTGTTTTCAGGTTCAACGATCTCAGGATCGATCGTTTCAGTCCATCGTCACCGTGGAGGGAAAAAGATACAGATCTACTCTGTGGTCAGACACGCACATACAGACAGACACACAGAGCCACACCTCCTCGCCCTCTGAATCCCCTCCCCTTTCTACTTGTTCCCAGGGAGAAGTCGAAGAAGTTTGCCGAGCAGGCGGCGGCCGTCGTCTTCCTGCGAGTGCGCGGCGTCCCGGAGGGTCGAATCGGCGAGGAAGACTCCGGCTTGGTGTGCAAGAGGAAAAGGGAGGGGCAGCCCGACCGGGGCGCGGGGGAGGAGGACAGCAACAAGCGGCGCGTGTTCGAGGCCCAGCGGGAGACGCGGAGCGGGAAGAGTCAGGGAGTGTCCGTGTGAACGGGAGGATCTTTATTTTATTTTCTTTGCGCCAAGAACAACTTCTCGGTAAAAATATATTCTGTGGGATTTTCAACATTATTTACGGGTAAAAAGTTTTTGGGTCGTTGAGCTTCACCTTGTGACTCGTTGAAGGTGGGGCGACGTCATCACACACGGCGGCGAGGTGGGCCGCCTTAACTATTGTTTTTATTTTTATTTTCACGCATTTATTGTTCAACATCTTTAATTGCATATTTTTTATTTCAACATAATTCCCCCGGTAACTGACGAGGTTCCAGTGTGACTGATCGCCACTGGGGGGGGCGGAGCTTAACCGTCATATTCAGGATTGGCCATTTCACGCATTCCTGAACTTTGGTGCCTTAGAGAACGAGTTTTTTTTTTTTTTTTTAAGTTTTGCGCTTTAAAAATCCCTGTGTTCGTTTTGAAGAAAAGGCTGATTTTATTTTATTTGAGTTCTAGAGTTAGTCTAAAATACAAAACAATTAAAAACTGACAGACGACAAACTGTGTGGATTTAAATATATTACCTCATTTTCTCAGTATGCAGTATGACTTCAGTAATAAAGTACAATTCTACTTTCATCTCACAGCTTTAGTTACTTCATAAATAAATAATACAAGTGTGGGTGTGTGTATGTATGTATATATATTCTATATGAAAAAATATGAAATTAGTTTGTATGCTTTAACCACACTGTGTTGCTTATAGTGATGAACGTTTTACTGTGTACTACAAGTAGTACTTTTACTACAGTGAAATCTGTAATTACTTCCGCCACTGCTCTAATGATTAAAAAATCCTGAATTGAACTTGGGAGATGTTGACGCCCAGCTACTAACGTCATCACCGGGCTGGCAAATGGTGCCTTCACTGACACTGGGAAAATGACAATTGCAATGTTTTCAAATGCAGCTCCCTCAGTCTTGAGACAAACTAAACTAGCAAATACAAAGTTATTGGTTTTTTTAATAGCCGTATTCTGACAGTAACAAAGTACAAAAACTTAAAAAGTAACGTTATTAATAGATTATTGTATATACCACCAGAGTAATTATAGACTATACAAAGTTTACTTATGTTGAAAAACAATTCAGTTTTGAATAATGAACAAATAACTAAATCATAAAATGGAGACACAATATTCAGGTTACTAACTGGAGGTACTGCACCGATATTGCTATTTAAGTAAAAAATAAAAACTTGAAAACATGCTTTTGAATTTCAAACGAGATCTTGCAATTTTAAGAAATCGTTTTAATTTAGTCGGTTTAGTGCTTCCGCACATTGTTTACTTTCTAAAACGTTTTTACGTCACTTGAAGCGTAACAGTTTTACGAGGGGACCATAAATGCAGCACGGGGATCAACCTGGAGGAGAGTAAAAAAGAAACTCCCGTCAACCGAAGACAAGTTCCCGCTACGATGGGACTTCCCGGTTCTACCGCGCAGCGCGGAGCTTTCTTTACTGCTCGAGTTCATGCCAGGGAACTACTTTAAACCGGGGATCGGTTGACGTGTCCGTTCGTTGATTCGGTTGAGACCCAAGTTCTGCTTTTGGTCGGATGGAAAGTGAGTGAGACAGTTTGGTCAGACAGACAGGTTGGTTTAACGGCTCGTCCCCCGGTGGTTCAATGTCCAACGGGAACGGCACCGAGGAGCTGGACTTCAGGCTGGTGTTTGAGGAGGACGCGCCAGGTAACGTTGCGTTACGTGTCGTTTGTTGGCGACGTTAATCGGGCAACGTTAAGCGTCAAGCTAGCGAGAGCTAGCTACCGTTACAGCGGAAACTAGGGCGATTGTGTCCCTTCAGAATAAGACGAAGTGCGTAAACAAACCCGGAAACTAAAGCATATCGATTCTTTTATATGACGTTTCTTCTTTTCGTTTGATCAAATACATTAGAAACGGTATTTATTTTACTGTGCAACATGATTTATGTATTAAACGTTATACATATCATATATAGAAAGTATACGTTTTATATTTTATATATTATTTCTAACTAGCTCTAGTTTAGATTTAAATTCTAGTGTTTTTTCTTGCTTTTAGATTATCACATTTAATAGAAGAGCAGAATTTACTGTTCTACCTGGTTGAGCTTGTTTTCAAATATTCATCATTATTTTCCTGATATAAACATTGTAGCTTTTATAGCTGAGGTTGAATATAATAACGTGTTTACATTTCCATGGTCAAATACTGACGTTTATGGTTGTCCTTTAGATATGATCAATTATGATTATTACTGAAATTAAATAGCTTCATGCTTGATGCGTTTATGTATCAGGTGTCGGTTTATATCTGTGTCGTTGTGCATAGTAACAAAGTACAGATAACATGTATTAGTCTCTTAAAAAAAGACTGTCCTTAATGTCATACATTATCATATATTGTCTAGAATTAGACAATATATGATAATGTTCTCTGTGCATATTAGATCTGTGAAATACACACTTTCCCTGTCAAGTTGTTGCAGCCCAGGATCTTACTTTGAAAGCCGGAAGTAGTTTCGTCTGGCTTTGGAAGATGTGACAGCTGTCTGCTGTCAAACGTATTTTTCACTTTTTCAAATAACCCAGTGGACACTCACAGAACTTTCATCGATCAGTGTTATCGGTCTTTTTTTTTCTTTGGACTTGTCGATAACATGATCATGAACTATTTTAGGATTAAACTCAACTAAATTGTTTTTTCCATGTAGTTTCAGCAGGCCATTACTCATCTTCATTGTCCATTAATTATCCAATCTTTGGGGATTAATTTTAAATGAATGGTTTGTGTTCACAACTCAACAATTTTCACATTTTATAGTTTTATGGTTTGCCCCCCCCCCCCCCCCAAAATCAGCAGGTGGAGCTGCTGAAGCACATCACCATTGCCCCCTTTCATTTTGCATGAGATCCTTGGAGGTGCATTGTGGGTAATAATAGCCAGCCTGTGGTGTGCAGCTGTGTGGCTGAGCTCACTGAAGTGCGTGAGATGAGGATTGTTGAATATAATCAAACAAATGAATATATATCTAAATATAATCAATCCATATTATCGTCATAATGGATCTCTGAGGTCACTTGGTTCAAGGGTCTTGTTTTCTTCGACTAAGAGTCTGAAACGTATCATTATATTTTCACGCAATATTAATCAGAGAAAAACATATTTTCACATTTAACAACCAAAGATTTTCGTGAATGTAGATTCATGTTCTATCATTTCTGTTGATAAAAGCACGTAAACTAACGCTGCTACTTCTAGCTCTAGAGGACCTACACGTTGAAAACATAAACCCCTTCGTATAATGAAATGATCAATTACTGATGAAGTTACTACCAGGAGCTTTCCTCTCGTGTCCTTTCTGGCGCCCCTGGTGGACTGAAGTAGTATCTTTGAGCACCAGACCCTTTTAGGAAACCTCATATCGTGGAGTGGGTTAGGGTTACCAGAGCCCAACTTGATGCCCTATTATGTCGACTAGGAGCTTACAAACCCCCAAATCATCATTTTACAGCGAAGGAAACAAAAAACAAAATCCAAGCCTCATAATTAGTAGAAGTCATTGTTAAAGTTTCAACCTTTGACCTCAAGTCAAAATGTCATAGTTTTACACAAAGGAAAACAAACAACAAAGAGCTAACCGATAGCCTCACGTTGGATATGTGGCATTACGGTCGTGAATGAGTTCCTCTGCTCTTTAGGGTTTGTTGTCCAGGTGACGGAGGAGCATCGCAATAGAATCAAAACCACCGTATTTGCAAATGCAAATGATCCCTGCGTCTGATTTACATGTGAGTTCATCTCCCGCCCCTCCCAGGTCCGGGTCTTAACGCGAGGACCCCGTCCTCTTCCACTCTGGTGGAGCAGCTCGTCAGCCAGGAGCAACAAAGTTTCTCCTACCAGCCCGCCGACTACCAGTTTCAGGGTCCCCAGTACGGTGGCCAGGGGAACCCCAGAACTTTTGACTGCCCAAGCATTCAGATCACCTCCATTGCGCCCCACGGTCATGTGGAGCCCGCCGCCAGCCCAGGAGCTTTGGCGGGGGTCGGGGCAGAAGGGGGTTACCCCGAGGCCTCCTGGTCCAGGGGGCAGCTCTACCTACCACTTGACCCCTGCTACCGGGACCCGGCGCTGTGCCCGAGTCCCTGCAGCAGCCTCTCCTCCAGGAGCTGGTTATCCGACCTCTCCTCCTGCGAGTCCTTCTCCCACGCCGCCGGCGATGGGGAGGTGGAGCTGCGAGACGCCGCTCACCTCGCCCTGGGGTTGCCTCCGGGCTCGCCGGGCTGTGGGGGCGGGGCCTTCGGGGTGGAGCTGTGGCAGCAGAAGTACCAGCATCCCTCGGCTTTCAGTCCGGTGTTGTCGCCCCACCAGTCGCCCTGCCACTCGCCCCACGCCAGCGTCACTGAGGAGAGCTGGCTGGGCCGCCGGCCCGCCTCACGGTACGTGTCTGATCAGTACCTTTTTATAAACTTAACTAGCTAGCAAGTCCCGCTAATGCCGACCAACTTCCTCCCAAGGCCGTCGTCCAGGCCGACGTCGCCCTGCGGGAAGAGACGCCACTCTGGCACCGACCGCCATGCCCGCTCACCCTCCCCCCACCACTCCCCGACACCGGGCGCTTCCCCGCTGGGCAGCGTGACGGATGACACCTGGGCGGGGAGTCCCGGCGGCGCACTGGGGTCCCTCTTGATGTCCGGCTACCAGGAGCTGGACGTCCCGTCCAAGACCAGGAGGACGTTGGGGGCCCAGCTGGGCCTGCTGGCGGGTCAGGGAGACCCGGGCCTGGAGCCCCTGCTGGACTCCCCCGGCGTAGAGGCGCAGGAACCTGACGACCTGGCAGATCTCTTCCTTCAGGTGCCATCCCACTTCAGCTGGAACAAACCCAAACCCGGGAACCCTCCTCTGTTTAGGTCGGTCTCATTTCACAAGGTCCATCTAGTTAATTCCTTTAGTGCTGAAACAATTCAAACAAAGTGGAACATTCTGGACTCTGACTCTCATATCTATTGGTTGAGTACAAAGCTACAGCCGGGTGCTGGTTAGCCTGGAAACGGGTGGAAATAGCTAGCTTATGTTTCTCACACAAACTAGTGTAAAGATCTCGTCCCACTGCTTCTGATCGTTGCATGTCTGTGGCCTTTCAGGAACTCGTCCCCCCCCCCCCTGGACTGGCCGCTGCCCGACCATTACGACCAGTGTGAGCTGAAGGTGGAGGTCCAGCCCAGGTCCTACCACCGGGCGCACTATGAGACGGAGGGCAGCAGGGGGTCCATCAAGGCGGCCACTTCAGGACATCCTGTCGTCAAAGTAGGCTGACTGACACACGCACATTAGTCTCTTTACAGGGTTTAGATGTTGTTCCTGACTTTAGGGGTGGGATCTCTGAGCGAGAGGAACATTCTGGTCCTGACTGCGCCTTTGGGGCCATCGGGCATTTTCTGAAACCACAGGAATCCTTTTTCAGAGGAGACGAACACGTGGTCCCTCAGAAGCTCTCGGGCAGAAGCTCCTGTTTCTGGATCAGAGGCAAAGCCCTTGAAGGCCGCCGGGTACCCGACACCGGCCGGGCTATTCTGGGGGTCCATTCTGAGGCTCAGTGTGTGTCCTCTTACCGCCCACTATGTCTGTCACGTGTCTAGATGCACGTATGGTAAATGTCTATTTCATTCATATTATGCCAGTACTTTTTTATTTAATTGGTATCTATTTATTTATTATTATTATAATTTATTATTTTTATTTACTATCTGTCATTATTTATTATCGTTATTTGTATTTGCTTATTTCTTCATGTTATTTACTGTTGTTTATTGTCTATGTTCATTAATACTTTTGGTCTCATGATGCAGGCGGGGCTCAGATAGACAACAACAACACCTTCAGAATCGGACCGCCACGCAATCACTTTGGTACTTGTAGTTGTAGAACTAATATGTAAACCTCACCGTAGAGGATTCATGGGTTTGACACATTGGGAAAACAGCGTTTTAAGTCTTCTTCAATACAGCATGATGTTCATTTAGGGAATGATGGTCCATTTAGAGTCAAACAGACGATCAATCGGGATGCTTTAGGGTGGGGCTACACGCTGATTGACAAGTGTGCTCGTCCTCCTTAGTCCTTATGGTCACCACATAGAACATGCTGCTCACACTTTATTAGTACATCTCACGGTGGTGACCCCCCCCCCCCCCCCTCTTCTCCTCCTTGTGTTCCCAGCTGATTGGACCTGGCGAGCAGCCGCTCAACCTGCTGCTGTTCATCGGCACGGCGGACGAGCGCTTCCTGCGGCCTCACTCCTTCTACCAAGCGCACCGCGTGACGGGGAAGACGGTCACCACCGCCTGCCACGAGCGCATCATGGGGGGCACCAAAGTCCTGGAGATCCCTCTGCTTCCGGAGAACAACATGGCCGCCAGGTAACACTCGGTAGGGTTGCCCTCCGGTTGGGCTTCTCCTGGAGCGTCGCTGCGGTTTAACGGTCCCCCCCTCCCCCACAGCATCGACTGCGCCGGCATCCTGAAGCTGCGCAACGCCGACATTGAGCTGAAGAAGGGCGAGATGGACGTGGGCCGGAAGAACACGAGGGTCCGCGTGGTGTTCAGGGTCGGCCTCCCGCAGCCGGACAACCAGGCGCTGTGGCTGCAGACCGCGTCCTCCCCGGTGGAGTGCTGTGAGTCCTCCTCGTCCGTCCCTCCTGGAGGACCAGCTGCGACTCAGGTTGACTGATGCTTCCTCTCCTCAGCCCAGCGCTCGGGCCAAGAGCTTCCTGTGGTGGAGAGCTTCAGCCCGCCCAGCTGCTCGGCGGACGGAGGGGAGGAGCTTCTCATCAGCGGCTTCAACATCTCGGCGCAGTCCAGGGCGGTGTTCATGGAGAAGGGGCCCGGTGAGGGGACTTTGCCTCGAACGTCTTCACGTCAGGGGTCGGTCCCACGTCCCGCTGACGTCCTCTTTGTCTCCTCAGATGGACGCTCGCTGTGGGAGGCAGAGGCCAGGGTGGTACCGGAGAAGAGCGGCGCAGTACGTAGCAGCATAACAAAGCATCATGGGAATATGTGCATTCACTGATCAGTGAAAGTCTCCTGCAGCTTCCTGCTGGGGCCCGCAGTCATACGTGTTGTATACACATACGTGTGTGTGTGTGTATAAACACACGTATCTAGAGGGAGTTTAGAGAAACAAACCAACTAACTGATAAATCTACCTCGACTCTGGTCACTCCGAGCTCAGGCTCATGATACATTTATACATCAGAACAGGAACGAAGCTGTGGGTCTAAATTCTCAGTCATGACAAAAACACAATAAAAGTACTACAGTGCTAGTACTCAAACTTAGAGTACAAGATGTGAATAATTCCTGCCCGCTGCCAGTGAGCTTATTAGGATGTAGAGAGACCTGTCAATCGACATGTAGCCCCGCCCGAAAGCAGACTTGAAACTGGAGACCGAGACCATAAACTCATGTTTACAATGTTTACTGAGGGAATAAATCAAGAGAGAAGTAGAAGTTTTCTCCATAAACTTCATTTTCTCATAGACTTCTATTTTTTATTTATTGGTTTATTTGATGAGGGACAGTTCACATTGATAAAACATTGCTGTAAATGTGGCCTTTTCTATCGTTGTTTCCGTGGATACGGGTGTTGTGAAGTAACTAAAAGTCGCACCCTCTCACCCCCCCTTTCTGCGACTCAGTCCAGCATCGTGGTCGAGGTTCCTCGTTACAACAAGAAGACCACCGACCTGGTCCAGGTCCAGTTCTACGTCTCCAATGGAAAGAGAAGAAGAAGTCTGACGCAGAGCTTCACCTTCCTGCCCGGGGTCAGACGCTGCCCCCCCCCCACCGGCGGAGTCAAACAGGAGCGCTGGGACCCGAGCCACATCTCACACAATCCACCTGGCTTCGACGTGGTTTACTATGACCCCTGTGACCTCCCGGTGCATTGTAGGCCTTCTTTTCAGAGCCTGCCTCGTCAGCATCACCCCTCCCCTCCCTCAGTATTTCCTCAATCCTTCTCCCAGCCTCCTCAGACCTCCTCAGTCCCCCTACAGACCTTCACCTCCCCCCATCAGACCTCCTCCGGTGAGCCTCAGAAGGAAAACCCCCCAAAAACCCCGTCTCTGAGCTCCAGAAAAGTCTTTGTGACCCCCTCTAACCCCCGAAATGAGTCGTTCCCCGACTCTGGAGGGGCGGCAGGCGTGAAGCAGGAGCCGGACCAGTGTCCCGTTCTGGGCTCCTTGGGCCTCCAGGAGATCACGCTGGACGACGGTAAGAGGCTCGGACCCCCCCCCCCCCCTGTAGAGTTGTTAGGCCTCTAGTCTCTATAATTTTGACTTTTATCTAATTCAGACTGTGATTTCTGACACAAATAAATTCTGATTCATTTATTTTATTGATTTAATCAGCAGCAGCAGTTTGAGGCATTAAAACAAGCTCCGCCTCTAAAACGATAAACACATGAATGCAGTTAAATTCTTTGTGTACTTTTAAGTAATTTGCATTGATGTAACATTTCTACTACACAATATGTTTACAGGCTGAAATAGTACATGTTAAAAAAACAAGTCAAACCAGTTTGAGTTTCACCTGCAATGCACTCTGGGAAATGTCTCAAACTGTGTGTGTGTGTGTGTGTGTGTTATTAATAGTCTGCTTGTTGCTGCTCTGTAAGATGCAGATGGGTTAAATTTGTCAGCTGTCGTCTCTGCCCCCCCCCCCATATGTTTGACCTTGACCTTTGCAGCCTGATCTGGTGACGAGATTGTTATTAATTATTAATGATGGTTATTGATGGTCTTTACCAATCAGGTGTCTGAAGAGGTTTGTCTATTTTGTTCCAAATCTGGTAAATTCCTGCAATTGTTTTTGTTTTGTTTTTATAATATTGACATAACGTCTTTATTAAGTTGATTAGAAGCGTTAAACCTCTTCGGTTCTGAGGAAGAAGCTCCGGAAGGAACTGAAAGGCCGTAACCCATGGTTACCGCTACGTCACGAATAATCTTCTTCCGGTTTTCGTTGCAGTGAGCGAGATCATCGGCAGAGACATCGGCGTCCAGCTGGACCACGTGGACCGGTGCCACCAGTACGACTGGGAGCACGAGCCGCCCGCATGAGCTCGTGGAGACTTTGTTGCTGGTTCGCCAAACCTCAAGTGCCTGAACAGCCAATCAGAAGCCTCCGATGACCTTTTTAGTTTATGGAGCTGTAGAAACGTGTCGTAAAGCTTGAAGTAAAAAGACGTGTGTGTGTGTGTGTGTGTGTGTGTGCGTGAGTGAGAGTGTGAGAAACACACATCACTGAAATAACTTGTTTCATTACATAAAAATACCATATTTTACTTTCATTTGAAATGTGTTTCTGTGGAGGAAAAACATCGTGCAACCCCCCCCCCCGAAGCCACTGCGTCAGGTGAAGAGCTGCTGGTCCGGGTCGCTCTGGACCGAGCAGAACTCCTCCAGCACCGACCCGGACCAGCAGCTGCTCCGGCAGGTGTAGACCAGCACCGTCCCGAACTCCGGCTCGGCCTCGCCGCCGCTGTCCGTCCAGCGCAGCAGAGCGACCAGGGCCGGCATCAGCTGCAGCTCAAAGGTCCGGCCCCCTCCGCAGGAGGGGCAAGCCGGCGGCGCGGCGCTGAGCGACGAGGAGACGCAGAGCGGCTGCCCGCCGCGACAGTAGCGCAGCACCTGCTGGGGACAGAGAGCGATCTTCTTCATGAACCCGGAGAAGACGGCGTCTCCGTGTCGGGCTCTCGTCTTCTCGTATTTTTCCTCGCCGCCGCCGTTCTGCGTCTCGCCCACCACCACCAACCCCTCCCTCTTCTCGTAGTCCCTCAGAAGCCGCTGGGCGTGCCGCAGGTCTGCGTCCTCCTCGGTGCACAGGTCCGACTCCTCCACCACGCTGACAAAGTACGCGCGCAGGACGGGGGCCTCCTGCTGGGGGGGCAGGGTCTCGAGCTGGGGGGGCGTGGCCAGACAGAGATCCTGAAGCCGGCTGCTGACTTCGAGCTCCGGATCTTCTGGGAAAAGGCCGGAGAAGTTCACTTCATAAATAATAAATCCTTTTATGTTGGAGTGCATATTTTACATATAAATATACAATTATTTATGAATTCATATAAAAAGATTTTTGTAGAAGTATAAATCTTTTTGAAACTTAAATATTTATTATTAACAAAATATTTGGTTAAGTTGTAAACAAAAATAAAGAATGGAAATACTCTGAAAGGAAACAAGAGGCTACTCCCCCACGGAAGGTTTTACAGAATCTTTAAAGCAAACATTTACAGACGTTTCTGATTCATGTTGAAACAAAAGTGATGCTCTTTGTAGGCAGCTTTAATTTAATGACCATGTATCTATTTATGTTGCTCACCGTGTGTCTGAGGAGCTGCTGCCTCCTCCACGCCTCCATCTGGTCCCAATCCATCATCCTCCTCCTCCTCCACCCCCCAGTCATCGGCGGAGTCACACCAATCAGTGGCCGGCCGAGGGGCCCCCTGAGCAGGGTCCGGTCTGCTCGGAGCCTGCTCCAGACTCTGGGAGCGGAGCACCTTCCATCCGTCCGTCCGTCCGCTGCACGCCGCCCGCGGGCACGCGAACAAGTGGAGGTTCCGGTGGTAAGACGAGGCCCCTAGGGGGCAGTACACCTGCACCACGTGAGTCAGCGGGGCTCCGCAGCGAGCACAGCTGGGGGCCGGAGGGGAGACGTCGGGCGGCCAGTCCGGGAGACCCCCCACCTTGTTGGTCAAGAAAGAGCACCGGTGACGCCGGGGGTCGATCTCTCCGTCACACAGACCGACCAGAGTGCTCTCCTGAGCCGGGTAGGCCATGTGCCACACTCCCGAGCTCCGACAGGAAGTGACGGTTCATCCGTCGCGTAAAGAAAACCGGAAGCGAGGTGGCAGTTCAAGACGGAAGACAAAACTGCGCCGTTTTTTATTTGGTGGAAGCCACTATTTAAACAGGAAAAATGCATTACTTTATAAACGAAGCAGGTAAGACAATTATGAAGCTCACTTATTTAATTTGTGAGAATTCGCAAACTTCCCACCGGAACTCGGCATCTGTGCTATTTAAGAAATGGAAAAGAACAGTGCCGTCATATCCGTTGAAGTAGACAAATACATCGACATATGGACAAATATGTCAAACTTCTTTTTCCAGTAAACCTATTTACATTTTTATTTTTTCGTCAATTGTAAAATATTTAGAACAACTGCATAAAATGCAGAGTTAAGAAGACACCTGTTGATTAAGAAATACACGAATCATAAAAGTGGCACGCTGCTTCTACATCTCGTTACTTACACACGTGTGTCTAATTCAGTGGTTCTCAAACTGTGAGGCGCGACCGAGGGGCTGGGGGAAATGTAGATTTTTTTAGTAATTAAGGAGCAGTGTGCTGCTGTAAAGCACTGGGGCTTCAGTGCTTTACTCAAGGATACTAAGGCATGCAAACTATGTAAATGTAAACTATGCTGTAAAACATCACAGCATTGTTTAGTTATGTCCACTTATCTTTAACTCAAAGAGCTCAGACAAGTGTTCGATTTGAACTTGACTGTTCAAGTTAAAACTTACAGTAATACTTCGTGTTGACGTATTATTAATAAAAGCACACATGTTATTATTTTAATAAAAATTCAGCATGGACCATTGTTACATTTTTCTTCCTCCAAAGTGGGGCCCGACAGAAAAGGTTTGAGAACCACGGGTCTAATTGATATGTATATGCACGTTTGCACATATAACATTTTCACCTTGTCAACATGCTTGAATCAAACATCCTGAAGGTGCTCATGAGCCAAAGAAACTGCTGTTGGTCCGTTATGGGGGTCAAAGGACAGAGGTTGTTCCATGTGTACAGACTGAAGCCCTCTGAGGCTGATTTGAGATATTGGGCTGAACAAGATCAAATGAATTGAATTGTTCCGTTATGTGTATGTTTCTTATTTTGTACAGAAATGCAGTTCGACAAAAATGAATTATTATACTTATTATAATTTTTTTAAATCTTGTTTTTTTTTCTCATGTCCTCAGGTAGCGGTAGCTTTATTTTGAAAAACGTTTAAAGAAAATAAGAGAACCAACTTCTTTCATCCACTAGATGTCACTGCTGACTCAGCAGAATGTTTTGACGCCTTTTCCTTCAATTCATTCATTCAGTGTCTTGGTTAGGTCTTACTTACTTATAAACTTACCAACTCACTCACATATATATATATATATATATATATATATATATATATATAGTGAGGATATGAGTTAGAACATACATATGTATATAGATTTTTTTATAGAGATTTTCGTTTTTTACATGTTGGATGATATAAACAGAAGAATTTGTACTTGTTGTCCGACACTGAACTCAGCCAGTAAAAACATAAACTAAAGTTGAGCAGCTTAAAGATGACCTTTCTGCCTCATAAACATTTATTCAAATGAACATTTCTTCATGGAACTACAGAGCCGATCCAAAGGAGCGTGAGACGGAACAGAGCCTTTGGACGTAGTCTGAAAAGAGACCAGAGCCCTGTTCCTTGTACATGGTTCAACCAAGTGGACTAAATGTCCCATTATCCAGCTCAAATTAACGAGATAATTGATGTCAGCCTACCTCGATTCTTCAAAGGCTGATCCGCACTCAAACCATCGATGAGACAGTCGATGCTCGGCTCCAGTGTGTGGTGTTGATGTGGCGCTACGGCTCCAGAAGGTCTTCTTGTAAAATGATTCTTCATCAGCCTCAGCGTCGATGCCGCTCGTACAGGAAGTGCAGTCATAACGGATTTTTGTGATCTCAGGGGAAGTCTCTCCCTAGAAAACGTTAATTTAACTGATATCGCTCCTTCATTTCAGGGATGTGGCGAACTAATCCAGCAGCTCAAATGAACCTGCGCCGGAGCTGGTTCAAGTTTTTGGATGTGTTGCTACGGTGATTTAGCCAAACCAGCTTTGGGGAACCAAAAAGCCTGATCTACGTCATCTCATCCTGAAAATGATCTGACTGTACGAAGAAGGGGGCCTGGTCTTTGTAATGCTGCTGTGTGATGGGACGTCTCAGCACATAAAGCAACAGGGTTTATATCGGTTCTTTCAGACAAAGTTCAAAGCGATGGAGACAATCTGCAGACCACAAACACCTGGGCTTGGCTCCTGGGATTCTTTCCAGTCTGGGTCTTCTGAACCTCCTGGAGGAAATACGATTATAAAACTTCAATCATTAAGAACCAGCTCAAAACTTAGGATAAACCTCCATTAGAACACGAAGTTTGGTCATTTAAGGGTCTTCAGAAATCAGCTGAATAATGGGCTTTAATTCTTCTCTTGATCGCAGCAGATTGTTCTCTAGGTTTTTGTTTTTAATCATTTCTTAAGCAATTATTACCATTAAGAAGGTAATGACGCAGCACTGTGCCCATTCAAAGAACAGCAGTGTAAACCCGCCGAACGTGGAAAGGTCACACAAGTTCATCTGATTCAGATGTTTAGGTGCTCAGTCTTTCCTTATTTTAAGATGTTTGAATAAGAACACATCAAATGTAACGTATTGAAGTAATGCTTCTTTGAAGGAACAGTGCAGTTACTTCATTCTAATGCCTCTTTCATTCATACTTTTTGAATATTCCCTCAAAAGGCATACTTCAGTTTTACAATAACACTGAATGTTAGAGAAACATTGTTTGGAGATGCTGGAGTCTAGACTGAGGAGGACAGAGCTGCTAACATTAGCATGATCCGCTAATGTTAGTGTATGATTGGCCAGTTGAAGCCCCGCCCCTTCAGGTGAATTTCAAGTTGCACTGGATAAACCGCATCAGCTGAGATAACGCTACATGAGACTAACCGATTCTAATAGATTACAAATAGATTACAAACAGACTTTCTTCATGTGCAAAAGTGTCTTTAGACAAATATCAAAATGTCTTAATTCACGTTGAAATTTCAAAAATCAAAAAAGCTCTCTTTGAACTTCAGTCCCAGGAACACAGGAAGGGGAGGGGCTTCCCCAATCTACAGAAAACTGCAAATCTCCTCCTCCATATTCAGTCCCAACAGTTTGAATAAAAGAACTTAAATGGTCCGGTGACTCCTGAGTGTCACAAGCTGAGGTTTTGAATGGCTTCAAAGCTCAGCTTCCAGTTATAAAAGTGATGACATGAGGACGACGTCTTTGTGCGTCTTCATTCCTCCTCTTCCTCCGTGTCCAGCGGCCCTCGGTCCGCCGGGAGAGATGCTTCAATTCGCTGCCAACGATTCGGCGGCCAGATTATGTGAGAGGCTCGGCCGTGCAGCAGCCCCACGGACACCTGGGAAGAAAAAAAAAGGATATTCCATTTCCATTTAGCTGAAGCTTTTATCCAAAGCGACTTTCAATCAATGCATTCAACCCAGAGAGAACCGATCCAGAACAACGAGAATAAAGAAAGCCGAACTACAAAGTGTTGTAAGTGCTGCCTAGTCCAGGTATAGAGGGTAAACCTGTGTTTTTTGCTGTATAGGCTTTCTGCTGTCCTGATGTTCAATCTTTTGGCTGCTTTAGTTCCCTCAATGCTTTGATCCTTTTTGTCGGCTCGTACCGGTCCGAAGCTGTTGCTGTCCAGACTGTGTCCGTGGTGATCCCCCTCGATCCAGAAGTGACCGTCAGGAACCCGGACGTACCGGTTCTTGTAGCTCAGAGTCCTGCAGAAACCGGGAGACAAATGTTGTTAAAAAGCAACAATTAGGCTTTACTTTCATTATCGTTAATCATCGGCCTCTGAAATCCTTCCTGAGTCACATCGAGCTGCCGACCGAAGGACACATACAGGCCGATAAGGGTGGAGGGAAGGAGGAGGCTGCTTCTATCAGGTCGTCATGTTTATGAGGACAAAGTCCATCATCATCGTCATTTAGCAGGAGAACATCGCGAGTTATAATATCATGGGCCTTTTAAAGGATGGGTTTGTGTGTGTGTGGCCTTGGATACATAAATGTTATTCATGCCGTGACTCCAGATACACCTATGTCTCCTCCCTCGTCTTTCTGTCTGTATAACTGGGCGGCGGCCTTCATCACCACACTCCGTTCGATCCTTCTTTGCTCCTGGTTTCATCTCAGCTACGGAGAAATAAATCACCCCACATCCATTAAATATCTGGATTCAGCACGGATGCTCACTGCTACTTGGGATAATTAGCTGTCAGCTAGCGATAAAGGCTAGCTGTCGGCTATCTATAGTGGGTAAAATGTGAACCTGGAGTCTCCATATTGTCCTCAGGAGAGGGTTGACGTGGGAGGTGGAGAACATTATTTTCGGTAAGTTGCTTCAATTTTGCATGAAAATTCGCTTAAAAACGAGTTAAAAGAAGAAAAGATATTTCTTATTGAGGACGTTATGAAGCCTTGATATAGAGATCTAGATAATATCCATCTATATATTATACCAGCGATTCCCAAAGTGTGGGCCGTGGGCCGTGAAGGTACTGCAGGTGGGCCGAGAGGTCATTTACAATAAATAAATAAAAAGTTTTTAATTTTCAAAATTTTGAAAAGTTTGAAATTAATATAAAAATATGTATGATGCGGCACATTAGTTATGTGAAACATTAATTGATGAAGCACAAACAATTTAAACGAACAGATTGGTTAATCGGTTGATCCATACTGGTTGTACACGGCGCTCAAGGCGCTCTGCCAAACATGACAAAGCTCGTCTACGACGGCGAGATGCTGAGCGGCGCTCAAGCGCGTGAGATATGGAGCTTGTTTCAGGGCGCGTCGGAGAAACAAAGCTGTCGTTCTCTCAGAGCACTTCATGCGTAGAAAACACCTTCGAGCGCGAGCAGAGATTCTCCTCGCGAGCAACCAAGTTCACGTCTCGCAAGCGAGCAAATACCTCGCTCGAGACGGACTTTTGCCGGTGGATGTTTGATTTACGCGCGCGCATCAACCTGATTTGCGCTCTCGAATTTTGACAGTGATTTGCACTGATAGACTGCAGTATCTTATGCGCCTTATTGTGCGGAAAACACGGCACATGAGCTCCGGAGAAAATGGTATACAAAACATACACTGTCGGTAAAATTCTTAAGGTCATTTAATCATCCCTAGTTTATGTTTTGATCAGAGTTGTGATTAAAGGTTTGGGTGGGCCGCAAAAGATTTTCAGATTTCAAAGTGGGCCGCGGCATTCTTGAGTTTGGGAACCGCTGTATTATACTATATATTATAGCTGGGGTAAAAAATGCGTTAATGTAGCAATCCATAATGCCAACAAAGACTCATCCTGCATTAACAGCATTTCTTCTTTCTTTTGAGCATTGGGGGGGCTTAATTCTGCTGCACATTAAGAGACAAAATGAAGGAAGGTTCTGCACCTTAAAATGGACATTTCCATCTTCAACCTCTACCAGATGGCGTAGTCGATAAAAGCAAAGCTATTTGTAACCACTGGAAACCAAAAGTATCTTATCACCGTTGTACTACGAGCCGGAAGTACTACGAGCCAGAAGTACTACGAGCCAGAAGTACTACGAGCCAGAAGTACTACGAGCCAGAAGTACCAGAAGTACCACGAGCCAGAAGTACCAGAAGTACCACGAGCCAGAAGTACCACGAGCCAGAAGTACCACGAGCCAGAAGTACCACGAGCCAGAAGTACCACGAGCCAGAAGTACCAGCTAAAGCAGCCCACTGGCTACAAACAACTGCTGATCACAGAAAATCATGCGATTAATTGAGTTACATTTTTTAATCTTTGCCCAGCACTAATCTATCTCTATCTCTCTCATATATATATATATATATATATATATATATATATATATATATATATATATATATATATATGTCTGCATCAGTTTTTTAAATCCGAGGACAATACTGAAGATGTCTGCTTGTTTTATCAGGGAGTCAGTACCTGATGAAGTCGCCCTCCAGGCCGATCACCCGCTTGATGATCTTCTGCTGGGGGTTCTTGGGGGACCTGAGGGAACAGTAATGAACACATGAATATATATATATATATATATATATATATATATAAAAAATTTAAGACAACAGACTGAAGGATACTTGATACTCAAATGTTTCAATTAGAAATTGAAAGCAGCAGATAAAAGGCAAGGAGTATAATTACTATTACTTATGTACCTGAGAACAGAGATTGACCTTCGACCCTTCTGCTGCCATGACGATGGACAATACTTTCTCTGCCCTCTTCCTCCTAACCTGCCGCTTTCTCCTCCCTCTCACCTCCCCTCCCTCTGTTGCAGTGGGGATACAGGAGGGATCATAACTGACTGACAGCCCGCTAAGCAAATGGTTTTTCACACACCTCCAAAGAACTGATCACCCATTGGCCGGTCCCCAGGGACCTGGACTGAGTGGACTCTCTTGGAGATACTTGAGAAAAAAACTGCACGCCTTAAATCTCTCAAACACACACACACGCGCAAGCACACGTGTTTAAATATATAAAGCCGAAGTGTTGTTTTGGATGCTGTGGGTGAATGTTTCCTGCAGTCACTCGTCACTGACAACAAACGTCACACAAAGCATTGAGGTAAAGACAACAATGACACGCATCTCTGAAGTGTGTCGCTTCAAGGAGAAAAGTGAAGTCTGTACATACGCAGTGAACCCTTTATTGAGTTGTTCACTCGTCTCTAGTTTGTTTTGTTGCTCATGCTGCCCGTCCGTAATATCAAGACACAAAACAACAGAAGACTTCTCAAGCTGGCTCGAGACTCATCAATGAATCAATATACAAAGCGATGGTAAAACCTGCACGAGGACTTTCGATATTGTGTTGCCGGGCGTTTGTGAAGCTCTTAATGCAGAAAAACGACGTGTTAATACATTTCTGATTGTATAAAAACAAGTTTCTGCTTCACATTTGAATAACACATCTTTCGGGGCTTTACGTTCTGGCTCAACGCGCCACTCACATAACGGAGACGATGTCGCCGCGTCGCACCTCGTAGTTCCTCACGCTCCAGCGGTTCAGCAGCACCACGTCGCAGTCGGACCCTCCCTCCGGGTTCAGGGAGGGCTGTGGGCACAGCTGTTTAATGCTTATGTTTGATGAGAATAATGCAGCATGTGACACCACCGGTTTCTCATCACCTGCATCGACGCTCCCTCCACTCGCGCCACGTAGGCCAGCCGGTCCAGTGCGGTGACGGTGACGGGAACAGCCACGAAGAAGCCGCCCACGAATGCCCGCAGGTAGCGCCGACCCCCCGACGCCATGGTCCTCTGGACGGGCAGAGAGGAACAGGAAGTGGTAACCGGCGGGAAGGAAGGAAGACTCTTTAGGGAGGTTAAAAGGTGGTAATCTTTGAACTGTTAAAGTGAGGCCAGTGATCCATCGACGCCTGTGGCAAATAATTTATCCTATTGAACTGTATCTTACACGTTCATCAAATTAATCTGCCAGCTATTTTTTCTATCAATTCTACAAAATATTAGAAAAGTGTACACGTCAAGTACATTTTAGACCAAGTTCACGTCTTCCAACGTTTTGTTGAACCAACAAAATCAAAGAGATTCAGATTAAATTGACAAAGTGAAGCTGCAAATACAAACTCCCTCTGTAAAATGTAACGTTACATGTTACTTTGTTATGTTCATGTTAAGTTAAAGTACAAAAATATGATCACAATACTATTTAAGTACCTCGTGCAGAATGCCTCATTGTTGAATAATATATCATTTCATACAGTATTTACCGATAAAAATAAGCAACTAAGTGTTAATAAATAAATGAAAGATAAATAATCAAGTAATGTACTAGAGCCTTGAGGTGGGAAACGTACTCATCCTTTCAAATGTTGCTCAAGAAAAGGTCACATTTAATGAGTTTAATTTAGCACCAAAAGTAAAAGTATTTAGTACGCAGAACAGCTTATTTTAGAATAATATAATACTATGATATCAATGCAGTAAAGGGAGAATATTTCCCTCTGAGATGACAAATAAGCCTGACTGCCTCAAACGTAAATACTCAGGTTGAGTACAAGTACCTCCAATATGTCCAGTACTTGAGTAGTACTTAGTTACGTCCCCCTCATTGATTGATTGACTAACGCCACCTGTCAGGCCTCAGAGCTCCACCTTAACAGCTGTAAGCGACAGGTTGACCTGCGTGTGCTAGCAGTGCTAACAGCTAGCCGCACAGCGTCTGTGACGTAACGCGCTGCCGGGACGAGCGGCTCGGACCGACGTGTCGACGAGGGGCCGGAAGTCTCTGCTCAATGCCTTCATAAGCCTTAACGGTACCGAGGCGGCGGCGCTCACTGTTATAGCTAGCGATGCTAACGTGCACCTACCAGCAACGTGAGGTCCGTCTTCCGGTTGTGGTCTACGTACCGTGTGGTACCCCGGGTCCTAAAGCTGGCAGTGTTCCGCCTGACGCGGTCCAACAAATCAGCATTCAGTATAAATATGTCGTTTTTATTACAGTGATGAATCACAATCTTTGTATACGCTCGGTTACTATATGGACTAGAATTAAGGAGTGTAAAAATGTTTTGTTTTAATTTTGAACATTGAATTTGATGCAAGTTAATGTATTATATTTGAGCATATATGTTGCATATATAATACAAGGGGGGGGGGGGGGGGGGGAGTTTAATTTTACAGTAGTTTTAAGTGAATTTACATAATATACTGAGACTGTCAAACCTGTCAGTAAATAAAGTATATATATATCCGAATATGTAGAGAATAGAATAGAATAAATTAAGTCACAACATTTAAACATGTGACTTGTTCTTCTCTTCCTCTATGACTATTCTATACTTGTTAATAGCTGTAACCTAAAATATATATATATATATATATAATATAATATAATATATTGATGTATTAACATTCTGCAGGCCGAAGTATGTTTTATAATAATCACTGATGAATACATGCCCCTCGTTTTAAACAGATCTGCTTAATTCAATCATAAATTAAAATGTTTAGGACACGTAAACGCACCGCGATACGGTTTACTGTACATGGAGACCATAAACGTGGCATGGAAGCGTCTTGCAGTTTCTTATTGGTCGGTCGTGCGCTGTTTTGACCACGTGACCCGGAAATGGCTGCTTCTGCCCAGAGTAAAACTGGTGAGTTGTTTTTATTAAACGTATGTTTATGTTAAAAAAAGCTGTTTTGTGTTAGACAATGAAGAGCAACTTGTAGATACAATTCCGAGTCCGACAGTCATTAAACTGTCAACAAGTTCCCCCCTCTGTGGTCTGTAAAGACGCTAACAAGCACGAAGCTAACGGACTGTGCTAGCAGGCTAACCAACGCGTTCTTTCTGCATTTAAACTGTTTTAAAGGAGTGATGTCACCGGTTTGAAACCAAAGACCTGTCTTATTTATCAAGTGTTCCAGTAAACCTTAAAGACAGGTTTTTAACTTTTTATAGCAATACATTTATCTGACAGGTCAAATTACTTAAATCTTAATATCTCTCTTATCTAATCAGTATTCATTACATGTCACATCACATGTCATTATTCACAAATAACTAGTATCTTATCTTATGTCACTACATGCAGATTTCAGAGCATCTGTCTTTTTGTGGAATGTTGGTTTAGTGATCAACGCTAGTCAGAGAGAGAGTTTGTGTGTGCTTGATAACCTCCCCCGTCCTCCCCCATATCAGTTCAGGACAGCATCCTGGAGCCTCTGTGTTTCCCAGAGGATCCTACGTGCTGCTCCGGTTCCGCTGGTTCTCTGGGTTCTGCCGGTGCTGAGCAGCTGCTGGTGTGTCTCTTCTGCCCCGAGTCGGTCCCCCTGCAGCAAAAGGACGTCCTCCTCAAACACCTACTGCTGGAGCACAAGCTGGTCATCGCCGACGTCAAGCTGGTGGCCGACCTCCCCAAGTACGAAGCTCCGAGATATCTATAGACTCATTTGTATAAACTAATAATTCAATATAAATATGCACATTTCTAAAAACGAGTCAACGCTAAAATCAAACGACTGTATTTTAGAAATGCATAATACATGTATAGATGAGAGCAGACCCCCCCCTCTGCTCCCTCAGGTACGCCTCCTACTGGAGGCGGCGCTTCCAGGAGCAGCCGCTCACCGACTTCTGCAGCGTGATCAAGACCAACTCGCAGGGCCCAGTCGGTGAGTCCAGATGTGAAGAGAACATGTGGCACTTCTCTTCGGTTCCGTTAAAACTGTCGTTTTTGTTCTAACTTACAAAATACCCAGATTTGAATGTGTTTTATCCCCGTTTGTTTGATGTGGAGTAAAATATCTTCACCCTCCTGGAGTAGAAAGGAGGTAAAAACCTCTCCATGTTGTCTCCTCAGAGAAGCAGGAGGACTACTTCCTGCTGTGTGACGTCCTGCTGGAGGACCGGGTCCTCCGAGAGAAGCTGCAGCAGAAGCGTCTGGTGAGAATCAGACTTTACTCGCGTTCCTTTTTTATCGTTCGTACTGCGACGCCACCGGCTCTTCTTCTGTGGTGTCCCGCCGACAGGTGGAGGTGCTGGAGCAGCAGCAGCGGGAGAGAGAAGACCGAAGCTTCCATCGTCTCTGCATGTTCTGCAGCGAGGAGTTCTCTGGAAACAGGTTGTGAGACAGGCTGAATGTGAGACAGGTCAATGTGAGACAGAATGTGTCTCCTGAGAATAAAGAATGTGTCCTCAGGTCGTCTCTGCTGAACCACATGGCCAGAGAACATTCCTTCGGCATCGGGCTGCCAGACAACATCGTCTACTGCGACCAGTTCCTGGAGGTCCTGCAGGGCAAGCTGGACAAGTAAGAGATGAGGTTATAGATACATCCATGACCCCACCTTGACCTTACCATAACCTAATGTGTCCCAGTCTGCAGTGTTTGTACTGTGAGAAAACCTTCAGGGACAAAGCCACGCTGAAGGACCACATGAGGAAGAAGGCTCACCGCCGCATCAACGCCGGCAACAGCGCCTACGACCGCTTCTATGTCATCAACTACCTGGTAAAGGGCAGCGACCTCTGACCCCTGGATTCACTGTTCAGTCTGTGAAACATGCATGTAACCGGTACTTGCTACACTTTAAAACCAAATTAAAGTTGTAGAGGAATTATGTGACAAATTGTAAAACAACTCAAAGCTCCAGCAGATGTTTTTAGACGTATTTTTTTCCTGGGATGTAACTCATCACATTCCAGATGTTCTTACTGGATCCATCAGATCCTCACAGGTCCTTCTCTCCTCTTCAGGAGCTGGGGAAGACCTGGGAGGAGGTGCAGAGTGAGGACGACCGGGAGCTGCTGGAGGAGGACGAGTGAGTAGCAGCTCTGATTGGCTCTGACACATTTAGACCTTCTTCACTGAGAGCTCATCTACTTCCTGTCTCTACCGATCCTCCTCAGTGATTGGTCGGACTGGAGGTCTCACCCGGTCTCTGCAGTGTGTCTCTTCTGTGAAGACCAGTCAGAGACCATGGAGCAGATCTATGCACACATGAAGGTCAGAGGAACCTCGATGGTCCTGTCTAGTCTAACGGGTCTGGTCTGGTCTGGTCTAACAGGGTCCTCTTGTCTTCTTCAGGAGGCGCATGGCTTCGACCTTCAGAGCCTGAGGACCGAGCTCAGTGAGTAAAAGCAGCTGTTGGAGAATGAGGGATTGATATGAGCAATAATCAATACAGGCTTCTGAAATATACAACAATATTTTTAAATGTACGTAATTCACAAAGTTGTCAACTTTTTATGGTGATGAAATAGTTTAAAATGTGTTTTAAATATATTTTGTGTTATTCATATTTTAGATTTAGATTATTATTTAGATTAAGTGGACATTGCCTCTTCTATGTCACTGAGAGAGACTCTGTCCTGCAAGTAATGTGGACTAAGATGAAACTGTATTAAACAACATTATTCATATATCAGAAGCTTAACTGCTTACTGAATAAAATGACAGAAGACTCAATATTTATAATATTAATAAATACGTTAACCCCGCCCCGCCCCAGACCTCCACTTCTACCAGCAGGTCAAATTGGTGAACTTCATTCGGCGGGAGATCCACCAGGGACGCTGCTACGGCTGCCGGGAGACCTTCGGGTCCAGAGACGGCGTGCTGCGGCACATGGAGGTTAAAGGTCACGCCATGACGCTGCCTGACGCGTCTGCCTGGAATCAGCCGCAGTAAGATTCATCTCATATTAGAGATTTTCACAATAAAGCTTCAAGCTCTTTAGGTTCTACTCCACTTTAAGGTGCTTCCTGGGCACAAAGCATTTTGTAGTTTCAAAGGATGTAAATCCAATAAAATTAGCTTTTGTTGTTAAATGTATTTTAAGTTATATATTTTCAACCAGATTTTATGGAACAGAATTTAAATTATGTAAGAATAAATGTGATTTAGCAGATTATATATTCGAATCTCCTCAGATATTACTTTCCCACGTACGAGAACGACGGCCTCCTGTGCTCGCTCTCCGACAGCGAGGAGGACGACAACGAGGAGGAGGCGCGTAGCGGAGAGGAGGTCCCAGTGATCGCCGAGGACGTCTCAGACCTCAGAGCGCTGAAGGAGCGCAGCGTCCTCAACCAGCTTGTGAGGAGCAGGAGCTCCTGCAGCTAGGAGGATCAGTCTATGGAGGAGGAGCTCCTGCAGCTTGGAGAAGAAGGAGGAGGAGCCCCTGCAGCTAGGAGGAAAAGGAGGATCAGTCCGCGGAGGAGCAGGAGGTACCAGGAGTACAGATGCTTCTAGTTCTGCACCTCCTCCTCATCCTCCTATGGGCAGAAGGAGGCGTTCAGGAACATGACGCCCATGCAGGGAATCAAAGGACTTGATGACGTCATCGTTAACACGTTTTAGAGTAATTACAATAAAAGCTTCTATAAATCTTTGTCTTCATTCTTCATGAACTGTGTTTCAACTCATATTAATATTTTTTTATCTTTGTTAAAGGACAGATTAAAGAAGACTATTAAAGAAACTATATAACAACATGCATTATTACTTTACAGTTTAGCATAATGACATCGTATTTCATACAATTCAGTAAAACAATATTCAGTATATGATGAAACTACCACAACTCTTAAATATAACATAAATATACAATATGAATATCCTATAACACGGCGACGAGTTTATCGCTGCCGCCACTCCCACACACAGTCAAGCGCGCACGTTATTCACGGTGCGCCTTTATACTAGAGATTACGGTAGTGGTGCTATCAGTGTGTCCGGTGTTCTCTAAAGTGCTTCGACTCTCCATCCATTCATCGCAGGGCTAACACAGACACGTGCTGCCCTTTAATCTTGTTAGCTTCATGCTATGCTAATGTGGACAAAACAAACACTTGGAACCATTCGCTGATCCAGATGCAAATTTCCTTCAGAATTGAGCTTTTTCTATACAAAAGAAAAACGGGAAAGACAATTTGACATGTAAATATCTGAAGATGAATGGGATAAGATGTGGAAAAAACATAAGACAACAACCTGTTAATAAGCTCTGTATATCGCAAGTTTTCCTGGAAAATCTGGTACTCTCTTACATTACAGGTCATTTAGCTGAGGCTTTTATCCAAAGTGACTTACATTGCATTTTTAACCCATGGCTTTTTACATTTTGGTAAAGGGAGGAAGTGGACTCGATGGAAGTTGACAGACCTGACATGGCAGTTTCTCATTTTTATTTCTGGTTGTCGTTGTTGAAGACTTGTTGTATTGGAGTTATTATTGTTGAATAAAAAGAAAATGGTAAAAAAAAGAAATTCACAACCAGAGATGCTGTAAATTAATATTTTCTTTCTTTATTGACAAAGTAGAGAAACACAAGTTAACAACAGGAAGATTTCAAACAAAAGAATACGCCTTTAAATCCATCTGATCTGCAGCGTGACATTGATACTAAAGCGGCTCAGAAGCGTCTTTGATGTCATTTCTTTTGGCGCAGTTGATCTTTCATCCGTCTTATCAGCAGAAACACGTTCTGAGTGAATCGTTACAAAGAACCAGCTGCCTCTGTGATTGGCCCGTGTGATGTCACAACCAATCAGCCAGCCAGCCTGTCGCTCAGGTAGCCGGAGGTCTTGGCGTCCTCCAGCAGCGCCTTGGTGACGTCGTACAGGCCGTGCTGGTAGGCCAGCCGGTAGCGGGCGTACACGTCCTCGCAGTGCGGCAGCAGGCGCCTCACGTTGGCGGCGGCGTTGGCGGCGGCGCTGCCGGGGGCGCCATCCAGCCTGAGGCAAAAACAACAGACAGGAAGTATGAGGGGAGGGGGGTAATTGAGTGAGGTAGCGTCACAAACCGGTGGAGCCTTACTTCTTAAAGATGTCCTCGAACAGACCCGAGGTCAGCGGGCGGTGGCGTTTGAGTTCCTCCAGGTAGACAAAGTCCCCGTTGAGGATCACCTTCTGGTAAAGCACCTCGGCCCAGTCCGGACTGTAGCTGTAGGCCTCCGACACCACGAACACCTGAGAAATACGCCCCCCCCCCCATTAGAAGCACCTGAGCTGAATCTAGACCGCTGCAGTAATGTCACTTTGTTCAATAGATCACCCTGGAGGTGGAGGAGAAGGGGGTTGGACCCTGAACCCACCTGGTAGCAGCGCGGCAGCGCCGTGACGGCGCTCAGCAGCTCGGCGGGTCTCAGATTGACGACCCGCAGGTCCGACCCTCGGTTCAGGAGGTGCAGCTGCAGTGCGATGAGCTTGGCCGTGCGCACACAGCGGCTCGCCTGACGCACGCACGAGTCCTAGAGGGAGGGGAGGAGCCAGTGTCAGTCACATGATGCAGTGTCTGGATTTTCAAAATTAAAGTCCTGCTCCTCAGTGGAAACGGAACAAAGGTGGTATATATTTATTGATTTATTCACATTTCAACAGCTTCTTCTCTGCTCTGTGTTTACTTCCCGAAGTTCACTGAAAGCTTCTCTGCTTTATCGTCACATGACTCTTCTCACTGAAGCTTTTGTCACACCCGATGTATTCAAGCACCGTCTGACAGATCAAGGCTTGTGAGTCTCTCAGTATTTAATGAGATCACAGAATGAGGCGTTCAGGTACCTTGGCGAAGCTCTCCGCGGCGTCCCTCAGCAGACCCAACACTTTGACCAGCGAGCTCTTCAGATCGGGAGAGACCACTGCTCAGAGACCAGAGACGCCACAGTGAGACACAAACAGACACACATGTACATTTGTCTCTGTATTGTTGTGTTGCTATCGGTTACCCCAGGCCTGAGACTCTATGATCTTCAGTTGCGTCCTGGCCGCCATCTCGTGGTTCTCCCCGATCTCCCTGCGCATGCTGAAGCACAGCGCCACCATGTTGTGCTTCTCGCTGTCCGCGGGGAGGCAGCGCTTGATGTAGTCCAGCAGCGCCGTCTTCAGGCTGGAGCTCTGACACCATCACCATGTGGAGCAAACACACCTCAGATTCTACCTGGTCCCTGACCTCTGATCACGTGACGTGGTAAATTACAAAACAGGAGGAGGAGCTAGTGGTGCTAACGGCTAACCAACGGAAGGTTACAACATGATACCTTCAGGCTCTGCTCAGCGAAAGCAGACACATTATAACATTATTGTGTGTGTCTCCACCTGTCCTCTGTCTGTGTCCATCTTCTTCCTCAGCAGCATCTCAAAGCGATGGTTCTGATGCAGCAGGTCGAAGACGTAAGTCATCTCGTTGTACCTGCCGATGCCCGTCAGCAGACGCACCTGCGCACACACGGTCCGTTACTAATATGACATACGCCATATTCATGACTCTGTGGTCCCCAACCACCGGGCCGCGGACCGCTACCGGTTTGTGGGCCGTTTGGTACCGGGCCGCACCACAGAAAGAATATATATATATATTTTTTGTTAAAAATGTTTTATTTTGAAAATTGACCGGCTTTTCTCCTAATTATGTGCGCTCGTCCCTCTGACATATTCCCCACGTGTCACCAGGCGTTTTTCTTCACGTTTACAATTGTCCTTTTACCGTGCACGGCAGTTTCCCCCACCAGCGAACACAGAGCGCGTGACTACTACACCCCCCAGTCGGCCGTTCCGCTCGCAACGACTACTACCCCCCCGTTATTCTGCCGGACCTCCTCGACCGGTCCGCGAAATATTGTCTGACATGAAAACGGTCCGTGAGGTAAAAAAGGTTGGGGACCACTGGCGTAGTACACCTAAAACTCTGTATCTCGATGTGTGAATGGGCGGGGCTTACCAGCAGGCTGTAGTGCTCTCCCGGGGCCAGGTAGGCGTGGCTGAGGTGGCGGGCGCTCTGCAGCACCCTGACGATGCCCTCCATGTTGCAGGTAAGGCTGAAGCAGTCGTGAGCCACGACCAGCAGCTCCACAACTACGGGAGGAGGAAGGTGTAGTTTCAGTCTCAGTGACATCACTTCCTGTCACCTTATTCAGCAGCTCTAAGTCCTACAGGTGTTTCAGTTTCATGTCTGGAGGAGGAACCTTCCTCCAGACACTTGGACTGCGTGTGTGCATTTCTGTGTATGTGTGTGTCTGTGTGTCATACTGCAGTTCAGGTCTCTCAGTGGAGCCGTGTTCAGGTTTTCCAGCAGTTTGACTCCCACCAGGTTGGGATCATCACACAGTTTGACAAGCTGGATCAGAGAGTGACGACCATCTGACAGCCTGTAGACCCGCCTCTCTGCTGGGACAGACAAACACACATGATCATTTATGTATATTGCATAGTGATGAGAATAAATTCCTAAAGGAGTTTTTATACTACTTACTTACACTTTAAGAGAAATTAGATTATAAATCAGGGAATTTTTAGACTTTTATTACCTTGTTCACCTATCCAAGAAGCTTCGACCTCGACCATTTCAGGATATTTGTTATTTACTTTCTAGTGACCAGCAGAAGTGTATAAGTCGTCTATGAGTATTACGTTTATGGTCTCAAATCGCTCAAATATTAACTTTTTTTTTGACCTAATATTTTTGGACTTTTTTTTTACATATTTACATATTTTTAGAGACAACGTATTTTAACAGTTTTAAAAATAAATTTCCATCCCTATATATTTTTACTTTTTTTTCCAAAATATTTTTTGACCTAATATCTTTTTTACACCTTACATATTTTCACTTTTTGAAATTATTATTATTTTTTTTTCCATTACATTTTTTTATTCTTCTTTCTTCTTACATATTTTTACTCTTTTTCCAATGACATTTCTTTTGACCTAATATTTTTTGACTTTTTTTTCCCATGACATTTTTCACCTCAAATATTTTGACTTTCTTCTTCAAAATATTTTTTGACTTTTTTCCACATCATTTTTTTCGACCTAGCATATTTTTACTTTTCTCACCGAGCTGCAGGTCCTGGGCGGAGGCCAGCAGCGCCTGGACCACGGCCGAGCAGACCAGCTGGGCCACGGAGTCTGCGGAGAGGCCCTGGGCCACAATAAAGGCCCTGGCCTTCCTGAAGCGCTCCGGCTGCTCTGACAGCAGCAGCTTCTCCAACACTGAGCGTGGCTCCTCACGGCACACCTCGCCGAAGGTGCACTGCAGCTCCTGGTTTCAATGGGGAGGGGGGTAAATGAGGACCATTTTCACCTGAACACTTTACATCTCTTATGAGGTATTGGCCGGTACCTTAGAGAGCTGGTACAGGCTGAGGACCTGTTTGCAGTAGCTCTTGCCGTGGCGACACTGATCCACCAGCTTCTGTAGCTGGAGGGCCACCTCGTCCTCAGGGAGGGGGAGCACCACGAAGGAGGACAGACTGCTCATGGAGGGAGCTGGAGGAGAGAGAATGTGTCTTTTATGGACAGAAGGTTGACCTTCTGGGAAGCTTTTCTTGGTATTAAAAGAATATTCTGGAGGCTGTGTGAGGTTCTTCCTACAGGAGTAACGTTAGCTTCTCTTTGTTCTCTTCAAGCACATCATCCAAAAAACTCCCTTCTCTAAGGAGTTCCTCAAGGCTCCTTTCTAGGTCCCATCCTTCTTTCTGTTCTTTCCTCCTGTTATATATTTATTTTAATAGGTCACAAGTAGGTTCCATCCATCCATTCATCCATCCATCGTCAAACCGCTTATCCTGCACACAGGGTCGCGGGGGGGCACACTTTTATTTTTGGGTATTTAACTATATTTTGATCTAATACATTTGAACTTCAAAGTCCAGATTTTTACTTTTATAATATAATATTTCTACACTGAGGTATTAATACTTAATAAAGAGATTATGATGCCAAGTATCAATGATTTTCATATAAGAGCTTACAGCTGGGGATGCTCTTCTTTGGTAGAATCTCTGAAGCCTCCTCCTGTGGTTCCGGGTCCAGCTCCCCAGAGGCTAGACCTCTGCAGCGCAGCACCAGCCAGACGTCCCGGTGGTACAGGGAGAAGTACCGGCACACCCGGCTGGCTTCGTGGATCCCCCCTTCATTGAGCAGCTGACCAACGAGGGCGGCCAGACCGCCCCTCTCCTCCAGGCTGAGGACCGGGTCGATGCTGGGCTCCTCGCTGGGCCCGGGGAGGCCCTCCAGGCTGAGGCAGGCATCAGTGTTCAGGCCCGGTATGCCAGAGAAGGAGAACTCCTTCATGAGCACCTCGTACGTGTTGGTCTCCGACGTGGCGGCAGGTGGCGGCAAGTCGAAGACACTCGCCGTTTCCATGGCGACGGCGAGGACGTGACGCTGCAATCGGCAGATCCACAGCTTCTTTTCCAGGACCTCCAGCCGGTCCCGGGTCGCCGTGCCACAAGCGGCGAGCCAGTGGGCGGCGAGGCAGAGCAGAAGGCAGCCCTCCTGGAGGTCCGGCAGCTCGGCCCGGGGCGACGGCGTGTTTGCCTGAGACAGGAAGAACTGGGAGGCCGATTCCGGGTCGGCACCTTCGGCCTTCAGCTGCTCGTGACATCTCCTCCACAGTCCGATCCGCGTCTCCAGCCTCCCCCACTGCTGCTTGGACTTCTGGCAGTATACTTCCTGGAGAAGCTGAGAGGAAGACATGAATCCAAAGAATTAAACATTCTTCATGCTGAATCCTTTTTTCTGCTCGCTTCACATTTGCAGTAATTTCTTTCTCTGTATCAAATAAAAGTTCAGCTCCTATTTAGAAACAGAACCACGATGACAAGAAGAAGACACCTCAAACATGACTTTAATGCAACAAAAACAAAGAAAAAAAACGTAATTATATTTTATTCTACAAAAGTTGAATAGAGTAAAGCAGCAGCAGTAGAGCAGTTCAGAATTTTATGTTTTTTACAGAATCTAATGAATTCAACAATATTATTCAAACGGTTATGACGGTTTAAATATCAGCTGATAAAAAAAATGTGAAAATAAAAAATCAAAGAAGAGTATCTTTGATTGGCATTTGTCATTTTCTGTAAAAACATTGACAACATAAGTTGATATTGTAAATAGGTCCTTCCTTTTTATTTAACCAGTTCTACACGGAGAACACAAAGGCAAACGAGAGTAAGCTCACTGTTCATCCTCTGGAAAACCTGAACGTGGCCACGGAGTCAAGAAAAAATAAATATATAAAAAGCCTGTATATTTCTGAGTGAAATGTCTACACCGCCCTCCGCTCCCTGTGGATCTCACCTGATTGAGCAGCAGGCGGTGGACGGGCAGACCAGCCAGCAGGGCGACCTGCCTGGCCTGGCTGTAGCGCCCGGCGGCCTGCAGGGCGTCCACTGCGGCCTGGAACTCCTCCTGCTGGACGGAAGGGGAACTGCACTGCAGCAGCCTGGGTGACAGGTTGACCTCTGACCCCTGCAGCAGCATGCTGAGCTGACTCAGCTTCCTGAAGTCTGGACCTACACACACACACACACAAGTTAACACCGTGTTGTGATGAGCTCACGAGGGGGCGGAGCTCCCAGCTCTCACCGTTTGACTTGAGGAGCTTGTCGACGTCGGCCAGCAGCAGCAGCAGCCGGTGAAGGTCGAACTGGGAGGTGCAGCGCTGCAACATGGAGAGCAGCAGCACGGAGGCCTGGCACTCTACCCACTGCAGGGGGAGGCCCCCTGGGGGTGCCCCGCCGCCATTCCTCAGCTGCAAGCGAAAGAGACATTTAATTAAATGTGCCTATAATGAAGATAAAAAAAGCACTGAACTCAATGAAAAGGTGAAGGTGTGCTGGATCTTTAGCAGAGAAAGTTATTATTGTTCTTATATAAGAAGTGTATTTGGTCATAATGACCTTACTCATTAGTTTAATTTGTTTTGGACCAATGAACAAGAAGTGACCATATTTGGACTGAGGAGAATGTAGAGACTTCTGGTAGAGACCTGTCAATCAGTGTGTAGCCCTGCCCCAAAGCATCCCCTTCTTTAAGGTCTATTAGAGACATGTCAATCATCATGTAGCCCCGGCCTTAAGCATCCCCTGCTGAATGGTCTGTTTGAATAAATCAAGTGAGAAGTAGTCATTTTCTCATAGACGTCTATGGGACCAGATGAGTCCCCCCCCCGTGGTCACTACAGAGAATGCAGCTTGTCTCCCGGTCTCTCAGGTCCACACCTTGTGATGTCGGCATGGTGACTTACGGTGACGAGCGTCCTCTGGAAGTCCAGCAGCTTGGCTTTGGCCTCGGAGAAGTTCTTGTAGTCACAGCACAACTCAAACATCCTCAGCACCAACACCAGAGGACAGTCCTGATGGTGACAAAGAGCAAATCACCACAGTCACACTCCTCTTTCGCCTCACACGTCCGCTCTGTGACGTCATCACGTCTCATCTCAGGTGTTTTACCCGCTGGAAGAGCTGGAAGCCTCGTAGGAGGGGCCTGACATGGCCCCGCCCCAGCAGCGTCCTCCAGATGATTGACAGGTCATGCAGCGTCCACTCGTGGTGCTGGGGGGCTTCGGCCAGGTGTGTGGTGGCTTCAGCGGCCGCAGCGTTGCAGACCGAGGTCAGTAGCCACGCGCAGAGGCACGGCAGAGGCTCCGCCCCCTGAGGGTGGCGAGGTTAATCAGCATTTATAATAAACTTTAGTAAAGCTTTTTTTGCATTAAAAAACATAATGCATGATCATTTTACATATTTAATGATTTATAATGTGTCATGGACAGAACACACAAGTTTATCAGAAAAACAACATTGTACAGATTACCTGTGATAATCATAATCATCATGATAATATTATAAAGTAAACAAACCCTGAACGCACATTATGTAACTGAACCTCCTTTGATTAGCGTGTTAGTGGTTAACTGATAATGCTACTAGATCCTCATCCTGTTGATTTCAACAATAACTGGTTGGTTACGACGTCACATTTTCAGAGACTAGAAACACATCAATGATGTTATCATCACTGATTGTACAAGTTGTTGTGGTGTGTATTTTTTGTGTTACCTGTTGACAGGCGGCCATCACAGCCAGCGTCGGGCAGCGTTGCACCAGCGCCTCCTTCAGTAGGTACCTGCAGGGCGCCGCCTCTTCCTGGCTCCGTAGGAGGACACGGAACAGCTCCCTGGGGGGCTCCTCGGCCTTCGGGGACACGGGCTGCTCCTCAGAGTCACAGGGCCGCCTCCCTCGACTGGACACTTGCAGGTCCTGGAACGCCAGGCGCAGGTGGGCCTTCAGGGCGGGGCTAAACTTAGCCGTCAGTGACCTCACCTGGAGGAAGCACCAAATATGGTCAAAGAAGTGACATTGCACTACAAATAACATTATAACTTATAATGGACTGAAAAAATAGCTGTGATGACTTATGCAGTTCTGAGGCCAGGTGTGCAGCTGTTCGTTCACCTGCGAGGGCGGGAAGCTGTGCAGCTGGACAAACAACAGGAAGTGGACGAACTGTCCATCATCGGCACAGTGGGCGGGATAAACCGAGCTGAGCTGCAGACCGTGAAGCTGACAGAACTGAACAGGCAACGCCCACTCCTGAGCTGCCTCGTAGGACGACCTGCACACACACACACAAACATCTACAGCGTGAAGTTCCCTTCACAGAACAGTCCGGAACGTACGGATCCATCTTTTACCTGCAAATGTTCTTCTGCTCTAAGCTGTCTGTCACTGCAGCTTCTAGGTAGCCAATCAACTCTTCTGCTGGTCCAGGCTCCGCCTCCGCTAGCTTTACGCCTTTAGACACTGAAAAGACACAATCTGTGTTTACCAGAGTGAGTATTTCCTTGGTATTTCCTTGCTGTGTGTTGTGTTGGTTGCGGTTTGTACTTTTGTGCTGTGTGTGGTGCCTACCCAGATTGTGTACTTCCTCTGTGTACTGCTGGCTCCAGTACTGCAGGATGCGGTTCATGGCTTCGACGTCGACCCTCACCTTCAGGCTGCAGACTCCGATCAGCTCATAGAAACAGACAACGGCCGACGTCACGGACGGAACATCGAAGCTCCGCAGAGCCAAACGGTGAGCCTGATGTGAGGCCTGCTGCAGCCTGACACACACACACACACAATCAACATGTTTACAAGGGTTACTGAGGGAATTAAGCAAGAAAGGAAAGAAAGGAGTCTGCCCCTGGTGGTCACTACAGAGAATGCAGCTTTAAAACATGACCTCACTTAAAAGAAGAGGAGCTTTGTCTGATCTCCGAACAGCTGGTTTACTTTGTGATGTCAGTGTCTTGACTTGCAGTGATGAGCGTAGGACAACCTACACGCACACACACACATCCACACGCACAGTGCGAGTTTACTCACAGCGACGTGACATCAGTGCAGCCGGCCAGTTGTCGGACCAGGAAGGTGGCGAACGCGAAAGACGGCCGGCCATGGCTGAGGTAGTACAGGAAGTCCAGGTTCTCCACCAAAGCGAACCGGCCCACCAGGGGGGGGCTGGAGAAGTGAGGCAGCTCTGATGTCTCTGTGGGGAGCATCGTAACATAATAAGACAAATGAAAAAAGTGTGGTTAGGACGTTGCTTACGCTACTGCTGCAAAAAATAAAACAATGATGGGTTAATGGGAAAAGTGGGAAAAATGGGAAAACATGCTAAAGCACAGTGATGTATAGCATGTATAATGCTCATCATAGTAGCTTAGCGTGTTTGCATGCAATGTCAGTATGCGAACATGCTGATGTTCTAACAGGTTGAAGCGGAGCATGTATAATGCTTACTCTCTAGGCGTGTTTCCACCCTTACACTGGTGTGCTAACATGCATGTATGTTAAATGTTTACCATCTCAGTTTAACCTATTAGCATGCTCATATCAGTGTGTTTAGAAAACGAATGTTAGGCGGCTAACACATTGTTGTTTAGCATGCTAATATCAGTGTGCTAACACGCTAATTTTTAGCAGGCATTGTGTTCACAATCTCAGCTTAACCTGTTAGCATGCTAATGTCTTCATGGCGAACATGAGGTCACGCAGGTGTGCAGAGCTTACCTGTGGAGTTCAGGGTGTTTGCTGACTGCCAGCCGAACAGCCTGGTCGGGTCTAGTGGGTGGAGCGACTGCGCCGCAACCACACACACACACAATGAAGCAACAAACCCAACGTGCTGAGATTTTTCATTAAAAACCAGATCACAGGTGTAAGCGTACCTGCAGCAGGTGGTAGACGGAGATGTCCGACAAGGGGCCGGATCCTCGGGGCCCAGCGGGGAACAGGACGGCCCTGAGCTTTGGGTGGGGGGCCAGCGCCATCTTCAGGAGCTGGGGGTCCACCGTCCTCTCCGACCTGCCGAGAATTTCACCCCTAGCCACCACCTGCACACAAGGAGTTCATATAGGGCCTTCTCCACACCAGCTGCTCAGAGGTCCTACTTACTGTATTCATTCTCAACACAACCTTTTTCAAAAGAAAATGAGTCCAGTTGATCAACATCTCTCATGAACTTGATCTGCCGAGAGGTCAGAGGTCGCGGCCGGACCAGGTACGATGTTTACCTGGTCGATTCCTCCGGGGGAGAACATGATGGCGGCCAGGGCCAGGAGGCTGTGGCCCTCCAGCAGCAGACTGCTGAGAGACGGCTGGCTGCCCGGCAGCAGCACCTGAGCACTGGTTAGACTGGCCTGGAAGACCAGAGCTGGATCTGGAACACACAGGTAACACGTATGACGAAATCAACATGAAGACAAGTAATATGTATTTTGAAAGCAACATGGAGACAGGTAACACGTATGACGAAATCAACATGGAGATAAGTAATATGTATTTTGAAAGCAACATGGAGACAGGTAACACGTATGAGGAAGTCAACACATATGTAATGAAATACCAAATATTTTGACACAAATGTTTAATGGAAGTGGGGGGGGGGTCAACCAGAATCAGTCGGGTACCTGACAGATCCCTAGTGATCTCCTGGATCTTCACCAGCATCTCAAACCAGGGTCGGCTCTCGGACAGGCTCCGATTGGTCAGGAGGGGACAGTTCCTAGGCGTCAACCTGGAGGTGGGGGGGACGGGACAAAGAGGTCATTGACCAGTCAGCTTATATGCAGACAAGGGGGAGGCGAGGACGCACCTGTGGCGCTCCAGGTAGGCATAGAGCAGGTACTTCAGGCCGCGGTCCACGCAGAAGGAGACAAAGAGGCCGTGGAGGTCCAGGCCGAGCGGGGAGCGGTGCTGAGGGACAGGGGGGGGCGAAGCCATAACCCCCCCGCCCTGAGCCAGCCTCCACAGCAGTTGTTCCAGGTCAGCCAGCTCTTCCGGGAGGAACACCCCCCTCCTGGAAGAAGATGATCAACGAGGAATAAGGAATTGAAATAATTGTCAATAAGTAATGTTTGTGATCAGCTTTAATTTGTTTCTGTCTGTCTGACTGGTAAAGGGAAACAACCTTTTATATTTGATTACATGAAAACAGATGTAGCTGATTTTATGATAAACTATGACGTATAAGTATAATGTAGAACTATGACGGTAGACCTCACTGTGGTGTACAAGATATTTTATAGGGAAGATACTCAAAAGGTAAATGCAAACGTGACAAAAAGTTGTATTTCTGCTAATCAAACATGCATACCTGCAATACATTTTTTAAAACCTATTTCTGAGGACTTGTGCATTTTTTCTCCTGGATGTATTATCGGGCCGTCAGATAGTTTGTGGATCGATGACGCGATCAATGACCTCAATGATGGTGGACATGTGACCGCTCTACCTGGCCAGCAGGTCCAGGACCTGCTCCCTCATGTAGGAGCTGCACGCAGTGTTATTGTTGACCAGCTCCGGGGTCAGCTCGGGCCACCGGGAGCCTCCAGGGTTCTCCTGGTTCTGGATCCAGTCCACCACCCGGCGCTGGTCGTGGAGGGCGGTGAGGTAGCGCCACACCACGGCGGGGTTACAGGAGGTCACCTCTGATACACAGAACACCGGAGAACTGATTGGTGCTGTGAGAGGATCAGGAACCACGAGGGCCCTGTGGATCATCTGAGGGAGTCTACCTGCAGGAGGACATCTGGACAGGAGGATGGAGGTCCGGCAGCTTGGGTCCCAGTTTCTCACCCAGTCCAGTCTCAGGTTCGTCCAGAGGCCCAATTTGTCCTCCTCAGGCCTCCTCTGGGCCACCAGCTCCTCCAGGAGCTCCTCGCCAGCGCCCACCTCCTCCCTCCGGACCATATGAAGCAGGTGCAGCCTGTTGAGAGAGGGAACAGTTTGGGTCCTCAAGGTCAACACCTGGAGTGTCTTCATGGAATCCAGAGATGTTTTTACCACAACATAAACATTTATTTGATTCCTTTGTGAATTTCTCCTTAATCCAGCAAGTTAATGATACCTAATTTGCATAATTAATCATAACATTTTATCAAATAGAATTTGATTGGAGAAGCTTTACGGTGCTAGCTGGATGCCTATCAAACCATTCATCGATCATGCTAGGACCTAATGTTTTTGGTTTTAATATATGTTAACATCAACCAACCAATCGATTCAGATTTCAGACAAGGTTAATCGGGCGGTTAAACCAATTTCTTGCTGCTTCACATTAAAAGTTTTTTTATTGTGCCGAATTGACAGCAGGTTTGCCCGTCGCGCATCACCTTTACCTGCATGGCGTTGCGTCTGCGGGGCAGCGGGCCGCAGGAAGTGAGCCCAACCTCTCCATCTCCCTGATGAACTCCACCCCCCGCATCTCCTCCTCTGGGAAACAACTCCGCCCCGACAGCTCCTCCACCTGTAAGATCAACCAATCCGAGGCCTCACAGGTTCGTTAACACGCACGCACGCCGAGCAGATGCGACGACACGGAGAACTCACCAGGAACTCCCTGAGGTCCTGGTCGGCGGTGTAGACACAGATGCTGTGGAGCTGCTCCTTTACGCTGAAGCCCTGGTGGACCAGAAGCTTCTGTTGAGTTCACTGTATTCGTGTAGCCTAATGTTAGCATGCTATCGCGGCGGCTAGGTGATGAGGGAAGCATTTGCATTTTAAGAGTCACAACGTGGTTCAAATTAAATAGTGACACAACTTAACTCTCACACTTATATATCTTACATATCTTTTACATTTATATCTATGAGTTAATTAATTAACGAGATGCTTGTCTTGAATGTGAAGTAGTTCATTTCATCCCCAAAAAACAAGGTTTGCTTCTAGTCTAAGCTAGGCTAACCCAGCACTACCAGCTCTGTACCAAACACACACTGTTCCTCAAACAGCTGTTAGATTTGAACACACCGCATCCGTACGGATAGCATTATCTCAAAGCAACTTTGAGCATGTTTAGCATTGAGGAGCGAGCGGGCTGTGATTGGTCGGTTCCCCACCATGTTGAGGAGCAGCGCGTCGGCGGTCTGCAAATCTCGAAGCTGCAGGCAGCGGAACGTCTGCCGCAGCCCCTCCGCCCTCAGGGCTGACAGACGGCACTCTGGCCGGCCCTGCCCCCTTAGGAGGTCTTGAGCCCTGGGGATCTGATTGGTCAGGACTGCCTGACGGACCACCTCCTGCAAAGAGACACAAATATCTAATCTGAAGACATTATGCAAATATATCAGAATCAAAGAGATGAAACACAAAATACATCTGAGGGATCACCTCTGTGGGAAGCTCCGCCCACTCATCCCAGAGGGCCCCTCCCTGAGCGCGGTCAGCGGGGGACGAGGCATCGGCCGCCGCGGGCCAGGGGAATTTCTTCATGTAGCCTCGTAGCTCGGTGACGTAGCGGTCCAGAGCCTCCACGCAGCCCGCTACGCCCTCGTCCTCCACTGTGGACGCAACAGAGATCAAACAGGTGTGTCTGTGTGTTTGTCTGTGTGTGTGTGTGTGTGTGTGTGTGTGTGTGTCTTACGCTGAGTGTTGGTCAGCACTGACCGGGTCTGCGTGTTGATAAAGTTCATGGTGACGTTGAGGAGCTGCTCAAAGTACTGACGGCTCTGAGCCTCGATGTGAGAATCACTGACAGCTGAACACAGGAGATCCAACGCAGGACACAACTCCTGGAAGCCTACACACACACAAACAAGCTTTTTCACAAGACATTTGCTTTGTTATCGTGTCACGACAGAATACATTCATCGACCTCTGTGGGAGTGTGAGGGTTAAGATATGCGGATCCAAGGAAAGCTAAGCTAACTTAGCTACCACCAGAGGCGGCTCCACAACCCAGCATGCTCCTGATTGGACCAGAGGAGGTGGCCATCATGATGTTTAAACAGTCAGGGTTTTAAAGGGAAGGTGTCGATCAGAGGCTTGGTGTTGGTGTTTGTGTGTCGGTGCCTCCCTGCATGGATTGTCCTTCTTTACGTACGGGCGGTAAGGCTCTTCGTGGAGGCAGCAGGGACCAGGATGTTCTCTTTACTCTTCAGGTAGAAGTCCACCGTGTCCAGCTGACGGTTCTTCAGTCCGGCCTGATACATAAACACAGCTTCAGGAGAGGATGTGCGACAGGTCGGAGGTCAAAGGTGGTGCTCCTACCTGCAGGGCATGCACGGGGATGGAGCAGCGCCCCCAGCTGTTCAGGTGACACACGGCGTCCACAGTCGCCGCGCTGCCGAACAACATCAACCTGGTGAGCAAGTCCTGCTGGGAAACGGAGAAGAGGAGCTGGAAGACACCGGCCTCTGGAGACAGACGGGAGACAAGCGGACAAGAGGACAGGGAGGGACAGGCAAGTGAGGAGACAGGGGGAGAGACAAAACTGTTAACTTTCTTCCTTTTTGGAGTTGATTAATAGAAATATAATATCTGTGTGTCTGTCCCCGTCTCCTCACCCCTCAGCAGCAGGCGGTGCTGTCTCTCCCCACAGCGCTGCACGGGAGCTGCCTCCCCTTCGGCCCGGTGGAGGCTCACTCTGCCGGACGGGAAGTCCCAGAGGGCCACGGTGGGCCGTCGGTTGCCGGGGGCAACAAAGGTCAGCTGGGCAGAAAACTGGGACACGCTGAGCAGGGAAGGGGAGGAGGGCGGGGCGACGGGGAAGGAGATGGTGGCCCTGCCGCGAGGCACCCTGCTGCGGGCTGAGGCCCCCCAGGGCCTCAGGTGGAGGAGGGAGGAGGACCAGGAGGAGGAGGAGGAGGGGGATGAGTCCTCTGCAGACCTATGGGCTCTGCTGCTCATGGAGGCCAGACGAGCTTCCCAGGAGCTTCAGAGAAGAAGATTATCAAACATACTTCATGTTTACCAACAAATCTCCACCATTAAAGGTCAAACGACTCGACGCAAATATATTCAAATAATAACACAAATAATACTATTTTATTCTGTATTTCCCACTGTAAATGATTGAAGCACTTTGGGAATTGTATCATCATTTTAATATAATATACATATACATGTTATAAGTGAGGGTCATTAGTTCAAACAATGCAAACGAGGACATTTAACCTTTTCATCATCGTCACATAGTAGACATTAAGGTTTACCGGTCTGCGCTGAAGGTCGACCCGAGGGCGGCGAGGCTTTGCTCCGAGCTCGGCACGCCGTCCTGGTCAGCTGGGTGGAGGAGGGGGGGACGGCGGGGGGGGGCGGCACACAGCAGCTGGTCTGGATACAAACTGGGAAACAGAAGTTTGTGTTGTTTTTTTCATCTCCGTGGCTGAACAGGTAAACAGGAAGTATCGGTTGCTTTGTTACAGAAAATACAACAGAGGATTATAGTACTTTCCTAATATGTTTTGTATACTTCTGCTTCTATAAACTCAAACAGACTAATTAGTAGAAATAATTGAGTGTCTCACACACGATAGAAATGAAATGTATACTTAATTAAGGGTCAATAAATTTGGTCTGTACCAAGCGGCAACCAATAAACAGGAAGTGACCATATTAGGACTGAGGAGGATGTAGAGCCGCCGTATACGTCTCTGGTAGAGACCTGTCAATCAGTGTGTAGCCCGCCCCAAGGCAGACTTGAAACTAGAGATTGAAACCATAAACTCATGTTTACAATGTTTACTAAGGGAATAAATCAAGAGAGAAGTCATTTTCTCATAGACTTCTATGGGACCAGAGGAGTCGCCCCCTGGTGGTCACTACAGAGAAGGTTGGTTTTCCGTACCTGAAGTAGTGGTCGAGGTCGATGGCGACCGCGCTGTGGGACTGACAGACGGCTACGGCTGTGCTGAGGTCAGTTGACACCTGGAGGAGGCAGAAGGGGGAGGACGAGAAGGAGGGAGAGGAGGAGGAGGAGATGAGGTCGTCCTCTGTCTGGAGAGACCTCAGGTAAGCTGGCAGGTCGATGCTGGCCAGCAGACTGCCGTCAGTGATGTGATGCACAGCTGGAGGTCTTAGTTAAAGAAGACCTTACAGTTAGGCTGCTAGTTAGTTAGTTGGAAAAAAAAAATATATATATATATATATATACTGTATATACACACACACACACACACACACACACACACACACACACACGTATATAGGTCACGGAGGATACATATGAGTCCGGTGCAGCTGAGGGTGAACAGCGTGTCCCTGCAGACGCTGCGGTGCACAGCAGAGAGTCGGCTGTCTTCACTCTGCTGGATGCTGCAGCAGGACAATGTCTGTGGCTGCTCTTCCATCTGCAGCCAGTGCAGCCGCAGCAGCCAATCAGAGTTCAGCAGGACGCAGGCGCATCCAGCAGCAAAGGACAACACGCGCAGCGAGTGCAGCTCGAACGCGCCTGGAAGCAGACACTCGTCGTATTAATGGAAGAAAAGTCCCGGTCCTCTACGGAGGAGACGCCTCTTATGATGATATTAACCATGAAGAAGGAAAAATAAAATTTAATATAATTTCTTTGATCATTTGTGTTAATAGAGGTTGAAAACATTGGAATGTAAAAAATTCAACATTGTTGGATAAGAAAATGTAGGCTCCACCCACTTTATATATTGAACTATTCTAATTGTCCTTTCTGCCCGGAGTTCAGTCAAAGTTTCTCTGGTTTATGGTCACATGACTGCTGGTCTCAGATGAATCAATGAGGAGCTCAGAATTGAACGTTTTTACTGGATCTTGTTCAAAAAAACAGTTCATTTGTGTTAAAAATCTGACTTGTATTTTGTTATCGCTCCCAGCTGTAATAAATTATATATTTCTGGCAATTTTCTTTAAATAAAAGATGGTTATTGCAGACGTGTCATCTGTGATTGGTCCAGAGAGTTTAGCTGTGTATAAATCAGTAAAGCGCTGCGTCACAGTGTGACGTTCTCCTCAGAGGTCAAAGAGAAGGCGTGAGGAAAGGAGGCTAGGAAGCGACCTGGTACTCACTGCCGTCCTGCTCCCTGACCATCTGCAGCAGGCGGACTGAAGGACACTGGGACACACAGACGGCCGTGACGGAGGCCTCCGCCTCCACCTCTACCAGCTGCAGGTCCAGCTGAGCTTCAACCGCCAGCAACCTCACGACGGGGCGGAGGCCTCGACCGATGACATCATCCTCTGACTCCTCCTCCTCCCAGGAAAAACTACACAAACCAACAAAGCATCAGAGCCCTTTCAATCAACAGAGAATACATAAGATATAAGATTCCAATGTCCAAGGAACTGTGAATGCACCATTTGTACTTTTTACTGTACATCTCACAGGTACATGTACTTCTTACTGTACTACACCTCAGAGGTAACGTTGTAGTTTGGTACTACTTCAGTAATGTATTGGGAACTTATCGTGGTATTCAGATACATTCCACTGGATGCGATGTCCTGCAGTAATCACGAGGAAGATTACTCTTATATGAATTCTATATGATATTCATTTATTTATTAGTATTGATATTGCAATGTTTGCTTATGACGCCAGATGAATTGCGGAAGTCACTCACTCAGCCTTTATGTTTTAATATTTATATTATGTTTGTCCATCGCCGCATGAATTCTTTATTATGATGTGATGTCAGATAGACACCGGAAGTCACTCACTCCGCGTAGCAGCCGTCCAGCGTGGCCGGAGGAGCGTCTCTGTCCGCGGGGTTCCAGATCTTCAGCCAGCCGCCGGCCCCAAGGGAACCGACCAGGGAGCCTCCGGGAGCCATCTCGGCTCTCTGGATGTCCGCCACCGGGCCACAGTGCTGGTTCTCTGGGATCACACACACCTCTATGGAGCTCCCCTCCGGAGCCTGAGCCGCCTCCAACATCTCCGCACGGAAACGGGGAGCGACTCGTTCACCTCGTGGTGCGTTCAGGTGCTCACCGTGAAGACATAGCGGGGGAAACACGGTTGATTAAGTAAGGAGAGCGACGGTAACGGTGAAACGTTTGGACATTTCTTCCTGCCATGTAAAAATCAGCAGCTGACTTCTAGTGGTCATGTGCTCCGTCAGCTGACCAGACCTGACCAATAGGGGAACGGGGAGGAAAAGTCCACTCAATCGAATGAAGATGGTGTTGACAGAATGGATGGAAACAAGCGGCTCAAGTTCCATCAACAATAAGAAATATATATATTAACTATAATTAATAAATAAAAATTAAGAATCTGAGTAGGAATAATAAAACCGCAGCAACCTACTTTGGGAGTACACATCTTCTGAAGCCTTGATTCAGTTACATTGGGTCATTATTTTTCATAATTGTATTTGTTTATTTTTCTCACAGATATTTTAGTAAAATTAGCAGTACCACAGTGTATACATAATTGCTTAAGTAACAATACGTATCAAACAAAATAAAAACAAAAATAATTTATCTCTTGCTTTTCCCTGAACAAAAAATACCGGAAGCGGGAGCGAGGCGGACACGCTCATTGGCTGCGAGGGAACCTGCCGCTCTGTGTACTTTCTACATTTCCGGTGTCCGTTAAATCCACTTCCTGGTTGGATTGAGATCTTCTAAAGTCACAACAGTTGCTCCGGTTTTTAATCATGGCGTCTTCTACAAAATGAGCGTGGTGTCGCTGGCTGCCACTGAGCTGTTCCACGTCTCCAGTCTCACGGACAACGGGAAGCCCCGAGGACCAAGAGAATGGAAGAAAAAGCGTTAGAAGTTTACGGTGAGGGACAGTTACTGCCCTGTGACGTCACGGGGTTCCGTGCAACCCGAAGGTCACGAGGTGAAAGGTTCTCTGAACGCGATGGTCTGTTTGTTAGAGAACCATCGTTGTAAATAAAGGTTTTTTGAATGCGCTTTGGTTTCATTTGAGTTTATCATCAGTTTAACGAAGGATTTATGGAATGGTTTGGTGACATTGGAGTGATTACAGCATTGTTTTACAACATAGCAGAAAACAGCTGATTTATTTAGTGGTGTTTGGTTCTCTCCACCAGATGTGATCCGGTCCATCCGGGACCCCGAGAAGCCCAACACCCTGGAGGAGCTGGACGTGGTGACGGAGAAGTGTGTGGAGGTCCAGGAGCTCGGAGAGGAGGAGTACCTCATCATCATTAAATTCTCCCCGACCGTCCCTCACTGCTCCCTGGCCACTCTGATCGGTGAGTGATAGGTCAGCTCTACAAAACGCTCTGTACAGTATATAATAAGCTCTGTATATTCAGCTACTTATTTAAGTGTATAATATAGTGATGATGCCGACTCCCTGTTCGATTACATCCACACATCCTCCCTGTGGGTTTAACCTCTGACCCTCGGACTGGAGAGAATTGTTGCACTGTCTGTATCCCGGGAATCAAACCTGCGTGTTAATGAAGGTGGGGACGCCCTGTCCTCTCTGTGTCTGCAGGCCTCTGCTTACAGGTGAAGCTGCAGCGGTGTTTACCATTCAAACACAAGGTCAGTAACAGTATTTCTTCATCCTCTGTCTTCTATCTTTAATATCCAGATGACCAAAGGAGCCAATTATCAGTGAGAGCCTCAGAAATGATCCTCGGAATGAGATATTCATATCATGTTCAGATGTGCGAGTTATACAACGCTGATCAAAACAAGAGGGGATTCGACTCCTGGGGTCCGTTTCAAGTAGGAGGTTTAACAAACTCTGAGTCAAACCCTAAACTCTGAGTTGATTTACCCTGAGATGGGAAACTCTGAGTTTTGGGTTTCAGAACAGCTGTTTAGAGTTCAATCCACTCAGAGTAGGTTGACTCAGAGTTGAGCGCGTGCACCACCACAGTATAAAGGCAGCATGAATGGAGCCACGATACTACGATTCACCATGGCAACAACCACAAACAGTATATTCACCCCCATTGACCTGGAAATATTAATGGAAGTGTACGGCGAGCTAGAAAGAAAACACCGCTACTGCAGCAAAAGACAGAAACGGCGTAAGTTCCAACATAGTGTTGGCAGTTAATATTTAATGTACACACTAATCATAATCCATACGTTTTACTAATTCCCACTGGGAAAATTACATTTTTTACACTGTTCGTTAGAATGCACTACACAGGCTTGAAATATACACCCACGCTCCTATTAAATCACAAGAATAATATCACTGGTACAATGTATTTTATTCAGGTGCATCCTGTGGATGTCCTCTTTAATGGCTTCACTGGTTTGTGTCCAGGGAACAAAAACATTTAAAAGACGTTTCAGAGCGACGCACATGTTTCTCACGGCTCTGCATACAGCAGCTTTACTAATATTCTATGTTATGCTATCCTATGTTGTAGGAAACTTTTTTCAAAAAAATGTAATACTACACAAAGAATGTGCTCGTATGTAAGAGCATGTCCACGATGAGAGACGTTAGTTATATGAGGACGGGTGAGGTTATGTACGCCTGCCACAGAGTACTTGAATGAATGAGGAAATGAAAACGCGCTGTGTGATTGGCTGGGCTGCTGTCAGAGGGGGGAAACTGTGAAAGACACTCAAGGTTTATTGAAGAAAACCTGCTCCCGCCCAGGTGATGTTCACAGGCTCAGTTACCATGGTGACTGACCCTGAGCTTTAGTTATCTTCTTTTGTGAAACAGTCTTTGTTAACCCTGAGATGAGGGAAACTCTGGCTTGTCTAAGTTTTCACTAAACCCGCTTCTTGAAACGGACCCCTGGAGCTCAGACAGGAAACCGCTAATACTTCATCAACAATGCAAAAGAGAGCCACCAAAAACAAACAAAGTAGGAAGCCAATCTGCTGTTTATTCAGAAGCGCCTGGACAGCCATCGAACACCCGATGCTTTGCTTTCAGAGCAAAACTTGAAGTGAACTTGTTTATAATAAGGTTCATTATTATTATCATTGTTGAAGCACAGCTTGATGGCGTTTTTCTGTCTCTCCTCAGTTGGAGATTTACATCTCAGAGGGAACTCATTCCACTGAAGAAGACAGTAAGTTCTAAAAAATATTTTGAGGAACATCTTTCTGATTGTCATTGGAATTAAGACACGTTCCAAAGCTCCATGTTTCTTTCACCTGATTCACGTTTTTAAATGTTGTTTAGAGGATCGTTGTCTCCTTCAGTTACTATTGAGCAGCATCTTGTTTCTCCACTTACTAAACCAAATAAAATGCAAATAAAGAGTATATACACCCAAGAAGCATCATGTGTACACGTATGATGTGCAATAACAAGCCATGTTTGTGTCCAGTCAACAAGCAGATCAACGACAAGGAGCGAGTGGCGGCCGCCATGGAGAACCCCAACCTGAGGGAGATCGTAGAGCAGTGCGTCACCGAGCCCGACGACTGACGGGAGGCGGCCCCGCCCACCCAGAGGCCTCAGTCAGAGGACTTCCATTGGTCTCCCATGAGCACCACGAATGCTGGGAGGCGTGGTGGACCGGTCGCTCCCTGCTGGTGGGCCGAGCGCCGGGGTTTTAACCCTCTCCTTTTGTTTTTAAGAAGTGTTTTTGTAAATGACCATGTAGTTATCTTCAGTTTGTTACGTAGGACAAAGTCAAAGCTCCATTTGTTAAGCTGCATTCTCTATAGTGCAGGGGATGCTTTGGGGTCGGGGCTTACTGTGATTGACCGCTCTTTAAAAGAACATAAAGGAGGGGTTATTTTAGGGCGGGGCTACATGCTGACTGACAGGTCTCTACTGGAGACGTATACGGTGTCTCTGCGTCCTCCTCAGCCCAGATGAGGTCACTTCCTGGTTACTAGTTGCAACAAAAACAAGATGGCGACAATAAACCTTCCGAAGTCTCCGAAGAAATACATTTTTGTTGTTTCCATGTGATACTGCAACGGAATATTCTAGATGGGATTTATTTTGAATAAAGAAAAGATGATGGATGCGTTGACTGTTTGAATAATGCCTCTGTGACACGAACCTCACATACATAATATTTCTTCTCTCTAAGATGGATAAGGACCGTAAAGCTGTGTGGGTGTAGTAATGATGCTGCTCCACCCCCCACATACATAATATTTCTTCTCTCTAAGATGGATAAGGACCGTAAAGCTGTGTGGGTGTAGTAATGATGCTGCTCCTCCTGTAGGGGGCAGTGCTGCTTTAAGTTAGCCAAGCGCTAGATACTTTCTATTGATTTCATGTCCTTTTCAAACATGTCTCATGTCTGAGAATATCAATTAATAACGGAGCTGGTTTTTGTAGAATGCAGAATGTCCAGAATGCCGAGTGGAGCTCCGGGTTGTGTGTTCACGTCCTGCACGTGTGAATGGACAGGAAGTGTGCGTGCTGCCCCCAACGAGCCTCTGGTGTCGGTGACAGACCACTTATCCTGCACACTGGGGGCTGGAGTCTATTCCAGACAACTTGGGGCGAGAGACTGGGTACACCCTGGCTCGGTCGACAGCCATTCGCAGGGCTAACACAGAGACAAACAACCATTCACACTGACACTCACATCAAAGGGCAATTTAGAGGCACCATTAACCTGATCCCCAGAGCATGTCTTTGGACTGTGGGAGGAAGACCCATAAGAGAACCCACACAGGCAGAACATGCAGACTCCCCACAGAAAGGCCACTGGGCGGAGACAAAAAAACGGGTGCTTCTTGCTGTGAGGCGACAGTTCTAACCACCACACCACCGTGCCGCCCCCACAGGGATCATGATGCTGTACCTTTTTGCTGAAAACATCAGACATAACTTCTCCTTCTGATGTGAGTCTGGCTTTTCACTTTCTGGGTTTTTGTGTATTTAAAATCAGACATGCCATTTTTTGCCAGACGTGCAGCTTTCAGAGCAGATTCTTTGATCGTGAGATCTCTCTCTCTAACATCTCTAACACACTTCACTTTATCATCGAACACTTTGTCTTCTTCCACCTCAGTAATTTCTGCTATGGGCTCCATCTTCTGTCGTGGTGGGTGGAGCTTAAAGAACAAGCAGTGAATCACTGTCTGCAGAGCAGGAAGCTCTGCTAGATGAAGCCTGATGAATAGAGAGAAACATTTCCAAATGAAATCAACCCAATGAACAATTTCCAGGCAGTATTTAAATGAGCGATAAATCCAACAGGGGGAAATGTGTCCTGTTGATATGCTGCTCAGTAGCTAATATCAGACCGAATTCAGCCGAGCACCACCTCCAAGGCGGAGGAGCTTGATGCCATTGCTCTTAACGAGTTTGATTTGTGAATACAGGAGAGCATGAACTGGTCAGTTTAGCATGCCAGCTAGTTAGGTATCATGCTAATGTTAGCTACCTTGGGTCAGCATTACAGACTCTAACATGACACGCTGCTAACATTAACTTTGTGGACATGGTTTGCTCATTTTAGCCGCAATTTTATAGGGTTTTACCTTGAAAAATCGTTAGCCTGGGGGCGCAGTGCTCGACTGGAGGCGCTCCAGTAAAACATATCTATCCAATTCCCACTTTAGAGGGGGGGTTATCGGGCTAACCGCTAACAGCCGGTGTAGTCTGTCCTTTGGCTTCTTCTAATGGCCCTCACTTATGCAATGAACTGGAGTTATCAGAAGCATCTGGAGCTCTGAAGCGGGATGTGCTAAAGCTAAAGCTGTCTCCCAGTCAGGACCTTGCATGGCAAACTTTTAGTATAACTATATAAATACCCGTATGGCACTGAACACTGAATTGTTGCAATTTTTGAGGGAGTTCCCCTTTTAAAAACGCCGAAAGCCAACTCATGTTAGTGATTATACTTGTGGTTTGTTGATGCAATTTTGCACTTTTATGGTTAATTGAAAATAGTATCTCTGTAAGGATCTTGTCTTTGTCAAAGAGATCTCTTAAATGTTTTGTTGGCAGCACTGATTTCTAAATGTTTTAAACCACTGGCAACCACTTTTTATATCTGTATTGGTTGTATCTATATAAGTCAGATGACAAGTAAAGGTGCTGTAGTTCAAAAGAAGCTGTTGATTCATGTTTTGTTGAAGCCTTATGTTAAGATCATTTTATTAAGTATCCTAGATTTAAAAAATGCAAAAATTATTATATTTGAATAGTGGTAAATAGTAATAGACATATCGAGTAATAATTACTTAATATGTCTCAATAGAATAAGGAAAAAAAATCTAGTTAAATAACCCTGAAATATCAAGTCATTTTTACGTGAGTTTTGTAATTAGATGCAAAAGTAGCATGTGTAAAGATTACTAACAAAGACTGAGTACATTTAATGTTTAAGGGAATTATTTACAAGTACAATTTACTTGAATATTTTGGATAAAAAACAATTTTTACTAGTAAGTGAACTTATAATAATTCCTGAGTGGCTCCCCACAGGCTCCTCACAGGACCCTCACAACATCATGGCTGAGGGAAGGGATGAAAAAGATAGTTTACGAAGGTTAATGAGGACTCTTGAGGAGCACAGAGGAGGTGAGGACCAGATGTGCCAGATGTTCACTTCCTCCAGCTGCTAGTCAGCCAGTTGAGGATCAGGAGGAGGGTTTAGTTCTGTCCGTCCATCAAACGAGCGAGTGAACACTTTCCGTACATCCAAAGCTTGACGTTGTCGCTGTAACGTGACGCGTTGTCATGGTAATGGGACACTGCAGCAAAGCGCTGTCCCCTTCAAGCCCTATGAGGTCCCCCGTCTCTCACTGAGATACTAACAGGACACCTGAGCCCCTGAGGGTCTAAGGCCTTTATGGACAAAGGGACTAGAAGAAGGAAGGAAGCAGGAAGGAGCATGAAAGGGAAACAGAAGGGAAAGTTATATTCTTAGTTATGAGAAACAAGGCTTCAATCGTTTGGGAAAACATTGCTGCTGTTCTGAATCTTTCAGCTTGTTTCATAGATTTTAATCCAAAGCCTGAAGGTAATTTTCTGAGATAAGCGGCTGTTTAGGAAATAGAGGTTTGGTATAATAACATTACACAATGATCCGCCGGGTGTCTGGCATGAGTCCCCCACCTCCCATTGTACAGGGCAATCTGGAAAACGACGATGCAAAAAATAGGTTGAACATTTCAGTTAGTAGGGGGGAGGACGGGGGAGGTGGCCAGGAAAACCAAGTTTTCCTGCTCAGAGAAACGTTCACTGTCATCACATCCTCAGTGAGGCGCCAATGTTGTTTGGCTTTGGATCGTTGAATGTGAGGTCTGAGGACCAGGAGGAAGTCCTTGACTCATGACTCATTGACTCCTTTACTCATGACCTATTAACTCATTGACTGACTGACTCCTTGACTCGTGACTCATTAACTCATGACTTATTGACTTGTTGACTCACTGACTCATGACTGCTCGACTCCTTGACTCATGACTCATGACTCATTGACTTCTTGACTCCTGAATCATTGACTCACTGACTCACTGATTTGTGACTGACTTGTGACTCACAACATATTGACTCCTTGACCCCTTGACTCATGACTTATTGACTCACTGACTCATGACTCATCGACTCTACTCGTGACTTATTAACTCATTGACTCCTTGACTCATTACTCATTGACTCACTGACTTACTGACTTACTGACTTGTGACTCATTGACTAATCAACTCATTGGCTCATGACTCATTGAAGACGGCGTTGTGACGTCACTCTTTTGTTTGAGAAATTGGGTTATAAAGTCTCAAGTTAGGCTAAGAACTAACCGGAGAAATAACCGGAGTGAAATCCTCGTATGAGTCTGATTCTGATCCATTTCTTCAAAGGAGACAGAAGAGTTCAATTTCTCTCAGCTCTCATTCAACATTCGACAGGAAGCTGCTCTGTTTGATTGAATGTTATTTACCACCACAGAGGAGAGTTTCAAAATAAGAGAAAAAAACAATTGAAGGCAGATCATTATGGATGCATTAAAGCAAACCGGACTCCTCCCTCCACTCCACCCCCTCACGCCTGTGTGCTGTTGAATGGCCAAACGTTTATTCTGGTGACATTGTGGCTTCCTGCTGCTTTTTTTTTTAAACATGGCAAGCTATTTATAAAAAAATACTTCTGCAGCTGTAAAATAAACCCTTGTACAGCCTATTTCTGTTCTTCACTAACATCTCAAAACAGCATCTCGGTGACAAAGTGACGAAGGTCTGACCTTCTATATATTTATAAAATATATATATAATATATGTATACTGTTATGACAAGATGACCAGATGAAGTCGGCCTCTTGTGAAGCATCGATCAGCCTACAAGTCTGGAACCAACGAAAGTCCCTGAAGGCCGGCTGTTGCTATCGGAGACGCACAGCTGCTTTCCCTTTCATTCATCAGGAGGATTGTCTGATTGATGGAGGAACCCGAATGGAGCCGCCAGAGAGGCGACTTTCAACCGGAGGACTTCCAGTCTCTGCAGCAGCTCAGGAAGTTTAAACATCAAACAAGGAGACGTCTCTGTGTAACACCAGTTTTAAAATAATTATGTGCAGCACTCACCATTGAATCGTAATAAGTGTAGTTTTGGACTTCCTTTGAAGATGGACTTTTTGATACGTACAGTTTGTACAGATAATCATTTACCACATTGCCAATGTAATACATCAGGATTAAATGAATAGATTTTCCAAGATAAGGACAATAAAGGAGAATAAAATGAAAAAAACATACCATAAACGAAAGTACATCTCCATAATCTGCATAAACTTGATCGCATAATGTCAGGTACTGTACTTCTCTTTGCTTGTGGCATGAACTTGTGACCTGCTGAAGAGGAACACGATGACCTTGCGGATGCACCTTCAATGGATAGTACAGTAATACTATCGTCTGTAACTTGTTAGGGAAAGTTCTGCTGATCCCTTCAAGCCGGTGCCAAAAGTAAGGAAATGTGTTCCAATTCACTCAGAACAGATGTTAATAATTGAACCATCCAGCTCGTTTGTTCTCCCTCGGGTGAGTGAATGTCACAATAAAAGAACCGTCCATCTTAAAGCCGTCAGGAAATCATGTAACGCGACATATTTAGGCTAAGAAGTTTGGTTGTTTCGGGAGAATAAAAAAAAATCTGATTGTTTAAATATCAAGTAGTTTTGTGGCTCCGACTGACGCATCGTCTGTTCTCTCAACCAACATCTGAAATGAGAAATGATGTCTTTATTGGCCGTCAGAGCTGAGAGAGCATCACGGATCAGCGTCTGTGGAGACATGAGAGACACCATCATGACCGTAGCAATATGCTTTAGATCTCACAGAGTGGCCTTTACTGTGTGTGTGTGTTTGCACCTGTTGCCCCCCCCTTCAATCCTCCCAACCCCCACCCGCAACAGCCGATAAGGACTGGAAAGAGATAAGACGACCCAAGTGTGCTGCTAAGGCAAACACACCTGATCATCTTGTCCAATGAGAAGAAGAGAAAAATATTCAACCTCAGCCAATGAAATGCCTGTTTTATCCTGGGGGGTACAAAGACAAACAAGCAGGAGGGAGGCAGGAGGATGAGGGGATATGAGGGCGATGATCAATAGCGTTGGCTCCCCGGACCAGAACACCAAGAGCATCATGCCCCCCACCCTCCACTCAGGAACCTCCATCAGGACTCCCCATCATGACAGCAGCTGCTGTGAGATGGTGGAGCTCCATGAGGAGACGGAGCAGCAAAGCATGCTGGTCTGTGTCGGAGGTTCCCTCAATAAACAAAAAAATGCTGGTTTAGTTTTTTTAGGGAACCTCTGACACGGATGTGTTTTTTTCTCTTCTTCCAGCTTCTTTGGTCTTGAATTTTTTAGTCGGTTGAAATGACTCATGGATGGAAGTGAAGACAACGCAGAGCAGATGAAGTGGCGCTCGAAGCCTCTTCGAACCGAATGCTGCTGATAAATTCCTATTAATGAATATCAAACTTCCAATAAATATCCCTGCATGTTGCTGTCCGTCTGAGGTCAAATAGATTCTTAAATGTTTCTTCTTTCCTTGTGGAGGAATCAAAGAGGTTATGTGACCCTTTCATGCACTAAAGATGGATAGAAGCATAAACGTGTTATGGGATGCGCGGATGGTCGGGGCGTAATTGGATCTTGTGCTGCTGCGGAGAAGAACTCTTCTCTCTTGTGTAATGGTAAAATATGATGATGCCACAATGTTTTATTAGATTAATTTCTAAAGCTAAACATGACTTTATTTCTGAGGAAGTCCCACGACACCAGCTGTGTGGGAACTATCTGAGCAGAAGACTTTCACAGCAGCTTTTCTCTTTGATGTGTCTATGCATAACATGGCTGCATGGAGGAAGGAGAAGGTGTGAATGTCTCCAGCCCTAGTCCTAAATCTAATCCAACATCTGTTGTAAGCACCTTGAGTTCTCCTTCAGGTCTGGGACCTCCTTGCCTGCCTCTTTCCAGCATAACAAAACCAGGGTGTTAAACCTTTCAATGTATAAATGTATGTTGCTCTCAATGGGCGGCACGGTGGTGTGGTGGTTAGCACTGTCTGGGGATCAGGTTAATACAGACTCTAAATTGTCCGTATGTGAGCAGGATAAGCGGATTGACGATGGATGGTGTTACGCTCAAACATTAAGAAGAAGCTTGTCACTGCCTGTCGATGTATAGCTGTTGCAGACCTCCTCCTTTTCTTTCTTGCAAGAAATAAACGGAAAATACAGCTCTGATTCACATGAGACTTTATAACTGATTACTGCATGATAAAACCACAAAAATAATTTCCAGCAATCTGTGGATGTGCAGATCTATTTGTTCATACCGAGGAAACGTCCTGTGACGTCCTCTGAAGCTCTTTCTCCGCCTCCTGTTGCTCAGATAATCACATTCATGTTGTGAACATGATGGTCCATGTGTGACAGGAACTCAGCTTCATCATCTCCTTACGGAGAATGTATATTCATGATCAGTTTCCTATCATTATTATTCTCATGATGCTCAGATGATCAGACGTTCTCACCAAAGTGAGAAATATCTGTAGTTCTTTGGCTGCAGCAGCCAAACAGGAAGTCACCGTCCATGCTTCTTTACACAAACAGCTGACTTTATTGGTGTTGACTGTGTCCCCCCGCGTGGAACAACACGGTAGTGTCTCCACCAAGACGGTCCCTTTGGAGAACCTCTCATTCTTCCGGGGTCTCAGGCTGACCCTCAGTCCTGGTGCTTGTTCTCCGGGGCCTTCTTCCCCATCCATAAAAAGATGAACCTTTGTTGCCTGTGGACATTCGGTGCACTTTACCCTGATCACTTCTTTACACTTGTATCGTCACATGACACAGTTTATGGTTTTATCACTTTATTACTTTAATAAAGACGCATGTTTTCACTCTCAGATTTGTCCTTGTTTTTTTACAGCATCATGTTTGACCTGGACGGAAGAGGACAAACTCATTAAGTAAGCAAACAGCGTGACGCTTCGTTGGTGGTTAATTTGACTGTTGACGGTGTGGAGAAGCAGCGGTGGAGTAAACAGACTTTAGTGACGGAGGAAAACTAAAACAGGAGCTCTTTTACTGGTGCAGCAACAAGGACGCCACCCCCTCTCTGGCATTGTGTGCTGAGCAGCAAGAGGGTTTCAGGGGGAGGGGAGTTTAACATTTGGAGAAGATTTTGAAATTATTATTAGTGACCATCAAATTTCGTATGGTGGTCCTAAAAATTGTATTTAAGTTCTTTAAAGTAGTTTATATTATTTGTATACAGTTTATCAGATTTCACTGTTTATAGCCTCATAAAAAAACAAAACAGTTCAGACAACTAAACCATTTAGGGTTTAGGAAAGGTTTGTTGTTTGGGGTAAAATAAGTAAACAAGTGTCGTTACTGAAGAACGGGAGTTGAGTTGTGAGGGATTCACAGCTCCAACTGACAGACGGAGGGATTCTTCCAGGGAAATAAAAGTTTGACAGTTTGATTCTGTGGTTTGTTCAGATCTCATTGAAAGACTGAGACGGAGATCGTCCCCCACTGGGAGTTGGGTGTTGGGCAACTAAACCCACAGTTTGTATCATACAAACACATAGATTTACTCCTGTGGCTCTTTCTTGGGTCACTGAGCTGAGAACTCACACATAATTCATAAACTGTCTGCAGGTGAGATGTGGCGTTGAATCTGCGTTGAACTGTCCCTTTATGTTCTCTTTAACCACACCAGGTGGAGTTCAACATCCGCAAACTGGAACCTTCGTCGGTCTTCAAAATGACACCCCTCTGTCGGGCACGCGCGGCCTCGTGCACCAGCAGAGCATTAAGTAAGATGCGCGCGCTCGGAGCACGGAGTGAGCCAGAAACAGGCGGCGCTGGAAGCAGCTCCGGAGAGAACGCGTGCACTGCGGGGGGAACATGAGCGCTGCGCACCTGCTCCTGCGGGAAGCTTCTCTTCTCCGGAGGCGTAGGTGACGCGCCCTGCGGGACTCGGGTCCGGTGTGGTACCGCAGAGCATGGCGGAGCTGTTGATCTACAACACCACGTCCTCGTGGAACTGGTCCTCTGCGGAACGCGACAGCTTCAGCGGGCCGGACGACATCGACGTGCCGGCGGACGCGTACCCGGCCCTGCGCATCCTCATCTCCATCGTGTACTCGGTGGTGTGCGCCGCCGGGCTGGCGGGGAACCTGCTGGTCTTCTTCCTGATGAAGGATCGCCGCGGCAGGAAGAAACGCCCCAGCATCAACCTGTTCATCCTCAACCTGGCCGTCACAGACTTCCAGTTCGTGCTGACGCTGCCGTTCTGGGCGGTGGACACGGCGATGGACTTCAGCTGGCCGTTTGGAAACGCCATGTGCAAGATCATCCTGTCCGTGACGGTGATGAACGTGTACGCCAGCGTGTTCTTCCTCACCGCCATGAGCGTCACCCGGTACTGGTCGGTGGCCTCGGCGCTGAAGGACCGGACCCGGCGGCGGGTGTTCCCGGTGCGCTGGGTGATCGCGGGGCTCTGGGTCTCCGCCACGGCGGCCACTTTGCCCACCGCCGTTTTCTCCACGGTGAAGAGCGTGGCTGGAGAGAGGCTGTGCCTGCAGGGATTCCCGGACGGCCAATCGTGGCTGGCGCTGTACCACCTCCAGAAGATCCTGGTGGCTTTTGTATTCCCGATGCTGATCGTCAGCGTGTGCTACCTGCTGCTGCTGCGCTTCGTGCGCCTGCGCAGCATGAACAACAACCAGGTGAAGCTGAGGTCCCGCGTGACCCGCTCGGTCACCATCGTCGTCCTCTCTTTCTTCATCTGCTGGATGCCCAACCACGCCATCACCTTCTGGGGCGTGCTGGTGAAATTGAACGTGGTCAACTGGGACAGGACGTACTACATGGTGCACACGTACGTGCACCCGGTGACCGTGTGCCTGGCGCACACCAATAGCTGCCTGAACCCGGTGCTGTACTGCCTCATGCGCCGCGAGTTCCGCAAGAAGATGAAGGATCTCTTCTGGAGGATTTCATCGCCCGGCGGGACGAACAGCTGCCCGCTGCGGCCGTTCTCCGGGACGGTGCGCGCCGAGCCGGAGGACACGCAGGTCGTCATCCCGCTGAACACCGTGGAGACGGAGCACTGCAGATTGTCCATTCTAACGGACCAGTGCGACGCTGGCGCGCTGCACAAGTAACGCGCACATTTCTTTACGCTCATTAAAGACTCTTTTATTACTTTTAACCAAACACTACCGGATCCATTCGGGCTGCCAAATCCAACGCCAGTACAAAACCATTAAAGGCATCACAGCTTTACGTGCCATGTTACATGTTACTTTAGACTTTGCATGGGATTCGAAAACGTGTGAAATGGGAGAGAAATACTAGTGCGTAAATTGCGCATATGTGCGTAAAAACCATGTGCTGCGTTTCCTGCTTCTTCTGCGACCACGGGGATGCTGCTTTTTTGGTCTTGGAAGCTGACTTTGTTTCTCTACTATGAATCCGTCCTCTGAAGAGACCCTAACCCCGACGTCCGGCTCTCATCCCGCCGCATGGAGGATCCAGCTGCGGTCTCGAGCTTTATTCTGTGGATTATTATTGTTTTTGTGTGGCTGCTGTGTCAAATGTTCGTGCTTGAGTGACTGAATGAATACATGCATTTAAAAAAGGCAGTGTGAGTTTAAAAGACGATGTCTTTTGAGAGTAAATAGGCGAAGGGGCAGCAGGCTGTGATGCGTTCAGGGGTTCGGATTTACTGACATTGAGTCAAGTGTTGCTGCAGTCTGACTCTGCTGGAAACATGCTGCCGTTTATCAGAGGAGATGAAAACACGTGTGTATGTAAATGTATTCTGCTTTACAGATGTTCAGTGAGACAGTTTAAAGGTTACATTCAGTTTGAGTCCATGTTCCTCATGCGGGCAGTGTACACGTCACTGCTGAGCACTGACAGTCAATGTCAGTGCAGCTCACAGAAAATCAGAGTCCATGGCCACAAATAGTGAAAAGAAGAAAACACTTAAATTATTTACAGTTTTCAGATAAAATAGTGTTGGGTGTTAAATGGAAATCTTTAAATTGATTCTTTGGTTCAAACTTAAAACCCAAATATCTATGAAAAAGAGAAAGAAAAGCAAGAACCTGGAAAAAGTGAATGTTTGATAGTTAAGTTTGAAAAAAGGCTGTATTTAGTCATCAATTTGCATCAGTTTGACTACAAAAAAATCAAATTTCTGAAAAATGTGGATCCTATTACTACAAATATATTTTTATTTAACAGGAGATTTAAAAATCTCTATTTTGCTCACACAACGGTTCGATATCTCAACAAAAGTGACACAAGTCAGAGGACACAGGACTGTTTTTGAAGAAAAGTCATGTGATTAAACCATCTGAAGGGTTATTGCTCTTTACTCGTTCTCGCTCGTGATTACGTGGATAAACTTCAACATAAATTCACAAAGAATTATGTAATTTTTTAAAGAAAAGCTACAAATGCTGAATGAAAGTTTCACATTAAAACACAAATAACAGACGTTAATTTCCTCATTAGAAAAAAAGTTATTTGGATTTTGGTTGCCATGGTTTCTGCCGAGCAATCAGGATTCAGACGGATTGAGAGTCTGGAAAGTTTGGAACAAAACTCTAAACTACGTCACTTTGCACGAGTTTTCATTTAGTGAACTGTATTTATGTAAAACGTGTGTGTAATAAACATTTACATGTCTTTGATGAATGAAAATGAATGGTTTTATTTTCTCATGTATTTCCTTCTTTCGGTTTCGGGTTCTGTTCATTTCTGTGAAGTCAGTCCGAGGCTGGTCGTGATTTTGACTTCTTTCCAAGACACACACACAAGAACGCGGTGCAGATGTTCTTCACTTTGTGCACATCTGTTGGAGGAAAAGAAGATCAAACCTGTCTGTGAATAGTTTCCTAAAGAACGCTCCCTGAACCAACAAGTCGATCTGCTATTGTCCAAACAAGCATCAGAGCCAGAAACATACGTGGTCCTCTCGTAAAGTTAGACATTATAATTAGACATTAAGCATTAGACACAAAGCGATTTAACTGAAAACGGACAATTTGAGCTAAAATAAAGAGGCGAGATCACCTGTGAGCATAACCCTTCTGATGAACCTGAATCTGACCATAAAAACACGTGCCTCGTTATTTCTCCTTCGCAAAGAGGCCCTAATAGAAGAGCGTCAGGAGGACACCAAGTGGACATCAGGAGGACATCAGGAGGACATCAGCACGGAACAAAGAGCGGCTGCTTACGTAAAGACCCTCCAGCCTATAAACCTTCAGGTGGACTTTGGTCGTCCGTTCGTCTGCAGCATAAAAGCTGCAGGAAACCAGGCAGCAGGCCGTTATCACGCACGCACGCACACACACACACACACACACACACACACACACACACACACACACACACACACACACACACACACGCACACAATACCGACACACAGTCTCTCTCTCACACACACACACACACACACATTAACACGCACACAACAGTGTTAATTTCGTTGGCGAAAACTATGACGAAAAATGTTCGTTAACGAACCTTTTTTCCATGACTAGGACGAGACTAAGACGAGACGAAAACAATCTTAAAAAAAATAAAAACTATGACTAAATCTATTCTAACTTTCGTTAACGAGACGAGACGAACATGTTGGTGGTTGACGAAGTCACAATACCGTTTCCCCCTAAATTCGCATGCAGCTGACAGACAACAGACCGGCAGATATTAACGCGTCATGGTGACGTCATCCACGAACCCAGAACGCCCACAGCGGTGCCGCGGTGGTTCTTGTGCACCGACGACGAACTGATCTGTCATTGCTTAGGGTCTCATGTACCAAATGTAAAGGCATGGTGAGGTATGTACAAACATGCCGACAACAGATTGAAAAATGAATGGTCCAAAAAAGGCGAGTAAATAAAAACGTGTCTTAGTCTTGCTAGCTGCTTTACTGCTATAATTAGCGAGCTAGCGGTAGCTTCTTGCCTGCTGGAGGCTTCTTACGTTCCTCACGTCAAAACTTAGTGCTCCCGTGCCATGTTACGTTGACTTTGCATATTTTGCCATAGACACTTTTTTGGTTTATTTATTGTGAAATGCTCGCACACCTTGGACAGCTAAAGCCTGTGGTTCTGCGTTTTCAGAGAGAAACAAGGACACACAGACGCAAGAGCCTCTTGCGTGCCCCTTGCATGCTTTTTTATCCCTTCTTGCGGGTTCCAATTTTTCTAGACTAGCGTCAAAAGCTACGCAAGCCTCGCGCAAGGCTGTGATTGGTCTGCTAACTACATCCTTTCCGGAGTCTCACATTTGCGGTTTCATAATACCGCTATTTTTAAAAGGAAGATTTTTGACGAGAGAATGAATCAGATTGAAAAGTTTTTGTCAGAAGAAATACGGAAATATGACCATCTACAACCCGTCATTGGCGGACTATAAGGACGCACGGATGGCCTCTGATTCATGGAGGGAGATCTCCGCAAACGTCGGAGTAAATAAACAAACCAACGACTTCCACACACAAAGACAGTCTTGGACCAAAAACGTTACTCCACCTAGTGTTCTGGCGGTGAATTGCTTCGTAACACGCGACAAAACGGCGCGAAAAAAAGCAGACGCAGCGCCAGCCTTTCTCTTCTCTGCCTGCGTCATGTGACTCACAACAACTGCTGGCTGCTCTTTCCTCTACGTCGGCTCAGCTCAGCACAACGGATAATGAAATTCGTTGCCAACACATTTCAAAATAATCATTTTTTTATCGATTTCATCGATTTGTTGTTGCAGCCCTACTCTAGAGAGGATCCTTCAGAACCTAGAGAGGTATGAAGCTGTGAAGCTATGAAGCAGAACTCCTGTAGCAGATTTCTGGAGTGTGAGAACAAACTCATTTAGACTGCTCGTAACATATTTTAGGTCTTTTAATCCCTCGGTTAAAGGTTGTGCTTAAAATACTGAGATAAACTAACACAAACATACACCGCTCTCCTCGGTGAAGGTCCTGTGTTTACAAGCAGTGTTGGGCAAGTTACTGAAAATGAGTATTTAGTTACAGTTACTAGTTACTTCTTTTAAAAAGGTAATTGAATTACTTACCAGTTACTGTGTATCAAAAGTAATTAGTTACTCTGGAAAGTAACTTTTAAGTTACTTTTATGTCTGCTTTTTAAATGTAATGAATATAAATAGTACTGAACAGTCAAACACAATAAACATATTTTTTAGACCTATTAATGGTAATCAACAGGGCAACAGGCCTTCAAATCAAGCAGTAGTACAAAAGTCCTTTTGAATACTTAACTTAATACAAAATAACTGTTTCAGTCATTTGCCTGAAGGCAACTGACTCGACAGTTGACAGGATGCATCTCATCTTCAAAATAGCGAGCAATCAATCTATTCAGCTCTGCTCGGTTTATCGGCTGCACTGCAGTCCGTGTAAAGTGGAGCCGTGGTTGTTTGCGTGGAGCGGCGCCTGCAGCATCTGCGGGCCTCCGCTCTTTCGTCATGAGCGACGCAATGCTGTTTACGTGCACGTACGCCGACTATTCTGTGACACACAACGTTTGGTGGCCACAACTATTTTGTGCTGACAGGCAGCTATTTACTTACTATTTGCCGGCCCTCCGCTTCGCGTCACAAAAGAGAGTAACGCGAGTAACAAACTCATTTCAATTTCAGTAATTGTAACTGCGTTAATTTAGTTGAAAAGTAGTGGAATTACAGTAATGCATTACTTGTAATATTACTCCCAACACTGGTTACAAGTCTTCTATCACTCATTGAGAGCAATCACAAAGCTTTGTTTACCACAGAGATTGTTTACTAACTAATTGTTTACTAATTAATAATGTTTGGTAATGAAAGATGGACAGCAGGAAACCTGTTATTTCTGACTAACTACCTAAGCTCTGATAAATCCACAAGGGAATCCACGTCTGCTACTGTGGCGCCCGGATGAGCTCAGCTGACGAGCAACCCGTAATCAGCATTAATGAGGTCAGAGGAGGCGCTCAGCGGTGATGGGATAAGGACGTGTTCACAGCAAAACAGAACTGCTGTAATCCGTGCTCTCTCTGAGAGATCACGTGAGACCCGAAGATCCAGCGAGGAAGCTTCTGTCCCTCTCCTTTGCTGATGGACCTCCGCCAGGAAGCAGCCCGCTTAGTTTACGACAAAATAAATCTTCCCCTTCACGAAATGACTCTGTTTACTGAACAAATGTGTCGCCGGGCAGACGAGACGAGATGTGGTGACTCTGGAGAGGTCTAACAAATAATCATCTCTGAACTCCTCTGATGTGCCTTTATTAAACGTGCTTCAGTGCACGAGTTAAATGCTTCAAAGCGTCATTTCATTGAACGCGTTCACGGGTAATTTGTTAAATGTATTTCTGGTGGTCAGTCAGGCTTCAAGGCAGGCCATTCCACAGAGACTGCTCTCCTTGCTGTCTCAGAGCAACTCCACACTGCTAGAGACGCCTCTGTTCTCATCCTTCTGGACCTCTCTGCTGCATTTGACACAGTCAACCACCAGATCCTTATTTCCTCCCTTCAGGAACCTGGAGAGGATCTGTGTTGGAACCTTTCAATTCAATTCAATTCATTTTATTTTGTATAGACCAAAATCGCAAATTACAAATTTGCCTCAGAGGGCTTTACAGTCTGTACACATATGACATCCTCTGTCCCGAAACCCACCATCGGCACAGGAAAACCTCCCCAAAAAATGAAAAAACCCTTCCAAGAGGGAAAAAAGGGAAGAAACCTTAGGGAGAACGTCAGAGGAGGGATCCCACTCCCGGGATGGACCGACTACAATGGATGCCATGTGTACAGAATGAACAATATATAATACATTCAATTCCTATGACAAAAATGATTCAAGTAATTGTGAGTAGTAAGCCAGGCGCACAGCAGGACCACTGCAGGGGCAACCACCATCAGATAGAACCACCATCTACAGAAGCCTGTGGGGAGGGAGAGCACAGAGACTTAAGGAGAGGGTAATGTTGGTTTATGAGTACAGTAATATGATTAATATCTAAAATAATAATGATGATGATGATGATGATGATGGCAGAACCTTGTCCTCTTACCACTCAGGGTTCCGCCCTGGGTCCCCTGCTCTTCTCGCTCTACGCCAACTCTCTCGGCGCTGTCATTCGCTTGCATGGCTTCTCCTACCACAGTTATGCCGATGTCACCCAACTAATTCTCTCCTTCCCTCCCTCAGACACCCAGGTGGCGGCACTGACTGACAGTGCCGCCACCTGGCACCTGACAGGCAGAGTCAGTGCTGACTGACTCTGCCTGTCTGACTGACATCTCTCAGGGGATGTCCGCCCACCATCTGAAAATCAACCCCGACAAGACTGAACTACTTCTATTTCCGGGAAAAGATTCTCCTACCCAGGACCTGACGGTCAACTTTGGCAACTCCGTGTTGACAGCGACTTTGACTGCTAGGAACCTCGGCGTGACTCTCGACAGCCAACTCTCCCTGACTCCCAATATTACTGCGACAACACGATCCTGTAGATACACGCTCTACAACATCAGGCAGCCTGATCTCCAAAACCTGTTCGTAAAAATGTATACGAAAATCTTGAACATACAAATTTCGTAGTGATACATACGAAATAAATACGGACTGCAACTGATGACGTCACCCTATTCAAAGTGAATGGGGACCTGCACCCCGTAAACACACTTTGTGAAGTCTAACAATGTAAAATAAACGTGTTATGATTGCATTTGTAACGCGAAATCAATGTTAACTTGTAAGAATAGAATAATAATAATAATAAAAAATCCAACATGGCGGAGAGACGTTCACTCAAGAATCCGACATGGTCCGCCATGTTGTTCACTCAAGGGGCGTGGTTAACCACCGCAGTTCCTATGTATTGTTACGAATTTGTATGTTCAAGATTTTCGTATACATTTTTACGAACAGGTTTTGGAGATCACGTTGCATCAGGAGAACACGTCCCCTGATTCAGGCTCTTGTCATCTCCCGCTTTGACTATTTGTAACTTTCTCCTGCAGGTCTCCCTGCTACCGCCATTCAACCTCTGCAGCTCATCCAGAATGCAGCAGCTCGACTGGTCTTTAACCTTCCTAAATTCTCCCACACTACGCTCACTACTCAAAACATTGGTACTATGCTGTGAATGGATCGGGTCCAGCTTACATCCAGGACATGGTCAATCCCGACTCGCACTCTCCGCTCTGCATCTGCAAAACTACTCGTCCCTCCCTCACTGAGAGCAAAACACTCGACTAGATCTCGACTCTTTCCTGTCCTTGCTCCAAAATGGTGGAACGAGCTCTCTGAAGACACCAGGACCGCAGAGAGCCTTCACATCTTCTGCTGCAAACTAAAGACACACCTCTTCAGACTCTACCTCGACTAAATGACTAACAAATTGTAGCACTTAAATTGTACTTATAACGCCATCTATAGCAAATTGTAAATTGGCTTATTTGATGAAATTGAATTTTTTTATTTTTTGTTCTTCTGGGTTTGTGTCCCTATGGTTGAATGCACTTATTGTAAGTCGCTTTGGATAAAAGCATCAGCTAAATGACATGTAATGTAATGAAGATGATGAGGATGAGGATGTTAGCGCTTTGCAGAGGAGCGAGTTCTCACAGTGGACCCGCCTGTCGGCTCCAACAGCAGCTCGTCTACTGACAACAGAAACATGGCTGTCAATCAAAGCGTGTGTGAGGAAACAGGAAACTCGTTATCTGTGCATGTTCAGCTGAGGAGACTCATGCTGCGTTCACAAAACATCACCGTTTATCACCGTTAATCAATGAGTCGTAAATAAGGATTGGAAAAAAAGGATTTTCATAAAAGCTCTGAAGACCTAATGATAATGATACAGAAGAAAGACATCAGACAAATCTGTGTCTGTCCAGTCTTTTAAAGCCTAATCGAGCCAGAGAGAGACAGAGACAGACAGAGGCCAGTAGCATGACAGTCCCCTGATGGTGGTATAGGCGTGTGTGTCTATGTGTGTACAGCCGCCCTCATCCTCCCGGTCTGTCAGCTTCTCCCCGAGCCTCGCGAGCTTGGCTCTCAGCTCGGGAGCCGGGATGAAGCCCCTCTCCTCCATGTCCACCATCCTCATGGCCTCCAGGATTTCCGCCTCTGGCGCCTCCTGCTGGAGCAGCTGGTTGCATGATGCTCAGGAAGGTGGAGAAGTTCAGCTCTCTGCCCAAATCTGGTGGGGTACATGCAGCCTTTTACTGGACAGATGGGCAGACAGGAGGTTTATTGATTCGCCTCATTGATCCGAGCAGGAGAAATGAGGAGGCCGCAGGTGGAAACCTTGCTATCACTGAATGTGAAATAAGTTGTTCAAACAGAGAAGCAGTAAACCAGAATGTAAAGAGCGGAGCAGTCCGATAAGATGGTGACAGTTCAAACATGTTGAATAAACGGGATTAGTGGAAACTGGGAGCAGCTCATTATTCGGAAATTTCCCCTTCAGACTTACTCAAATGAATTTTATCCGAAGATAACACAAGAGAAAGTCAAATATAACAGATCTTAATGAAAACACAGGAATAATAAATATCACAATAAAAAGATATATTACAAAGACATCACTGCTGTTTCTGGGTATTTCCCTCCAGGAAGAAAACTGAATTAAAGATTGACTTGAAACTGAGGTATTGAGGTGTGTATATTTCAAATGATATCTACACATACTGTATATTGCGATATATTGCGATACCTAAGCGGCTCGTCTATGACTCACACTCGGCTCTGCTGAATTATGCGGAGTCATTTCAACTGTACTGCAGTAAAAAGGCATTTTCCCTCCAAATGGTGTCCAACTCCTTTGCAGATAACCAATTCAGAAATAAGCCACGGACTATAGAGAGGAAGTGGTCGTCGTCATGGTGATCCTTGAGATCCGAACAGATGTAGCAGTGGTAAGCTTGTGAGGACCAGCAGCCCATGATTTGGATGAGGTGTTCTGGGCTGCCATTACGGGAGGCTGTAGTAGCGGCGCCGATTTTAAAGGAGTGTCCGGAATACAAAGTGGGATAAATGCCAGACAAGGAGAGAATGTGGCGGAAGTGCTGGTGGAACCAGAATCTGGTGGCTACTTCGCCAGATTCTGAGATGAAGAGTGGGTCTGTTGCTGATAGGCTGTGCGATTGCCGGAGCTGCAAGTACGTGGAAAGGGTTTCGAATGGACTCAGGGGTGACTGTATCTTGAAGTAAGGTGTCGGTCGGCCTGATTGGTTGGTTTTTGTTTGCTTTAATTAGAATGTCATGGTGTATTCCGAAAGAAAACACCATCCAGAAGTCAGATATGCAGGCATGGCGGCGTGCATTGAAGGTGAGGGTTGAGGCGGTAAACTATGAGCATCTGAGGAATCCAAAAAAGGCCAGGGAGAACATGGCTTCCAACGTTAAGGCGGGAAGGTTACTTGGTATCAGTTGTGGAAGCTCTTCCAAGCTGTCCAGTAAGACGAGTGGGTAATTGGGTAAATTTCAAAGAGTGCGGAGGAGGTTATTACGCAGTCTCTTGCGAGCTCGGGAGGCAATTTTTCTGCTAACCATCTTCCATTGTAGAAGCCCTCAAAACCAACAGAAGGAGCAGCGTCCGTATTCAGATGCAGCTGTTGTCAGGATCTCCGATCCCCCCGAGTTGGTTGATGAGAAGGATCCAGCACGTTGATCAATTAAAGTCAAAAAGTTAACATTTATTTAGAAGAGAAAAAGATTACATGAACAATTCTCCGCAGATATCTGGCTCTAACTATTGCTTGCAAGCAGGAGGTCAAGCACACCAGTACGTATTCCAGCATTCTGTGTAATGGCGTCTCCGAGCAGTAAAAACGCGTTTAAACGAGTTTTTATACCAAGACCGTTCTCAGTGCCCGTTATGAGAAGCCATAAATCAAGTTGAGATAAGAACTCGGGTGAAGCTGAGGGTAACACACAATGCTCCTTTGATCGAGGGTCTGTGACAGCAAGTTAACCCCCTTCTCCAGACACAGCTGCAAACCCTAAATATTTCTGTCTCTACACATCAGGGTCAAACACTTGAGACCTGGCTTTTGGCACCAGACAAATGTTTACAACATGTTTTACCACTACATGCATCTCACAATGTGTAGATGTGTTAATATGTTGTCGTAGAAAAAGGTGATTCCGTTCCAATTAGAGAGCAGATTCTACCAGAGACGGAGTTCGGCACGGCTTGAACTGTCCAGGGGGGTGAAATCAACGCCAGGAGGTCCTGAGCTAGTCAAGGTTAGCTTCATTAGCTCCAGGCTAAAAGGTGCAGTGTGAACATGTCCTTATTTAACTTTCCCATGTTTGACTTGCAGAAAAAGTTAATTGAACCGCAGAAAGTTGTAGTTGAGGTGTCAGAATCAGCTTTATTCACTGCGTCATGAATACATAAAACTGGACTCTGGTTCCATGTGCTCTATATTAAAACAAAAACACAGCACGTACAATAACAAAGAACATAGGCCTACAAGAAATATTTGCAATATTTGCAACGAGACTGAAGACGTGGAACATGTCATTATGAAGTATCGAAAATACAACACAGAAAGAAACATCTTGAAGGCTTTACCCTGAATCTGCACACTACGGTACAGTAGGTGGCGGTATGCACCTAGTCGAGTTCGTTGCGATACGCTATATCAAACCTAAAGAAGAAGAAGTGGAACACATGTGGGATGCAGGAAGTTCCTGTCGGAGGTGTTTTTACGGTGCACACTAACTTCCGGGCAGATGACTAGATTCAGAAGGTGAAAGTGTCTGTTTGAGATTTAAATCTTTTAAGTTTTTCCAACGTTTTACACGGAGACCAGACCCAGAGACTGGTTCCTACTTCCACGAAGTACTCGAAGTTTGTTTTAGGGAACCCGGAGCCTCCGAGCGGCGGTTCGCCCACCAGCTCGCGACATTAGCACGCGAGCTAACCGGCTAGCTCCGCGGCACCCCGGGCACAGGGAACCCCGGAGCTGGGCCCTCGTTACCGGAGCCTCGTTCCGTCGAAACGACAAGAACCACCCGTCCTCCTCCTCCCAGCCCCGGGGCCATTACGGAGAAGATTCCCCTTTCATGCGTGCACTGGGGCGGGTTTGGACATTTTAATGGGAGGCGCCTCGCTCCGGACGAGTGGACACCGCGGGCGCCAGTTGCGAGGGGAGCCGGGGTCCGCGCCGCGCCGTGCCGGGCTCGGATGGAGTCTCTGGCCGGCTACGTGTACAAGGCGGCCAGCGAGGGCCGCGTCTTGACCCTGGCCGCGCTGCTCCACAACCACCCGGATGCCGAGGTGCGCTACCTGCTGGGCCACGTCACGCAGGTGGCCGGGCAGAGGTCCACGCCGCTGATTATCGCGGCCCGCAACGGACACGACAAGGTGGTCCGGCTGCTGGTGGACCACTACAAGGTGGACACCGAGCAGACCGGCACGGTGCGCTTCGACGGGTGAGCCGTAACGACGGGACGCGTTACTCTCCGTGGCTTCATTCTTTGTTTTGCTCAACTATTGGTAGATGTAGAATTATTTGTACATTTGAAGTATTTATCAAGACTGAAACATTTTAGTTTGTTTAATCAAACGTATTTTTATGAGACACCTTTTAATATTTAAGTAAACTATCCAATGTTTTTTTTTTTTTACTAACAAAACTGAGCAGCTAATATCTATGTAAATGAGGGTCACCACAGAAACCAGCTGTTTCGGACCCCTTTAAGTATTTTAATATGTAACGGAGTAAGTAGTAATGTTCCCCCATAGAGATGCTCTGGTGAAACAGATCTCAGATCAGGTCCTGACCGTCTCCCCCTCCGTCCCTCAGCTATGTCATCGACGGGGCCACGGCGCTGTGGTGCGCGGCGGGGGCCGGTCACTTCGAGGTGGTGCGCCTTCTGCTGAGCCACCGTGCCAATGTCAACCACACCACCATCACAAACTCCACCCCTCTGCGCGCCGCCTGCTTCGATGGCCGCCTGGACATCGTGCACTACCTGGTGGAGCACCACGCTGACATCCGCATCACCAACAAGTACAACAACACCTGCCTGATGATCGCCGCCTACAAGGGCCACGCCGACGTGGTGGCCTTCCTGCTGGAGCAGGGGGCGGACCCCAATGCCAAGGCCCACTGCGGCGCCACTGCCCTGCACTTCGCCGCCGAGGCGGGCCACCTGGAGATCGTGAAGGAGCTTGTGCGCTGCCGGGCCAGCATGGTGGTCAACGGGCACGGCATGACGCCGCTGAAGGTGGCGGCGGAGAGCTGCAAGGCGGACGTGGTGGAGCTGCTGCTGGCGCACGCCGACTGCGACCCGTGCAGCCGCATTGAGGCGCTGGAGCTGCTCGGCGCCTCGTTCGCTAACGACCGCGAGAACTACGACATCCAGAGGACCTACCACTACCTGCACATGGCCATGGCGGAGCGCCACCGCGACCCGGAGCGTGTCCCCGCCAAGGAGCTGCCCCCCGCCATCGAGGCGTACGGAGGCCGCGCCGAGTGCCAGACCCTCCGGGAGCTGGAGGCCATCCGGGTGGACCGAGACGCCCTGCACATGGAGGGCCTGATGATCCGGGAGCGGGTGCTGGGCTCGGACAACATCGACGTGTCTCACCCAATCATCTACCGCGGCGCCGTCTACGCCGACAACATGGAGTTTGAGCAGTGCATCAAGCTGTGGCTGCACGCACTGCGGCTGCGACAAAAGGGCAACCGCAACACGCACAAGGACCTGCTGCGCTTCGCCCAGGTCTTCTCCCAGATGGTGCACCTGAAGGAGGCGGTGCCGGCCTCCGCTGTGGAGCAGGTGCTGAGCTGCAGCGTGCTGGAGATCCAGCGCAGCATGGCACGTGTGGACACAGCGGCCGAGGCTGAGCAGCCGCAGGCTGTGGACAACTACGAGTCCAACGTCTTCACCTTCCTCTACCTGACTTGCATCTCCACAAAGACGACCTGCGGCGAGGAGGCGCGCGCTCGCATCAACAAGCACATCTACGACCTGATCCAGCTGGACCCGCGCTCCCGTGAGGGCTCCTCGCTGCTGCACCTGGCCATCAGCTCCAGCACGCCGGTGGACGACTTCCACACCAACGACGTGTGCAGCTTCCCCAGCGCGCAGGTCACCAAGCTTCTGCTGGACTGCGGCGCCTCTGTTAACGCCACGGACCACGAGGGCAACACGCCGCTGCACGTCATCGTGCAGTACAACCGGCCCATCAGCGACTTCCTCACGCTGCATGCCATCATCATCAGCCTGGTGGAGGCCGGCGCCCACACCGACCGGACCAACAAGCAGAAGAAGACGCCGCTGGACAAGAGCACCACAGGCGTGTCGGAGATCCTGCTGAAGACACAGATGAAGATGAGCCTCAAGTGCCTGGCGGCACGCGCCGTGCGCCGGCACCATATCTGCTACCGCGACCAGATCCCCAAGACGCTGGAGGAGTTTGTGGAGTTCCACTGAGGACGCATGCCGCCACGCTTTTTTTTATCGTTTTCTAACAAATCAAGTTTTTGAGCCTTTTTATAATAATGCTTGGTTGCTTTTTTTTTAGTTTGAATTTTACTTCGGAGAGACGCCAGAGAGCTGTTTCCTGTTTTGCCTTATCTCTGTGATGATGGAGCCACAATCTTACTGTGATTCTGTCCCTGACACACACACACTAGCTTTCACTGGACTCATCTGCTTCTCTGTATTAAATGGCAGATAATAACTGCGACTTGGTGTTCCTCCTCACAGATCAATAACCACGTCTTCCTCCTTTGAGCCTTGTGCACGTTGTTAAAAACACAGAGCAAATATTCCGTCAGATACACTATTGAGCTTTTATTTTGAAAAACCTGTATCTGAGCACGAAGCTATGATTGTTGAAATCCTTTTCTTTTTTTAAAGTTTTAATTATTTGTCTTAATAAGCAATGATGTCGTGGTCGTTTACATCTGGAGAGAAAAAAACATGAGCTTACAAGTTGATGTGATGGAAATAGAACTTTCTTTTAAGTCTGTATGAAGCTTTTTTTTTTCTTTTTTTTTTAACAATTTATTTTAAATGATGGACCTTATTGGACTTAACTGTTTTATTTATTCACTGCGAGTGTCCTGTTTGAATTTGGTTCTGCTCCATTTTGTTCTTTTTACATTTTATTGTTTCTCTGTTTGCCTGAAATGCCTCCTGAAATATGATTTTTAAACCCAGAAAGAAAACAGAAAATCGAATGCCGAAGTCCAAAAAGCAGGAGCTTCTTTCTCTGTAGATCCAGCGTGGAGGATCATCGGAGCGGAGCCTGGTTCTGCTCATTCGTCTTCAGTAAACTTCTTAACTTGCTATCTGCTTCTTCCTCAGCTCTTTGGAGTTCCTAGTGGCTCTGCATCCTCTCTGGAGGGCTCCTTCTTAGGCCCATTTAAACAGAGCTCCTCCTGGACCGTAATAGGCCAATCACAAGCTTATTCTTATGGTTTCTGTCCTGGTGGAGCTGGAAATGTTTTAATGTTTTTTTTTTTTTTTTTCTGTGGCTGAAATGAAGCCAAAGATTCTCTTCTGAGGGCGTCAGCTGTAATGTACTTCCTGTGGAGTGAATGCTGTCAAATTAAAGGTCTGTCTGCATCCTCCATCATCCTCCTGTTCTTTTATTCTGAGTCAACGATTCTCCAACGAGCTGCTCTGGCCGGAACTGATTGGTTTTATTGTGTGACGTCTTTAAGCAGGTTCTGATCACATGCCTCTTATTGGAAATCTTTTATTGAGTAAGTTTTTATCTCTGCAGGGAAGAGGATTCACACACAGGCATGAAAACATTTTTTGGGGGGGGGGGGGTGTTCATATTCAGTGAACTTGTGTGCGTGCTAGAAGGGCGCGCGAGATTCAGTGAATTGGGAATAGGGTGAGTGATGGTTTCAATCATTTTAATATTTTCTGGTTTATCCAAGTTAAGTTACCTAGGAGCTTTGTTGACATAGACTTAGCTAACGTTAGCTACAGCTTGATCATGAATTGAGTCATTTAACACCGCAGGAGAGAACGCGACGTCGGCCAGCCAGCTAAAGCCCCGGTGGGAAATGATTAGCTAACGCGACCGTTTTTGAGGAGGTAGATTTTGAGGTGAGGGGACAAAGCAGAAGGTAAAGTGGTCCACCGTTCTTTCAATTAGCAGACCTGCCAACCTGATACGCATTTTGACGCTGGTACGATTTGTCACTTTACGTAAAAATTTGTCTAAAATCAATTTTAGACTAGTTGACCAGCACACATTATATGCAATGCAATATAATGCATGACGAGTATTTAATGACTTGTCCCATATTAGTTGTTGTCCCCCCCCCCCCTCGTCGGTACGCAGAAAATGATCACTGGGACAAAACGAGTTGAAAACTCCTGCCCTAGAGGGGTAATATCCTTCTCACCTTTTTTCACCCTTGACCCGTTTTCATGCCTGCACATATGTCTGAAGGCAATTACAGATTGAGATTTAAACCCCCATTCCCACCGCGCCCAATGCAGGGTTACAGGCTGGACTCATTTTAACGTCAAACCCTTCCTCAAATCTGAAAAAACACATTCCATATTTTATTTTCATATAATTGAATTATTTATCATGTGGCTCGGGGGGCTCTATTGTCCAATGTTCATTATAAATATATTGATGTAAGTAACACCGCATTCGACTCAACATCTTTGAAATATATATAATGAAATATGAATAAAGACATTATACCCATCATGTATGTTTATTACATTTAACGGAGAGGCGGCATGCATACATATTTACATTAAAGTTGTAGATTTATTTTATACAACAAAAGTATCAGTATTTAAAAATAGGCTCAGTATTAAATCATATTTATCCACTTTTTGTTGTTTCTGATCTCCCAGCAGAACCTGAAGGCATCCCGGAGCGTTGTGTGTAAATATCTTCGTGTTAGCTAGTTAGCTTTGAGCTAATCTGTGTCTAGTCTGGAATAAGATTTATTGTTTTCCTCTTTCTATAAACCAAAGTCTTTATTTTATTTCATGATACATAGGATTTCTTACAGAAAGTTACTCTTCAATTGATTTTTGTTTTCATACAAAAATACGGCAAGTCGTGAAAGTTTCTGACCGTTGATATGTTCAGGTGCTCCTCGTTCACTCATAAAGTCGTACAACAGGTCAAAGGTCGGACCGCTGTGTCACGTGAACAACGGGCCCCATAGTTCTTTTTGTTAAACTCAATGCGGACCTCAGAACTTCTCTGAATCGTTTTGACTCTACGGGTCTTTGAAAATGCAGCGCCGTGGCCGTAGCTCCTCCTCTGGCTTCCTATTGGCTACCGGCTGCTCCACCTCCTCCCGCCTCCTCCCTCTGTTGAAGAACCCGAGCTGAGAGAAAGACACGGCCATTTTATATTAAATCTAAAGTACTAATACTTGTACAAGTGCTGCATATATTATTTTTCTCAAAAATATTTCATGTACCAAAGCAAAAGTGCTCATCTTACGGAATACTAAATATCATGTTGTATTATGATTGATGCATTTTACTTTAAAAGTGGAGCTTATTTTAATTATTACATATACTAGTGTGTGCGCGTGCGTGCGGGGCCCACCCTCCACAGGGCCAGCACCAGCAAGCCCAGCAGCAGCAGGCCCCCCACTGAGCTCCCCAGTATGATCCAGACTGGGACCACTTGGTCCTCGTCCTTCCGGAGCTGCAGGAGTATCTGAAATGTTCATATTTATTTATTCTCTTCTTCTGAGCCTTTAAATGTATTTCACATGATGAGGTCATCATGATGACAGAACACAACATGATTACAGTTCAAAGGTTAGACAGATGATGATAAACATAAATAAATAAAACATGTACAGTGACATGAATACCACGTGATCTGGAGTTAAACACCTGCAGTGAAGCCAGACAACAGGTGGCAGCAAAGCTCCATATCTTTGAGTCAGCAAAGACTTGCTTATTGTAATAAGTTAGTTATTACATTTATTATCTCACAGAAATTAATCAATTCCGTGTTTAATAATAATACTGTTCATTGAGATTCACGTGACTTAAACCAACAATAAGCAGTTTTATTAACTTAACTACATTTAAAGGGCTTGAGAAGTCTTCAGTGGGAAAAACAAACAAGAATCAATCCATTTATGTTGATTGATTAATGTAATGACTGATAGATGAATGGATTGTTTCATTGATTGATTGATTGGTATGTTGGTTGGGTTAGTTGATATATTGACTGATTGATTGATTGATAGATTGGTAGGTTGGCATGTTGATCGGTCGATTGATTGATCGGTTACCTGTCTGACAGGTCGGTCCTCCTGGAGGAACATGGGACTGGATTCTTCCAGCTGGATGGAGGCTGCTGTCAGTAACTCCAAAGACCTGAAGCTCACCTGAGACACAAAGCCACATCTTCCCTGAGTGGACTTTGATCTCCATGTAAACATGGAGACTAATGTTGATCAATGAGATACACAAAGAGACTCACAGCGAGCAGAGCGGGGAGCAGAAGTCGTCCTCTGAGCGTCACCTGCAGCCCTCTGGAGGCCGGCAGGTTGAGTTCGCACAGGACCACCAGGCTCCCACTGTTACTGAGGTTCTACACGGACAGAGGAGGAAGAGCTCAGCTGTCTCTCTGAGGCGATGAACCTGAGACCCGTTCTGTGTGAGACGTCTTACCAGCTGAGACAGGTGAGACAGGTCCTCAGTTGTCACCTGATTAGTTGCTCTGGGCTGAGGAAGCGTGCAGTGAGTCCCGGCTCCCTGTAGAGAGGAGGAGGCCAACGTGTCACTTATATTAAACATTATTATATGTAGTTTTGATACGTGCACCTCATCATGTGTGTCCTTTATTTTGCTATAAAGATTTTGCTATATAAGTACTTCATGTAGTATTCCTCAGAATAATAATCCCTTGTACCTGCTCGATGCTGTAGTCCGTCACGTTGACCAGCTGGTTTCCCTCTTGGGTCACGGCCCAGATATCCACTCTGAGCAGGACGTCCTGCACTGAGAACAAGCCCAGGTTCTGGATCTGTAGACGTAACAAAACATGAGGAGAAAACTCTTATTGTGAAATAGAAGTATACAGCTTTTAGTCAGTCATCTTCTATGCTGCTTATCCATAGAGTGTCGTGGAGGGGGGGGTCAATCCCAGCTAGCATCGTGGGAGAGACGGGGGTACTCTGGACTGGTCTCCAGTCAGTTACAGGGCAACCGAGAGACACACAACCATTCACCCATTCACACCCCTACAGAAGAGCTAGAGTCATCAGTTAGCATGCCTGTGAACTGACGGAGGAAGCCGGAGTACCCGGAGTACCCGGAGAGAACCCATGCAAAGGGGAAAACTTCCTATTCTTAAAGTGAAGTGAGAGCTAAATGCAGTTTTATGTTAAAGCTTAATGTCTCCATGTGTTAAAGCTGCATTTTCTCTCCTGACCACCAGGGGGCGACTCCTCTGGTCCCATAGAAGTCCATGGGAAACTGACTCTACTTTTCTCTTGATTTATTCCCTCAGTAAACATTGTAAACATGAGTTTATGGTTTCAGTCTCTAGTTTCAAGTCTTCTTAAATACAGCATGAAGTTAATTTAGTAAATTATGGTCCATTTGTCAAAAAGACCATAAAGCAGGGGATAATGATAATAATAATCTCTAATAGACCATTTAGCAGGGGATGCTTTAGGGCGGGACTACACGCTGATTGACAGGTGTCTCCCACACTTTTTCGGCGCACAAGCTACTTTTCATGGGGGGCAGTAGTCAGGCGAATGAGTAGAAGCGGTAACCCAGCAAAACAACCGCTAACGTTGCATGCCGTCAGCGCAAAAGGAGTCGATATAAAAAAAAAACAAGCCTCTCGTCTGTCAGAAGGAGGAAACCGTCACAACCATTCTACACATTCTTTGTCATTACCTTACCGGATGACTTGCTGATGGGCCAAAAAGGCTAGATATAGATATATAAGATGATAAATATATGAGGAAGAGGCTCGAAGACCCAGGTGAAGTAACAATTATGACATTTGAGAAGAACATTGAAAAGCGAGATGCTGCGTGGAAGTGTTCGATGAACTCACATAATAAGTGAGGTTGAAGGTGGAAGAGCTGCTCTCGGGTTTTTCTCTGGAGGAAGAGGAGGAGGAGGTGGATCTAATCTCAAAACGAGGAGGGTTTGGGTCTCTGATGGAGGAACAGTTTTCATTTTATAAACAGATTAAAAATACTTTAAGCATCTTTCACACAATGTCTGAGTCAAATATCAACAAAATCTCAAAGCGTTTTTAGCGTCAGTAAAATTAGGCCGACAGAAAAAAACATCTTCTGGGCGACAAAATGAATTACGCAGTGTTTAGTTTCTATTGTTCGATGTTATTATGCAGTTCACATTCTCCGGTATGAGGGTTGGGGTTAGGATCAGCAGAGTTACAGTACATCTGGTTCTTAAGAAAATATCATATTTAAACTTGACAAATGAACGAAAAACAGAATTTTTCAATCCTGCTCTTAGAAAATATCTTCCACTTCTCTGTTAGTTTGCATTCCAAGTGAATTCATCATTATCGACTTAAAAAAACAGCAACTGTACATTTTTTAGCCTTTAATTCCTTCCAAACTTTTTCAGTCAAAGATTTATTTGAACACAGCCAATAAAATATTGGTGAGATTTCGTTTTTCCTCATGCTTTGAGGTCATCATTTATTCCTCAATATTGATCAATAAAATGATCTCACTCACCTGGTGAAGAGGAGGTCGGTCTGGTACTTCAGGCGGAGGAAGATGTCATTGACGTTGTTGTCTGGGTAACTGTCCTCTCCCTCGCTGATGAGCACACATACACACGCATTGACCTTACCCTATGGGGACCGCTTCCCCAAATGGGAGTTGAGTCCCCACTATGTATCTGTGAGAACATGTGTGTCTCCATCTCCACACATTAATCAGTACACACATGTGTACTTTTATACTTTTGGGACACCTAAGAATATGTAATTTAACTTGATAATACAAAATACACAACTTAGATTTTAAACACAGTTTTAAATAAAACATAAGATGAAACAATGGTCTAACTTATTTAAACATTTTCTATGTATTTTTACTTATATGTATGATTTTTTTTCTCTTAATTAATCAGTTGTGTTAAATCTTTACATCCTGCTGGTGTTAAATAAAGGTATTGATTAATTTAATTATTGAACATTCACCACTGCAAATCAAAAGTAATATTATTCATTTATATGATTAAGTTTGATCTCGGAAGCTCTTTTTTGTCAAAATGTCCACAAAATGTCAACACATGTCTCCAACATTAAATATTTAGCAAATGGCGGTGAGAAAAGTGAAAGTGATATCTTGATAAAATAAAATCATCTCCTATTATCAAACAACATTTCCTTTATAACAGTCACATCCAGTAAAATAACCCTTGTCTTTGGTGTATTTTTAAAAATATACTTTTATGAATCCTATCTTCTCTAAAACATTCTGTTTAAACAATGCAATAATTGACATTAATGAAATATTAAATTGCCTGATAATACGTTTTTTTTACTTCATAAACCTCCAAAAAAACATCTAACAAGCAACGTTGACCGTCTCACCTGCCGGTCGCCATGACGACCTGAACGTGATCCAGGAAGACGTAGCGGTTGAACTCAAACTCCACCCGGAAGGACACCTGCACATAAATCAAGCAGGTGGAATGTCAGATGTTCCGCGAACATCATCAGGAGACAAAGATCTGAAGGATATTGTTTTCTTATCCTCAATGTTTCCTTCGTCGTAGACCTTTTTTCTCCACATATCTGCATTTCATCAACGACATCCATCAGTGACAGACCGGTCGCCATAATAACATAACTTAAATTTAGACTTCATAAAATGTCATTTAATTTGATTACAAACAAGTTAATCAAGTGAAAAAAACTGTTCCTCATTGTAAAAATATTCTAGAAGATGAAAAATGGTGGGTCTGACATAATGTGAAGACGCAACGTAAGGTTTATGCTACTCAGGGGAATAATAATGTGGCCTAGTAGAAAACAAATTTCCATTACGAGCTAAATAGATTTTTACCAGGTCGCGATTGTTCTGTTTTTAAATGTGCAATAAAATGCTGTCCTTCGCTTGATACTTTAACCTGCATCCAGAGGAGAATCAACGGTTGAGTTTGAAGAAGGTGGAGCTTTGTGATATTGACGGTTTCTGCAGTCGTAAGTCAGGACATTTAGTTTGGAAGAAGTGAGACCGAAACCCATGTCTACTTATGTAACTTTACTCATTAAGAGTACAGTTACTGAACAATCATACTTATTTTAACCCAAAATATGATCATTCTTAAACTTGAGTACCGTAAATTCCGGACTATAAGCCGCTGCTTTTTTTCCAAGCTTTGAACCCTGCAGCTTATACTACGGTGCGGTTAATGAATAATTTTTTATGGGCTAACGCGCGAGAGCGAGACAGACAGGTGCAAGAGATAATGCGCCGAGGAAGACGTTTGATTGTGTTTCGAACAGTCGTTTCGCGCATCATATTCAAACACTCGTCATGGAAAATACACGTAAGAATGCGTATGATGCAGCATTTAAGTTACGGGAAACTAAACTGGCTGTCGGAGAAAGAAACAGCGGCTGCGCGTAAACTTGGCATTAATGAATCAATGATGAGATGTTAGAGACGGCAATGTGAAGAACTTACTCAATGTAAAAAGACGAGAAAAGCTTTCAGAGGAGTTACTTGAAACGTGAAACGGTGTCTGACAAAGTCACTCTGGGCCCGTTCAATTCCGACACTGAAGAAGACTACTTCTCAGGTTTTAGTGCGCAGGAGGAAGATGAAGAAAGCGATCAATGACTTTTCTGCTAGGTTGGATATTTTATTAACCCGCCATGTTACTGCACGTTTATTGTCGTTTTCCTGCCACGTTACTGGAGGTTTAGTGTCGTGTTACAGGCACTTTTTGGAAAAATACATTTAAAAAAACATTCTTTTTCACTTACATTGAAAATCCTCAAGATTAATTTGTCATAAGAGCTCAGATAAAACATAAGTAATTCCATGAGACGCGAGCCAACCCAAAGATGCAATGCAAAGCTCCAGAACAGCTACCAAATAGCTCCAATCACGGCAGTGTGGCAGGAATATAATGGCGTTAAATAAACATAAAGGTGTGTTGCTGGTTGGATTAGCAATATAAAAATGCCAGTCGAGGAGTTTGTTTAGAGACAAAAAAACCCACTTGAGAAAAGGACTTCATGAACGGAGCGCTGATGTAACAGCTCCTTTGATTGGCCCGTCTGTCCTCAGCGAAGCACTCGATCTGAAAGTCAGATTGGTCCTGTGGAGAAGGGGAGGAGCTTAATGAGTCAGGGGATTTAAATGTCGCAGGACAGGTGAGTTGCAGCCAGGCGGCAATCTCTGATTCCTTAAAGTGATATCAGAGCTTCACGTAGTAAAGCTGCATTCTCTGTAGTGACCACCAGGGGGCGACTCCTCTGGTCCCATAGAAGTCTATGAGAAAATGACTTTACTTCTCTATTGATTTATTCCCTCAATAAACATTGTAAACATGAGTTTATGGTCTCAATCCCTTTCAAGTCTTCTTCAATACAGCATGATGTTCATTTAATAAACTATGGTCCATGTAGAGTCAAACTTGAAAGACGGAAGACAGAAGTTGCGATTTACTTTTTGATTATAACTTTTTCGGTTTGACGCTTTGATTTATTGTTATTTACGGATGTCTCTTGCTACAGTGTCCGCTATGGGACTAGTATTGATTGGATTGTCTTATTTTACCTTAAGTTTCTTTAGACTGTTATTAAGAGGTTTGCATGTAACAAGCAGAAAGTGAAAGTTGCTGGACTTTTATAGGAAAACAGGCAAAAAAATATGAGTTAGTAGTTGTTTCGTATCATGTGGGGGAGAGTTTCTAAGTCAACAGCTGTTGATTCTAACTCATATTTCTACCTTGACCATAAGGCTGGAGAAGAGGAGGTTGGAGGAGGCGGATATGTTGATGAAGGCTCCGTAAGCGTTCTCTCCCTGATTCTCCAGTCGGACGGACACCACCACCCTCCTCCTGCCGGCCTCCACGACATGCTTTGAGCCCTCCGGCGCCCCCTGGAGGCTGCAGAGCGCCCCGGCTCCCCGGTCCCTCAGGCTGCAGAACTGTCTTCAGTTAAAACACAGATCATTAATCACCACGGTGGTCATCGATAAGTGATATCTATACGGGTGAGTGATGGAGTCCAGGCGTCACTCACTGAACATCCATGAGGTCGGCGTGACTGTGGAGTACCAGGTCGGGAATGCAGGTGTCCTCCTGCTTACAGCCGTTCCAGAAGGGAAGCTATGAAAAGTAAGAAGGGTTTTATTTCTCTTTGACGAAGAAGCAGAATCCATTCAATGTTCTTACTCACAACTTTTCAAATACTTTGCTTGGTCAGTGGCGCTACACTTTAAACCCATGAGGCAACCAGGAGGTTTTAAAGCTGCATTCTCTGTAGTGACCACCAGGGGCACTGGATAGAGCATGATGTTCATTTAGTAAATTATGGTCCATGGTCCATGGTCCTGTGGATGATGGTTCTATCTGAGTCTTCATTTTTGGGGGATTTTTTCCTGTGAGGGTTTCGGGACAGAGGATGTCTCATGTGTACAGACTGTAAAGCCCTCTGAGGCAAATATGTAATTCGCGATTTTGGGCAATACAAAAAAAAAATGAATTGAATTGAAAGACAAACTCCCACCTCGGCCCTCAGGATACTCGGCCAGTCGGGGTCCAACACCGGCCCCTCGTCCAAACTCCTCAATCCCGTCTCCAGGACGACCGCAATGGGACGCCCGTAATCCGTTGTCTCCTGCTCAGAGAAACGGTCAGCCACAGTGAGTGATGTTTGAGCACTCACTGATTTTTAGGGGACTTTTAGGGTGTGCGTTTATTACCAGTGGTGTAGTCTACGTGATACGCAGGTATATGCCGTATACCCACTAGGAAAAGTCAAGGATTTCCGCATACCCACTAACAAAAGCACGATGATACGTAACAACATTGTTTTGACAGAACGTTCTAATTTTCATTCATAAATTCACCCCATCTGAAGGCCGGTTTACCAGTTCATCGCGTGCCATCAATAAAAAAAAATTATGTTACGTCAGGAATGCAAATCTACCGCGGGAGATGACCAAAACTAATGCAAATGCTAATTAGCGACCCTTACTAACGGACGCATTTAATTTCATGTGCGGGATGCTGAGAGACGCCCCCACCCCCACCCCCTGCTCAGCTGAGGGGAAAATCACAGTATTCCCACTACAAAAATATAGACTACACCACTTTTTATTACTCTTTTTGTGGAATCTGACCTGGATGGAGAAGCCGAGGCGTTGGCAGCTCTGACCTCCGACCTCCAGAGACAAAGTCCTGGGCTGCTGTCGGTCCGCTTCGTCCAGAACAGCTCGAGGAGGAAAACGTCTCTCATCCAGAACCAGATTGTACAAGACCGCTGAGGGGAGGAAGAGGAGGAGAAAGGAGGTTAGAAGGCAGCTGTCTTGTCCAGCATGGAGAACACTTGTCCTTTACGTGAAATAACAGGAAGTCAAAACTGCACTTATATTTTTAGGTATTGAAGTTTTAAGAGAATTACGGAAAAGTTGGCTAAATAAAATAAATCTTCTCATTATGATGCATTATTTACTAAATTAACATGTGGAACTTAAAACTAGAGGTTGAGACCATAAACAATGTTTACTGAAGGAATATATCAAGAGAGAGTCATTTTTCATGGACTTCTATAGGACCAGAGGAGTCGCCCTCTGGTGGTCACTAGATAAGATGCAGCTTTTACAGGCTTCACCAGGACGAACCGGAAGTTACCGCCTTTTCCATGGCTGAATAAAAGAGTTGCAGGATAAAACAGGTAGAATAATGTGACATTTTGTACATAGCTAGTTAGCTATCTAGCTAGCTCACAGCTAGCAGTCATGTTTGTAACGTACGTGCCAGAGAAGAGACACAGTTCACTGTTCAAACAATTTCATTCATTTGTAAAATTATCTTTTACATTGAAAACCATCATGTTTATTTCATGCCACAATTCAAACAGAATTTAAAAAATATTTGTCTCCTGATACCTACATTTTTTATACATTTTGGATTTTATACATCCATTTGGGACACCCGAAGGGGCGGACTTTTCCTTGTTTCCTGCTCCTCATAAGCTGTTGCAGGCATCATTCTCATCTGTTCACCAGCTGAAGTTGTTTCTCAGATCATGAGAGGAGCGAGAGCTGAGAAAAGCTGCTTCTGTCCTGCACGGCTCACGTCACAAAACGCCACGTCTGCCCGGACAGAAACGAACCATGGTAAAACCAGGGTTAAGATAACGTAATCCATTTCTTAATATGTGTCAGTCTAATCTATTCCAGTTTGGGGAAGATGAGGAAAAAGAAGGGAGAGAGGAAGGTATGACGGTACGAGGTGATGGAGGAGGACTGCCACGATTTAACTGGCCGGCGTTAGCGTGTTACAGCGAGGTTTCCATGATGCCGAGCCTCAACATCTGTAGCCGATTACACGCAGACACGACATCCCGAAGCACTGTGGGGAATCTAACAGCGACAGGACTAACAGCAAACATCTGGGTGTCTCCAGTGTCTACACATTTGTTCAAATGTAGGATTCAACCTCTACCTCCACACGTTCAGGAAGCCACTGGGCAGACGGAAGAAAAACACTTTGCTCAAAGGCAACATCACTGCCGGAGCTCATGACACAAAACAACACAAGACTAGTGTCACTGGGGACTTTGTTCTTGCTTTCTACGAGGCCAGACAGGGCAATTTGTGTAATAATAAAGAATAAGCCTAACTATAGCTTTAGTTGTTTAAACTGTTGGTTTGGTGGCCTAACCATTACATTTTGAGTTGAACTGAGGACTAAGACAATGGTAATAGTTCTGTATGTGCTTTTGTGTTTTATTAATAAGGGATATTCTGATAATAATAAACCGTTAATCTTTGTATGTAAATGTTAGCATTTGCAGGCAAACCCACCAACATCCGTCCTGGTATTCGTCCTGGTCTTCGTCGTGGTGTCCAGACTCAGACAGATGTTAAGGGACATGCAGGTGACCTCCTTCCCCATTCGGTGACAGTCTTTGTTGAAGATGTTGACCTTCTCAGGTTCAAAGTTCAGCTTGGCCTGAATACGAACAACTACACGAGACCTGAGGGGAAGAAGCAGGTCATCAGGGGAGTGTTGTGGTCGCTTGGGTTACTCTCATTGTGGGGATTCAGTTACCTTGGTTACCATGGTTTCCGGGTTACGACTACAACTATTACGATTCAACTCAACTCTTAAAAGTCTTTTAAACCACAGTTACTAGAGTTAATCCCCAAGGGACCTTTACTATCTGTATCAAATGTAATATTATTGAGTCCATTTGAATGAATTGAACCACAAATATGAACCTGATGGTGAGTCTAGAAGTAACAATCAAACAATCACCAGAATCAATAGGGTTTATCTTCCGGGGAGAACGAATGCACGGAATTTTATGGAAATCAATCCAATAGTTGTTGGTGGAGCCATCATAAAAATGTGTATATATAGGGGCACAAATAAACCCAGTTTGTGTGTGTGGTGGGCTGACCAGACGATGACAGCTGCTCCCAGTGCTCCCACAGCGAGGTCCACCAGTCCGTCGGCATTGACGTCCAGAACACCGTGAAGACTTTGACCGAAGTACTGCAGACCTGCAGAGAACCCGGCTGCAGAAAGACGCTGCCGAGAGAATCAACACACTGATTATCTAAGCTCAGAAGGTCTCTTCTGGCTGAACTGGTTCTGAACCCATTACCTGTCTGTACTGGTGCTGGATGCTTTTGTCCTGACCATAAAAGACATAGACCGCCCCCTGGTGGTCGTCCTCGAGCGGCGCTCCGACCACTAGCTCCCCGAAGCCGTCCCCGTTCATGTCGGGTATCTGGGACAGCGCCGAACCCAGCCGGGAATTCTGAGAGCACTCAGAGACCTCCAGCGCCCCCTGGAGTATGAACGAGGTCTGGAGGGAGAAGGTTGGGTTAGTTTGACATAGTATGTCATGTTGACTTGAGACAAGATCAACCCTGCAGCGGTAAAGCAGGTTCACCCGCACGCATGTACCTGTGGAGTAACAGTGTAGATGTAGACCTTCCCTCTCTCCCAGCCATCGCTGTAAAACATGGGAGCCGCCACCACTAGTAGGTCCGACTGTCCATCATCGTCTACGTCCATCGATAACAGCACACTGCCGAAATACGAGCCGATCTGCGGAGAAAAAAATCAATTCATAAAACCCCAAATGGTTGGTCCTGATCATGATTAGATCTTGATGATGAGGTCATCCATCAGTATCTTCATGAAGATGGAGTAACATCTCAAATCCATCTCCCAGCAGCTCCAGGTCACAAAATGAAACCTATTGATTTGATAGACACGCATTTTCTCAATGTTTTTCTTGGGGTTCCTTAAGGATTCATTTTTTTATGTGAACAAAAGGAAGGTTCTGGAAAAACATCATCGTTGGCTTTAAAATAACAATCAACAATGCCTTATTTTCCAACCAATATAATGTGTAGGACCTGCATTTAAGTTTTCTTTTACAATAAATTCTAATCAACAAGTGAACAACAAACTTCGTTTTGGTTTACTTTTTGGAGGTAAAGCCAAGACAAGCGCTAAGGGCCAAAAGGGATGTTTTTTCCCCAACCGGATGTGTGGATTGAATATTTCCCAAACTGCTGTGGTTGCGGGCTGAACATCAGTGATTCTATGGCTGAGGTACCTGCTGCCCCACCAGTGCCTGCAGGATAGTCAGGTTCCCGGTGTTCTTCAGGCTGAAGACGATGACCTTCCCGGTGTGGTTGAACCTCGGAGCTCCAGCCACGTAGAGCTGAGAGCCACGAGACGAGATGAGAGAACCCACCGAGTAACCTGAGACCAGAATATTAGACCCAGATGTTTAAATGGTTCCTTGTTAACACAGAACAGCAACACTGTAACTATGACACGAATCATGTGTAAAATCCACACATCCGTTTAGTACATCAGAGAGTAGACCTGACCGAGGTACGCCCCATGGTTCTTCAGCTCCTCTGGGAACTCGCCCTCGTAGGAGGACTTTGGTGGAACCACTTTGCCGTGTTTGGTCTCTTTCAGCACGGCGCCGGTCCAGTCGTAAGCGCCGACCGCCCCGAGCAGAACGCCGTCCTGATGGAAGAGCAAGGTTAATCCCATCGGAACGCCTTGAGCCAGAGATTGATTAAATGTTACCACAGTGGAGGAGGTTCAAGGATGTGAGAACAGATCACTAATAGAGTAAGAACTATCATGGCAGTACAATGAATCTGATCAAACCATTCACCATTAGATTGAAGAGTTGAATTATATTGTGTATAAGAATAGCAGCAGGAAGTGGAGCACAGCAGCACAGAAGGAATTGTGACCTGAATGAGAAGGAGGCCAACATGATGTCATTAAAACTGGACAGGTTTCAGCTGCCCAGTTATAGGAAGTCGATCTACTCTGGCGTTAAAAAGCATTGTGCGTTTGTTTAATTTGACAACAGGAACCAGAGGAGCAAGAAGGGAAAGTATCACTGTGACAAAATACTGAATAATGATCAGAAAAGTACTCAAGCAACATGGCACTATTGTATTACTTATTTTAACCACAACATTTTCCTAAACTAAAGTCAACTAGGAACCAAGTAAGCCTAAAAACTGGTGACGCTAAAAACAAGTCGATACTAACAAAGTCGTTGATAGTAACCAGTTCCAGTATCTTTGGGGCAGCTGCGTCGAGGTCCTGTTGTCTCGCTTGGCGGAGGCTCAGTGTTGTTTCTGTTGACTTCCACTGAGTGGACTGTTCAGTTGGTTCATTTCTGTTGATCATCACTCAACTGATTAAAACTCCTTAGCTCCTTCATCCTTTCCTTTTGGCAAGGTCTTTCTAGTGCTAATTACTTCCTGTTTACCGGTATGCACACTAGATGGACCTCAAGGATCAATAACACTTTGTGATCACAGCCGATCTGCAACCGCTCCACCAAAGAGTCCCTGCACGCTCCAAGTGCACTAAATCCTCCCCCCACAGCACCGCCTGCTCTACGTCCAAACGACCTCCTCCGTCAGCTATACACAACCAACAGCAACATGAGAACTCTAAGGAGAAGTGGGGGGGGGAGAGGTGGAGGAGGGGAAGGGGGAGGAGTGATTCTGTGACGTCTGTTTTCCACATCAGTCTGACGTTACCTGAGTTTTAATCCTCAAAAGGGCAGGACGCCCTTATTTGTGAGTCTGTGTATCTGTGTGTGTGTGTGTGTGTGTGTGTGTGTGTGTGCGTGTGTGTGTGTGTGTGTGTCCATGAGAGGAAACTTTCTTTTTCTCCTGAAGTTGGAACTGATTTTGGAGGAGAATCAACAGAAATATTTCCAAGTTTCCTCTTCTGCTGGGAGCTTAACGGACACCTGATGTTTGAGGATGATTCAGGTTCTAATATTTGAGAGCTGATCCTGTTTTGTCGACGGGTTGGAATCACAACTAATAAAATGAGTGTTGCATCGTGATTTGTTTTTCTGGAGAAACCCAGAGGAAAATGTAAATAGTTCATTGAGTGGAAACTCAAAGCAACCGGTTTCTACGAGTGAAAGATTCTTCCTCCAGTGAGTAGAGAACCTTGCAAAGAAAACAATCAAATCACAAACAAAGAGACACAGAAGAAGCTCCTCCACCCGAAGATGAGATGTGTGACACCACCTGAGACTCACTTTGACTAAATGGGAGGAGAAGCCAGCCTGAGCCATCTGCAGCCCGAAGCCTCCACCCTGACTGCTGGTTCCTGAGAGGGTGGAGCAGAGACATCAACCACTCCAACAAGGGAGGACAGGTGAGGAGGAGGGAGGAGAATGGAGTAGAGGGGAGGAGGGGATGAGAAGGGAGGAGAAGTGAGGTTTTTCCTTTCATTCATTTTTTACAGGGCCGAAGAACTCGGTCCACCTGGACTCCTTTGACCCCCGCAGATTCACAACCTTCACACGGATCTCACAAAGAGATTTGTGCCTTAAAGGTGAGGGGTTGTAAAAACTAGCAGCTTCTTCCCTCCCCCTGCCAGAGGTGCACGCTCTCTCTTCATTAAACCCAGAAACATAAAATAATTATGTCACCTTCCAGGGAGAAGATCCTCTCCCCCAGCGCGTCCACAATGTCCTTCAGCGCCGCCTCGTCCGACACGTTGAAGAAGTGCTTCTCATCGGGGTCGCTGGCGATGAACTTGATCTCCTTCAGGAAGCCCGCAGGGTTGATCCCTCGGCGGTTGTAATAACCCAGAACCTGGACGAGACCGGGGAAAAAAGATCTGAAGGTCCGAAACAAGACAACGACAACGACTACAAGAGGGAGCGGGGGGGAAAGGGGGGGGGCGGGGGGGGCTCTGATGCAACAAAATATGTGAAGGATGAAGAAAGAAAGAAGGAAATCTGATTTCTCAGGAATCAAAAGCTAAATTCAAATGTTAGGAAGTCAGACAGGAAGTCGTCAAGAACTGCACTTTAACTTTTTATATTTAATTGAATTACTTTTCCTTCTTTTATTAGTGTATTCTACATCCCCCTAGCCCATAGCCTTCTATTTTACACTGTAGAGTTAAATGTAAAAATTTGTAAATTGAACATGTCATTTTTATGTCCATTGTCTCATTGTCTTACTGTCCGATGTTATGCACAAACCGGTATTTCAAAATCCTTGTATGTCTAACATATTTTGGCCTGAAGTCATCAGGAAGTCAGCCAGGAAGTCATCAGGAAGTCAGCCAGGAAGTCATCAGGAAGTCATCAGGAAGTCATCAGGAAGTCAGACATAATATCATCCAGATGTACCAGGGCCCGAGGAACTTACAGCGATGGCGTACATGGTGACGTTGTTCCTCTCGCTGTCAGCCACGGCCTCCACCAGCTGGGGGCTGTCGTGAGATTCTCCATCCGTGATCACGATCATCACCTTCCGGGCGCCAGGTCGACCGCCGCGCCTGAACCCCTCCGACCTGCAAGGCGAAGGAAAGGGACGGACAAGACGTGAGTGAATGGCGGACCCACACATTGTGTGGGTTCCACTGGGTGTGTCGTACCGCGCCACGTTGATGCCCAGGGCCGTCCTTGTCTCCTCTCCCCCCCGCTGGTCGATGCCCCTGGCGGCCTCCACCACCTCCTCCACTGTCTGGTACTCTCCCAGACTGAACTCGTGTACCACGGTGGAGCCGTACTGAACCACGCCCACCTGAGGCCCAAAAAGATTTTGTTTTGAGGGTTGCGTAGTTCTCAGTTGCATGCTGGGACATAAGTTGACACATAACCCAGAAGATTTGGGGTTCAACTTTCAAACCTCATAATGACTTCTTTTTTTAATCCAGGTAATAAACGCTCATTAGCTTTTAGTTTAGACCCATTAAAACAATAAAAAATGGATTCGCAAACAATACAATGAGCCCAATAAGTTTTAATGTCTGCTGCTAAAGAAATGCTGCACTCAGGGAAACAAAAGAAAACAGTCATGGGAGTTGTTCTTTGTTTGTGAGGTTGAGCTTCCACAAGTCAGCAGATGGAAAATGAAAAATGAAATTACAGAAACACTTATGAACATAAAGCTTCTGTAGAAAATCTGTGTAATATCAGAAGTGAAAGATATCTAATATTTACTTTCTAAATCTGTGATATTTGAACATCCTGAGGATCTCCTGAAAAACACAATCTGAAACTAAAAAGCAGCTATATTGAAGTGTGGGAGGAACCGACCTGGGTCTGACCCGGGCCGATGTAGAACTTCTGCAGGACGGTGATGAGGAAGTTCTGCACCTCATACCACGGGTAGATGGAGTTAGAACCATCCAGAACAATAACAATGTCCATCAAGGTCTCACACCCTGCAGGAACGTGCAGGAACAAGACCAGACAGGTGGGTGAACAGAGGGCGCATGGATGGATTATTAATGATGGATTATAAATGACGGATGAATGATGAATGGATGGATTGTGCATAGGCAAACAGATGTTTATTGATAGATGGGTGATGGTTCATTGATATATTATGAATGATGGGTGAAGGGTTAGGATGAACTGATGTTAACAGATTATTAATGATGGATGAATGCTGAATGCATAAACGGATGTTTATTTGAACAATAAGGTACGAGAGGCTGTACTTTATCGTCCAATAATGTAACAGTGCGTTGTTAGGCCCAACGCACCCGAGTACCTTATTGCTTTTATAATATGGTAAATAGCTGCCTTTCAAAATAGTTGTAGCCACCAAACGTTGTGTATCTCATTTCAGTAATCTAGAGAAAAATAGTCCACTGTACGTGCACGTAAACAGCATTGGGTCTCCTTGCAAGATCTCGCACCATCTCATTCATTCACATCGTCCTCCTCAATTGTCCGGTTGCAAAAGCTCGCAATGCCCGAAACCGATCATTTGTGGGATTTCCGTTTTTTTTTCGGCGATCGCCACCGAGCTAAAAACATGTCAACTAACGGTCGCGCAAAATCTAACCTGCTACTTTGAATGTTTAGTGTTATGAACAGATGTTTAATGATGGATGTCTGATTGATGGCCGTCTGATGGATGGATGAACAGATATTTAATGATGGATGTCTGATTAATGGACGTCTGATGGATGGATGAACGAACGGATGTGTAAACAGGTGGAGGTGCTCACGCTGCAGGGCAGGGGACATGGTGGTGGACAGTCTGAAGTTGTGGTTGACTCTGGAACAGATCCCAGTGCTGTACAGGGAGCTCCCACACTCATGGGACCAGAGAGGACCGCAGGCCTAGGGACACATTCACACGCTCTTTAGAGAGGGGGGCGGGGGAGGTGGGGTATCTCTCTCTGGTCATCTGACTCACCACGAAGCTGTTGTCCTTGGGGTTAGAGGTCAGTGTCATGCCCAGCCTCATGTTGTCCTTCCTCTCAGACACGCGGTCCAGAGACAGTTTCCCTGATCCAGAAAGTCCCTGATTGTTACTCAGTGTGTTATCACTTATTCCACTTTTATTAGACTATTAACTTGTAACATCTGTGAAAGTCATGAGAGAAGGCAGGACTCACCAAGGTTCAGCCTACTGCAGTTTACAGAGTTCCTGGTGTCCAGAGGACACCTGAACACATCACCAGTCTGCTGCTGCTCCGTGGACTCAAAGGGAGCTCCAACCAGCAACCTGCACACACACAGAGAAACACAGACACGCAGAGACACACACACACACACATACACACACACCCACACAGAAACACACACACACAGATAGTAAAGTGGTACATTTGAAAGATAAAACCTGGACATTCTCTGAGATTAAAGTGTTTAAAGTGTATCTGCAGAAGTGAGCTGAGAGGAAGATCTGGTGTGCAGAAGGTTCTTCTTCTAAAGATCAGGGAGCAACGAGACACCCGGCAGACAGAGAGAACAAAGAATTGAGAGATTATGGATCTGATTTATTGGACCATAAATAACAGACTTGCTTCCTTCACTGGACACGTTCACTAGACACGTTGTGTCTAGTCCCGAGGTTTTCAACAGGGGGTCCGCGGAGGTACTGCAGTGGAGTCGCCAAATTTCTGGCTGGCTGATTTTTCTTTTTTTTTCCGACCATTTTTTTTTAATGTCTTCAGAATCAGAATTGCATTTATTGTCTTTAAATACACATTTACATGAATCCAATCCAACATATTGTAGCAAACGGAAAAATTGATGGAGAAGACGTTATCTTTCAGTCCGCAACATTCGGCTGCCCACAGCAGCTCTCACGCTGGGCACCGGTTCATTCACAGCACCTTTCATGCAAATACGACAGCACAGGCACCAGCCAATCAGATCACGTTGATGCTCACGTCTAAAGAGCGCAAAGCTCAAAAATAAAAGACGGCGGACCATAGAATAGGGATTCCCTGCTCCATCTCGCCATCAGTTTGGGGGACCTTGGCCTGAAAAACATTGAAGACCCCTGATCTAGTGAATGAACTAGAGTCCAACTTCTCTACATGATGCCTGCCAGAAACAAAGTTTCCTCGAAACATTTCCCAGGTTTTTCAATCTGATCAATACGGTACGATCAGTACGATCAGAACAATAAATATGATCAGTACAATCAGTACTTTCAGTATGATCAATCGCTGAGTACGATCAGCACGATCAGTAAAACCAGTATGATCAGTACAATACAATCGGTACTATTGATCAGTACAGACTGGTTACAATAGATCAAAGTACACCAGTAGATATGTTTCGTCTCATATAGAAAGACAGTGTACTGCTTGTACTAGGTGTACTTGGTGTACTGGTTGTACTGGGATCCTCACCACTGCCGTCCTCCCGCCTGGTGCTGCTGCACCGTGTATCCAAACTGGTTTTCTTTAGAACCGGAGAAGATCTTGAAGTTCTTGGTGTCAAAGTTGAAGCAGAACTGAAGATCTGAAATACAGAAGAAGAAGACGCTTACCTCATGACCTCTGCGCTCAAGTAAGTCTGTAACAATGAAACAAAAACCAGCCTTAAGCGTTTGTCATCCACGTCTTTATTGTCCAATTTCCATCTGTCCAACGGCCCATGAACACATCACATGTGAAGAACACTTGCATCAAAAAAAAAACGAGGCCATGCCTAAAATTAGATTCAAGAAGAAGAAATGTGATTCTCGCCACAAAGAATCTGATTCTATAAAAGAAAAATTCTGAGCTCCTCGTGAATGAACCTTTTTGAAACTTTAAGAAGTGAACCCCAAAATTTTGGATATTCAGATTCAATCATCATCAAATAAATTCAACTTGCTTTGTGTTATTCTGCACTAGAGAAGTTCTTTCCACATGCTCATCATGGTTCTTTTTCCACAGAGACCACGAATTTTATTTTGAAAGTCAACTTCAGGTCCAGACGGTCACACGCCGACACATTCTTTAAATTCTTAAGAGGCTTTACAACTTCTTTGCTTTAATTTTTCAGATTACATAACTAATTAAGAGGGATTATCTTCTCTTGTTTCTATGAAGGTGGAGATGAGGGTGGTTTAATTAAAGAGAGACCGCGTGATGACCTCATTCACTTAAAGGCAGTTTAGTGGATTCTGTATCCGGAGGTGACCCCATCCGTCTGGGACGTCAAGGAGGGTAAATGGACTTCTGGGAACTACGAGGCAGGTGGTAACCGACAGCAACAACAACAAGGGGACAGATGTTGAGGTTAACAAACAAAAGAAGAAAAAAATCGTCTCACCAGCTCACTGAGCTGGAAACCTCCTCCCCCTCCTCCACCTCCTGCTCCTCCATCATCACCTCCTCCACCTCTTGCTCCTCGAACTTTACCTCCTCCAACTCCTCCATCATCCCCTCCTCCATCTTCACCTAACTCCTCCACCTCCTCTCCTCCATCATCACCTCTTCCACCTCCTGCTCCTCCATCATCACCTCCTCCTCTGCAGAGCTTAGTTTCACAGCAATTATATACCTCAATGTGTACTAACAATAACGCAAAACTATAAAGCTTCTTAAATGTCAACAAACAAACACAGGAAAATATGAAAAAACACCTTGCGAACAAATTAAACATCATCTCTCGCTCTGTCTCTCTCTCTCTCTCTCTCCCCCTCTCCCTTTCTCCCTCTCTCCCTCTCCCTCTCTCCCCCTCCCTCTCCCTTTCTCTCTTTCTCTCCCTCTCTCCCTCTTTCTCTCTCTCTCTATCTCTCTCCATCTCCCTCCCCCCCCCTCCCTCTCTGCTCTCTCACCTGGCAGGAAGCTGCAGGTCCACAGCAGCAGACAAAGGTGATAATAATCCATGAGTGTGTTTGTGAAGCAGAGTGTTGTTTCTGTTATAGAGAGGAGACGGGGGAGAAGAGAGAGCAGGAGGACGAGGGGAAAGAGGAGGAGGAAGAGGCAGAGGAGGAGTATGAAGAAGGGAAGGCAGAGAAGGAGGTGGAGGAAGAAGAGGAGGAACCTTGCAACCTGGAACCCCTTGTACCCTGCTTCTCTATAAATGTTGACCTCTTCACAGGAAATAACTTTAAGCGTAAACTGTTTCTCAGGAATCTGGTAGTTCTGGTTTTGCCGACAGCTTGGAGGACCGCTCTTAAGACTACAATACCCACAAACCTTGCATCGTTCCTGAATTTGAGAAAGAATAACTAATAAATTAAAAGTAAATGGATATAAGCTGCAGGGTGAGGGCGAGTCAGTGAACATATGTTCCGGTACACAGAGTGTACTAGTACTATTTTACCGAAGTCTTGAATACAGCATGTGGTACTTTTACATAGTAGTACTCTTTGCACCTCTGAAGACTAGTAGAGAAATACTACGGTAGTACTAGATAGTTACAGTTACTTGACTTATCTGCCACCAGCGGTTGAAGAATGATCCAGCAGTTCATCCTCTGGGGACCCAAACAAAGACACGTAAGAAGAGAAAAAAACAGCAACTGGCAGCGAGTTCCAAGAAATATGAGCAGATTTATAATGAAAAGCAGTTAAAGATGAGGATGACGTGCCGGTTTAAATATTCAGACAGAAGAACGCAGCCTTCTGGCTTGACGTGTTCGGGAGGACGGAGGAAAATAAATCTGTTTCCTGGACTTTTCCTCCAGCGGCTGTCTGCAACAGGAAGGACGAGGAGACGGATCCAACCTGATCTTAGTCCAACTGAGAGGGAACTCACCTGGAGCACCACCAGAAATACAAAGGGATAGTATTCACATCCCTTTCTTTCAATAAGAGCACAGAAATGTTCATGTGAAAACACTCCATTAGAAATATGCATTATCCTCAGCAGCATGTTACAGCTGGAGCTACTTTATGTGCAGTAGAACGTTTGGTCCAGGACCAAACATCAGTGAAGCTGATGTGATTCGATTTTGGTGGTCAACTCATGTGCAAATAATAACACAAAAACATATTCATATTTAAAGGTTAACAGGAGAATGTTTGACCTCGATGATAAATGTAAAAAAAAATGTCTCAGGATAGATCGTACTTACAGAAACCGACCAAGATGAAAATACCAATTTTCCTAATGCCATCTTAAAAAAATGTTATTTCCCCAATTCCACATGTAGAGAAAATTACAAGGGCATGAGGTGACATCACAGGTAACAGGATTTCAGACCACGTGAAGCTGAGGCGAGCCCAGCAGGATGCCTCTGATCTTCACAAAGTGAGACCTATAAATCCGGGAAGCTCCTCCAGAACCAGCAACAAAAACAAGTCAAATTGTCTGAGGAACCTTCTTCATGAATGCGACTCTGATAAGAGGAGAAGTAGAATAACTCCCGGTACTATTCATCAATATTTAAGAATACAAATTACTCTCTCTGTCATCAATTCCTCCCAAATGTGTTTTGATATATGACGGGGCATTTATTTGAGTTATTGTGAGAATTTCACCTCAACATGCTCCGCGGCGCTCACAAGCCACGCCCCTTCCTCCTCCTCCTCCTCCTCCTCCTCCTCCTCCTCGTGCTCGTGCTCGTGCAGTGCTGAGCGCCAGCATCATGCAACAGGTAATGACGGTGTTTGTGCAATCCCCCGACGTTGTTTGGGGATCAATTAGCTGAAAACATTACATTGCAACTGGTCCAGCGTTTCCTGAAAAATAAACCAACAAAAAACTCGAAGCCTTGTCGAGCTGTTTACTGACGTTTGTCATGTTTCGCCACGGGGGTCGTCGTGGCGCAGGGGTTAGAGAAGGTGTGCTGGGAAGCACAAGGTTGGTGGTTCGATTCCAGGCTGCTCCATGTTCCCCATGTCGAAGTGTCCCTGAGCAAGACACCTAACCCCTAATTGCTCCCCAGGCAAAAATGTGAAAAAGCCATGGGTTTAAAGTGTAATGTAAGTCGCTTTGGATAAAAGCGTCTGCTAAATGACCTGTAATGTAATGTAATGTAATGTTTAATGAAGAGAGGGAGAGAGATGCAAACAGACAGACAGAGAATTTAAAGGCAGTTTTACTGTTCTACAAATTAGACAAGTTCACTAGTTTTATTAAATTTAATTAAATTATTGAAATGAAAGGTAGGTCTTAAGTTGAGCTACATGCCAGTCTGGTGAGGTATATTTAAGCAATAAGGTACGAGAGGCTGTACTTTATTGTCCAATAATGTCATTATTAATGTCATTATGCCATTACTAGCGATGTCATTACCAGCGAGATTAAAAATAGTAGGTAAATAGCTGCCTTTCTGCACAAAATAGAATTATTTGTAAATTGGCTTACAGCTTTGATGAAATTGCACTTCCTTGTTTCTTGTTCTTCTGAGTTTGTACCCCTACGTTTACGAAAGCTTGCATTGCCTGAAAACGATCATTTGTGGGATTTCCGGGTCTTTTTTCGGTGATCGCCACCGAGCTGAAAGCTGAAATATCAACTAACGGTCGCGCAAAATCTAACCTGTTACTTTGAGTGATACACACACTGTAACAAATTGCTGTAAATTTACGGTGCATTTTACATACACGGGTATCTTACAGTATGTCATAATAACTGTAACATACAGTTAAATTTACATCTCTTGCTTGTAAATTAACGGCCAATGTCATGAATAAACAGTTAAAGCTGTCAATTTACAATAATAGCGGACTACCGTAATTCAACTGCATGTCACATATATTTTATGAAGTGGTGGAAATACAAGTGCAGTGAATCACAATCGATCTGTTGTAGGTTAATGTATGGAAGCCCATGTCAGCCACTGAAAAACAGGTCCTGTATGTCATCATAATGAGATATGAGTATCTCAAGAGATACGATGATGACTTTGACTTACAGGACATTACTATACATGCAGCTGTCACTTTTATCCAAAACGCCCATTTATGTGGAGTAATTGGGGTTTAGGTGTCTTGCTCAGAGGCACTTCGACTTGGCACAGGGAGCAGCCAGGATTCAAACCGACGACCTTGTGCTGCACAGCACACCCTCCCTATCCCAAACGTCACCTTCACGGTCGTTTCAGTAGCCGGAATGTAAAGATTATAAATATTTGTATTATTCAAAGTGTTCATTGCCTAAAAGTCATTTGAGTGTTAATCGTGACCGACTGCTCCTGAACCAGACGCGTAATCTCAGTTTATCTAGAACACCTGTGCAGTTCAACATCAGAGGAGTTTCTCATTGCCTCGTCTCTCCAAGTAACGTTGGTAAGTGTTATTTGCCTGGCATGATTAACATTCTCTTTCCTTACATCTTGTTCTCTTCCTCAACTTTGTAATTTTAATATTTTACCAATGACAGTGTTTCTAAATATTTTATTTTGGTTTGTTTTACAGTAGCCACTGGATTAAGGAAGCCAGCCATTTGCTGCGGTCAATTGAAAGTGTTCCATAGCGTATTGCTGCAGTTAGTTCACCTTGTTCCTAATAATTTTATGATTCATTTTTTTATTATTGTATACATGCGGCATATTTTATGTTTTGTTCTTGGTTACAAATGTCTAACATTTTTGTCTTGAAGGCATCTACTAAACTCCAAACACTATGACCAAAATGAGTTTGGTTGTCTTTCTTTAATTTGTGGGGAATTAAATGCAAAAGTATACAGTTATAAGTAAACGGTAACATTCTGGTATTTATAACACAAAAACAGTAATCCTATGGTAACAAACTGTAATCCAATATACGACAACATACCGGAAATTATGGTAGGTCACTGTAAATAAAACAGTAAGTTACTAGTGTCGACTGCCAGTATATTGCAGTTAATTGACAGTAAAATTGGTACAAGTTTACGGTAACATACAGTAATCCATTATACGGTAACATACTGTTTTCTACGGCAGTGTACCATAAAAAAACAGCAAATTACTGGCATCCGCTGCCAGTATTTTACCGTTAATTGACTGTAAAGTTCAGGCCAATTTACTGTAATGCATTTTACGATAACATAGTGTCAAAAACATTTACGGTATTATACCGTAAAATAATGGTAAATTCCTGGCGTCCTTGCTGCCAGTAAGTTACCGTTAATTTACGGTGAATTTTTTTAGAGTGCAGTGATGTGGAACGCTCGGGTCAATGTAAACAGCAACTGTACATTATCGCTCAATAATGTACACCACAACACTGCAAAAAATGTGCGTTTGTTGTCAGCTTTTGATTATTATGCACAACATTGAATTATCTCATTTACAAAATTTACAGCACAATGCCAAGAAAAGAGAGACTCCAAACGCAGAAGGATCGGGAAAATATCCTACTGTATATTTTATTACAGTTATTATTATTCATTTCAGGAATAATTTTGGTGATGGGTGCCCTTTTGTTTTAGTTTGAGCACCTGCCCCCAAAAATGTCTGTGCACATGCCTGCTACGCTAATTAGAGGCCCAAGAAGTACTTCAATAAAAGTACTACTATCAAGGTGTAGAAATACTTTGTTAAAAGCAGTAGTAAACGTACAAAGGGGCATATAAATATACCAAAATGCCAATATATATTATGTTGTAGTATCATATTTATTGATGAATTTCATCACGTTTTATGCTACTGATGTTTCATTTAGTGGACTAATAATATGTAAAATAATTAAAGATGAATGTAGAACAGTAAAAGGCACAACTTTTACCTCTAAGATGTAAAATATAAAGTAACATGAGAAGGACACACCGAAGTAAAGTACAAGTACCTTACCTTGTGCAGTATGTCAGTAAATGTACTAAATAAACATTTTTTTATGGCGGTGTTTATAGAGGTGATTAATGAGTGAATGAATAAGTGGTTGCGTCAGAGAGATGATGTGAATGAAGGGTGTTCGTAGGTGATGAATGAATGAATGGAGGTGTTATAAAGGTGACGAATAAGTGGTGGTGTTATATAGATGATGAATACATCAATGAATGGAGGGGTTAGTGAGGTGATGAATGAATGGAGGTGTTAGAGCGGTGATGAATGAATGGAAGTGTTAGAGAGGTGATGGATGAATGAATGAATGGAGGTGTTAGGGAGGTGATGAATGAATGCAGGTGTTAGAGCGGTGATGAATGAATGATTGGAGATGTTAGAGCGGTGATGAATGAATAGAAGTGTTAGAGAGGTGATGGATGAATGAATGAATGGAGGTGTTAGTGAGGTGATCAATGAATGGAGGCGTTAGAGCGGTGATGAATGAATGATTGGAGATGTTAGAGCGGTGATGAATGAATGGAAGTGTTAGAGAGGTGATGGATGAATGAATGAATGGAGGTGTTCGAGAAGTAATGAATGTATAAGGCCATGGAGGTGAGGGAAGGAGTACGTTTTCTGAAGCTCTTCTTCTTGGGTGGAGTCCCTGAGAGAAGAAGCTATTTACTGCCACCTGGTGGAGGTAAACTCACTCTAACGTGAGATGAGAATTTAGTGGGATGTTGTAGCTCTAGGAGTTATTTATTAATTAAGGATTATTGATTAGAGAATAATACAATACATGAAAATATGGACAACAGGAAATAACAGTAGAAACCCCCAGACTGTGACATGAAGTGTGACATGAAACTCTTCTTCTTTCACACTTGAGTGGTATGAAAACTTTACTTTTTACATTTCATTGTATTACTACTACTAAATTCACCAAATTGACCGTTACTTAATACATTATTTAACCATAACTTTCTATAAAGCTGGGTGGCACGGTGGTGTGGTGGTTAGCACTGTCGCCTCACATCAAGAAGGTCCTGGGTTCGACTCCTCCCAATGGCCTTTCTGTGTGTAGTCTACATGTTCTCCCTGTGTCTGCGTGGGTTCTCTCTGGGTACTCTGACTTCCTTCCACAGTCCAAAGACATGCTCTGGGGATCAGGTTAATTGGGGTCTCTAAATTGCCTGTAGATGTGTGTCTCTGTGTTGGCCATGCGATTGGCTGGCGACCAATCCAGGATGAACCCTGTCTATTGTCCGAAGTTGGCTGGGATGGACTCCTGCGACCCTGTGTGCAGGATAAGTGGTTTGACAATGGATGGATTCTATAAAGCTCGTATTACAAGAAATGCTCCTCTTAATGTAGTGATAAACTGGTTTCATATAAAGTTTCATATTTGTATCTAATCTCTAATCTTTAAACTTCTCTTTACTAGTGACTTTGTCCTCACACTCTGATCCAGCAGGAGCTTTATTCATCTCTGGTTTCTGGAGGTTCGTCATTCACAGACTCATTTATTATATAAAAATGGAGAAAATAGATGAAAGAAATATGCTCAATCATCTCTGTAAATCAATCATCCATTGACTCTAATATGTTGACAAAGTGAAACACATTTGAACATAAAAAAAGAGTTGGGGGTACTGAGGCGTAAAGAAAGGATTCAGACCTGCTCATGGTGGATGACCAAGGTGATGAACCACAGGACGGGATTGATGTTTTATTACAATTCATTAATCCAGTTTTTAGTTGGAGTAAAACAATAAAACACGAAAGCACTCAAAAGTCTACAAATCCTAAAAGATACAAGGCTTTACATAAACAGGTGTATTTGCTCTTCTTAAGCTCCTCCCATGAAGATGAAACAAACATGGCCGCCACTTCTTCATGAACGCTGAGGACACTTTGAGGAGTTTTTTTGTGTCCCAGGTTTCTCTGTTGTTGTTGCTGCAAACTTCACCTTCCTCTGAGGACACACACACACTGCTTCAGGGTTTATCCTCAGGAAAGCAGCAGCGGTCCAGCATTAATTCAGATCTCAGTATCTTATCGCTGCTTTCTGACACTCTGAATGGATTATGTGGATCAGATTTCTATTAGAGTTTCAGAAATTGCTCTCTTTGTGTTTTTTTCCAAAACCTTCACACTCAGGATTGGACTGACCTGTTTCCCCGCAAGCTCCCGAGGATGCTGGGAAATGTCATCCCGCCGGCGCTGCGTCCTCTCCCAGTCGTCCCACCAAATCTGACGGCGATAATCTGACTGGCAGGACGTGATCCGCCGGTGGATGGCCAGGTTTTGATGGCCAACCAGCAGAAGCTCCTCCCTTCTCTTGTCGCCGTTCAGACTGAGGAGGAAGTGGTAGTATACCGTTCATACAGTTACGAGAGGTACACTAATATTTTAAAAACTCCTACATGCAGACAAACAAAGTGTGCCACGGCGTAACGTGCCGTAACAAGACGTAACACAACGTAACACAACCTAATAAGACGCAACAAGACGCAACAAGACACAACACGACGTAACATCACGTGCCAAGACGTAATACAACGTAGCGCGACGTAACAGAATGTAACACAACGCAACACAACACGACGTAACGCGATGTAACAAGACGCAACATGGCGTAACATGACATAATGCAGCGTTCCGCGCGAACAGGTCCTCACCTCTTTAGGCTGTACTGGTTCCAATGGTCCACCAGACCTTCAGAGCAAACTATGTTGGCCAGTTTGGAGGCCAGGAGCCGGTTATCTCTGTCGATGATGGACTGACGATCGTCCTGCATTAGGAGACCAAGAATTAGAACTGAGTGTGTGTAAGTGCGTGTGTGTAAACTTGACTGACCGGCAGTTTTTTCAGTTTTAGTTGGATGTGAGCTGGCGTCCTCATGCCCTTGTTGTCCACTACTGGGAGGGTTGAGCTCACCTGGACAGATAAACACAGGTATTTAACTAAACTCCACCACCTGGTTCTCAAACACCCAGTCCTTTTACCACCCGCTGCTCCCCAATCCTCCACCACCCGGTTCCCCATTCGCTGTCCACTACCTTCCTGCGGTGGTGCTCGTACTGGTTGAGGTCCCATCGTTGCTGCAGGTATCGGTTGGTGACAGGCTTTAGCGGCTGGTAAGATCTGTGCATGCTGCTCCTCTGATGGGTCACACTCACTTCTTCAAGTGTCAGTCAGACTAAGCAGGAGTTGTGCGTGTGTGTGTGTGTGTGTGTGTGTGTTTGTCTGTTTGTTTGCAGGCCTGGGGGTTGTCGCCATGGAGATGTACCCCTCTTTATCTGGGCCAGCTAAATTTCCTATTAATTATTACTGCGCTGAGGAGGCACACACACAAACCTTTTTTTTATGTGTGGTGTTTTTTAAAGTCACAAAGTCAAGGTGTATCTCGCCCATTGTTGGCTGGGCCATCTATTTATCCTCTGCGGTGCGTGACTCCAGTTCACATTGTAATGACTCCAATCCAGTGACTCCAATGATCCGGCGTTCCGGGGTTTCTCTCCCATTGAACCATATCAGCCATTTAGCCTGTCTGTCTGCGGGCCGTCTCTCTGAGTGTGTTTTGTGTGAAGGGCTTTAACCATAACCTGGACCCCGCCCCCCTGGGAATACCACATCCAGTCATGGACTACCTGGGACTAATTCTACCATCATCATCCGGGCCCGAGAACTGAGTCCAGAATGTCAGTGTTTCCCGCTGCTTAGACGCGTTCTCCGGGATGTGACCGTGTGATGGCTGCGGTCCAGTGAGCCGCAAGCACTCTGACTGTCTCACTCTCTGCAACCGACAGATACGCGCGTTATTCTGGGCGCTTTTACCGTTTGCGTGGTGTTCAACCGGGATTATCGGAACCTATGGGGTGTACATGATCGTTGGCCGGATCGGGACCTAAAACGGGGTAAGTAGACGTGGGATAGCTTGCTGAGCTAGCTGACGCTGAGCTAATATGCTAACACCAGCGACAGCATGCTAACAAGCGAACCCCTGGGTTCGCTTTTTAGCACAGCTTTAGCTAACTGCTGTCTTTGTCTGGAGCGACCGAAGGAGCTAAGCGTCCATTATCGGACACATCTCAGTTTTTCCTGCTCGTTTGCTTAAACATTTAACCTGCTCATTTCCCCTTTCAATATAGTAATATACGCCGTTTCCCTGCTCGTATTACGGTCAGTCACACTGCTTTTAATGGCTACGGTTGCTAGGATACGGTGGTGCCATTGGGATGTAACATTCACGTTTTGTTAACAGTCTAGCTTACCATTACTCCATTCAACACCGACACGTTTAGCACGTTTCCAAGCTTTTGTAACACTTCCGAAACTCTAAATAAGCGCTTTAATTATTCTCAAATGTAGTTTTGCCGACATAGGAGAACTGTGGTGGATGGGAGGAGGGGGGGGGGTAAATTCTGGGTGACCAAGGGATTCGCAAAACGTTTGTCCGATAATGGATGCACGGCTCTGACAGCGCCGCATAGGCTTTTTTTGTCCCATCACACGACAAAATAGGACGTTAGGTCAACAGTTTAAACAAACTGCACCTGTAATGTTATTTTTGTGTGGAATGACATTTTTTCGCAAAGTTAAACCGAAAAAATGTCCACCTTCTGATCGAAGCAGCGATGCGTCCGATAATGGATCCAGTTAGCCTCGTAGCGGGCCTCGGACATCGTTTGGTGCTGTGGCAATACGTGAAAGTCAGTGAGGGCGTTTGGTCTTAATGTCAGTCAGCTGATGCCGCTGGTATTGTGCGTGTGAGCAGTGCGCTAAGATGGGGCAGTGCTAAAACCGGCACCAGCGACGAGTCAGCCGCCGCTAGCTTAGCTCACCGATTTATTCAGCTAACGGTAGCTAGGTTAGCTAGCTCATTGGGTCTGGGGGAGGCGATGTTGTGGTTCTGTACGTGTACACATATGCATATCCCCCTCCTTTCCATGTAATATCATCCTTTAACGCATAGTCTTTGTTTATTGACCACATGTGCTAGTCAGTAATACGGCTAACTACATGATGCCACCAGGTTAATTTTACGATTTATCATGTCTTTGCAGCAGATGTTATACAAAAAGTGATTGATTTTTTGCTTATAATAAAAATTCCACTCATGAGGTGTGTGTGTGTGTATATATACATATATATATAAATTTCTACATACATGCCTTGTATATAGTTTGTAAAAGCATGATTTCATAGCCTAGAAGGATCTCACTTCTCGGTGTAATAGTTTCCTGGTAAATCCCCAAAGTGATTTCCATTCATTCGTCCCAAAGTGAGCTGTCCACCTTCTTCGGTTCTTCACTGCATGAAGGATTCTGTGAATGAGAACCACTGAACCCTTGGACGTATGTGAAATGGTCGGGGTGTTGGTGGGACTCACAGCCTCCCACTTCTGTTGACCTGTATGATCCCATCGCTTTGTCCACTTTCCCACTAAATTCCTTCTCTCGGCGTTGTGTTCTGGGGAGTTAGCTGCCTTGGTGGTTTGTAAACAGACACTATGATGAACACTAAAACGTCCACTTAGGTCCATTACGATTGACGATCAATTTCTATTATTTCTTTTCTCTATTTCTTCTCCGTACAACTCACAAAAAGTTTTCTCCGTCAAAAACATTTTAGAGCCGACTGTCTCAAATCATCAAATCACCTCAAATAATTTTTCATATTTCTTCATTGAGTGCTGTTCGTGTTGAACCCATGTTCTCAGAGTAAGGCTGCCACATTTCCAAAAATAAATTATATCTTCTGTTGAGACTATATCATCTTTTCAAGAGGGATATCAGGCGTGATGTTGCATTAGGCCACAGATATCTCTTAATTCCATTAAGCCTGGCTAATGACTGGTTCTTTATAAATGGACACAGCCATTGTGGTTTTGAGTGTGACTATCAGATGACTGATGTCAGCTATTATCCAATCAGAAGGCAGGCAGCTGAATCTGTGAGGGATTCTCCCTTCAGACTCATTGATGTAAATACATCCGTCCTATTGTCTGTGAGTCCTGAGACTAGACATTAGCAATGGAGCAGCACATCATAAGTAAACCAACAACAGTATTTGACATCAAAGATCAGAGTCCTGACCCTTCAGCAGACGTTATGCCTCCGTCACATTGACTCCTGGAGTTTGTTGGTGACGTATTGGATCATATTTGTTCTGTCATTGAAGCTCTCATTTCCAAGCTGAACGTTGTTTGGACAAAAAACTGGGGCTCAAAGTCTTTCTGAATACGGTTGTTAAAGCTGAAAATTACGCTATGAAAATGCTTTAATGCAAAGTATAAAATCAATGACCTGAAGCAATTAAGCATTATCTGACCAACGGGGCGACTCCTCAGGTCCTATAGACGTCTATGAGAAAATGACTACTGCGCTCTGTATTTGTTCCCTCAGTAAACACAGGTATATGGTTTAATCTCCAGTTTCAAGTCTCCTTCAATAAAGCATGTTCATTTAGTAAATGATGGTCCATTTAGAGTCCAACAGACCATAAAGCAGGTGATTCTTTAGGGCGGGGCTGCAGGCTGATTGGCAGGTCTCTACCTGAGTCGTGGCTCCTTGGTCCTAATATGGCTTTCTGTTTACTGGTTGTAATATAAACCAAGATGTTAACGCCATTTTGACCTCACTGCTTCTTTTCAATGCAGGCTACGGCCAGGACACCTCTGCCTGACGTGTGTTTACGCAGGTTTAGTTGCCTTTTGGAGGGTTAGGGTTCACTGTCTGAACGAGTTTTCAGCCACATAACACAAACCCTGATTCCTCCTGGCCCAGTTTATCACCTCCACAGTGATTCATCTGGATAGATGCGGTCCAGATGTTTCCCCCTCCACTGTCTGCCGTGAATGCACAGCGTCCAGACGTCTGGAGCTCACGTTAAATCCTCACCTTCCTCTGACTCTCCATCCGCTTCCTGTCAGCTTCTAGACGAGACACACTGAGGTGGTATCACGGGGAGTAATACCGCCTAAGTTGTGAACGTCCACCTTGTCTAGACCGGAACTGGTTCTACGTGAGGGGAACCCCGTTGGTATCAATGATATCCAGGGGCACTGGTTTTGCTGTCTGTTCTCAAGGAGTAAAAGTGAGACATGATCTCAAACGTCCTCCATCTGTCCTCCCGTGTCTGTCTTTTGGTTAAAAAGCTGAATTTGCTGTTTTAGAATAAAGGGTTGGAAATTAAAGCTTTTTAATGCTGTTTGTTAATCCGATTCATTGATTAATCAAAATAATCATTAGTTGCGGCCACCTGAACAGTTGTTCACTGCTAGCTGGCTAACTCGTCCGGAGTTAGGTTGTTAGCTAGTTAGCGGATTACCTTGTTAGCGCGTTAGCTGTTGTGGCTGCTAGTGTTGCCACCAGAGGCAAGACCAGCAGCTCGACCAACTTTGCATTAAATCGTTTTCTGATCTAACTTGTATTACATTTTTCAAAACCAAAAACCCTCCAAACAGACACCGCTCCTCTGTTGGGCACAAGTTGTTGTTTGATATTGTGTGTGCGTGCGTGCATTTTTATTAAAGTGTCTTCCTTTTTTCCTTTTTTTTCAAGCAGTTCCTAAACAGTGTTAATATGAATCGGTCCTCACCTGGAACCCAGTGGAAGTGGATCTGTGACTGAAGCTCTCCTCCTGTGTAACCTCTAGTCTGTCCCGTGTACAGGAGACGATGTGGGGAGCCGGGAGGAGGCGCGGGGCCCGGCCCTGAGGAGGCGTCCTGCGGCTGGGAGGAGCACGCCCTCCCCTGGCCCCCCCTGCAACGCTCTGGGACGCTCCTACTAAAATGTCCCTCAGCAGCGGCCCTGCAGGCGGGAAAGGTGTGGACTCCAACGCGGTGGAGGCGTACGACAGCGGCGACGAGTGGGACATCGGCGTGGGCAACCTCATCATCGACCTGGACGCCGACCTGGAGAAGGACAAGCTGGAGATGTCCAGCGGCAAGGAGGGAGGGGGGGGCATGGCAGGCCTCCCTGTAGCTGCTTTAGCTGACAACATCAACTATGTTAGCCCGGTAGCCGCCGTGCAGGCTAAAGAGAGCAAAGCCAAATCCAAACGTAGTAAGAACTCCAAGGAAAGCGCCAAGGCCCCAGAAGGAGCCAAGAAAGAGATTCGGGGTCGGGCCCCCGGGGACCCGCCCGGCCAGAACCCCAACCTTACAACCCCAACCAAGGGGGCCGACAAGTCTGGCAAACCCCCCCGTACCCTTCCCGCGGTGAAAAAGGACAAAGACGGGGTTTCTGGGAAAGCTAAGAAAGAGAAGATCGAGGCGGTGACTCCGGGAGCCCTCGGCCCAGAGAAGGCGTCGGTGGCCCCCGTCCCGCCCGAGTCGGCCGTAGCCGAGCAGCTTGGCGACATGGTGCTGGACACGGTTGGCCAACCCATTGGCATGACGATGGAAGAGCCAGACAGCGGCGACTGCCGGAATCTCAAAAAAGCGCTCTGCGTGAAGGTAAGGGGGTTCAAAATTGCAAGTCAGTCATTTTCCGAGGTTTTGACGGACAGGTGTGGTTAGCTTAGTGGCGTATGGATATTGCTACATTGAATATCGACAGATTGATCAACGGAGAAGGAGTCATGCTCCAACCCAATTGGATCCTACATTTCCCACAATGCAACCCAAGATCTCTCTTAAGCAGCAGTGTGACAATTACTTTATATTGAGAATAATTTGATAACTATTGCAGAGTATCTTTTTATCTGAAGCGTCGTCTTGCGTGTTCAGCTCGTTGTTCTCTACACGGCGTATTGAGGGAGAGTACGCTCTTCAGCATACATGTTATAATCAACGTGAGAAAAATTACAACTTTATTTGTGTTTACAGTCAAATCAGGTCATTACATTTGTCCAAAGGTGCCTGCTCCTTACGGCTGTAGCTAATTAGATGCTGTGCCGTGTTTGGACTTGTAGCTGGAATTCAACGGTTCTGCTTTGCATTGGGTTTTTTCCCATGTATTTATTTATTGCATCAGAGACATTTTAAATATTGCCGTTGCAATGCTGCCACTGTGGTGGTTCTGCGTTTTGATGATGATGTCATCACCTCTTACTGTCTGAGAGACCGAGAAGCAAGTAGGACTTAGATGCGAAGTGCAAGATGGGAATACCTGTGCTGAGGGAGGGGGGGATATGATGAGGTGATTCCCACATGGCAGACCTCGTCATACTGGAACTTGAACCAGCCAATGCCGTTGTAAAACAGACCCCTCCCTCCCTCCAACCAACCCACCCTCTTGGGTGGGTTGGTTGGAGGGAGTTTCCCAACGTTCCAGATGTTGTTTTTTCATGAAAGCGGGGTCTTGTAACCACGGCGATGCCCTCCGAGCCGGTGGCTGAAGCAGTGAGCTCATCCGTTCATGTGCATGGTCGCACACACGCGTGTTCTAATCGGAGCCCGTTCATCGATAATGTAATTTGTGAAATTTGCTTCAACAGTAATTCTGTTCCTGCTTGATGGTTTGTGGTTTGTCACAAAAGGCCTCTTTACTTTTCTTCATCCGTCCCCCAAAAATGGGAGTGAATGGAAAAGAGTTGTTTTCACTTTAGGAAACCTGTCCGCTTACAGTGTGGACATTTTTCATCCTCTTTTCGACGGTTACCTGGCAACCTCGCTGCAGCTTTAAACAGAGACGTGTTTAAACTCCCAGAATGCATTGCTTCATCAGGTGTTGGCAGGTTTTGGTTGCTGGGAGTCTGACTGTTTCCTCTGATTGTTATTGATCTGATTGATTGAAACGTCTCATATTTCTAACAATTGCTCCGTCGTTTGCTGTCGATCAATAATCACATTGGTTTTGTGTGACATTCAAAGCTCTCCTTCAGACTTTGAACTCAAACATGTTCTAGTCAGTCATTGTTTTTTATTCACAAAAATACACAATTCAAGTTAGCCTCCATTGGTTAGCTGTTAGCCGTTAGCTGTGCTGCTAACGCTACGAGTTCTCCTGTTGACTAAATACTAGTGATGGCGAGATGAAGCATAGAGGCTTCCATCCACAGGTTCCCTCATGGGCCGAGGCTTCATTCGCTCCACTGCGAAACATGTAAAGCAGGCAGTGATATAATGACACCATTATTGCTTTGGTTTAATGCTTTGAATTGAATAAAATAATGTATGATGTTTGATTTCAATACACAAATCAAATCATAGATATTGTGTCTGTAAATGTGCTTGTGTGTCTTCATTTTCGCCGCGCTTTACTCGCGCAACTTGTAGTTAATTAGCCTTCATTTGCTTCATATGTGCCGGAAAGGGGGCGTGGCTTGTCTCCATAAAGACAGTTATCATTTCTCTATTCCACCATAGAAATAAACACTGTTTTTGCTCTATACTTGTTGTGGAAATGACTCAACTGTCGGACACCAGCTAACTTACAGGCATTGGGCAAAAAAATGTGATTTATTCGCTTTGCTCCATCCGCTTTTTCTCATCTTTCACGTTGCGTCCTCCGCGCTGCCTGTTGAACATTTGCTTCCTTCACAACCATTCGCGTCTGTGAATTGACTTTGCCTGGAATCTACTTGTGCAAATAATTTGCTTTGCTTTTGGTGTGAACGCAGAATGAAAAAACATCTTGATATTTATCCATTGCGTTTCGAATCGCACGCCAAACCTGTGAACCATTTCCTGAATTAGTCACATGGTACGGCTGGCGAGGCTTCCAACTTCACAACATCAAAACTTTATTTACATATCTGGTGGTTAATGTTAATCGGTGAGAACGAGTGACCTCGACCACGTTGTGTGGATCAACGTACCAGTGACATCGTCTCTCTCCCCACAGATGGAGTCTCTTCTCTCTGCCCCTGCTCCGCCTCCTCCACCTCTTCACCTCCTCACTCCCGGCCCCATCAGCGACATCTCGTCTCCGTGCGAGCAGATCATAGTTCGCACGCGCTCGGTGGCAGTGAACACGGCGGACGCGGCGCTGGCGACGGAGCCGGAGTGCCTGGGACCCTGTGAGCCAGGCACCAGCGTCAACCTGGAGGGCATCGTGTGGCAGGAGACGGAGGATGGTAAGACTGATACAGCCTCCACTCAGGTGGAGATATCAGATCAGATAACGTTTTCATCTATTGACAGAACCCTTGAAGTGTTTATTTATTGTATAGTTATTCAGGAACAAATAAGGAATTAATGATGTTATTTTTGTCCGAAAAGTACTTAAAGATATACACTTAGCTTACACCTGATTCCGGAGGAGGAGTAGGAATAGACCTTCACCTCCAAGTGATGAAACAAATCAAATGAAACCACGCCAAACAGTTACTACATTAATGATAATGTGACTCACACAGCCCTTAAACCGAGATGGCGTCCCCATTACTTGTCTTTCCTGCCGTGGTTGTCTCTCTTCAGGCATGCTGGTTGTTAACGTCACCTGGAGGAACAAAACCTACGTGGGAACCCTGTTGGACTGCACCCGGCACGACTGGGCCCCCCCCAGGTACACACACCGCGCTACACACACCGCGGGACAGCGTTGCGATGCTGTGGCGACGCCAGAAGGACGTGATCACGTTTGGTCCTGCACCTCTGGGTTTTTGCATCATGTGACACAAATGTTGTGTAAGTACAACGCTGTTTACATGTCTGAGGATCGCATAAGGACGGATAAGTAGTAGGTTTTGGAAACCGTGTTAAAATCTACAGGTGAGTAAATGTTTATCAGCTCAAATCCAATATTTTAGACCTCTTCATTCTTGACAATCATTACGGTGCATTAATTGACGCTTAAACATCTTGATGTGTTTTGTGCGCTGTCGTCCGGTTTAAGGCGTTAATGACAAAATATTTGGACTTCCTTTTCAGGTTCTGCGAGTCTCCGTCCAGCGACGTGGAGATGCGTAGCGGCCGCGGCCGGGGGAAGAGGATGCGCCCCGGCAGCTACACGGCGCTCAACGACAACAGCAACTCCTCTGACAACCGAGGCAGCAGCGGCACGGGAAAGACCCGCGGCGCAGCTGCCGCTAATAGCAAAGGGCGAAGAGGCAGCCAGACGGCTGGCGCCGGCGAGGACCCCAAGGCCAGCCCCTCCACCGCCAAGAGGAGGACCAAGCCCGCTTTCGACATGGAGCCCACCTCCAGCTCCGAGGACACCAAGGCCTCCAAGCACATGAGGACCAACTCCAGCGGGGCCACGTGTGACCCGCCGCCCGCCACGCACCCGGACCGGAGCTGCCCCTCCCCCGTGCTCATCGACTGCCCCCACCCCAGCTGCAAAAAGAAGTACAAGCACATCAACGGCCTCAAGTACCATCAGGCCCGGGCCCACAACGACCACGACGTCCGGCTGGACCAGGACGCGGACAGCGAATACGGCGACGACTCTGCCCCCCCGCACCCGGACCCCGCCTGCTGTAACGGCGCTGCCATCTCCCCCGCCCGCTGCGCCACGCCTAAGGGCCGGGGTTTTGACGCGCCCTCGCCGGGGAGGACCACGTCCAGGCCGAAGAAGAAGGAGGCGGTGCCTGAAGGGACGGAAGGCGGCGAGGAAGCGGCATGTTTCACGGACGATGCAAGCAACGATGGAATGGACGACAGGAAGTCGAAGAAGATGGCGCCCGGAGGCAGAGCTGACAAACTGACCCAGAAGGGCACAAAGCAGGGCCGGCCCAGCACCCCTTCGCCCTATGCTCTGCAGGCGTCCTCCCCCGCCATGGGCTCGGTGGTACACCCCGTCCCCAAGAGCCCCCAGCTGAAGGGCCTCCAGTCCAAACCCCCGCCTCTGGTGGACCCCGCCTCCAGCCCCACCCTCGTCAAGGACAAGAAAAAGAAGAGGAAGAGGGAGGGAGGGAAGGAAGGGGACAGTCCCAATGGTAAGGGGGGGAGGGCGGAGGAGGGACGGAGCCCGTACTCTGACATATGTGACCCGTTGCTTAACGGCTCCACAGAAACCCACCAGAGCCGGCTGGCCAGCATCAAGGCCGAGGCCGACAAGGTTTACAGCTTCTCGGACAACGCGCCCAGCCCGTCCATCGGCGCCGCCAGCCGGATGGAGGCGGGCCTCGGGCCTCAACCCAACCAGAACGGCGAGACCGGCAGCCCCGCCTATTCTGACATCTCAGACGCCGGGGAGGACGGTGAGGGCAGAGGGGAGGGGGTGAAGGTCAAATCCGAGCCTGACTTGGGGGCTCGCGAGGGGGCCAAGAAGGCCCTGTTTCCCCCCCAGCCTTCCAGCAAGGAGTCACCATACTACCCCAACTACGACTCCTACTACTCCCCCAACCCGAGCCCAGAAGTGCCATCAGCAGCGCCATCCTACGTGGGGGGAGCCCAGGTGAAGGTCGAGGAGGAGGAGGAGGAGCTGCCGCCCCCGCCGGAGGAGGTGGTCAAACTGAAGGTGGAGCCTCCGGAGGAGAGGAAGGTGGAGGCGGGGCCTCAACAGCCGTCAGTCATCCAGCAGCGCTCCAACATGTACGCCCAGCCTCTCTACTACAACCAGTACTTTGTCCCCCCATACCCTTACTCTACCGACCAGGCCTACCACGCCCACCTGCTGGCCTCTAACCCCGCCTACCGCCAGCAGTGCGACGACCGGCAGCGGCTGGCTGACAAGAAGGCTGAGAGCAAAGAGTGGGAAGCCTGCGGTAAGGAGGAGTGGAAGCAGAAGGCCTTGGTGCCCTCCAACCTCTCCAGGGCCCCCAGCCTCACTGACCTGGGTGCCATGGTGGGAAACAACCCAGCCAAGTCCAAAGAGGACCCGCTGGCCGCGGAGCATTCCAAGTCCGTCATCATGGCAAAGGGAGAGGAGCAGAAGGCGCCCACCGCACAGCCTGAGGGTTTAAAGATGAAGCTGAGCGAAGCACGGCATCATGGGAAAGAAGAGGCCAGGCCGGCAGTGGAGCAGGGCAGGCTGGCAGGTGTAGAGCCCGCCATGTGGTACAGACAGGTAACTGCAGCTCTAACACGGCACGTCCTTCAGTTGCTCTAATATACAGGATATACTGACCACCAGGAGGACTCCTCTGGTCACAAAGAAGTATGTGGGGAAAATGACTACTTCTCTTGATTTATTCCCTCAGTAAACATGAGTTCATGGTCTCAAGTCTTCTTCAATAAAGCATGATCATTTAGTAAATTATGGTCCATTCAGAGTCAAACAGACCATAAAGCAGGAGATGCTTTATGGTGGGGCTACACGCTGATTCTACCAGAGAAGTATTCGTCCTCCTCAGTCCTCCTCAATATTGTTACTTCCTGTTCACTAGTTGCAACACAAATTCATTTCTTGTGTTTTGACCTGAGATCCAATCAAATCAAATGCAGAAAATAAAAAAAACATGATTCAGAAAAAGCCTGTTCAGCAGCAACTATTAAACTGTGACTTTATATAATTTGCCACTAAATGTATTGACTTTGTTCCCCAAAATTAAAACTAACTAGCATCTCCACTAACCTCTGCTCTGCCCCCTCAGGAGCCGGACTCGCGCCTCTGGCCCTACGTTTACCCCAACAAGTACTCTGAAGCCCCCAAGCCGCCGGAGGAGGAGCAGCGGTGGAAGGAGGAGCGCGACAGGAAGAGCAAGGAGGAGAGGAAGGAGGGGGGGGGTGAAGGCAGGACTCAGCTGCCCCCGGAGGAGCACCGGGTGGGGGGGAAGGAGGCGCGTCAGCCCCCCCACCCGCACGCCCACCCGCACATGCAGTTCTCCTCCCCCATGGCTCAGCACCACCAGGGCTACGTGCCCTACATGCACGGCCCCTACGCCTACGGCTATGAGCCGGGCCCCCCAGGCTACCGGGGCATGCCCTCAGTCATGATGCAGAACTACCCCGGTAAGAGTTAGAAACTCTTATGTTGGAATGAATTACCATAATGCACCATGTTATTGGTTTATTATAATTAAATCACACAAACAAGTACTGAGCAGAAACAGTGATTTAGTGTCATGGTTTCTGTGGAGACAAGCCCCTCCCCCTCTCAGTCTGCTCTCCGTCCCCAGGCTCCTACCTGCCGCCAGGCTACTCCTTCCCCTCGTACGGGACCAAGGAGGAGATGGAGAAGCCCTCCCGCTCCAGCCCAACGGTGAAGCCCCCCGGGGAGGCCAAAGCTCTGGAGCTGCTGCAGCAGCACGCCAGCCAGTACAAGAGCAAGTCCCCCTCCACGCAGGATGCCAAGCCCCCCCACGAGCGGGAGAGGGAGGGGCCCAAGTCGTCCCCCTCACAGCGCATGCTGCCCACGCACCACCACCTGAGCTACCCTTTACTGTCGGGGCAGTACGACCTGTCCTACGCCTCAGGTGAGACAGGGAGCGCTTGTTTTATTCACATTCGGTTCAACTCATTCAATTCTCAGCTCCTCAGTAAAACTATGACGTCATCTCTGTCTACCTGCCTGTCTTTCTCCCCATATCCTGCGTCTCTACTTGTCTATCTCCCCCTCTACCTGCCCGTCTGTCTCCCTCTCTCTGTCTCTCAGGCCTCTCCTCCTCAGCCATCGTTGCGAGTCAACAAGCATCGGCTCCGTCAATGTACCCCCCCTCGCGGAGGTGAGACAGGTGAGACCCACTCTGTCCACCAGGTGGTCAGAACCTCAAAGCCCCCCAGTGTTGGAGGTGGCTGAACACCAGAGGTCAAAGGTCTGCACGAGCATTGTTGTTTTCAGTCATGACTGCTGACTCAGCTAAGGAAGCGCCCCCCCCCCCCCCCCCCCCCTTCCCGTCCTAGACTGGATAAGAACCAGTGACGGTTTTGATGTTCTTTTAAAGTCTCTTCAGTCTTAAAGCTGACAGAAACAATCCAAGAAAATGATTAGATCATCACTGATCATGTATGTCATATATATCATGATGGATATATTTTAGATATTTTTTGTGTGTGTGTGTGTGTATATATATATATATATATATATATATAAAAACAAATGACCTGTAATGTAAATGTGATGTTTATTTTCTCCTCACGTTACTACGCCCCCCCCTACCTCCAGACTGTACCCTTTGACCTATGGACTCGACACCTTCGCCTGGGTGTCTCAGCTTCACAGGAAAATAAAAATACTTTGGACGGAGGATGGACCAATCAGAGGGCTGCATCCCCAGACTCCTCGTGTGTGTGTGTGTGTGTGTGTGTGTGTGTGTGTGTGTGTGTGTGTGTGTGTGTGTGTGTGTGTGTGTGTGTGCGCGTTTGTGTGTGTGTAAATACTGTACAGAGGAATTATTTTAAAGAGCCTGTTGGATTTCCTACTCTTCTTTTGTCTGGTAGCCTCCGCCTGTTTTTCTACTGTTGTTGATCTGATATTAAACCTGTAGCTGGTGAACGGTGCCAAGCTCCGCCTCTTCTTTGTGATCATCGACCTTTGATTGGTCGATTATCACAGCTGTTTCACTTGTTGCTGAACACCTCCTGGAATTACATGCAAGTTCAAAACCTCCATTTTGAAAAAATAATAACTTCCGGGATGAAATCGTCGATGTGTTTAGGAGATAGACTGTCATTGTGATGTCATCGAGTCCGCCCCAACTACATGGCCGTCGCCATTTTTGTTTTTTCATGACATCTTTCACACAAAGATTTTCCAGTCAGATTAATGAATTAACTGATTGATTAATTTGGGATCTTTAGCCTTTGTACTCCTACCTGCAAACTTTTAAAATCATAATGTCCTTGTGAATCGTAAAGATTCGTATAAATTTGATTAAGGGGTGGGGCAGCACTTGTGAGCTCAGATTGAGACGAGGACAAAAGGTGACATAGAGATCTTTTCAATAACACATCTTTGACGGGACGGGTCTCAGCTAATCAGCGCTGAGATCTCAAAAAAAGTCTTCATTACCCTCCAACATCTTTTCACTCCAATTTTACTGGACTATTATGGTTACATAATATGTCGTCACGTTCCCCCACCTCCGTTGTCCCCCTTTCACCCATCATGATTTTGTAGGAATGTGTATTTAAGGTTGAACAACAACATTTCAGCTTTGACGCCATTTTTCTTTCACTAGTTTTGGTTTAAAAAACATTAAATAAAAATCTGCAGACTCTGTCAAATCTTTACTTTAAAAATGGATAAACTCAAAAGTTTAATTATTAACTTCATTTCCAGATGTTCTCTGCCTGTATTTCCAGAGGAACCGCGGTTCCGTTTTTCCTTTTCACAGATCCAGATGTTCTGACCTAAAGAACAGGTCACAGGTGCAACAGGAAGTCCGTTATTGTCTGGCTACTCCTTTATGATGAATTTATCTTTTAATCTTAAAGTGAGCTCAGATCATTCTGCTAAACTTTGCAGAGGACTGCAGGATCATTGGTGACAATGAAAATAACAGTTTTCAAACCTGCATCATAATGAGTGTAAAACGGATAATAAATAAATAAATAATCTGCACCTTAAAATCGCTTGCGACTGAGTCTCCTGTTAAGAGTTTAAACATCCACCCAGGTCGTATCTCATGACGTCATGTAGTGTGGTAGTTCTGCCACGCGGGGTCACTGCTGCTCCGATAAACGTCCCAGCGGCAGAGCCCTTAAAAAGACAGTTCACTGAAACATTCTAAATATGTTAAAATATTATAGTTTCAAGTTAATACTAAGCTTTTTTTTCTCATGTTTTTCTAAATCATCCAGATAATATTTTATTATTTACAGATGCTTCCAGATCAAAAGCCCCTTTTTAATAAATATAATAAAATAGGAAATAAACCTCCGGATGTCTGAAGCCTCACTGTCTCATGAATCACGTGTCAGGACAGAAAACGTTCTCGGCGTTAAGTAAACCTCACAGGGCGTTTGATTGAAGAGCAGACCATGAAGTGGCGTCCTCGGTGACGTCACGCTTCACTTAGACCGGAAGAAACCAAGCACAGAAAGCTTCCCATTTTATTTTTATACTCTTAAATGCGTCTCGTATTTTCATGTTATTGTAACAATCTGGAATCTTCCATCATTGTGTGTTTAGTTACATGACAGCTTACCTGAGGCCAGGTTCACTGACTGACTGTCTTTATTGATTGGTTTTATGCTCTGCCAAAATGAAAGAGGAAGTCAAAATAAAATAAAGGCAATTTTAGCAAGGTTTAGTGTGTCCGTCTTTGTCCAATGGGCTTCAACCTTGATTATCTAAATATATCCTGAATAAATAACGTACAGCGATAACATCACCTTTGACTATTCCACCATTCAAACGCTTTTATTTTCCCTTTTATCTGCATATATTGTGCTCTTATTTTGAAGGCCGCGTCCTCCATGTTTGGTCGTCGTTACCTTGATGGAGCTGGTCCGGGGACGACCCGCAGCAGCTCCGGTCGGTGTGTCCGTGGGCTCAATGCTGCCGGATGGACCGGGTACCTGCAGTACACCGACGGACCTGATTGAAGAAAGGAGAGTACCAACGGTAAGAATCGAGCTGTACAAAAACAAAACGCTGATGGCGGTAGTACCAGCGTGCGGAATACTGCTGGTGTGGTATTAGTATCAGTATTTTTATGGTAACTGAGCGAGTGAAGGAATGTCACGATGTACATTTCAGATTAATAATATAAAATATAAATAATTAAAACAAATAGAACAATTTATTATCCATAAATATCCATAAAATTGAATAAATGTTATTCTGTATAATGAGAACTTTCAGGATATTTTTTATAATTGTACTTTCGTGCCCGTTATATATATATATATATATATATATATATATATATATATATATATATATTATTTATTCCATCAGAATATTTCTACACTTCTATTTCTACATTTTTATTTTGACATAAAAATACATAGTAGCCTACTTATTCTACCTTTTATGTATACAAAAAGTACCTCTGAGATGCAGTACAATGTACACTGTGTACTGTACCTCTGAGATGCAGGACAGTATAAAGTACATACATGACACAGTTGTGAACATCTGCTGTTTAGATGAAAGTGAATGTGAATCTTATTTTCTTAGATTTTGCATAGATTCTGCTGCTTGGACACAACAATGACTTTATTCTGGATGATGTCATCACTTTGGATGATTCATGTATGTAGCGTGTTAAATAAAACTACAACTAGAACCTAACATTTGTAAAAAGGGTCTACCCAGAACCCTCTCAAGAGGTGCAATCCAAAGTCTTTCAACCAAACCCACTCAGGACCCTTTTTACATCACAAGGGCTTTATCGAGAACCCACTCATGGGTTTCTACCAAGAACCGTTTTACATCACTGGGGCTTTATCTAGAACCCACCCATGGAATTCTAACAAGAACGATTTTCCATCACAAGGGCTTTATCTAGATGGGTTTCTCAGTGAATCTTCAGTGACATCCTTGAACAAGATGTGTCTCCGGTCACAAAGTCCTTCCTCCTTTATTTTGAAAGGACTGACACAGAACCTGTTGGCGTGTGCAGAAACTGGCCGCGTGGTTAAACCCGCTACCCCCTGAAGACGTGGAAACCAACAGTGGTCTCCATGGAAACCAGGAGGAGTACTTGCTGGGGATGATGCAGTGTGAGGATCATACCTGTTACCATGGCAACTGTAGTTAATTTCCACCTTTGGTCCTTGAGTGTCTTTATAGAAATGTCTCCTGCTGCTCACAGGTGGTCCTCACCACACAGGTGGTATCAGACGTGGTTGTTTCGATTGGTCCCGATGATCTCAAACCTTTGTTTCCTAGATAATATGAAGTTATATTTATAGTAATTACCAACGCAGGCGTGAGTAGCGGAGGTTTTTTTAAACTGCACAAACCTACTTATTTACCGGTAGTAGAATATTATAATAATAATGATTACTATGATATCATATACTATATTATTTCTAAAATCAGATATATTACTATATTATTATTTTACCAATAATTATATAATATATTTACTGGAGAAGGATATAGATAATTCCTCCCGTCAACAATGCTCCAATACAAAAATGTGAAAGTGTAGAAATGCAATTGAATCTATAAATATAATAACTACGTAGAATTATTACTACTGCATTGATGCTGTAAATTAATATTCCTATACATATTATTATTATTACTATATTATATTATAGTTACGGCTTGTGTTTTATCATTGTTATTTAAACTGTTTATATATTTAAAATACCCATTTCTATTTTTAGTACTCGTACTGTAGTAACAGTACTAGTACAGTAGTAAAAATACATACATAAACAGGGTTAGAGGTTGCCATGACAACGTTGAGAATAAGATCAACAAGCTGTCATATTTCTGTTTTTGATGTAAACATGTAAATGGGATGTAAAGGAGCCCCTGAGAGGAATCCATCACCCTGCTGCCCGATGGCACCTGTAGCGTATGACATCCGTTCCATCCTGAGGAACTGACGGCGAGAAAGCTGAACGGCCTCCTTCTTATGCCGTTGCCATGGAAACAGAGGAGAGAATATCCCAGCAGTGTCTTAATCTGTGTGTTTTTAGTCCTAGTACTAATACCACAACAATCACAGTATTACTTACTACAGAATACTAAATTTAGTGTGACTACATTGATTGTTTATTCTAGTACTAAATCTACTACTCAAAGTACTCAAAGTATTTACTATAATACTAGTCACACAGGAAGTCCAGAGACAGGGGAGAGGGAGGACTCAAACTCAGACCAAAACAAAACTACTTTTTTAATACCCAAATGCGTAGGAGCCAACGGGGACCAGGAATACCAAACAAACAAGAGACTACACAACATAGACTGGCTCAAGGGATTCACCTACAAATACACTGGGGAGGACAGGGACACGGGCATACAATCACTCACAGGGGAAAACACACCAGGGCAACCCAGGGACACGACAGGCAGGAAACTACAAAATAAAACAGGAAACAAACCCACACTGTGGCACTAGTCCAAGAAACAGATCCAGCACCTCAATTATAATAATTTCAATAACATGAATAACAATAATCATAACAATCAGTTTGTTTATTCAAGGCAACTTCTCAAATGAGAAATTAAGAGTCAAGTGTTTTTTGCTAAAATATCCCAAATGTTCCCAATTGAACATGTGATGTGTTTAAAGACCGTTTTATGATGTTGTATTTTTCAGCTTTTAAACCTCCACGCTCCCCCATTGTCTAAACTGACAGTATGACTTGATTCGTCCTTTTTTACGTGAAGAAGGAAGTCAAAGTAAAAGGTGGTGTTTGGAGGAACAGAAGCAGGAAGGTGTTTCGGGCTCATCTCTTCACACTTCTATATTTAGAATCTTGTTATCCAATGATGCATTTCTGGCTCTGCCGGCCACTCTCCTCCTCATTTCAGCAACAGTGTGGTACATTTAAAAAAACTTTATTTAAAAGACCCCCCCTCACCCCCTTTCAGGCACACAACGATGATGTCTGAGAATATGGAGCCGGGTGATGATGTCAGCTTGCTGCACTCCCATGAGATGGAGCCCCCCAGGGAGGAGGATGGACACTGCCCCCTGCCTTTCAGGTGAGTGACTGCGAATTTTCCTGCTTTCTTCTCTCGGCCCAAATGTTACCTTATATAGAGAAAAGGGGGCGTAGCCGTATGCGGACTGCACCTGTCAATTTCAATCATATTTATTAAAGTAAAACCCCAAATTGGCCTCAGGGTGCTTTAAAATTGGCTCATATGAGACATCTTCTGACCTTTGACCCTTACATCGGAACAGGAAGACCCCTCAGAGGAGGATCCGTCAATCCATGTGGATTATGTTCCACATGGATGGACAACATAACAGTTTCATTTAAAATGCAAATTACATTAGAATCAAACGGTTCATTGTAAGGTACGTTTGCAAAGACTTGATAATAAACAAAAGTTTAGGATACCATTTAATATAGAGCATAATAAACAAACAATAAGATAAAACATGTCCGTTAAAGTGTTTATTTAAGGGAGGAGTTGAGCATAATGTCTGTAATGGTCCTGGGGATGTGAGGCTTTGTTTAAACTCTCTCGTAGGGAGAACAGAGGCGTTATATATTATATTTTTTATATTCCTTGAGCACCAGAGGACCAACAAACTAAATTAACTAATTAAGAATTAACTCTGAGGCCATAAACCTTTACTGTAGAGAGGAGGGATCGTTGTCATCTGTAAAATCATCTCACATTAAAGGAGCTACTTTATTACCTTCACACAAGCCCTGTAAAGAAAATAAGTTAAGTATATAATGTTTTGTAAAGAAACAAACAACAAATTGTATAATTTAGCCCTAACTACAAACCTGAGCCAGCCCTAACTAACAAACCTGAGCCAGCCCTAACTGTGAACCTCAGCCAGCCCTAACTACAAACCTGAGCCAGCCCTAACTGTGAATCTGGGCAAGCCCTAACTAAACCTGTATGTTAGTTATGGGTACGGTATATATATAATCTATACAGTGTATTTTGATACAAATACAGATATTAGCTTTTTGTTGAGAAACTTCCTCCCTCATGTTACGTTCTCACCTGACAAGAAAATGTAGATGTAGACCTCGACAAGACTCCCAGCTGGAGAGCGTGCAGGTCGATCCAGATGTTGTGGAAAGTCTCTCTCACACACACACACACACACACACACACACAGTGAGCTGACCTGTATGTTGTTATTGATGGATGCAGGGGACTCACTGGCGATACTTGATAATTCACTCCCAGACCCCCCCCCCCCCCCTCCCCACAATTAACCAATTCCCTCATCAGTCCTGACAAAGTGTGTGTGCGTGTGTGTTTGGCAGCGGTTGAAAGACACGAAGACGTGCAGGAAAGACAATAACAGAGAGGAAAGCTTCTTTACTGTCATTCCTGTCACGTACAAAGCTGCAGAACCACAGGCTGGGTGTGTGTGTGTGGTTAAGAGCTACAAACAAACTAACCCTGAAATTGCAGGATTCAAAACAGGCAGAAATTGAAATGTAAATAAATGTTATTGACTTTTGTGAATCTGAATTCTCCGACTACACACACAACACATACACTACACACACACACTACGCACACTAAACACACTACACACACGACACAGTACTAAACAGAGCAGCAATTTGCATGCTTTAATTAACATTGAATTCTCAAATAATCACGTGCCAGCAAGTTATATTTAATCTTTGGATATTTGTATTTTACATTATATTGAGTTATGTTTATATAATCCAACGTATGTATTTTATGTCCCTCTTGTTGAGTGATTTTATCTTTATTCATATTAAATAGTCCTTGTGTGTGCGTAAACTTTAGTTTAACAAATGTCAGTCAAACAATATCTATCGTAAAGTTTCTAACTTTAAACTTAACAAAGTTTGCGCAGCTTTACTTGTTAAAATATCAAACATCCAACATTTCTTTCTCTGTGCTCCACTTTCTGCTTTCAGACTCAAACTGTTTGCATAATTAGTTCTTTTATATCTCGTGTGAGTGTGTGAAAGGAGTGATTGTCCACTGGGACACATGCGCACATGCACACGCGCACACACTCTCCATGCTCCAGTGGATCTAACGAACACAAGTGGCTGACGGGAGTTTTTACTTTTGGCCCGGATCTCCTTTTCTTTTTTTTTTTACAAAGATCATAATGATGGTGAAGGAAGAAGTACTTTACTCAGTACTTTATTTGGTACTTTGTTCAGTACTCTGTAGTTGAGTCACAGTACTTCAAAGTACAAAGTGTGTGTGTGTTTGAGAGCAGTTGAGTTGAAGCTCTCTGCACAGGTTTTTATTAAACTGAGATATGTAAACTGAGGTTTAATTTCATTAGATGTGATTTCATGACTTATGATGTTACGAGATGTCTCTTGATGAGGAGACATTTAATGTCCTTCAGGCTGCAGCTGATCGACGACCTTTCTTACGAAGATGTGAAGAAGTGCTACAGAGGATCAGTGAGTTGCACACACACACACACACACAGGGTGTAAGTTTCTAGAGACACGCAAGTTACATCAGACATTTGAGTCCACAGATTCAAATGAAATATCTAAGAATGACAGAGTTCCTTTCTTAACGCCTTTGATCATTTATTCATTTGATTACTTTGCGAAGAAAAATGTTCTTTTGTGAGTACCTGAAGTAAACAAAGCTTTATGGTTGTACTTCTACTACTTCTATTAATTGCATTTACATGTGTCCTGGTCTGTGGTGAAAACAAAAAAAACTTAAGAATGTTTTTCATTTAAGTAAAACGTACAAAAGATTTAGGATATTAATAATGCAGAATGATTTACACTCTTGTGTTTTAATTATCCATAGATTTGTGTGTTCGTCTGGTAAAGGGGGGCTCATTTTAAGTAGAATTATTATAGAACAAAGAGCCAAATTGACCTCGGTTTGTTTTCTTTTTATAATCTGTAAAAGAAAATTAAGCTGACAGACAAATGTAGTCCAGTAAAAAATACAATATTTCATCTCAGATGTAGTGAAGTAAAAAGTAGCAGAAATGTATGTACAAGGACCCTAAAAGTACTTGAGTAAACGTACCTAGTTGCATTCAAAGCCTCAAAGAGCTCCAGTGTTTCAGCTCACTAACAATAAATAATAATACAACCAATCAAATAAGAGCTCTGGGTTTCATATTTGGAGGATTTTAGTATCATCGATTCTTCCCCCTGGTATAAAGAACAGATTAAATCCTTCTTCAGAGGCTCGGGGCGGCGTCGACCTTCTGCTTTTCTGTTGTTTCAGTCTTTGTTGCTTCACACAGGAAACAGGAAGTCAGGAAGTCTCTGAGAGAATAAAGGCGCGCAGGTGTATTTAGATGATGTAACCTCTGAGCCACATATCAGGAACCAGAACAATACACAGGGAACAATATTCCAACCAAAACTATCCCAGTAGTCTGTTAGAAGTAAAAGTATCAGTAATCAAAGTTATTGATCAGCCCCTCCAGAATAAGAGAAAACATCTGTCGTATTGTGATCATTATTAATGATAATAAGACAATATCCACAATCAGACCACAACACAAAACAACAGAAATAAACTCAACAACCAGATTCATTAGATAATTAAATACCGTCTTGAATAAAACCATGTGTCAGATATTAAATACTAAACATCACTGGTGTAATTATCAGAATCTGTAATTGTTAATCAAGCAGACAGATGAAGGCGCCCAGGCAAACGTACAATATTTCCTCTTCAGAGGGAGGGACGTGAAGTTTCTTCATTATGAGATATGAGCAGCTTTGAAATTTTAATCAGAAGTTTTATTGGTAGTTAAACAAAAGGTGATGAGTACTTTAATAAATCCAAATACGTGGTGTTTAATGACAGAAAGCCTTAAATGTATGTACAGACGTTATTTAACAAATTGACATTATTATTATTATTATAAGTCTGAATATAATCACACTAAATTCAAGAAAAAAAAAGAAAAACATTTAATGTGGTGGATGCTTTTCAAGTGAAAGGGTCATTTTCTTTATCTCTGTAGCAGGTCGGAGGCTACAAATCAGCAAGTTTATTGATAAATATTTATAAAGGTTCATATTAAAGATTCTATTCATAAACCTTTGCGTTTATTCATTTATTTTATTCAACCACATAAATCAGCTGAGAAGCAGTTATGTTTAAAAAAATCACCTGTCCAAAGGGGCAGCGACAGGAAGTGAACAAAGAAACTTAAATTGATTTGAACCGTACGATCACAGGAACATATGACTGTCTCCACAGACGGTCAGCAAGTACAACTCCCAGTACCACAAACTGTTCCAGACTGTCCCCAAGGACGAGATCCTCATGAAGGGTGAGGACCCGTCTCTCACCTGTCTCTACGCTGTCTTATATCCCCTGTCTCTTACCTGTTCTATATCACTTGTCCTCCCCTCTTCTATATCCACTGTGAGCTCCTATCCTGTCTCCAGGACAGAAGGATGAGACCATTTGATCAGAGACTGAGGGTCTCTTTCAGTCTCATCACCTGTGTACCTGCTTCTTCTTCTTCTGTAGTGTATTCGTGTGCGTTGCAGCGAGACATCCTGCTGCAGGGACGACTCTACATCTCCAGGAACTGGCTCTGTTTCTACGCCAACCTGTTTGGTAAAGATATCAAGGTGAGAGAAAGAAGCGCCCTCCACTCTCTCTCTCTCTGACTCTAAAATCACATTTCTAATGTATATTATATATGTATACACATATGTATGTATTAACTATGTATCATATATTGTACATATACAGAGATTCTGAAATATGAAATATACATGTTATCATTGAGTTTAGTTTGCATGTTGAAGGACAATCTGCCTGATTGGATTAAACACCAACTAGTCCTCGGGTCAAACCAGACTGGAATCTGAGGCTTTCAAAGACCTCAATCAGTTAGTTTACATCCTCCACAGCACCACCGGGATATTAATTTAGATATTAGTCAAATATGTGTTTAAAATCACATTTATATATGTCTATATATAATAATCTATATGTTTGACAAACGTGTGTTCCAGTGCCTAATGTCACGAGTGTGTGTGTCAGAACTTGATGTTAAAGAAGTACAAAGGTATTAACATCCCAATGCACTTAAAATAATATGTATCAAATTAATCACTTTAATGTTGTGGCTCTTAAATGTAGAGTTTATTTTTATTGTTAGGATTAGGGTTAGTCCTTAGTAGGGCTGGTACTTTAATAGTGCAACATCCTTTACTTGTTCATTATATATACTTTTATAATATGATATAGTTTGAGTATATAACAAAATACAATAGATTTAGTAGAAGTAGCAAAAAGATGTGTAAACGATAAATACCTCAAAATTATTCACAAATACTTCAGAGAATGTACTTTTTTGTATTATAACAGGAAGTGTTTGCTCTACCTTTCACAATAAGTGTTTTCTGCAGGTGTGCATCCCGGTGGTGTCAGTTCGTCTGGTGAAGAAACACAGGACCGCCGGCCTTGTGCCCAACGGCCTGGCTATCACCATGGATACGGCGCAGAAGGTACCGCCTCTTATCAACACCATGCATGTTTACTGCCCATTTGAAATCACTTTGTATTAGAATACAAAAAATACTTTCGGTTTCTACACAGTTCAGACAAATACAAGTTGAGTTTTTTTTTATATTTAATACAACACTGATTGAAGCTTGATACTCTTTCTTTGCTGAACAGGTCAGACTTTTAATTATTATATGATATTAATTAATTTAATATATTAATGAAATACTTTTTTTACATCACATATCAAATGTATGTATACACACTTTGCAAGTAAATAAGGGGATGCTTTTGTTTTTGTCTTGAACTCCTTCATGTGTGTTTTCAGTTAAGTTAATATTTTGGCTGCCTCATAAACATCTTGTTCAACTTTGGTTGTATTAAGCTCCGCCCTCTTGTCACTTCTGGTTGCAAAAAAACACAATTTGGTAATTTCTATGCTGCTCAGAGGGTCGCAGGGGGGAGTCAATCCCAGCTGGCATTGTGGGGAGAGACAGGGTTCAATGGACTGGTCTCCATGCTAACCACCCCACCACCATGCTAACCACTCCACCACCACCTCCACCATGCTGATAACCGCCTCACCACCATGCTAACCACCCCACCGTGCTAACCACAGAGTTAGCCATCTCAAAACAAGATGTTAACAACCAAATTGCTGAAGCGCTTCATGCGAAGAAAGACTCCTTCCTCTCTGTGTCTTTGCAGTACGTGTTTGTGTCCCTGCTGTCCAGAGACAGCGTCTACGACGTCCTCCGGAGAATCTGTACTCACCTGCAGGTTTGTGGATTGGTAGCTCCTGTTTGTGTGATGTGACTTCCTATCTGACTTCCTGTCTGACTGCAGGTGAACGGGAAGAGTCTGAGTTTGAAGCAGTTTCTGGAGGAACCTATCTCTCTTTCCATGGTAAATATCTCCAAACATCTGTCCCCTCTCTTGCTATCTGTCCCCTCCCTTGACAGCTGTCCCCTCTCTTGGCGTCTCTTTAAGGATGAGTTCCCGGCAGTGTTGAAGTGGAGGAGAAAGCCTTCTCTCCCGGTTGTGTCCTCGTCCCTGCCAGACCTTCTGGGAAGCTCCTCCCCCGGCCTCGCTGCAGACACGCCCTTTATCACGCACACGCTCACAGGTAAGCCCAGCTGACCCCGATCAACCCTCCACCTCTACCGAATCACTGACCCGTGTGTGTGTGTGTGTGTGTGTGTGTGTGTGTGTGTGTGTGTGTGCAGACAGCAGTCTGGAGACAGAGACCATCCTGCTGGCAGAACCAGTATCTGAACTGGGTCACATGGAGTACCAGCTGCTGAAACTCTTCATCTTGCTGTGAGTACTTCACATGCTAAAGTAACATTTGATTCCAACAAAAATGTTTCCACAATCCTCACACAAAGATGGGAAAGTAATATGCACAATATCGTGATCAAGAAATACTTCAAATACTTCAGCCGGAACAGATGTGTGAATATAACAGTTCTTCAGAGCGATGCCACAGAATAACCGTTTCTGGTTCCACAAGGAACCTTCAGGGCTGGATAAACCCCCAAAGGTTCCTCAGAGAACCTCTACAGAGTTCTCCAAGGAACCGGACGGGAAAAAAATCTATTTTTTTGCCATTTTGAACTCAATAATGTTTGTGACCGTGTATATATGATACATTACAGGTCATTTAGGTGACGCGTTTATCCAAAGCGACTTACATTGCATTTTTAACATGGTTATTTACATTTTTGCCTGGGGAGCAATTAGGGGTTAGGTGTCTTTCATGGGCCACCGTCACCCCATAAACAGTATAATAGATACACTGTATTATATATACAGTGTGTGTGTGTGTGTGTGTGTGTGTGTGTGTGTGTGTATCTATGTGTATATATATATATATATATATATATATATATATATATACATATGCCTATAATAAGACTTCTTTGTCTCAGCGTCTTCTTCCTGGTCCTCTCCTCCTGCTACTTGGCCTTCAGAGTGTGTCGCCTGGAGCAGCAGATGAGCTTCCTCAGCAGCCAGCCGACGCTAAGGGACAGGTCCATACACATCTGGGAGTCAGACACATCTGGGAGTCATACACATTATATTATATACGTGTTATATTACCATTCTGTTTCTTGTTTCTTGTTCATCCAGATGTGGAGAGTTGCCCTGCTGGCTGGCCAATCAGAGGACAGGAACCTGACAGAGCCAATCGGGAAGTAAAAGAAGAAAAACCTTCACTTATATAGATTTCCCATCGAGGGCCAGGGTTAACCTGGTTGCCATAGAGACACAACGGTCCGACCTCTCGAGAGGTCACGTAGAGGTCAGGAGGCCGGAGGGACGACGGCGTGCTGTTACATAACAGATGTGTGTGTCTGCGTGTGGTTGCGCTTTGGAGACGTGTAACACCTCAGTTACATTTAGCATAAATGTACATTTACTTGACACTTTGTCACAGTTTAAGGTTAACAGATTTTAGGTCACATGTCCAATTTATTTATAAACTACTTAGACGACATTTACACCTTTAAATCAATCTCAGCTGTTCTTTGGATCAGAAGTCCCCAACCTTTATCATCTCACCGACTGGTCAAGGTGTGGCGGATAAACACGAAAAAATAAAGAGATACGATCGGCATGAAAACATGAACCTGTATTTTAAGTGTGACTCCTGAAACTTCTGAAAGTTTTGCGTTTTCAAATAAGTCAAGTCAAGTTGTTTATTTTTTCAGTGCGGCCGAGCCCACGCACCGGTACGGGTCTGTGTCCCGGGGGTTGGGGACCACTGGTCTGAGGTGAAGTGAGAGCTTTGTGAGTTAAAGCTGCATTCTCTCTTCTGACCACCAGGGGGCGATTCCGCTGGTCCTATAGAAGTCTGTGGGAAAATGACTAGGCCCAATCCCAGCGTCCCCCCCTGACCTCCAGGGTGTCACTGAAGTCACCTGGTCAGTGGTGTCAGAGTGGGCTTTAGATAGTGTAAATATGAAGAGACAGCACTTTGCTGCTACATGTCACCATGAGAACGTAAAAAAATATGATTTACTATTGAGGGGATTTATTTCATACTTTTACTCTATGATTTGAAATTCTTTCAGGCTTTTTCCTCATAAGATGGGAGGTATTTTGAAATAATGCTTTACGGTTTCCTTTTAAAAATTGCTATAAGTAATAGTTGATAAATCTGATTTCATGTGTTTTTTCTCCATCTTTAATCTTTACGGTTTGAAATGTAACATTTTATGACAGTCTGAACACACGTCCTCTCACTGGTTATCCCGTATTAACGGCATGTTGCAGTCACTTGTGGGTAATTCTCTTGGGGTTCATTAAGGGCTCAAATACTGGGCGGATGAATAAACGTAATATAAACTTCTGTACTCTCGTACTTGTACTTGAGTTATAAACGTTCCACTTCTACTCTTATCTAAAAATTGTTATTTACTCTACAAATTATAAAGTGAAAATAAAGAACAAAAGATCAATATGATTTATAAATACAGTTCACACGCCTCCAGGTGAAGAGTTCTCTAACCCGCCTCATGGGGGCAGTAGAGCACCGTGCAAACACTTTTATCCTATTAAATACATACATACATAATAGTTATTGTAGAATTAATAAAACTGCATCACAACCTTACATCTTGGTTTTTCTTTTTCAGCCTGACTAATTTAGAACAAGTCAGACTGGAAACCATCATTTTTTACTTAAGGCAACAAACTGCTTCATAACCGTTTAAAAATTTAGTCGACCGGTCTTATTTTTTCTGACTTTAGCTCGGCTCATCATTTAGTTAAAAAGACGTGTACAGAGATGTTTTACTGTGGTAGTATGAGGTACTTCTACAAGGTCTGTGTATTCAGACACTAGAAACACATAGGTATCCATATCAGGTCAGGAGTGAGCTGAGAACACCAAAGACCAAGAACACCATCTCATTTTGACCTTTCTGTTGGGGACGGTTGTCCATGCTCTTCTCCCATCCGACTCCAGAGACCACCTGCAGGCGGAGCTCCTCCTCCTCCATCTACTACCCTTCCTCCTCCTGAGTATTTATACACTGAGGTAGTAGTACTACTAGTAGTAGTATATGATAGTCGCTATCAGAGGAAAACACTTCATAACGGATCTTTATTAATCATTAACAATCCTAAAAACACAAATGATTACATGACTTGAAAAGAACCTGCGGTCGGTTCTGTCCACCGCGTCGTCTCTCTCATAAAACTGTCTCTGGTTTGGATGGTGCTCCCAGTACACATCCTGAACCAGTACTTCTCCTTCTGCTGGGAGCCGTGGGACACAACACTTTGTCCTCTGTCCTGCTCCACAGGTCATGTTCACTTCCTGTTGGGTCAGATCCTTTGCTGTCTTGTCCCATCTTGTGTCCTTCACCCTGTAGATTGTTGTCTTGTTAGACCCCTATCCTCCATGTTGTCTTCTCCATCGTCCTTGTTTCCTTTCCTGTCCCCTTGTGTCCTCGTCCTCTCATCAGCTGTGAGGGAGGCTGATGACTCCTCCCCTCAGAGACTCCACCATGTCCAGCTGTCCCGAGAAGGTTCTCTGAGCTATTGGCTCGCCCTCCCCCAGGAACTCCACGCCCCCCTTTTCCGTACCAGCATGCATCCTTCCGGACGCGGACAGCAGGCGCACGTCGGAGTGTGCGTTGGCCACCGTGTGGCGCCGCACGCCGCCAGCCTTCTCCAGGTAGGCCTCGCCCTCCTGCTCCACCAGCGGGGCGAGCGACGAGGAGTCGGAGGAGGCGTGGTGCCGCGTGATGGTGATCTCCGGCTGGAAGCTCTCGCCTAGCGACGACCACAGGTGGCGAGACTCTGCAGGAGACAGGAAGACTCGCCTCAAACAACGCTTTAAAAAGCAGGAGGAAGTAGACTTTACACAATAGACTTATGTCATCCTAATTGTCTCCAATGAGGTCCAGACCAGAACCGCCATTCCGATCCAAGTTAGGGTGCGCTTCATTCGCTGACTTGTCACTCTGCAGATGCAGTTAAAGATAGTTTGACACTCCCTTCTTTTATCTCGCTGGTTTTTGAACTTTTATTTTATACACAAGCCGAGCCATCATTAGCATCCGCTCGAATTCTCCCATAGACTGTTTATGGCGAGCCTCTGGGGGAGGCGCTCCGAGGACACAAATGTTTTTACTTAACTAAAGTACCTGAGAAGAAGAAAGAAGAGGACGAGATGAACTGAACTCACCTCCACAACAGAGAGGAGGGATTATGATCATTATAAACTCATCATTCATCATTATATATCATCATATTCATGAAGTACTTCCTCACCTTTAACCTCTCTAGAATCAAGCCATTTTCAGACACCTGCTCGAGAATGGCATACCGATGATAAAACAGGTCATATCTTTTCAACCATGAGAAGGTTTCCACTCGTAGTGGTTTAAAGCTCATATTCAGGTTAGGAAGAGTGTAAAATACACAAATAGTGTGTGTGTGTGTTGTAGTAGTTACCACACACGCATACGTACACACAGCAGCAGATTAAGCGGCTCACCTCCCTGCTGACAGGACTTAACCAGCGTATTACTATAGAGCCCCGCCCCTGAGGCCAACTCTTGGGACTAATTGTCTCTTTGTTTCCTCGAGGCAGAGCGTCTTAATCGCTGTCAGACGCTGCGGTTTCCCACAGGCCCTGATTGCACCACCTGAATATCTATTAAGTGTCTCGAGTCATTTTAGCTACATTACAAAAGCAACTGAGATTTACTTTTGATTCTTTTGATTTTAAATTCAGTTCAACTATTGATGAATGTCTTCTTACCCAGAAGGCTCCTGGGGGGCCGGACGCGGCCGAGGAACGGAGACACGGACACCTCCACCAGGACCTCCAGCTCGTGGGCCTCCACACTGGGAGCCCCGCACTGGTGGATGCCCTGAGGGAGGGTACAAGTACACAGAGAGGGTATTAGGACACAGAGAGTGTACTTGTTTATGGAACATTATGTCTTAATTATTAAATCTGGCAGAGAGAAGACAACAAAGGTTCTCATCAGGTTCACATCCACACAATGCTATTGTTGTTGTTGTTATTGTTGTCGTTGTTGTACGTATTTGTCCATGTCTGGGGCTTTTATTGTGACGGGTAAAAAGAGGATCTGGTTTATTATGAAAGCTAAGGACAGTTTTTTATTTGATATATTGACACATTGAACTATTGACACTAAATCAAGGCTCAATTTTTTTTATTTATTTAAGTAAACTAAATACATGAACGCACAATTGAAATGAAACGTGTGTGTCTTTGTGTGTGTGTGTACCTGCAGCACCAGCAGCATCTGAGTGACAGCTGGAGGGACAGAGGCTGCAGTTCTCAATGTTTCTTTCAGCTGGAGCTTCAACAGTACCAAGTCTCTGAAGGCCAAAAGGGTCATCTGCCTCACTGTCAGCTCCTGACCCTGAACACACACAGACACACACGGTTAGATAATCCTTTGATCTCTCTGATCAAATGAGCCCAGATTAGTTAAAGTCATGACATGGTAGATTGGCGTGGTAATCGAGCCTCGGCTAAGCCCCGCCCTCGCTGCTACTCCGTCAAGCTGTCGGAGCTGTGTTACCATGGAGACCACACGCTCACTAATTGCGGTCACAGTACATTACATGTCATTTGGCTGACGCTTTTATCCAAAGCGACTTACAATAAGTGCATTCAATGAGAAATATTAACTAATCTATAATGTGTTTGACATGAAGGAATAACACTGTTAGAATCACATTCAGCAGCTAGTGTGGTATCGAGGTGCTAAGGCTAGCTGACAGAGTGCTAACGTACTCTGCTAATATTATCTCCACTACTGGACATCTGGAACCAGTGATATGAGTTTGTGGAGGGGAGCGTTGCTACGTTGTGATTGGTCAGTCTGCATTTGGTGGGCGGGACTTAGCGAGGAGGTTAAGTGGCAGCTTTGTTTTATGATCTCACTTCCCAGAGGTGGACAGTCCGACAGAAAGCTCCAAGCTTCGACACAGTGGTGCTTTGAGCAACATGCTAACACGCTAATGATGGCGTGTGAGTACCTGGACTGGGTAGAAGATGGCCTGCAGGGTCGGTAGGATCTCCGTGAAGAACCTGTCCCACATGTCGGCGAGGACCACAAGCACCTGGTCACCTGTGGGGGTGGGGGTACTGCCGGTTACCATGGAAACACAAAACGTCATCCCGCCGAGGAGAAAGCAATGTTGTTATAATGTTTTCTGTTGGTCTGCTGTCTGGCTTTAAAGCGCCACCCCGTACCGCAATGAATCATGGGTGATATGTTGAGAGAGTACATTAAAAGAACTTTGATTTGGACAAAGTATTTTAGTGTGCTGCAATATGGCTTATTAAATGCTCATATAAAAGCTCTTAAGTTCTAAAGCAGAATTATTCTGAATGGCATGCTTGCTCCGGTTTGTTGGGATCCAACCCCCTGAAACCAGAGGCCATCTCACCAGAGTGAAGCAGGACCTGGTCCAGCACTTCAGAGAGACCTCGAGTCAGCAGCTGGTTCTGGGAACACACAACAGCAAATACATGAAGGTGGACCAAATGGTAGAAATACATATACGTATATATACAGACTGAAAGTATTTTAGATATTTCAAAAAATAAACAAGAATAAAATGTGAAATCCTCTACGTTCAACAATAAATGACAACAGGAAGAGGAGCATCCTCTGAGTGACAACAAGAAGTGGACAGAGAGGGTACCTGGTAGTAATCAGTGATGAAGGAGCCCATCTCCGTCTTGAGAAGCCACCTTAAAGACACAAGGAGATCAGTGACTTGAGCGGATTTCTAAGGTACATGTTGTACTTTTTACTCAGTAGAAAAAGTCACCTGATGCTCTCGTTAAGAGTGTAGAGCTCGTTAGTCTGCAGCTCTCCACCCTGGAACACCTTGATCACAGCTGACTGCACACTGAGGACACACACACACAGGAGGTTAGAGGTCATAGCATCACATGTTAGTTTAATGTTACACAATCACAGACCTGAGAGGAGAGATCACTGGAAGAAACCAGAGGGATTCCTCACATGCAGTTTGTGCGTGTGTGCGCATGTGCGCGTGCGTGTGCGTGTGTGTGCGTCTCAGGACGTGGCCGGGGCTGCCACCTCCACTTCCTGTTGAACATCCTGAAGAGCAGCAAACAGGCCACGGTTTCCTGCTGCTGAATCACTGAGACGCAGAACGAGAGTCTGGCGACAATAAGAACCCTTCACGTTCCAATGACAACGTAGAGCTACACAACGGGAAGCAACGTAATGTAAAGAAATGCAGAGCAAAGTAGAGCAACGCAACAGGGAGAGCAACGCAGCGTGAAGCAACGTAAAGCAACGCAGCGTGAAGTTTGGGCCCATAACTCCCCACAGACACACACACACACGTATTGTGCGCTAAACACATGAAGATAAAGCCTCTGCTGGAGTCAGGTGGCTTTGACTGATCCAGGATCAGATCTTTATCAAGTTCAACAACAGGAGCCTCTCATAGCTCCAAATAATGTTGTTATCGTTACTCCCTCAAAATGATGTTTTGAGGGAATGAAGTTTTCTACAATGTCATAATTTGCGGAGCGGAGATTGTTATTACATGTATTGTAATAAATATTTGCCCTTTGAGAGGTGATATCAGCTCTGTGGGGGACTCTGGGAAATGCGGGACATCAGGAAGGACTGAAGATGCTTCACTAAAATAACGGGGAAGGTCAGCTGACCTGTTCCACACGCTGGCGTTGGAGATCTGCATAGAGGGAGAACTGGCGTGGAACCGGGCGAGGTCCGACAGAACCGGAGAACTCATGAAGCGAGGCCTGGGCCGCCGAAAAGATCCCATCGTGCACCCTGGCTGCTGAGGAGAGAAGGTATCATTACATCATAAGTGTTCATTCTTTAATCAGGTCGAGTGACATGGAAATGTTTCACAAGAAAGATATGAACTAAAAAGTGTAAACTAAAAAGAGTCGGAATGATTGTTATTAAGATAGACAGAGTGAGACAGACACAGAGAGAGACAGACAGGTGGAAGCCTCGCACAGCCTCTCTGCAGCTTCTACTTCCTGTTGTTGAATCATTCCGAAACAGGAACGTGGTCTTCTTCTGAACCACTTCCTGTTTGTTTACAGACGAGGCCTGAAAGTCCATGTGAACTTTATTGTCGGAGATATATTCATATGTTGTTGTTACTGTGAAACCATTAAACCACCATAAACAATTTAATTTAGTCAGAGAGCAAAACGTTTAGGTACATGAGGTACAGAATAAAATCAGGCTAAAAAGCTCTGGAATCTGGAGTCAGTCGTGATTGGAGCGATGGAGAGGCTTTGTTGTGGTTTCCATGGCAGGAAGCACATTAATTCCACACAAATTGCATGTTGCGGCTAAAGGAAATATCCCTTTCGTTAGAACTTCTGGGTTTGGGCCTTGGTCGGTGAAACTGATCGGTTTTATTTTGAAGGGGATTTTTATCTGTACTATAATAAACTAGAAACAGATCCGCCCGAGATTGCGCCAACTGGACAAGAACGCAGATAAAACAAACCCATCTGTGAAGACTGAAGTCCTCCAGTTCAGCGTGTTGGCCCTCACCATCTTGGTTTTCACAACCAATGAACAGGAAGTGGCCGTATATGGATGGAGGAGGAAGTACAGATGTTTATCTGTCAATTAGTGTGAAGCCCCGCCCTAAAGCATCCCCTGCTTTATGGTCTATTTGGTCTGTTTGACTCTAAATTTACCATAATTTACTAAATGAACATCATGGTGTATTGACTAAGACTTGATTCTGGAGATTGAGCCAATACACTCATGTTTACAATGTTTACTGAGGCCATAAATCAAGAGAGAGTAATTTCCCCATAGACTGAATGAATATCCACACAAACCTAAGGTTTGAACACCAAAGTTGTTTAGTTATCTCCTCCTGCAGAGCCTGAAAACATCACATCACATCATCAGCTTCTTGTGTTCAGCTGAGGCTTTTATTTCTCTCCCCTCTAACCGTCACAGCGAGTAGGCCCCAAAGCCCCCCCCCACCACAGGGTCGAGGCCCCGTTCGGGACGCCCAGGTGGCTGATGGGAATTCACGGCCCTCTGTGAGTCCCACAGTCCCTCGCCGTGCCGTCTCCCCTGTTCTCGGCCAATGGGAGGTTGTGAACACAAACATACCATTGTTTACCCAGCCGAGTTCTGACAAAGGCCGGCTCCTCTCTCTCTCTCTCTCTGTCTGTGAGGCGAGGAGTCAAAGAGATAAGGAGGCGAGGAGACAAGACGAGTAGTTAGAGAACTCTCACATACACACATTTCAGGGCGCCTCAGTTTGAGAAAAAGAGATAAACCAACACTCCAACTTTCTCACCTCCTGATCTGTGGAAGTGGGCGCTAGGCGCAACCGCGTGAGTAACCATATCCGCGTAACCATGGGGACCCATCTGGTAGACTGTCAAAAGACAGTCATCAAAATAAAAAAGTTCAAACCCCCACCTGCCTCACCCTCCATCACATCCTCCTCTAACGACACGTCCATCAGGTAAAACCTGCTCTCAGGTCTTCAGAGGGATTCGCTCTCATATCTGTGATGAAGACGCTACGCTAAGCTTAGCTTAGCACAAACACCAGAAACAGAGGGAAACTGTTACCCTCAGGTAACAAGCTAGCAGCTCCTCATAACATGTGACATTTGGTCTGTGACACCTTCCAAAGCTGTGGCAGGTTGAATCAAGCTCAGTTGATATTAAGCTCAGTTGATATTAAGCTCAGTTGATATCAAGCTTAGTTTATATTAAGCCTTAACACCCAAAACACTGGTTACATTTCAAAGGATTTTCAGAATACTGACAATCTGTTTTTAGATGTTTGGAAACAGGAAGTCTTAAAGTTTCCAAGATGGTCCAAGAAGTTTTATTTTTTTACAACACTGTTAATACACAGATGTTTACATGTAAGTAGTAAAACTAGTTTATGAACGGAAACTTTAACGTGAACAAAATAATCAGATAAAACTAGATCAACCAGTCACGTTTCTAAGAAATCGTCAAACTTAATTATGAATTCCCGCTGGGTTTTCCTGATATATAACATTATATAACCATATTTGATCATTTATAAACGAAACAAACAGTTGAACGATTTTGATGTAATAGTTCTGATTTGGGGTCGGCCTTAATAAAAATCAAAAATGCGTCAAAACGCCAACTGGTCTTGGGACTCGTTCCAGATGAGGATGAATAACTGTCAAATTAAGGTCCGCCCCCTGTCAGTCAACATCTAGCTGCTGTAGGTCACATGATCAAACCACAGACCATCTCATTCACATCGGAAATACCTAAGAACAAACAGAATGTTTCTGTCTGTCTGTTAGCGCGTAAGCGTTATCATAAGGGCTAATCCTGGAACACGAGAGAGGGACTAATGCAATTATTCTGATCTGGGATAATTTCCTGTGAAAAACAACCATATTAAAAGAAGAATGCAGTCTTGCAATTATGACATCACAGCATAGAACAGGTGACGTCATGCTGAGAGCCTGTTTGTGTGTGTGTGTGTGTGTGTGTGTGTAGTTTTTCACACGTAATCCAGGTAACACATCAGTTAAGTCACAGGTAAAAACGTAACATTTACTCAGCTTACATTTACGAAACTACAACTACTTGTACTTTACTTGAATATTTTCTTTCTACTTATCTTTTTTACCTTGAGTCTACTACATCTCAGATATTAGTAATATTATGAATAACTTACAATGTTAATGGATTAGTTAGATATTTTATGTTGTTGACACTAGTAATAATGTTAATGTATTTATAATAATGTTAATATATTGGCAATAACTTTAATAATGTTGATATATTAGCACCAACTTTAATAGTGTAAATTAGTAGCAGTGGAAATCTCTTGGCACCTCACGATTCGATTCCGAGGTCAACGATTTGATTCTAAACCGATTATCGATTCTAAACCGATTATTCAATTCTAAACTGATAAAACGATTATCGATGCATCTCGATTTTCTAAATTTTCTCAAATCTGAGTTTGCTACTCAGAGGTTGCTAATCACTTCCTACTTTATTTGATAATTAAAGAAAATCAACAGATGAATTACCTTCTCTAATTTTTTATAAGAGAAAAAAAATCTTTTTCACAAATATGATTTTCTAATCAACAATGCAAGAACCAATGCAGCTTGCATTTATTTCAACACAATATGGAAGTAGCCTATGTAAAAAAAAAATATTAAACAGATTCATTTTTCTTTTAAATGAAGAAAAAACTGCTCTTAGTCTCAGACCGGTCCGTATTTGTAAAATACCGGAAATAAGTCCAAATCTGTGAATATCTTGCCAACTTTCAATACGGATCGACTTTTTGGAAAATTGAAATAATGAGGTAAGGTATGCGCAGGCTCCTTCATAGTTCGGTAAAGTTGGCAAGATATTCAGATTAAGACTGACGGACCGGTCTGCGAGCTGGACGCATTGCTCTTAATGTGCCGGTAATGATGGTAAATGATGGTTATAGCTGGTTGTCATCTACGGTCCACTACGATCACTGAAGGGGGGCGTTTGTTTTTTGACAACGTTTTATGTCATAATTTCGAGATAATTTCGCGAGCGAGGAAGTTCACGCTCCGCGAGCGAGCAAATATCTTGTGGGCTTTTGCTCGCGCGAGACAGACTTTTTTTTTTTTAATTCTGATTATTAACTTTTCTGAATCGAGACCGAATCGTTCTAGAGCAGTGGTCCCCAACCACCGGGCCCCGTGGGCCATTTGGTACCCGGCCGCACCACAGAAAGCTTATATATATTGAAAATTGACCAGATTTTCTCCTAATTATGTGCGCTCGTCCCTCTGACATACTCCCCACGCGTTTTTCTTGTCCTTTTACCGTGCACGGCAGTTTCGCCGACCGGTGAACACAGAGCGCACGACTACTACCCCTCCCCGCCCGTCGATCGTTCCGCCCCCCCGTCGATCGGCGATCGAGGTAAAAAAGGTTGGGGACCACTTTTCTAGAGAGAATCGAGAGAAATCGAAGAATCGTTTTTTTCGCCCAACCCTATAAATTAATAATGTGTTTTTAAAACTTTAACCACATTTTCCTGATTATTATTATTGTTTTACGGGGAACATTTCTATTGCAGGACTTAACTGTGAGTATATTTTCCCTGTAAATCCATTTACAAGACTTAAACATCAACCTCATGTGAGACGTCAACAAAAACTAATCCTCTAAGAGTCTCTATTTAAGAGCTAATCCCACTGTGGACCATTTACAGAATCAAAACTACATGTCAGCCTGTTGACATGAACATCATCTAGTCTATGATCTAGATTACATGCGGGTCTATAAACTGTAGATCCCCTCTAACGACGAAGGACCGTAGACTATAGTCCACTAAAACAGTCCTTCTACATAAACCACATAATATTTATGTATAAGAAAGTTAGAATCTAAGTCTTGTTATTCTAGACTCTAGCCCAAGTGTTACTGTTGACAGTCTCTAGATCCCCAATAGGTCTGTTTAGTCTGTAGACCACCTGTAGATCTGCTTACAGTCTCTATACCACCTGTAGACTGACTTACAGTCTCTAGATCCCCTATAGGTCTGTTTACTCTCAAGACCACCTGTAGATCTACTCACAGTCTCTAGGTCCCATATATGTCTGTTTAGTCTCTGGACCACCTGTAGATCAAATTACAGTCTCTAGATCCCCTATAGGTCTGTTTAGTCTCTAGACCACCTGTAGATCTGCTTACAGTCTCTATACCACCTGTAGACTGACTTACAGTCTCTAGATCCCCTGTAGACTGACTTACAGTCTCTAGATCCCCTATAGGTCTGTTTACTCTCTGGACCACCTGTAGATCTACTCACAGTCTCTAGGTCCCATATATGTCTGTTTAGTCTCAAGACCACCTGTAGATCTACTCACAGTCTCTAGGTCCCATATATGTCTGTTTAGTCTCTGGACCACCTGTAGATCAAATTACAGTCTCTAGATCCCCTATAGGTCTGTTTAGTCTCTAGACCACCTGTAGATCTATGCACAGTCTCTAGGTCCCCAATAGGTCTGTTTACAGTCTGTAGACAACCTTTAGATCCACCTAAGAGTCTCTAAACTCTTGGTAGGTCTTTTTCAATCTATAGACCACCCGTAGATCTACTTAGTCTCTAGACCCCCGGTAGGTCTGTTTACGGTCTCTAGACCACCTGTAGAATGTAGACTTGAACGCCCGGAGGTTTGTTTGCAGTCTCTCGACGACCTGTAGATCGACTTACAGTCTCTAAACCCCTTGTAGGTCTGTTTACAGTCTATAGTCCACTTGTAGATCTACTTACAGTCTTGAGACCACCTGTACATCTACTTACAATTTCTAGACCATGCTTTAGACCTAATTACCCGTACGTGTGGGTCCATTTACAAGAACTACGTCCACAATGACTCAAAACTGTTTTATGTTCTTAAAAGCGACGTCAAATGGTCCGGTTTTTTTGCCCAATGAAAGTTTGCACCTGGTTTTACAACCATGATGCGTTTGTCCAGTTAAATGACGTCACGCGCCGGCACCCGCTCCTCTCTCTCCGACGTCACATGGACGGGTTGTGAAGCAGAACTCACCTCCGCGGAACACTTCTGTCCCGGATCAATAGCGAAGTGCAAACGTGCAGAAACCCAACTCAACGCCGGATGCAGCTCCTCATCCTCGGCTCTCGTTCTGCGCTCATGGCCTCCGGTTACCGGTGTGCTGTGGGCGGACTGAGAGAGGCGGACTACTTTTCCTCGGACTCTCCTCGCCAACTCTCGGACTCTAACTGGCTTCTGTTCAACAAGCTCTTTTCAACAGCCTGGAGGCTTCCGCTAACCAGCGAAGCTAACCAGAACCACTTCCGGTTATGACCTTCAAAGTAAAGGTTACTTATTGTAAGTCGCTTTGGAAAAAAGCGACAGCTGAATATAGAAGTCGAGTGTTTGTTATGGAGGAGGCTTTTCCGATGTTTTATTTGAGTAATTTGGTAATTAGGTTTTGAGTAATACCCCACAGTCATGTCACATTAAGTATATCTACCATCAAATATTTGTTTATTCCAAACATTGACAACTTATACTTGTAGATTATTATTATTATTCTTGTTATTCACATTATTACTAATAAATTAACATTATTGTCCTTCTCCTCCTCTCCTCTTCTTTCCCAGATATTACGTCCACTGTTTCCTTTGAGATCATATTTGTATTCAACAACTATTTATTAGCATTATTCAATGAATTATTCAAAGAAGTTAGGTTTATCAACCTGATTATTCTTGATAATCATTTAGTCTGTGTCCAAGTAGAAAAACATCAAACATGTTATTCTGTCCAAAACCCTTAGATATTTAATTTAAGCAACCCATTTCCACTCTACATTTTGCAGAAGTACTAAAATAAAATAATTAAACTCCTTTACTGCCAAAGTTGTTATTTTATTTTGAAGGTACATGTCCAACGTCCGGGACAGTTGTCATTGCAGCTTGATGCAGGATCCGGCGTCCCAGAAGATGATCAGTTCAAAAAGCTTCAGCTCAAGAATGTCCATGTCTATATATGATTCATTTATAAATACTTATGGATATTCATGAGCTGAAGACACAGATAAACAGAAGTAGAGGTTCCACCATGGAACCGAAATATCAATAAAAAACAATTTAAAGAACATCGAGCAATTTTAAGTTCTACTTTCAGAGGTAAATATATATATATATATATATATATATATGTATAACAAGATGTTCTCCCCGTGTCTGCAGTTTGGGGACTCTAAATTGCCTGTAGGAGTGTGAATGGTTGTGTGTCTCTGTGTAGCCCTGCGATTCGCTGGCGACCAGTCCAGGATGTACCCCGTCTCTCGACCGAAGTTGACTGGGATAGACTCCAGCCCCCCCTCGACTCTGTGTGCAGGATAAGCGGTTTGCAGATGGATGGATTGATTGGAATATGACCCTTTTCTAAGTTTAAAAAAAAAGAGAAAAGGTTATTATGGGAAAGAAAAAAGAAACATCTGCTGATTCAAGATCAGCTGATGTGACCAGAATAAAAATGATTCACTGTGAAAATACAAAGTATAAAGATAAAGTACAGAGTACAAAGGAAAATATACTTAAAGTAAGATAATAAAGTAAAATAATTAAGACTACAATACAAAGGATAATGTATAAAGTAAAAAGAATACAATACAAAGGATGATGTATAAAGTAAAAAGAATACAGAATAAAGTACAGAATAAAGTACAAGGTATAAAGTTCAGAGGAATGCACAATCAGGTTTATTCATTCTTTAATCAAAGCTAAACAAAACTTATTTATATTATTATTTGTTTAACTGAGATCAGCTGATGTCTGATAAAGGTCAAAGGCCAGACATGTTCCTGCACCATCCCTGTTGTGTTTCATGGCGCCCTCACCTGGTGGAGGAACAAATTTAACCCCACGGTCACATATACACAGACATATACAACTGTTATTTGATTTGCCCTCCTTTAGGTTTTCCATCTCAAAAGTGTTCGGGCAGACATATACACGCACACACACACACACAAACACGCACACACACGCACACCTACATGCACATATACGCGCCATTCTTCCATGTTTGTTGGTTTGTAGTTTACTAATTTGTCATTCTCTTGTTGTTAAAAAAATATGTTTCTTTCAGGTGTATTCGTTATTGTTTCTCCTAAAACATTCACACAGCAACATAATAAAATGAAATCAAATAATATAAGATAAAAAACAACTAAAATAAGACAAACAAATAAATTAAATATAAGATTCAATTTTATTTTTTCTCGAGGAAATCATGTGTAAGAGATCGAAGATGCTACAGAATAATAACATGAAAAATGATAGAATACAAATATGAGCATTGAACAATAGAGTAAAAGGTATAAGGTCAAGGAAGCTCCAGATTCCATTCTCATGGTGAAGGTAGAGGACCAGCCTGCAGCCTGCGAGCAGCTCTGTGGTGACAACTTTATTTAGATATACGAGCAGGCTCCGCCCACTAAAGGACACGCCACAGGCCGCTAATCACAGAGTGTCACACGCACGCACGCACGCACACACACACACGCACGCACACACACACACTAACCTTTCATGTTTGGGTGTTGTTGGGCTCAAGCAGTTTGTTGCCTTACAGAACGTCATAATGTTTCCTCCATTTGCCTCTCCAAGTGAAAACATTAAATCTATAAAGTTTAAAGAAATGATGATCCGTCAGTTTGTCAACATTAAATCTAAAATAATACACCTTTCCTCACTGGGAAGCTAATGCCGGCATGCTAACAATATTTTGGAAGTTTAATGTTTACCATCTCAGTTAAGCATGTAGCAGTATTGGACACAATACCAAAAAATACACATATAAAGTAGATACATTACATTACATTACATGTCATTTAGCGGACGCTTTTATCCAAAGCGACGTACAATAAGTGCATCCAACCATAGGGTACAAACTCAGGAGAACAAGAAACAAGAAAGTGCAATTTCCTCAAATAAGCCAATTTACAATTTGCTATAGATGAGTGACGTTACAAGTACAATTTAAGTGCTATAATTTGTTAGTCTTTAGTCGAGGTAGAGTCTGAAGAGGTGTGTCTTTAGTTTGCGGCGGAAGATGTGAAGGCTCTCTGCGGTCCTGATGTCTTCAGAGAGCTCGTTCCACTATTTCGGCGCAAGGACAGCAAAGAGTCGAGATCTAGTCGGGTGTTTTGCTCTCAGTGAGGGAGGGACGAGTAGTTTTGCAGATGCAGAGCGGAGAGTGCGGGTCGGGATGTAGGGTTTGCCCATGTCCTGGATGTAAGCTGGACCCGATCCATTCACACCATGGTACGTGAGCACCAATGTTTTGAACTGGATGCGGGCGGCCACCGGTAGCCAGTGAAGAGAGCGGAGGAGTGGAGTAGTGTGGGAGAATTTCGGAAGGTTGAAGACCAGTCGAGCTGCTGCATTCTGAATGAGCTGCAGAGGTCGAATGGCGGTGGCAGGGAGACCAGCCAGGAGGGAGTTGCAGTAGTCCAGGCAGGAGATGACAAGAGCCTGAATCAGTACCTGCGCTGCCTTCTGAGTGACAAGGGGACGTATTCTCCTGATGTTGTAGAGCGTGTATCTACAGGATCGCGTTGTCGCGGTGATGTTGGGAGTCAGGGAGAGTTGGCTGTCGAGTGTGACGCCGAGGTTCTTAGCGGTCAAAGTGGGCGTTAACACGGAGTTTCCAAAGTTGACTGTCAGGTCCTGGGTAAGCGAATCTTTTTTCGGGAAAGAGAAGTAGTTCAGTCTTGTCGGGGTTGATTTTCAGATGGTGGGCGGACATCCACTGAGAGATGTCAGTTAGACAGGCAGAGATCTGTGCCGCCACCTGGGTGTCCGAGTGAGGGAAGGAGAGAATTAGTTGGGTGTCATCGGCATAGCTGTGGTAAGAGAAGCCATGCAAGCGAATGACAGCGCCAAGAGAGTTGGTGTAAAGCGAAAACAGGAGGGGACCCAGCACGGAACCCTGAGGAACTCCAGTAGTAAGAGGACAAGGTTCCGACACAGATCCTCGCCAGGTTACCCGGTAGGTGCGGCCGTCAAGGTAGGACGAGAGAAGGGAGAGAGCAGAGCCTGTGACACCAAGTTCCTGAAGGGAGGAAATAAGGATCTGGTGGTTGACCGTGTCAAATGCAGCAGAGAGGTCCAGAAGGATGAGGACAGAGGAGAGAGAGGCGGCTCTAGCAGTGTGGAGTTGCTCTTTGTTGTTACAGTGGAGATAAGAGGAGAGTTGATTAAAGATAGCACGTTCAAGGGTTTTGGACAAAAAGGGAAGAAGAGAAACCGGTCTGTAGTTGTTTTCTTCAGAAGGGTTGAGGGTGGGTTTCTTCAGGAGAGGGTTAACTCTTGGCTCCTTCAGAGAATTGGGAAAACAGCCAGATAACAGAGCGTTGTTGATGAGACAGGTGAGGAACGGAAGAAGGTCAGGTGCGATAGATTGTAGAAGATGTGATGGAATGGGGTCAAGAGGGCAGATGGTCGGACGGGCAGAGGTTACTAGGGTAAGAATTTGGTTAGGAGAGAGGGCGGTGAAAGAGGAAAGTGAGGGCGAAAGAGGTGAGGTCGGTGCGACGCGAGAAGTAGGAGGTGGGTTTGAGAAGGAGGAGCGTATGTCAGCTATTTTCTTGGTGAAGTAGTTGACAAAGTCTCCCAGAAGAAGGGTGGAGGGGGGAGGAGGGGTAGGGGGTTCGAGGAGATTGGAGAAGATCGAGAAGAGTTTTTTGGGGTTAGAGAATGAAGATTCGATTTTGGATTGGTAGAAAGAGCTTTTGGCAGCAGAGATAGAAGCAGAAAACGAGGAGAGGAGAGATTGAAATTTAAGCAGGTCGTCAGGTCGTTTATATTTACGCCATCTCCTTTCCGACGCTCGCATGGTGGCTCTCATGGCACGGACCGGTTGAGACAGTCACGAAGCCGGAAGGGGATACTGCACACATACCAATTTTAATACATTTTTAAATGATTTAAATGAAAAAACTAAAAAAATCAGAAGCCATGTTTATTCCTTTATGTATATACATATACGTATATAAGATGCTACTTTTAATGACTACTGACGCTTCAAAAGGATCATGATGTGCATCTTCTGTACTTAGTAGAGCCTCCTTTTGGGAAGTCATTGGTGTCATCCGCAAACTTCAGCAGCTTGACTGACTGGTGACTGGAGGTGCAGCTGTTGGTGTACAGTGAGAAGAGCAGAGGGGAAAGAACGCAGCCTTGGAGGGAACCGGTGCTGATGGTCCAAGAGGCTGAGACATGTTTCCCCAGCTTCAGACCTGTTGGCTCTGTAGGCGAAGTGAGGGATTTCAGGTGGGACAGGACTGCCGGTAGCTGTTCAAAAGACTTCATGACTACGGGGGTCAGGGCGACGGGCCTGTAGTCATTAAGTCCTTGGATCCTTTTGGGGGAGGGGGATGACGTTGGAGGCCTTGAAGCAGGCTGGTACGTGGCATGTCTCCAGGGAGGTGTTGAAGATGTGAACACCGTTGGTAAATCCCTCATGGCCAATGGCCTCCGGTTCAGGAACATTCTTGGGTGTGTGTTCTGCAACCGTCTTCTTCAAATCAGATTTTCGATGGGGTTCAAGTTAGGCAACTGACGGCCATTCTAGAATCTCTTCTTCTGAAACCAGGCCATGGTCGACTTTGAGGTACGCTTGGGATCATTGTCCCTTTGGAACATCCAATGACGCCCGGCTTCAGTACCTTGACCTCTTCTCGCTGTGCCACGTCTCGGGAAATGCCGCTTAACAACACAGAGGAAACGTTTCACCCAGACCGTCTCAAGCTTTAATGAAGCTTCTCCACACGGAAAGGAAACAACAAACAAACAACAGAGCTGAATAAAGGTTGCTGACCTCAGCTAGGAGCCGTAGTCGGCCTGCTGGCTGTGGCTGCCCTCCAGCGAGCCGCAGTCTGTAATATAAATATATATTATACCATAATATGCATTGTTTTAAATAATGATGAAGACAAAAACATGTTACATGTACATGTTCAGATATTACAATTTAAAATTGAGGCTTTTACTTTGAAAAACAGCGGAAGATATTACTGTGTAATACGGAAATCGCGATGTGTACGCTGTTTTCATTTCTGCTCCCTGACTCTGCGCTAACCGCTACTGAGCTAGCAAGCAGCACTCGGATGTCTGCTCGCTCCTGTTTCATTATAACGTGTTTATTTTCTAACGTTAAATCTCTTCCGTCGTTTGGAGTTGAGCCGTTGAACCGTGTGTGTGACGTCATCTCGGTGGTCTGCCGGTGGAGACGGACTCCTCTCCCCGGTGCTCACCGGCTTATGAGCAGCTCAGCACGCGGACAGATGCCCCAAAAACACAAAGCGGGGAGTTGTAAGGAGGTAAAAGGTTACTTCTTTACATATTGTAGGATATTAGAAACAATTATACGACCCGGTTCATAAAATTAATAAAAATGCATATAGTGTACACCAGAATACAGCCATGATTCTGAAACTGTGTAATCAATAAAGTAATGACAATATTGTAAAACCACTGTAATTCTGAAACTGTAATAGAATAATACTAATGCAGTTATGATTGTATTTAATGTAATGTAATCAACTGGAATGCATGCATGTAATACTTGCACAACAACCGATATTGACTAAGGGTCATTCGAAATCCGAGTTACATTGAACTCACCAGAAGACCACTCCCATAGGTGTGGACACTAACTTTCACACCTTTAAGCATTGGTATAAATACCTGTAGGAACCATTGTTCTGGAGTTCGCTGGTGGAGGCGACAGACGGGCTCTAGGGAGGGTCAAAAGGACTGACCTGGGGCCTGTTGGTTGCTGAGACCAGCGGCTCCTCAGCTGAGATGTTCTTTTTACCACAACACCATCTCCTTTATTAAATACATTTGACTTAACCTTTTGATCTGCGATGACCTCTGTCCGTCCGGCGTTTTTCTTCATTTTTGAACACAACAATATATATATAATATATACATACACACACCACACATTGTAGAAATACTCATGGACAAGGGAAACTTATGAAGTACCATAACAAAGATGTGTGACGCTCCATCAATCTGATCTGATACCAGCTGAGAGGAGCAGAGGGTGGAGCTTCCTGTCCGGTGTCCCGGGACAAGCGAGGCGCCGTCACCATTGCGGTGCGCGTCAAGCCCGCCTCCAAGCACAGCGGGGTCACAGGTCAATGGCGCTGCACCTGCATTACTCCACGCTGTCACGTGACCACTGGAGGGTCACCTCTTCTTGTTCTGCTCTTTCAGATGTTTCGGCAGAGGCGGTGGGCGTCGCCGTCTCGGCGCCTCCAACGGACGGAGAGGCCAACACCGAGCTGATCCGCTTCCTGGCCGAAGTCCTGGACCTGAAGAAGAGCCACGTGTCTCTAAACAAGGTCTGCTCAAATAGAACACCACCTGCTCCTCCATCCTCACTCATACATGATAATGATGCTGCTCCTTCTGTGACCCGGCAGGGCTCCAGGTCCAGAGACAAAGTGATCCACGTGGACTCCCCTCTGAGTCCAGAGGAGGTTCTGAGGAGGCTCAGAGAGGCTGCAGGCTGACGGGAGGATGTGCTTAATCTCCAAAATATTTAAAATGCAAAATAAACAGTTGATCTCTTTGCCTTGTCTGGGGGCTATTTCACAAATCCAGGATAACAAACTTAGTGTGATCCACTTGTTGCGACTTAATCGGTTGCACATAGGGTGAGCAAAGTCAATCCAGGTGTACATAGCTGGGATAAGTGCGGGTCCACGGCTTTAAGTAGACCATGGTATGCATCACAGATGTACTGATGCAGAAATGAAGACGCGCGCAGCATATTTTTAACCAGCTGAGCAGCAACTGATTATGGAAGCGTTTGAGGAAGCATATGTGCAAAAACAGGAAAAACGGCAGCTGTAATTAAACAGAAAAAGCCTGGCAGACAATCGTGGGCTGACTGAATGCAGAAGAATTTAAAAATATGTACTTAAAGTTGTACTGTCTTATTTGCTTGTTTTACGTGCTGGTTTTACTGTAAAGTCTGAGTAGCCTACTACGTATACAAATACAACGTATTAGCCTACTTTGCCCTTAAAGTGAGCAGAGGGAATTAATGTTCCTCGGGAAATTTACCCTTAAAGCTCCAATTTCAAACCCGTATTCATAAGGAGAATGTTTTACAACCATATGCAAAAATCTCTAAACTAATTCTAAATATCTTTCTACATTTAATGTTCATACAGAACAAACATGACAAGAAAGATCCTAGCAACAGGTCAAGATAAAATAAACATTTTGCAGGCTGGTGTTTGCAAATGTGATTTCGTACTTTACAAGATGTCTGCTCACATATTTTATCTAAATTAATCTTGTGGAAATCCTTTGGTGTAACAGATTCTTCTGTGGCCAGGGACGGTAATAAAGATGTGTGCTAAGGACCAAACACCAGTCCACCAACCAGGGAGCAATACACTGAATCTCATTTCCACAGGTTTTTATGGATTGATAGATATATAGATATATATATATATATATATAGATATATATATCTGATACATTGAAGTTTATCCTTACAAGTTAACTGTACTCATCGCAAAGTCTTTTTGCTACTTCATATTACGCAGAGGGGAGCGCCTGGAGTCATCGAATAGCCTTTTATCAATTATCACATTTCTGCTCGATGTGAATGAGGAATTTGAGAATATAGTATAACACTGACAAGAGTATTAGGTTTTTTTTGGGTAAAACAGGGTTACTTATTTATTTGTATTAAATACACTGTATTCCATTTTGGTACTTCTTGGATGTAATGTGGACTTAGCAATGTGGTTTATGTATAATTTTTAAGTATGGGAGTTCAGTGCTGGGGGGGTTGAAGTCAGGATCACCTGTGAGGAGCTAACCGGATATTTGACCAATAATGAACGTCTATTTTCCAAACCAAATGTTTAACATCAGAAGAGGAAATTTAAAGAGCGGGGCTCAAATTAATGAATGCACCTTTTATCTTTCAGCGTTCGATTATATAAAATATAAAAGTCAGGAGGCTTTTTGTCCCAAGGGGTTTATTAGTAAGATATTTTACAGTCTAGACTCCTCGCGGCTGCTTGAAGTTCATGCCGACGGTGGGCTGGGTCACCTGCAGGTTAGACAGACCGCCGAAGTCCTGAGGAGCAGAAGGAGAACAGGTCTGAGAACATGGACACACTGTAGTAGGACCAATAGAAGCAAAGACCTGGGCTGAGATTCTACACCACACGTCATGGTAAAAACAGATTTAAGGAGGACCATCTGTCAGAGAGCATCAGGGTGAGATAGGAACCGACAATCCTTCACACACGGGAAAGGCTCTCAGTTGATCTTCCTGCTCTATCAATGGCCTGACGACGAGGACGCCATGACCACTTTCGACACAGGACGCTGGGAGAAACACGCTAACCTGAAGGCACCACGTTTTACCTTTACAAGCTTACCGTGGTATGTTAAAGCAGCTATTCAAATATATTCTTTTGAGATCAAATAACTTCACAGCTTATAAAAAAACTAACTCAAGAGTTTTCTGTTTAGTTGTTTCTTACTGTTACTACCCAGAGGTATTACTAGGTTTAGTAAATATAGTAATTTATAACTCACCAGCAGCTTCAGCATCTCCTTTGTGTCAGGATCAACTTCTATGAGCTCCTGGTCCAGAGCAGAAACCTGGGAGAGTGGGGGGACATGAAGACATAAAGACCTGGCCTGAGATTCTACACCACACGTCATGGTAAAAACAGATTTAAGGAGGACCATCTGTCAGAGAGCATCAGGGTGAGATAGGAACAGACAATCCTTCACACACGGGAAAGGCTCTCAGTTGATCTTCCTGCTCTATCAATGGTCTGACGACGAGGACGCCATGACCACTTTCGACACAGGACGCACGCATTCATTAATAGAGCATGGTCACCCTCACGTGGTGACAATCATTTATTGTCCAAATGAAAGCAGCTCTTAAATCTGCTGACGTGACGTTTAACCAACATCTTGGTAAATTCTGCTGATTCATTATCATAGTTCTTGAATCTGCATCTCGTTAGCTTTCCTTAAACCTGCCAGCAGGACGACAAGGCAGGTTCTCTTTAAACCTACAAAACTTAAATCATTAATATTCTCAGCTCCGAAAATGGCTTACCCATGATAAAAAGTAATACCTCCATTTTGTATATCTGGGAGGTAGGAGTGGGGGGTATAGGGCACAGTGCGGGCAGAACAGGTTAAGAAAAAAAACGGGGAAAAAACAGGAAAACCCCAGTACGAGTTCCCAGTCTACACCAGTTCTAGTCAACTGGTGAAACAGTCCAAAAAGCCCTTTCAAAGTCCCTACGTTGCAATTGAACATGCATGTGGTGAGTTTACTGACCTCTGGAACGTAGTTGTCCCTCCTCTCTCGCTCCTCTTCCTGCAGTTTGATGGAGATTCCTCTGACTGGACCCCTCTGGATCCTCTTCATCAGATGCGTAACATACCTGCAGCCAGAACCACAGAGACATGAACACAGACTTCATGAAGAAGACTGCACATTTGAGGAAAAGCACTATAGATATAGGATGTGGAGCAGATGTTAGGAACTGACCCAGCGATCTTGTTGCGTAGCTTCTTGCTAGGGATGATGGCGATCTCCTCACACACCCTCTTGTTGGTGTGGAAGTCACTCCCTAGACGGGTGTAGTATTTCTCGATGATGACCCGGGCAGCCTTCTTCACCGTCTTGGTCCTGACTCGTCCCTGAGGAAAGGAGAATGTTATGTCATTAGTTTACGTTCTTAGAAACCATTTTGGTTGCCAATTTTAGCTGATGAGGACCATTTGTCCGAGAGCATCAGGGTGAGATAGGAACAAACAGTCCTTCACACACGGGAAAGGCTCTCAGTTGATCTTCCTGTTCTATCAATGGCCTGACGACGAGGACGCCATGACCACTTTCGACACAGGACTCAGCACTCATTCATGACATAATAAACCTGGAGCGTAACATTTTTACGAACCTGCTTATTTGAATTTTAGATCGGAGCAGATTCTATTTCACAGAAGTTTCGTTTGATACGGTCACCCTCAGCAGGGGCAAGCTGGGACACCTCAGGGGAGGTGCGATACTACCTGACCGGATGAGATGAACCGTCATGGCCTCCACACGCCTTCAAACACTTCCCCGATATGTTAATTAAACGGTCGGTCACCGGAATGTTTAAACCACCGACATACCAGTGAGATACTCTGTAAAGGTTGCTAGCTTACCGGGGGGTGGGGGTTAACACCGCGGATTTTCTAGGTAAGCTAATGGCGGGTGAGATATTTTAGCAGGCAAGTTATAAGAGCCGCCGTTTTAACAAACACAACATTAATATTCTGCTATTCCGCTATATTAAATATATAGAAATCGGAATGAGAAACGTTTAATTTAACTCCACCGCGCCACATCCCGAGCGGCAGCTTCGCTGCTACAATTCTGCTACATCAGAGGTGAATTTACGTCATCGAACGTCAATACTCCAATATTCAGGTTTGTTAACCTATCCGATGCCCAAAAACAAAATCCCCGAAGAACAAAGCTCCTCACAATTTGAGGATTATTTTAGATTAGCCAGGTAGGCATGTGAAAAATACCCACCATGTTGGATCGGCCTGGTAAAAGAGAACGAATAAATTTCCGGCGGAAGTTTAAATCCACAGGCGGAAGCTGAGAAAAGAAACGAGGCGCACGTGTAGCGCCCTCTGTTGGCCGGAAGACGAAACTATCAAACTAAGCAATTATCGACATCCCATATTTAATTCAATATTTACAATATATCTATATCTATATCTATACCATAAATATTGCTCCTGTGTTTTTACACTTATCTTTTTATATTTTAGTCTACTTTTTCTTTTAATATATTTATTAACTTGCTTGTCAATAAACTGTATTCCGATTTTATTATTGTAAATTGATTTGGATAAAAGCGTCAGCTAAATGACATGTAATGTCACGTAATTATTTAATTAAAACAAATGTATTTAATTATTTTATTAAATATATATTAGAAATACTACATGCTAAGGTCCTCTTGGTAATCAGTAGAATAAATTAGAATAGAAAAAAGAAAAATTATTATAAGAAAATTATGCAATCCGTGACTGTTGTTGTACATTACATATCATATAATATTACTAGAGTATTTTTACTCTTTTAGAGTGAAAAGCAGGATTAAATTGTAGTTCTTCACGTAGTTTCCAGTTGAACATCATTTCCCATGAGCGCCAGCAGATTTATCATGTGATACTCAGGTGACGTCACATGACAACATGGCTGCCGCTCTGTCCAGCGAACATTTTGACAATTTACAGCTCCTCCTGAAGGTATTGATCCCGAATATCGATCTTAAACAGATTCTTTGCGATCGTTTCAGCTGAAGCTCGATAAATTCTTCTAATGTATCTGTTTGGTTAATACTCATATAACCTCCTACAAATATTAATAAATAGCTCAAATTAGCCTGCTAGCATCACTTGGCTTTACATGTATTACTTTAAACAGTGTACTTGACATCGTATTTAATTATAGATTAACCTATTCTTAACATATACAAGTGTTTTTTATTATAAAAAGTTTGACTTTACTATTCCTGTTTTTTAATTTATTATGTCTTAATTTATTGTTATTACAGGCTGTAAAATATTAGCTGTTTTCTAAGAGTAGATGTACTTTTTACTAGATTAATCCAAACGCTTTCCTTACACATTCAGGTGACCAATACTCAATACTTTATTACTAATAAATGAAGTATTGTAGTTCCATCGGCATGTAGTTCCCTTTAAAGTGATTAACACATTACTCATAATACTACATATGTTATCATTATTACTCTACATCATGAGTACTTTTACTGTACTACGTAAGCACATTTTGATGGTTTGCTGATGCTTTGTACTTTGTACCAGAGTATTACACTGTGGTATTAGTACTTGCTCACTTAGTAGCAACCTGACTTGTCTTTGTCTCCCGAGGCTCCGTCTAAAGACGCAGTGAGAGACATCTGTGTTCAGAGTCACAGGGGGACGCACCGCCGGCTGGAGGAGACGACGGCGGAGACAATGAATGTTACCACTGCTCAGGCTGCTCAGGTAACACACGCACGCACACACACACACAAACAGACAGACAGACATAGAGACACACACACACTTGATTGAAGAAAGTTTTTAGAATTCTTGATGTTCTTAATAACCCAACAGTAATGTGTGTGTGTGTGTGTGTGTGTGTGCTCCCTCCAGCTCCTCCGCTCCCTCCACCTCCTCTCTCACCATGTTCTCTTCCACCATCTGGGTTCTGCAGAGCAGATCCTCCGTCTGTTCCCTGACTCCTTCCACTCCAGTCTGAAGAACCTCATCACCAAGATCCTGCTGGAGAACAGGTTCTCTCACGTTCCTCTGCCATCTTAATGTAGCGTGAAGCAGGAGCTCCTATTGGCTGCTCAAATGTGATATCACTGCAGGCTGTGACGAGGTCACTCGTGTCTCTGATGTTTTTCAGTCCGACGTGGAGGACGGAAGCTCTCCGAGATCAGAGTGAGTCATGATGCATGTTCTACATTCACCTCTAGTGTGTGTGTGTGTGTGTGTGTGTGTGTGTGTGTGTGTGTGTGTGTGTGTGTGTGTGTGTGTGTCGTAAGGCTTTACAACGGTGTGTGTGTCTGTGTGTGTGTGTAGTCTCTCTCCCACAGCTGAAGGAGTTGGACTGGAGAGTCGACATGGTGACCGGATCAGACTCAGTCGGTCGGTTGTCCGTCCCGACCTGTCTAGTCCAGATCAAGGTGAGTTCTGAACCTGAACCACCTGCGGAGGTCCTGTAACCTCCATGTTGTGAAGAGATCTGAGGAGGTCTCCGAGTTCTGAGGAGGTTTGCATGTTCTGAAAGAGGTCCGTGTCTTTCAGATGGAGGACCCATGTCCGTCGGCGGGCATCGAGCCGGTTTCCACGGTGATGGTGGAGCTGAGCCGGGAGTCAGTGGACACCATGCTGGACGGACTGGGACGCATCAGAGACCAGCTGTCTGTCGTCGCTGCCAAGTGATTGGTCCGTCCAGAAGATGACATCACAAAGCTGTGATGTCACTATGTGATTTCATCACTGATCCTTTTTTTTGTCATGTATTCAAGTTTTTATTAATTAGTTCGAATGTTTACAGAAATATGTCAATAACAAATTTACTAAAATAAAAACAGAACTTTTTTTTGTTTCTAAAACATTTTGTAGTTTTTTCAGATTAATAAATAATACTTCTGAATCGGATTATATATATATTCTTTTGTACATTTTTTTGTAATTGTTAGAATTAGTTCACTGGTGTGAAATCACTAGAGAGGACATTGTTATATTATTATAATAATTATAATAGTATTATTAAATGACACTTGCAAGAAGAACTCAAATTTGGGGGGGCTTGCTTTGGGCACAAACAGTCCTGACCCCAGGAGATGCATCCATCAGTTGACGTGACGTAGTTACCTCTGCTTACTGTCACATGACATTTTTAATATTTACAACAGTAACATAAATGAATGAATCTGTCCTTAGACGCCATTTGTAGTTTGAATCAAGAAACCGCTTCAAAGGATGGGCCACTGATGCATCATGGTCTGTCCTTTGTACGTAGCGAGACGATTGTCCATTAAGCTTTCCTTTAGTTTCATATTCAGATAACAAACCTGAACTCCTGCACTAGTCCTTTATCTACCAGCATTACCTACCTAATTAAGAAAGCTATACTAGTATGTCAATCAACCCTAAATCATTAGAAATACTGTTGAAGAATAGAAGAGGTAATACTGCTGCGACTGAACAGCTCACATGCTGTTCTTTGATTGTTCATTATTAAAAAAGTTCATCAGGGTTCAATCTTTAAACCCAATGACGTGAAAAGATATTAAATATAGTTATTAATATAAGTTTAACAGCTTTGGTTTCGAAGAAGAAAGGTTGATGTTTGAAAAATATAAAAACAGGATTCATCCTATTGTTATGGAAACACACAACACAAACACACACACACTTTATTCTTTATAAACTCTCTTAGCTTTATTATGACATTCATAATATAAAAACATTTATATCAGTTCACGCTGTAAAGTATTGATTGTTATTGAACAGTACTGTACTACTACCCCCTCCTGTGTGTGTGCGTCCTCAGGAGGGTGTAGGGAGGACTTTGATCCCGTCCATGTCCAACTCCACTAAATGAACACTGAAGTCTCCGAGACCCTGAAAGCAACAAGTCGACACCTCAGAGAATTGATTAGCACAAAATACCTGTGTGTGTGTGTGTTTATGCCTGTGTGTGTGTGTCTGTCTCTTTGTGACACATAAGACACACACACACACACACACACACGTGTGTCTCTGCGTGTGGGTATGTCTCTGTGTCTGTGAGTGTGTGTCTCTTTGTGACACATAGCTTACCTGCGTCTCAGACAGCACCTGCATCACGGCCCCCCTCTGCCGGGGCTCTCGGGTCAGCAGGTAGATGAAGCCCCCCCCCCCGGCCCCGGCCAGGCTTTGACCCAGGACCAGCGGCCTCAGCGCCTCCATCATGATCCTCACTGAGGCCGGCTCGCAGCCCGGCGCCATCAGCTTCTTCTGCTGCCACGAGCGGTCCAGACAACCCCCCAGCCCGGAGAGGGAGCCTGGGGACATGGACATGGTGCCTTCTGGGAAGTGTAGGATCATCTAACAACTAAGCATCTTTCTTTAGCTTAAAATCAGCCCTTCATCTACAAAGGAGCGGGAGGCGGAGTCCGCCATATTTCAACAGCAATAAATATACATACATGTACACATATATATGTGTAAGCTCACCTTCTGAGCAGGCCCTCACACATTCCTCTGAGTTTGCCACCAGCTGCTGAACATTCTGGACCATCGAGGGGAGACGACTGTACCAACTACGAACCACATCCTGAAGACATCATCATCACCATCACCACCACCATCAACGCCACCATCAGCATCATCACCACCACCACCACCACCACCACACCTGCAGCAGGTTGCGAGCCAGCCTAGTCTTCCCAGTGTAGACCAGCAGGAGGCGGCGCTCCAGAGCAACCAGGAAGTCGTCTGGAGGTTTGAGTCGCTCTACTTCCACCTGCAGCGGCAGAGACGCTCTGGAACGAGCCACCTTGACTCCGCCGACCAGCCCTCCCACTTGATCCTGCCAGCCTCCACCTGGAGGAGTAGCGGGAGGTGAAGAAGAGCCCTCTGTGCTTCAGAGTGAACATGTGACCTCTGACCTACCTGTGGTGAGGATCTGCTCCAGGTACAGGACTCTGTGGATCAGGGAGTTGGTGTCGTAGGTCTGACCGGTGCACCTGTAGACTGCGGCCAACAGCGCCCCCGCCAGGATGCTGCTGGTACCTGCAGATTAACCTCTGACCATCAGAGTCCAACTGATATCTGTACTTTTATTGATGCAATTATTATAAATAATAATATGTAATATGGGAGTTAATATTATTATCTATAATATTAATTGTCATACTAGTTCTATCGTTATTCTACTATATTAATAATAAATGATAATAGTATTATTATCATTAATAATATTATCCTTATTATTTCTTAATAATATTTAATAATATTTCTTAATCCTTATTATTATCTCAGTAACCCATGGTGACACTTAAATAAATGCTATTTATTTTATTTAATTTATACTAGCTTATCACCAAACCCACAATTTACAGACCTCTGAACAATAAGATAACAATATAATATTCTCCTTTTCAGCATTTTACTGATCAACGCATCATCTTGCAACTGAAGAGAACCTTGTTGGTTATCCATTAGTCGTTAGCAACGCAACTACGCAAGCAAAGCTGTTCTGTTTTCTCACCGAGTCCAGAGCCGGTAGGCAGCACCGACCAGCTGTGGAGCTCCACCCCTCCCCCCCACCGCCGCATCAGCTGTTCCCCTAGAGCATGCTGGGAGGACAGCGACACCAGACCGCTGCACACACACACCGCTTTCAGCAGGGCTCCTGTAATACACACACACACACACACTTTAACACAAAGAGACAAACACATAAACGTACAAAAACAAACACACACACAACCCTACCGGGTGCGTGAGGCTGAGAGTAGTCCTTCAGGTCATCCAGGACATTGCAGACCGTCTCTGTGGAAACACCGCTGTCCCTCCCTCCGATGTGGCTGACCAGCAGGAGGCGGGGCTCCCTGAGGCGACGGGCCCGGGCGCCAATAGGCCGCTGCCCATCGACCTTCACTGCCACGTTGGTCACGGAGCCACCGTGCTCGAAGGCGATGGGCGGCGTGTCGCTCCACCCGCCTGAAACACAAAGTCACTGTCAGATCCCCTGACGGGTGAAGAGCTGAGTCACATGTCTGTGAATATTAATACAATAGAAAGGTATTAATATTCTCGCATTGTTTTATTCACCTGCCAGGTCCAGTCGGGCCGGACACTCCACTTCCTGCCACTCACCAAGTGGCGGGACTTCCCCCTGGCCATTGGAGATGATGGTTTGCAATGACATCACAGCCTTTCTCAGGAGCACCTGCCCGGCGCCCTCGTAGTGCCGTGCCGCCCGAACCAGCAGGTCTGGTCTGATGCGGGGGGGTGTCACAGGTCAAACACAGTTCCTCATCAACCATGACAGCCACACAACAGATGAGAGACGCTCACCTGCTCAGCCAATGGTTTCTCTGTGTGGCCAGAGCCTCCACCCCTGCCTTCAGGTCACCTTTCTCCAACAGGGAGTAGGCGGAGCTCCAGGCCTCGTTAGCGGCCGGTCCGCTCCTCAGGCCGCCCCTCCCTCCCGCCATGCACACCAGCACGTCAGCGATGCAGGAGAGGCAGCGGGCGGCCAAGCCCAGCTCCTTACCGGACTCCGCCCCCTGCTTTGTGCTCCCTGCTGCAACTGAAACAAACAGGATGTTAAACAAATAAACAAAGTTTAAAACCGGTATTATTATTTCAAACGTGCTTCATCAATTTTATTATAGTTTTTTCTCTATAATAGTGACAATAACAAATAATAATATCCTTTTCCATTTAATTATATTTTAAAATTGCTATTCAAATAGCATTGTATTATTATTACTATCACCCTTATAATATCTTTATAATCATTATCAACATCATAATCGTTATTAATATAATTAATATAACTGTGACTTACTGCTGTCCAGTGTCTCCAGCAGCTTCCCCTGCTGGCCCCCCAGCACCGCGGCCCTGAAGCAAGGCAGCAAGCAGATGTCGGTGCGACTCCTCAGGCCGTCCGACACTCTCCTCCTCCCTGCCAGGAACAGTAACTCCTCCCTCCACTGTAGCTCCGCCTCCTGACAGGTGAGCAACATCACCTCCTTTAAGGAGAGCCTCCACGCCTCCCTCCATCTCTGCAGACAGCCGCCCCCCCCCAGTAGCCAGCCGACACCTTCCTCCACACCAACAGCACCTCCTCTTGGGTGGAGGACCGGGAACAGGCGAGCCGCCAGGAGGGAGCGCCGTTCTCCTCTCACCCACAACTCCTCCGACCTGAGGGGGAAGGAGAGGAGAAGAGGGACGGAAAGGTAGTGGGCGGGGAGGAAAGGATGGGAGGAGGGGTTGACAAATAGAAGGAGCGTTTTATTCACTGATGAATAAAACACTTGTTCAGACAAGAAGTGAGTTGTGGATCCTTTCTAGATCTTCCTACTGGATTCCTGTTCGGCTGAAGAAGAGACTCCATCCGTGGTTCAGGAAGGAGGCACCGCTGTCTTCAGAGGAGGCCTGAGGAGGAGGAGGACCATGTGTTAGAAAGCTTCGGAGTGATGCGTTCAGGGACCCTCTGGATAACTGTGTTTGGTACCTCTAGCACGTCCTGCGCTCCCGTCACCGTGTAGACGCTCAGCTTCAGCCCCCCCACCTCTATCCGGTGTCCCTGGATGATGATGTCATCGGCCAGCTGTAGCTGCCTGAGGCACTGTGATGTCATCAGCGGGAGACCCGACAGCAAACAGCCCGACGGAACCTCTAGAGGACCCTGGCAGAGAGGTCAGAGGTTACAGAGGTTGCGGCGTGGAGTCCTTAAAGCGGCGCTGACTGAACTCCTCCTGACCTGCAGGTGGCAGTGTTGCACCACTGCGCCTGTTGCCACGGCAATGTCTCCCTCCAGAACGCCATTGATGACCCGCCCCCCGTCACGCACGGCGCTCTCTCTCTGAAACGGGAACAAGCCGCGGTGAGGAGTGAGGACGTGACGGAACTTTAGTAAGGCGGAAACAGGTGTCACCTGGATGTGAGACAGGGTGTTTCTGTTCATCCAATCACAGCACAGTCGCTGCACATGATGCTTTCCGGACAAAGTCAGGTAGTCATAGCAACCGCCGGGGACGTAAGCTGTCATGAAGACGACCTCAGAGTTTAACAGCTCGTCCAATCAGGTGACAGCTCAATACCAACAATTATTATATTTAATATCTCAGACAGACAGACAGACAGACAGCACTTATTGTAAGTCGCTTTGGATAAAAGCGTCAGCTAAATGACATGTAATGTAATGTAATCTATAGTATAGAGACAGACAGGTATAGAGACAGACAGGTGCCAAGATAGACAGATGCAGAGACAGACCCAGGGTGCAGGTCTCTCCTCTCAGGAGCCTCCACAGCTCCGCCCTGCTCCGCCTCACAGACGCCCCTTCTGGTCCGACAGGTGAACTGCAGCCGGCTCTGTCCTCAGTCACAAACTGGTCCTGGGTCAGATCTGAGCAAAGACACTTCAGCAGGTCCAGGAACAGAGACACCTGAAGGAGAAGACGTCACCTGGAGTCATTATGATGACCAATATATAGTCAGCGATTCAGCAAGCAGAAACCAACGGGGTTCTGATCTTATATTGCATGCTTTTATAGCCTGTGTGGAAGTAACTCTTATGCAACTAATCACATAATTCTGTCTGCATCTTTCTTTTCATTTTTCAAGACCGAAATCTACATAATTTACAGCAACCTGAACAATTCCCCTGCCCTTTGCATCTCTCCATCTGCCCCCCTCATACTTACCCCTCAGCCCTTTTCTAAGTTCTCCCCTGTGTCCCCATTGGAGCTCTCTTCCTTCACTACAGGAATGAGCTCCACCTGCATCCTGGATCCTATCCCATCTACTCTCACCATAACCAGTCAAAACCTCTGCCTCAGCATCGACAACTCCACTCCGTCCCACACATCAGCAACCTCGGAGTCATGTTTGACAGCAACCTCTCCTTCGAACACCATGTCAAACAAATCACTAGAAGTGCCTTTTTCCACCTAAAAAACATAGCCCGTCTCCACCCATCACTCTCCACATCTGCTGCAGAAACTGAACTGATCTATGCCTTCATTGCCTCTAGAATAGATTACTGCACTAGCATTCTTCATGGCCCATAATCCAAGATCCTCCGCTCTTCTGACACCAACCTCCTATCCATCCCCCACACGACCAAGCACCGGACATGGGGTGACAGAGCCATTTCCATAAAAAAAGTTGCCGGGGGGCAGTTCCCTCTGGAACGCTCTCCCCAAACTCACCCGAGACTGTACCGACCTCCACATTCAAAACACAAATCAAAACCCACCTCTTCAGAACTGCTTTGGATGTATGACTGTGTGTGTTCGCTAATTGTTTATTTTTATTTATTTAGCTTTTAGGATATTTTTAAATGTTTTATGTAATGTGATTTTGAGCATTTGGAAAAGCGCTATATAAATTAAATGTATTATTATTAAGGAGGGAATCACGATGAGAGAACATATTAAAAACACATACATGTTGTTTTATTCCAAACATTGAGGTTATTATTAAATGTGATTTTATGCGATGTTGGTACCTGTAGGGGCGGAGCTCCAGAGTCCAGACCCAGGTAGGTGCAGCCGTCCAGAGGGGGAGTCACGTGAGCCTGGAGTAACTTCTCTGAGATGGATCTGCTGAAGAAGACCGGACCTGAAACCTGGAGAACACACAGATAACATGCATTAGTATTCATCTGTACGAGTACTTTATAATACTTAGATTAACTAGTATTAGAAAGAGTGTGTTTGATTCGACTACACGGGACAGGGAGGACGCACCAAAGGAACTTTCCCATCATGCATCACGGCCTGTTGGATCTGCTCCCTTGTTCCCCTGTAGATAATGTCCCTGACCTGACCCTGGGACACAAAACAAGCGCACCCTCAGTCCAGGATTTGAGTACACAAAAACGCAGTTGAACAAGTACCAGTACAACGTGTGAACACACCTGTGGGTCTGACAGGTAGACGCCGTGATCGGCTGCGTAGGAGGCGTCGCCCGGCAACGCCAAAACACGAACTCCAGAGAAGCCGTTCCAGGACAAAGCTACGCATGGGACACAGGTAAAGCACTACTGCAGTAGTAGTAGTACTATATCAGATACTTCATTCTGAGCTGAGTACCAGAAAATTCTGGAGTACTAATGATTCGTGGACTAATGGATCTTTTAGTGATCAAATCAGAATCAGAAGCCATTTATTGCCACACATAGAGGAATTTGACTTGGTACATAGGTAAAATATAAGAATAAAATAAAAATATACAATCAAGAATTAACAATATAAACATAAGTACGTCAAACACGTATGTCCATATACTTCCATGGTGAGAGAAACCACTGCGCAATGTTCCAGGGATGAAGTATTTGGGTTAATCGGGGACTCTGACTTGGTAAAGAATCCTTTAGTGAACTATGCCTTGAATCCTCCGTATGTGGGTGCTGAAGCACTCACTGAAATCCGGAGGGATGTTGAGGATCATGTCGGTGCTGCAGACCCAAACCCCTGGAGGAGATCCAGGGCAGATGTTGGTACTGAGACGGTCCAGCAGCAGGTCCACGCAGCAGACCGGAGCCTGAACTCTGCAGTTCGGTTCCTCTGGAGCCGGCACCCAGCAAAACGCTCGGCTGCAGGAGCTCCAGGGGAAGTCCCGCCCCTGAGACGAGAGGAGACATGAAACATCTGCACGGCCTAAAGGAGAGAGACAACATCTGGAAAGACGCTGCTGGACTCACCGAGTGGAGGATGAGGACGTGAGCTTCATCCAGGACGTCAGCTGTCACCACCTGAGGACACAGCATCAGAACAAACCCAGTGTGTGCGTGTGTGCGTGTGTGTACTCACCGTGTGTCCTGCTCTGCTGCTCAGGTGTTCAGCGGCAACCAGCAGAGCGTTTAGCGTTGCCCCCCCGCTGCCCAGCGGCTCCTGGCGGTCCTGCACCGTCAAAACTAACGCACCCGCAGAGAGAGAGCCGCGCTGCTGCCGCAACTCCAGCTCTGATACACACATGCACACGTTCTAATGTTACAATCTCTTAGAATGGATCACAAGATGGAAATTTAAAATGTTTGGTTGCCACTGTCGTGCGAGCAAAACAAAGACTGGAGACTTTACTCAAAGCAATATGACAATTTGCAATAAGAGTATTCTGTCCTGCAGTTTAACATGCACGGACTTATTGCAAGCAGTTTAACAACAACATGAAAGAAGGCGCTTAAAACAAAGTGCGCTCGAATTATAGTCTCTAGGAGCATTTTTGGTTGGTTATTAAGTTGGAGGCGGCTCCTGCTTGGATTCCATTGGATTCACATTGGATTCACATTGCAAGATGTGTTTTGTGTACGAGTGCAGTTCCAAGTATGGACATGTCATTCTTAATATGGGGAACAGGTATTTCCTGTCAAACTGCATTTGAACCAGATAGTGCGATAGGGCCTTTAAGCAGCCTTCACCCATTATTACTATGCATTTATAGTTCAAGTATAATTTCATTCTAGCGTAAGCGTGCATGATTTTAATACTCAACACAACCAAAAACTATTCCAATAACATCAGAAACAATATTTGACATGTTCCTGTAAAATAAGTATATACAGTATATATTATTTGTATGATATTTATCCTGCATCATCAGCGTGTGTTTGTAAATAAAACAGTAGGATTGGCGCTCAGTTACAGAGAACAAAGATTTTTCCTCTCACAAACATAAATCTTATCTTCAGACACTACAAATAGGATATTTGCAGAATCGTAAAATAGAAATCATCCTGTCACTGTATGAACCATAGCGACACACTGAGGCTGGACTATAGCTGCAGGGAACTAAACCTCAAAGATCGCACGAGGAGCGAGATTATGATCCTCACCTCTCTGGAAGGAGTACACGCTGTCTTTGTGTTGGCAGGTGAGCACGACCACGGTCCACGGGAAGCCATCGCCGCCTTCAGACATCTTTCGAACGGTCGATTAGCAGTAACGTATTTTCCACCCCATTAACGGATCAATTCAGACAAACACAAGCCCAGTGGGGGGGGGGGGGGGGGAGTAGCTACTCGGACGTTAAACGCCGGAAATAAACCGGAGACTGGTCCTCCTCGACAGGTTCAACCGCTGTCTAATGTAGAAAAACTGTTCAGAGAAGTAGTCGCTTTATGACTCTCGCCCTTTGCTCACCCCGGTAGCTTAACTTTGATCACACGAGCTTCCGTTAGGTACGAGTGCTTCATTTAGTTAATTTGACGTGCCGCAGGGGCGGTGAGCTAGTGGAGAAAGGCTAGGGATGCTGCTAAGCTAGTGGGCTTTACGAAGGCGTTACATCTAGCGGAGAGTAGAAGTTATTTATTCATATTGATTAATACACCTGTAAGCCATTATTTCACTAATGATCAGGTGTAAGTTTTTATTGTGAAGGAGGGGACGGAAGGAGAAAAAAAGATGTTCACGTGTTTTTGTGAGTGAGAATAAAGTGGCACTGTGGTGTATGCCGGAACTATATGCGCACTATAAACCCTCGGCAACACACCCAACGGTGAGAGATCCCCAGAACACACACGAGGTCCAATAGATTTCTGCACCAAGACATCGCGGAGCTTGTGTCCAAACAATATGTAAAACGTGTGTGTGTGCGCACACGCACACACACACAAAAAATAAGAATAGAAAACTATTCTATTCTAAAAAACGTTTATTGAACTATACAAAATAAAATTTATATACAGATGTACATTAAAACAAATCTAAGGAGGTGGACGCATTCATTCTTAGTCTTCATTCATCCTCGTCTTCGTCAGCAGGAAGCGGCCGGGACCTTAAAAAAAACAACAACAACAAAAAAAACATGAGACACTGAAACATCAATTAATCTTTAGTGGAACTTTACACAAATAAAGCAGATTCTACGATTAAACATTTAGGGGAAAAAAAAGACATAATGGAAAAGGTTTATTGAATAAAAGATACAGTACATACACTTTTATGTGAACGATCTTAAAACGTTTAATCAGCAGTTAACTTTAAAAATATAAAAGTTGAATTGAGAATTTCTCCCTTCAACAATAACTTGTGTTTTAGATTATGTGATTTGTACTAATTTAAATGTATTACTTGGATACCATCTGGTTTAAATACTAAATGAATTAAGGAGAAGCTGCGTGCTGGCCTTACTTCCTGCTGGTCATCCCGCTGCCCCCGGCCTCCTCCTCGTCCTCCACCTCCTGAGGCCTCTGGTTCTCTTTCTCGGGCTTCCTTGGTGGGCCGCCGAAGAAGTCCCCGATTCCCTTCTGCCAGGTGGGGGTGGGCCGGGGGCACACCGGGTTACCGCCTGCATATTTACCTTTAGCTGTGAATTCAACAACAACAACATGAGGCAGAGCTCCATCTCCACATCAGGGGGTGTGACACACACACCGACTCACCAGGAGTGGACGGATGGCTGCTGGAGGCAGAGGAGGCGGAATTGGCTGAGCTGGAGCCCAGAGACTTCCGGGGTGCAGCTGCAGCAATAGCTGTGAATACAGATCACAACATGGGACTAGCACCGGAACCAGAACAGGACGTAGAGACAGAACGGTGTGTGTGTGTGTGTGTGTGTGACGTCACAAAGCTTCAGGACACCGGTGCGTCTGTAGGTCATAATAAACTGACGCCAAGTCGTACCGGATGAGTTCTTTATAGTTCGGTTTCAATCACTCGGGTGCCAACCGTTGGGTGACGTGTGGCCAGAATCTACCGGAAGACGCAGTCGGTTGGAACGAAACTATGCGAGGGAGAGTTCTATCGAGTCATTCTTTAAAAGCGATTTGCAGCAAAGTCCACACAAAGTTGCGGCTGTTAGCGGAGAGCGCGCCGGTGACTTGGAGGCCGTGTTGGGTCGAGTGACCCGAACGGATGCCTCCGGTTGTGGGTGTCTTCTGAAACAAGAAGGCAGCTCCGCGTTGGCGGGAGGCTGTTGGGAGAAACGGCCCCAGAGTTACGATAATCTTCTAAATCAAATAACAACTCGGTGGGGACCGTTTACGTCACCCGGGTTTTGTCCGCTTTGTTCGGATCATGTGAGCGCGCTCCCAGCCCGCCAGACTACCCGCTAAAACTTACAAACCCGAACCGGCTAATTTAGGCCAAAAGCGTCGTAAAACGCGACGTTCGTTACTGTACCTTTTCTGTAGGACGCAGGGACACTGTCGGCTTTCGTCCTCACCATGTTGGAAGTGACCTGTGACGTCCAGATATGTTTCTGCGCTACCTGCCTGAGTGGAACGAGCGTCCTCCCGCCTCGCTTTAAAAAGAACAGCGGATGGGGCGGGAGAATTCTTCTTCTGTGCCTGGTATTCTGGCAGACCAGTCACGGTGATGACGCAGTGCTGACCCCTGGGAAGGCTTTGTGTTACTACCGCTTTTAGCATTTGTCTATACCAGGGATTCCCAGAGTGGGGTGCGCGAGAGGAAACATGTAATGGTGGTCTAATGGAATAATAATTCATATTCAATACAATTTTTAAAAATCAAAATGGGTTTTACACAAAATAGAGACATGGCTTGTAAAACGACCCTTTGTAAGATTACGATTTAAAATTAAAAGTGTACAATTTAATAAATAAATACACCTCCTTTTACGTACACACTAGCTAACGTTAGCCTAGTTTGTGCAGATAACGTCAGCTAACAGCTAACTTTTGGCTTGGCTGACTTGTGACTGGCAGGTGGACATCTGAAGCTATCAGTCGTGAGAGAGGAGAGGGACAGAGAGAGACGGAGGAATCCGAGGCGATAGAAACGGAGAGTTAATACTCACGTCTCTCGCTAACGTTACCTACCTAAGTCTCTCTCTCTCTCTCTCTCTCTGCGCTGCGTGTGAAGTCCTCACATGCAATCCTCCCTTTTAATTCAAACTGTTTCTGAGACAATGCATGTTGCCACTATTTGTTCTTTACGTAATTTCATATTCCCCTACCTCTAATGATCAGTTGTGATGTGTAACTTTACATTTTTTATTTTTAATAATTTAGCCGCTATGTATGGTTAATGGTAAATGGGATATGATGCAATCTGAGCCTGTGCGTTTATTGAAACTTTGCTGCAGTGTTTCAGGGTATTTATGTACTATTTTCTTTGTCCTGATTCAGAATTACAATGATACAATGTTGAAGTTGCCCCTTTGTTTGGTCTGTGTTGACACTGTGACATTTAACAGCGGACTAAACATTGTAAACAAACACCTGTTAGCAAACTGTCATTGGTCCAATTTTAATGTAGCTATAAATAGACGTTTTCTTTTCAAGTGTGGGGGATTGGGGGGGCATGAACCCAATCGGGATGTAGAAGGGGGTGCGTGGCCTAAAAAGTTTGGAAAACGCTGGTCTAAACTACTGTAAATACTACTATATTGTACTTAAATATGACCCATTGTTCTTATAATACATACTAAAGGCTGGCGCATGCTTCTGCGTCGTTGCGTCGACGCACTCGTTTCAATTCATGGTTCTAAAAGTCTTGCGTGTGTTGCAGAGCAATTCACCGCCAGAACAACAGGTGGAGTAACGTTTTTTGTCGAAGACGACCTAGAGAGTCTTTGTGTGTGCAAGTCGTTGGTTTATTTATCAGACTTTATTGCCCCGTGCATCGCCACTGCTGCTTTTCATCGCGGACACATCTGTCCCGTATTTTCCTCCACAACTTTGTTCCCCTCGACCGGCAAACCGACGTTTGCAGTGATCTCCCTCCATGAATCGGAGGCCATCCGCACGTCCTTATAGTCCGCCAATGACGGGTTGTATAAGCGGTCATATTTACGCATTTCAATCTGATCCGTTCTCTCGTAAACATTATTCGTTTTAATAATGGCGGCATTGTGCAATGAAAACGGAAATGTGGGACTCTGTAAAGGACGTAGTTAGCAGACCAATCGCAGCCTTGCGGGCTGCAGGCTTGCATCGCTTTTGACGCTAGTCTAGAAAAATGGGGACGCACGCAAGCAGGTGTGAAAAGGCACGCAAGGGGGTCTTGCGTCTGCGTTTCCTTGCGTCTCTCTGAAAACGCAGAAGCATAAACCAGGCTTTACAATTAAAGTCACACAAAGTTGTTTTATTTACTTTCAATATGATAATATTTGTATTCTTCAGACAAAATGTTCAAAATTAAAAACAGATACAGGCACACAGAAGTAAAGTGTCATAAACCTCCTGGTGCTTTTTTAAACAACCTCTCAGACGGATGTACCACGGTCTGGAGAAGGTCCACCTGTGAGGGCCTCTGTCGGCGTTCAGACCAACATCGCATGAGGTCTCTGCTCCGGATCCGAGCCTCAGTAGTTGGTCCGGAGCCGACGGTTCTCCTCCCTCAGCCGTTCCACCTCCTCCACCAGAGACTCGTTGACCGAGTACTTCTCGATCAGGCCGTGGAACTCGTTCTGAAAGGCACGGTATGACGTCAAAATACGAGATGGCAGGAGCTTAAGAGAGAAAAAGTGGTGTTTGAACCTTTTTAGGTGAGGTGACATTTGGAGACCAGCACTGACAATCACAGTCAAAATATAAACAACCTCTATAGAGTAAAGACGGAAAGGCTAGCCCCAAAACACACCTTGCTCTATAAGAGACCTGTCAATCAGCATGTAGCCCCGCCCTAAAGCATCCCCTGCTTTATGGTCTGTTTGACCATAATTCACTATATGAACATTTTGCTGTATTGAAGAAGACTTGAAACTAGAGATTGAAACCATGAACTCATGTTTACTGAGGAAATAAATCAAGAGAGAAGTAGTCATTTTCTTATAGACTTCTATGGGACCAGAGGAGTCGCCCCCTGGTGGAGGATGCAGCTTTAACTCATGAAGCTCTGACTTCACTTTAATGAACCAGAGGTCATCTCCTTGTAGCTCACTGTCTGAACATTTTACAGTAACTTTTCTCTCTTGAAAAGTTACTATAAACTCTCTGGTTCTCTCTGGTTCCTCATATCACAGAAACTTGGCCGTGTTTGGGCTTTAATATCATAATGATATATTTAGATAGTTGCAGAATGCTGTGCTGTCAGTAATCCACAGATGTATCATCATTCTAAGGTCTGGTCTCCTACCAGCTGGATGTAGAACTGTCTGACCATCTCCACCTGCAGGTTGATGATGTCTCTGTGACAGGCGTCCCTGAGAACACAAGGACAGAAGCGTCAACATTAGGGTCCCTACGTTGTGCGTGTCCGTCTTTAAAAAGAGTCCACAAGGCCTGTGACAGACCTGAAGTCCTCCACGGTCTCATGGATCATGTTCTGGATGAAGTGGATCTGAAGGGACGTGAGGGGAGCAGGTCCAGTTTTTCCCACCAGCTCAGCAATGTTCTGGGAGAGAGACGAGGACACAGTGTCCGACAGAGCTGGACCCGAGGGGACAGTTAGAGACAAAGATCCAGGGTCAGAGAGACAAGTAAGAGACCAGAATCTAGACTGGTTCCGTGTCTACCTGCAGTGGGGACGGCTCCAGCTCCCGCTACAGGACACTCGTAGTTCAGCTGAGGTTGAATCCCATTGGATCTCCTGAGGCCCGCCTCTGGGGTAAAAAAAGGCGGGGCTGGCTGGCTGTGATCGGTCAGCTGAGGTTCTGTTGGCGTGGTCGGTCCCTCTCCCTCCAGGCTGGAGCTGCTAGCGTCGTTGGACTGCTGATAAAGAGAGTCGTTACACAACTTCACCCTTTGATTGAGTATTTCATTGAGGTCAAAGGCTGGCACCTTTCTGGAGTCACGTGGTTCGGCTGCAGCAGCAGGGATTGGCTCCTCTTCTCTGATTGGGGGCGGGGTCTGTAAGATAGACAGCGGGCTGTAGCAGCGTCCTGCGGCACCCATCAGCGGTGTTCCCAGGGGGGTCTTACGGAGGGAGTTCACATCTGGAATAAAAATGGATCAAATTATTATTAAGTTCTCTAGACTTCTTATTAAATAGTTTTGATGACCAGTGTGATGTCTTGATATATAAAAAACATTTTATTCATAGAATATGACATGTCTGTTGGATTAAACAATAAATACAAAATATTTGGTCACAAGAAATGGTTAAATGTGACCAAATGTATATGTATACACCTAGAAGTATATACTACACAATACACTTATATTCCATTCCGTTCCAACTTTAAGACTGCAACAATCCTGAAAGAATCTAAATAAATGCAGATTTTTATTCCGCTGACTCAAGTGACTCGAGGGCATCAGACGACTCATTAGAACCAGTAGAAACCAGCAGAGCCTGACCTTCTCTGACCGGGGAGAAGATGTCCAGACTGGCCCGACCGACCACCTGCTGACCTTCAAAACCAGAACCGGCCTCCTTTTGGCGCCCCATTGTACCGTGCGCCCGTCCGAACGGCATGTCTCCGGTCACCCCGTGGGGCCGTGAGTCTGCCCGGGGAGAGCAGAGTTTGATCAGGGTTTGATGCCAGGGTTCATGGTGAACTCGTGAACACAGATCTCAAAGTGGGTCCGACCTTCCCGAACGGGGGAGAACACGTCCAGACTGTTTCGCCCGACGCTGCCGAACTTCTCCACCAGAGGATGTGGCTCCGCCCCCAGCTCCCGGGACATGGGATCTGAACCGGTGTCCCCTGCAAGAGGGTGAGAACAGTTTAGACCCGCCTACTCCTCAGTCCAAGCAGAATCAGCGTGTAGCCCCGCCCTAACATTTGACTTCATTTAGTAAACATAATGTTAAACATAATGTATGTTTACTAAAGCATGAGCATCATGCTATATTGAAATAGACTACAATGCAATGCATGTGAGATGTGATTAGACAGACCCACCTGTAACCTTCACCTGGCTCAGGGGGGAGGGGCCTGTGGCAGGGGCAGAGTCTGTCTGGCTGTTAGACAGCTTGATTGATGGTCTCTTGGCAATCTTGGTGGAGCCCAGTTTACTAGACTGGAGCAAAAGAAGGATAAGAAGAAGAGGAGGGGACAGACAGAGATATATATTCGGTATTTCAACGTGTTGGGAGTTTCCGAATGAAGCGTCTCCTCCGACCTCCTCTTCATTGGTCTGAAGTGCGTAGTTACCTTGAGCTTGCTGCTGGCGCTGCTCTGGAAGCGCAGGCAGGTGACTGAGGTCTTGTGTGCCGCGGTCACCCTTGTGGGGGCGCTGGAGTTCCTCAGGTCGTACTGGTAGATCTTTCCCTGGGTGGAGCCCACCACCAGGCCGGTGCCGTCCGGCGTGAAGTCCACCGAGGTGAGCGGGCTGTCAACCCGGATGGACCTCAGGACGCTGGGCCCAGAGAGGAGAAACGGTCACACTTCAGGGGATCATCGAAAGAAACAAAGTGCATGTGACATGTGATGGTTCTTGTGTTTGGGTTGGTGTGATGATGACGAGGGGAAGGAGCTTCAGTGCATGTTGAAGTCACATGACATTTATCTCGGAATTCATTTTGCACACTAACTTTTTTTATTATGAATGTATATATTTTTAGATGTGTACCTATAAACAATAATTAAGTAAATATTTGTGTATTTTTTTAATTGATATGTCTCATTCCTTGAGCCTCTGAGGAGAGTGAATGTGCTGGGTTCAAGTGTCTTGTGCAGTTAAGACCCTTCTTGAAAGGCTTACATCTTGCTGGTTGTGTCGTAGCAGACAATCTTTTTGTCCAGGCCCACGCTGACCACCAGCAGCTCGCTGGCGGGGGAGAAGGCGAGGCCGGAGCCCGGCGCCTTGTGGGCGCCATCGAACACGTGCAGCTCCTTCTGGGTGTTGGAGTCCCAGAGGACCACGGTGCCGCTGTCCGAGACGCTGCCCAGCAGAGAGCGCCTCAGAGCCGACAGCCTCAGGGCGTGGATGGGCTGTGAGACACATTTCATATAATTAATGTCTCTGGTGGAGCAGTTCCTATGAAGCTGGGGGGCATTCCGGTCCCACCTGGTTGCTGCCGTGTCCGAAGGCCTTGCTGGACAGGTTGGTGGTCAGACTGTGAAGGACCAGATCTCCACTGGTGGAGCCGGAGGCCACGTAGCTGTCGTTAGCATTGAAGGACACGCAGGTCACCTCCTCTTTGTGGTCCTGAGAGCAGAGATTCAGTTTCTTCTCAAAAGGAGGTCAGAGACCTTCATGAGATCCTCCTGATCACATGACACACCCGTGATGATGTCACACCTCGCTAATGGTGTCATACCTTGAGGGAGCGGTGCAGCCTCTTGGTCTTCAGATCCCAGATGTGAACGCACTGGTCCAGACCTCCGCTCACCAGGAACTGAGAGGAGGAGCTCAGACACACACTGGTTTGTTTCTTCTGAGCAACGACAGAGAGACGACCGAAGTTATTATGATATTATTTGATTGTTATAATAGAGTGAACACACTGCTCTCACCCCGTCGCCCAGTTCCACCACTGGGACCGGGGAGGCCTTGAGGCTGGAAACCACCAGCTTGTCCCCGCTGCTGCTGGCGCTGACCAGGTACTGGTCTGAGGACGGGGGTCAAGGGTATGTTCCTACCTCCAGTTGTGTAAAGAGTGCCTTAAACAACCCGATATGTTCTGAGTTTATATTTATCGTTTTTATCATAAGTTCCAGCTTCTTAGAGTTTGCCAGGTTTTTTTTGATTATGTGGCAATAAACTGAAAACAAAACTTTACTTTCTGGACTTTCATAGATGAAATAACAACATAATACTCCTCTGAGTGTGTGATACACAAATAAACATCAGCGATGGATTGATCAGCAGCTGATCAGCCAGGATACTGTTGGAGCTCCAGCAGGCCTGAGCGACGGGGTGGCCGCTGCTGTGGGGGTTAAACTGCTGCAGCGGAGCCATGGCAACCGCGTCCCAGACCTTCACGCAGTCTCCTGTCGACACCAAGCGGGTCACCTCCTCCATGGGGACGGACGCCTGGATGGAGGGAGGGGGACACGCAGAAAGCAATGAATTAATTTATGTAATTTTACTTCAATTACATAAATTAATGGAGGTTTTGAATGAAGGACTTTTACTGGTGCAGTATTTTTATAGAGTGGTATTAGTACTTTTACTACAGTAACTGACCTGAATAATTCATCCTCTGCAGCTAAACTGTTGAACTTATTCACCATCATTACGTCACTTTAAGGTGAGTTAACAAAGTTAAGATCGTGGATGCTAGCTAACAGTTAGCGTCACATTAGACTTCTGAAGTCACCGAACAGCCGTAAAAAACCCCGCGAAACTACACAAACTGACATAAAGAGAAAACACTCCTGTGTGTGAGTGTGTTTTATAAAACAGGTCGTACGTACCTTGAGAGATCGGTAAATAACGGAAGAGTTAGTGGAGCGGTTCGGTTCCGTCGAGCAGCAGAAGTAGAAACCGCCACTACGGAACACCGAGAGGGACAAAAAGGAGACGTTTGTTTGAAGTCAAAGCTTGAATCTTGTTTAAAAGTGAACTAATAATATTCCTTATACTCTACCGTCCTCCTGTAAGAGTACTTAGAACAACGTAAAAATACCGCACAACCAAAATAGCCTGTTACCGTAGAACGTATAATACAACAGTATTCTAAATCCTGCTAATATTTCAAAAATCATTAAAATAACATATATAATATAATTCTTTAATTTGCTGAAAGTGAATGAAATAATATGAGAAAATAACTTTATTTCCCCTTTGAAGTATTCTCATTCGAAAAAATATAAAGTATCAATGTTTAGAGACATGAAAAATAAAGTTTCTAATGAAGTACGTGTGCGCATGCGCGATCTTTTCGTTGTTACCGGTTTCTGTGTATGCTGGAGGATATCTCTCTCTACGTGTATTCACTCTTTCTCTCGTGAGTGAACTAAATATAAAAACAGCGTTTGGACGTTAACCACTGGGCGGAGTCGAACCCAGGACCTAATGTTGCGACGCGACAGTGCTAACCACCACCACCGTGCCCCATTAACATTTGTACTGATTTATTTAAAAATGTTCAATTAATTATTTTATTGACCTTATGAACTGTTTCATTTACTCGAGAACTAGTTTGAAGTGTAAAATAATATTAACTGAAACCCTGAAAATGAGATCCTTATTTGTTAGGATTTGTATTTAATGATAAAAACATAAAATAAAATGTTTTCATCATAAAATACAACCCGTTTACATGTGCGTTTGATGCTTTTACTCTACCGGGACTAAATATTTGATTTAAAACATGAATACATGAAGCTAAATTGAATTTTTTAATATTCACTAATATGATATTCTTGTGTTTGGCAGAACAATGAGGGCCGAAGTCGTCCGAATTTCTAAAAACACAAGTTTATTTTCTTCTGTAACTCAGAAAACAACACATAAGTACACAGTTGCATACTTTTACTGCATATCCATCTTATTTAGAAGTATGAATGTGGAATATAAAATTATTTTGGCCTCTCAGCTTTGAATATTTGTCACATCGGATTTCAAAGTGAATATTTGTGTGATAAAATCAAAGATGATAATGTGAAGTATTATTGTAATCATCGTGGTTATTATAATAAAGTAAACATTGTCGTGAAATAAACTGATCTTCACCCAGGAGACGGACATCATCTCCTTCTTTCCTCAGCTCCTTCACCGTAGGCTACAAGAACAAAGGAGTGACTGAGCCGCAGCAGATCCGGCAGCTGATTGGTCGAGGGGAGTTTGTGTGCAGAGAGCTGGAGGTGCTCTAATACCGGAGGATGTACCGAGCCATGAAACGCTACTATGAGGAGTGAAGCCGATCAATAAAACGATTGGCTCACATGCCCGTCTTTAAAAGTCAGGAACAAAGATAGATTGTAACTTTTTATTTGAGCCGACAGACAGAAAACAATCAAACAGAATAAAAACAGTCAAGTCATCCTTCAAACGGCGGCAGGACGTCGGGGGGGGGGTCAGAGGGCCAGGTTCGCTCTGCAGATGGGACACGTGGAGTTTTCCTGGGGGGGGGGGGCGTTGTTTTATTGGGATGTCATTGAACATGTGATTCTTTTATATTGAAGAAAAATGATCCGCAGAACTACTGATTATTCTAATAAATAGTTACATAATAATCAAAAAATAATCAGAATATTTATCAGAGTGTTAATATTGATCAAACCCTAATGAGTCACATTAATAGTGAAATGACAAACAAAACGTCACATTTAAAATCTTTAATGAGCAGATCAGATGATTCTAGAGAAACACAAACTGTAAACAATAAACACTGAGACCAATCACGGGAAAGACGCAGGGTCTAATTTCCGAGCAGCCAGGCTAGCCGTCTTTGTGCTAAGCTAACCGGTTCATCCTCCTCCTTATCTCGAGGAGCCGAGATAAGGAGGAGAAGGAGAAGAAGAAGAGTACCTTCAACCATCGGTCGATGCAGTGGACATGGTAGTCATGGAAACAGGGCAGTATCCTCAACTTCTCCCCGTCAGTGTAGTCACAGAAACAGATCTGACACCTGTCAACCAGCAGAGAAAGATGAGTCACCCGCCCAATCACACAAAAGATTGAAGATCTTAAAAACACATTAAATCAGACAAGATTTATTCATCTATTTATGAAACATAAAATGTTAAAAGAAACATTATTTGAAATTACGCATTATCTTATGAGGAAAGACAAACTAATCTGAGAGCTGAAAATAGGAAATAAATCCACTCAGTTGTAAATCATATTTTGTGGCGTTGTCATGGTGGCGTCTTCTTGTTTCCACCATTTAAAGCCTCACAGACTCTCCCACTGACCTCAGTCGCTCCCTGGGGGTCGGGCGGACACTGGCATAGAGCCACTGTCTCTTTAATAGTGTCGGGAGGATCAATACTCACTGGGTGCTCCCTCCCCTGGTGGCTGACTGAAAACTCTTGGTGGGGAACATCTGGATTCGTCTCCGGCTCAACATCTGGGAGACGACTGAACCTTGACGTTCCTCAAACGCCAAAAGAGCCTGAAGATAAAGACATTATTTGTTTTTGAATTATGAAAATTTTAACTATTAAGATTATCATTATATTTTATATTAAACTATATATTCAATACATTTGAGTATATAAAGCAAATTCACATTAAACTATTAATAGATTATTCAAATCATACATGCAATATATAAAACACTTTGTCCCATCTGTCTTTCCATCTGTGACTTTCTCACCTCGTAGTCGTTCCCCTGAAGGTCTTCTGATAGCTCTGGCTCAGCGTTCCTCCTTCTGCCCCGCCCATGTCTTCTGTGTCGACCAATCAGATCTGTGGAAACACAGCAGCAGACGGAACAGATGTTATTAAGGCCCAATCCTAATGTCGCCCCTCAACATAATATGTGCATTACAATTGAGGAGATTTATTTTATACTATTTACTCTGATTTGAACGTCTTTCAGGCTCCTTTCTCATTTTAAATAATGTTTTACAGTTAGCTGATGTTCGTCCCGCCTTCAGAGATCCACACGGCTTCTAAAATAAAAGCGTATTGGTCTCACCGTCGTCAGGGGCGACCAGCGGAGAAACAGCGGCGAGAAGATGAGGCATCCAGCTGGGCTCCATGTAGGGCGGGAACTGCACAGAACCAGTGGACATCACTTCCCACTCCTACATAAACACTTCGTATTGGTGGAGAGAGTCTCACCGTATGCGGGCTCCGGAAGTGGAGCTGATGATGATGATGAAGGTGTCGGCTGCGGGACTCCTCGTGGTCAAACTGGGCCTGGGGGGGGACGCAGAACGGAGCAGCATGAAGGTCTCTCTCAGGTGAGTCGTCGTTCTGCAGGTGAACAAGGTTTCTCACCTGAAGACTCCGAGCCATCGCCTCATCTTCCTCCTCCTGAGCCGAGCGCATCTCCTCATCGTCACTGATGACAATCTCCTCCGGAGCTGGAAGAGGAAGAGGACTATTAATGATAGCAACCTCTTTACTGGGATTACGATGAACCGGTGTCTGTGGGTTCAAATGAAATGGATCTTTATAGAGATGGATGAATATATATATATATATATATATATATATATATATACACACACAAATGACTCACCTGAGGGGGCGTCTGCCTGCTCTCCTCTCAGCCACCTCCTCTCCTCCGCGGTGAGGAAGGACAGAGAGGAGGAGGAGGATGGTGGTGGTGAGGCCGTCTTCTGGGGAAGAAGAACCTGAAGATGCTCTAAAGCAGAGGCCTCCACCTCTTCCTCTGAGATGGGGTTGAGGTAGGAGGAGGAGGAGGAGGAGGAGGAGGACGCGGTGGACAGCGGCGCCTCCAGCCAGCCGTCCGGGGGGAGAGCCCGCAGAGACGAGGCCGGGATGGAGCCGGCGCCGCGCTCTGTCCCGGCCTCGTCTCTGCAGGCCAGGCGCCGTCGCTTGGACCTGTGCGTCTGCTCCGGTCGCCAGGGCAAGCCCACATCAGAATGCTGAAGACAGAGACAGACACTCGTCAACACCAGGACAACAGAGGAGCAGGAGGAATAGGAAGAGGAGTAGGAGGGGGTAGTGATCTGTCGTTCGTGAACGATTCGTTCATTTTGAACGAATCCTTACAAGGACTCGAGAGTAACGAGTCCTCTCACAAAAAGATTCGTTCATTTTCTCGTGGCCATGCATAGGCTCAGCCAAGGAAACAGAAATGATTTGTTTATTATCCTTCTGCCAACCAAGTGGTACCAGTGCTGAGCCTATGCAGGTCACGAATCATTGACCCGAAGACTCGGTTGGCAGATGAACGAAACATTGACCCGACCCAAGGCTGAGCATTGGTAGAGAAAACAGAAATGATTCATTCATTTTGACTGGGTCTTCGGATACGGATCTTAGGATCATTTTTCACGTGACCTGCGCTTAGAAGAGGAAACAGAAAGGATTTGTTTACATCGTTCACTTTCGCGTGGCTAGGTTTAGTAAGACATGAATGATATTCCTTCACAAGTAATAATTACAGGTTTCGTTATTTTAACTTTTTTGTACTTTACTTAAGAGTTCAGCGTAATAGTTATGCCGTGATAATTGAATGCTAGTGTGAAAATAAATGATCACTTCAAATCATCCAGACTGTCATGATACATTATTTTAATGCAGGAATTTATCTTACCACCCACCCGAAATGAACGAATGACTCGAAAAAAGATTTGTTCATTTTACTGAACGAGATTCAAAGAACCGAGTCGGTAAAATGATCCAAAATTCCCATCACTAGGAGGGGGGACTCACAGGCTCCTCCAGAGGGCGGACTCGTCTCCTCCTCTTGCCGAGCTGCGGACTGATGAACAGAACATTTCAGCTGGTGTCTGTCAATAATCGGATCGGATCAATAATCTCTTCACAATCACAGTTGGTGTTGATCCGACGGGACTGAGCCTCAATAACCTCACGATCAACCACATATGAAGCGTTGATGTAGAATAACGTCAACGGGAGATAAAGGAGGAACGTCCACTAGTGTTTTTATAGTGTGTATAAATACTGTACTGCAGATGATGACCTGAAAACCTTAATGAATGTGAATACTACAGTATTCTATCTATGAATAATCTACATGTATATGAATATCTGTGTATCACATGTATACAGGTGAGACAGGTTACCTGGGTGTCTCCGGGACGAGGATGGACAGATCATGATAGATGACGTCAGCCGGATCCAGGAGGCAGCCTCGGTTCAGACCCCGTGGACTGTCCGGTTCGGAAGAACAGGGACTTCCGGCTAACGACTCCTCCATCTTAACAACACCGGGCTCCACACGTCGGATCTGGACTCATGTCAATCGGGTACCGGAGAGAGTTATTCTGAGAGAGAATGAACCAGAGACGTTGACGTCAGAAACACAAAGCCAAATTATTGTTTAGAAGTTCCGGGTTCTATAAGTTACAGTAGTACCAGGAGCTCAAAAGACAAAAATGTATAAAGAAGATATTAAAAACCCGGTGTTACGTGCCTACTTGTTTTTGAACCTACTGGTTTGTCTACGCGTGCGTGTTTGTTTTCCCTACAGCGGCAGATGTTGTCTGCCTCGGTCACCTGATTCGTCTCACATTTGCAAACATATTACTGAAAATGTTCAAAATTCATCACATAGCCATTGCAGTGATTACGATTGTATAAGTGAGCACTACATCACTGCCACGTATGAAGAAATACATTGGAGAAAATAGATTTATTAAAAGATCGCCTCAACCTGCATTTGGAGGGTTATGGTCTTGGAGGCGCTGCCGCCTCATATGGTCTCCAAGTTAAGACGCACGTGCAGGTGCGCGCGTTAAAACGTTCTGCGCCCTCCTGCTGCGACATGAGGGTCCGAATGGAACGAACAGATCCTCATGACAACATTATATCACCAGAGATTACCCAGAATTCCATTTGACAAGTCAGTCAAGCTTTAAAACGCCTGCATCTTCTGAGATTCATCTTTTAATTAATGTCCCCCCCCCCAGAAAGCGATCTTTTAATAAATCTATTTTCTTCATACGTGAGAGTGATGTAGTGCTCAATTATAATCGCTGCAAAGCATATGTGATGAATTTTGAACATTTTCAGCAATGTGTGACGAATCAGGTGACCGAGGCAGACAACATCCGCCGCTGTAGGGAAAACAAACACGCACGGGTTGACAAACCAGTAGGTTCAAAAATCAGTAGGCACGTATGCCGGGTCTTTTCCTGGTGGGGTTAGGACAACTCATCGTATAAAGTATGAATCAGTTAGCTAAAGAAACGCGGGTCCGAATAATAAAGTAACGTTCCAGGTTCTACATATTCCACATCAATAAAGAAAACAAATAAATAAAATAGTTAATAGTAAAAAAGTTTTGTCTAAATCACTCTTTTCTGTTGTTGTTAGCAGTAGCATTTGTTAGCGGAGTTAGCACAGAGAGCTAGCCCAAGTGCCCACAGATCCACAAGCAGCTCCATAGGTCGATATGAAAATCAATGAAACATCCCGCCCATCAATGACAACAGCATCAAAAATGTGATATCCGGTCACTTTACCGAGCGTTGAACGTTGTTGTCTTTTTTTTTGGCTCGTTAACGGACGATCCTCGGTAGAGCGGTAAACGTCGGTGCAGATGGAAGTGCACTTCAAAATAAAAGGGGGAACTTCCGCTGTCCCACGAAACAAGTACCGTCAAGTCTCTTCTAAAAAGACATTAAAAAACATAAACACAACACAACAAAATATAACCAACTGAATATAGTCATTAAAAGGAGAAATAGGGTTTAATCAATTCTAAAAAACGTATAAAAATTAAATAAAGCTCATCATTGCAAGCCAAATATATCTGCGTTTTTACCATTTTAATATGTATTACAGAAAAAAACAATTCATCAATAAAAATATTCGCCAGACTAATTCTATGACATCGCTTAACTCATCAATTTATAATTGTGAAAAAACAAAAATGAACTTGTCTTTAATGACTCTTCAGTCATACATTGATGGTTAATTTATATCGTTAAAGACTTCAGAAAGTTCAGATATTCAATCAGATAGTTTCGATAGCCAATTTACTAAAACTAAAATAAAAACATCTACACTCTTAACAAAGACATAAAAACGTGTTTTATTTTTCCCCGTAACACACATCAAGATCATCAAAATTTGTCTCCGTATCTTCTCCCAAATTAATACATATAAGTGTATGAAAGATAAATCTTTGTTTCTAACAGAGGTCTGCAACGCATCAAATTAAAACTGCAGAAATAACTAAAACAATTTAAACAATAAATCATAAATATCCATATAAAACCAGTATATAGTCAACATCACAAACGGATCAGAGGACAGAAACATCACTGTCCTGGGATTGCTGCCTCAATAACCATGGCAACAACAACCCACAATGTGTCCCAGAAGCAGGAGGCAGCCCCGTCGCCGTGGTAACAGCAGGCTAGAACAGCGACTGCAGCCATTTACGGATCTTAGCCATCTCCTGCTGTTGCTGTGGAAACACACAACAGGATGTGACATCACCAACCTTTGACATCATAGTCGAGAACAGCGCAAGAAAACAAAAACAATTTCATTAGATGCTTTCTCGAAATATCTTTACCACCATAAAATACTAACATATGTTAGTACTTTGTTGCTCACCACGTGGAAAAAAGTAAACAATAATCAAAGAACAAGGTGATTCCTCCCACTCTCGTCTGTACTTTTGCATCCGCTTTCGCTTCAGCGCTGGACACGGGAGAGAGCAGCGAGTATTACCCAATCAGGGGCCGACGAGTCTTCGCAGAATTCGGGTGGGTTTATTTGCATGAGATGCTGCATTGACGACAACTCGGAAAATACAGGACAAACCCCGTCTCGTATTGATCGTCAAAACGGGACGCGCTATTTTATTCTCAAATACGGGACAGGAGTTATTAACTGGAAATTAAGCACCTTTACTATGTTGCACCTTCATGGTACACTCAGGGATATGCTGTTATTACCCATAATACAAGGGGAATTTTGTGTTTGAAGTCATATTCTTATCATTGACTAAGAACAGCTTTTTCTTTAATAATTAAAAGAAAAATGAATCTGTTTAATATTTTTTTACATAGGCTACTTCCATATTGTGTAGCTGCACTGGTTATTGCATTGTTGATTGAAAGTCATATTTGTGACAAAGAGCCACAGCCAAGAGATTCCCACCCCTACAGGGAAGTAGCGAAGGCGGGTGTGAACGTCCGCGTAGCAGAACGTATGCGTTTTACAACAAAGCGTAGTAATGCGGAAAGAGGCTTAACTCACCGTGTCCATGAGGATCTTCTTTTGCAGCGTGGCCATCTCCTTCCTCAGCTCCTGCTCCGCCCCCTGCAGGAAGGAGTCGTTGCTCTTCTCCATGTCCTCGATGTTCTGGAGGAGAGACGAGGGCTGAATTGGAATAGTCCTTTTGCTCAGGACAAAACTTATGCTATTTTAGGGGTTCATTTTTGTTATTATTTATTCATTTGGACCTTCACAGACTGCTCGTAGAGCGCTCTGACGGTCTTCAGCTTCTGGTTCTGAACCACTCGGGCCTCCTGCAGGATCTTCTGCTGCTGTCTGAACAGGCTCTGTACGGAGAAGCAGACTCATGATGTCACTGTCTCTTCTTCTGAGGTCACACAGTATCAAACGTGTGACCTTTTCTGACCAATCACAGCAGGACGTACGTTGAGCCTCTTCTCTTGCTTCTCAGCTCGTTGAGCTTCGGTCTCCCACTGCTGCAGGGCTGAGGAGACCTGCTGGGAATACTGCTGGGTCATCTTCTGCCTGCAGATACAAGTACAACATGTACCTGGGAGATGTAGTAATCTAAAAAGTACAATATATATCACTGAGGGTAGGGCTCGGCTGTATGGCCAAAAATTCATACCACTTTTTTTTTTTTTTTTTAAGTAAACACATGCATTAATTGGATCAGCTGTTCACCACTCGCTGGCCAACCTGCTTGCAACTGGCCAGCGAGTTAGCTTGTTAGCATGTTAGCTGTTGTTGCCCCTAGTGTTGCCACGAGAGGGAACACCAGTGGCTCGACCAACTTAACAACAAATTGTTTACTGATCTACCTCAGCAACACAGCTCATCTCTTGGGAACATCTCTGATCTCTCGTTGTTCCTCCTGCATCGCTCTTTTCCGTGTTTTCATGTAGCCACAGAGTTTCTTCTTGTTGTGATAGTTGACAAGCTGTACCCAGCATGCAGTTCGGTGGGGTTATTTTATTAATGTACAATTATTGGTGTTACAAATTGTTTCTGTGTCACAAACTGTTGTGGTGTTTTATCCTGTTAAAGAATGTTTGTTGTGCATTAGTAATTGTTGTATAATGTTATAATCATAACTCCATCTCAATATACATAAGACAAATAGCTCCGACCGCTGCACCCTCGGCGGTGAGAGGAGAACAAAATATTTTGCAGCCTGCCCGAAGAGCATCAACAGTCATTACGGCTGTGTACCGTATGATGGTGTGTGAAAAATTCATACCAGAAGGACATTTGAAACCGGTATGCTGCCTAGCCCCAACTTAGTGGAGAATAGAAATGTATTTTTTCTACTACTTCAAAATAACCGTGCAGTACTTCAGTAAATGTTGTTTAATAACTTATTTTCCTGAAAGCGTGGTAGCGGTTTCGCAGGTCTAGGATGTAGTATAAAGCCCAACATGTACCTCTAGGGCAGCGGTTCCCAAACGTTTTAGGCCACGCACCCCCTTCTACATCCCAACTGGGTTCATGCACCACAGGGAATCCCTGCTCTAGGGTGTAGTATAAAGCACTACATGTACCTCTGGGGTTAAGTATGAAGTAATACATGTACCTCTGGCCATGGTGGGTGCTCCACTGCCGCTCCAGCATGCATTGGGTTCCCTTCAGGTATTTGTTGGTTATACTCTCAAGACGTTTCTTCTTGGCCGGCATCATCTTGCTGAGGAGAGCTGGAGATGAATAACAATAACAACACAGATGCTTATGTCCCTACTTTGACCCCATATTGCAAGTTCTATTGATTCAAGCAATATTGATTTTATACAGTATTTGAGTATAAACAATTTAAATGTGACAACAATCTGTTTGTATTTAGTTTACGTAGTACTATATATATATATATATTTACACACACACACACACACACACATACATAAAGGAATTTAAGCCTCATCTTATTATACAATAATGATATGTAATAAAACTTAATTGATCCTCAGAGAAATACTGATATATTGAAATATTGATTTGTAGATACAATAAAATTGATGAATACGTACAGCATACAAGTTACACAGTGTAGGATATACATTATGACATCATCATAAAGACCCGATGAAAGGTGAAGTACATAAACAAAACGACCAGAGGAAAAACACACATCTGCTTACCTCCGAATGTCTCCAACATGGAATTAACCTCATCTCTGACGGTCAGAGAAGAGAAACGTAACGCTGATAAATATGTGAATGTTTAGTAAAGTAAATCAATAAAGACGTTGTTAATCAGTTGTAATACTCGACAACAGTCGTCTGCTCCACTTCAAAGTCCGCCGGTCGCTTCTTCGACGACTTCCCCACGATGCGAGTTTCGTCTGGTGACGTAAACATGACTCATCACCGTGGGATCGTTAGCTAAAATCAAATGCTAATATCAGCTAATGCTTTTAGCTAAGTTAATGCTAAAGTTGTTCAGATGCTCTTACAAATACAAGTAACGTTAGTAACACAACGGTGTATAAATACTTTTTGTAGTATTAAACATACTTCTATTTCTGCTAAAATAACCATAACGTTAATTACATGGGAATTATAATTAGTGATAATGGACAGTAATACAAGTATTGAAAAGTAATGTCACTGTCGTAATTAGAAGACACATATTTCACAACATATTTATAAGCGCTATTTTCTTACAAAGTATTATTGTTCACATGTATTTTTACTTTTGATAAGAGTTTACGTTATGTATTTCAAATATAATTTAACGTAGGTTCATGGAAATGGTGACGGCATAAATGGCTACCATGGACAGGAGCTAACACTACTCACCTTCTCGAACATCTTCCTTGTTATATAATTTTTCTTGCATGTGTTTTTTCTTCCGCTGTGTTCTCTGTGTCGCCATTCTGGTCAATATTACGGTTAGTTAAGCTAGCTCGATGTTAATGGTTACCTAAGCTAGCTCTAACGGATGCTGCTACTGGCGGCTAATACTCCCGAGCTAACGTTAGCTGTTAGTTTATGTTAGCTTGCGGTTGCTGTAAATTAATTGAGCTAACATTAGTTCTTGACTAACTAAATATATTTGACAGACGGGATAGTAATTTTATTTGACTCTTAAATTAAAACGGTCCTTGGTTCCGTCGTCTAGTTTCCATGTGACGTTGTGAGTTAAGTTAAGACTCCACAGGTTACAACACAAACTAATGGGAGCGAAGCTAGCCGAGGTAGCAACGTTTGAAGGGGATTCCCGCCACAACAGGTCGGTAGAACCTGGATGAAGAAACACGCGTTTTAAAAAAAAGCGGTGGTCCAAAAAGTACTCTCTTACGAGTACAAGTACTAATAGCAGTGTAAAAGTACTCTCTTTTGAGTATAAGTACTACTATCACAATAATAACTAATACCATACCGTCTGGTAACTGCGGTCATGTGGACCGCATTTCAAAATTAAATGTGCCTCTTTTTAAGGTGTTACGGTAAAAAGGCTTACAGCCGCATTAATCGCATATTTGTAAAGTGTCATATCCCAATCTTTGAACTGTACAAGCAGAGTGTTACCGTTTTTGGATCTGGTTTAAAGACAGCTCAAAGATTGAGGAAAGACAAACAGCATGTCATTATTACTGATTTCATCTTTACTTTTCTCAAAATCCATACAGTAATGTTTCATGAAAATGTACACGAGCATAGAGGAGGTCAACGTGAACTAGGATCAAGTGAAAGCAGTGTGTTACCGTTTTTTGATCTGATTTAAAGACGCTTTACAAATAGGCGATTGTTGCCGACCCCTCTCACCTCGGACTAAAACCGTTTGTGCCCCTTCCATTTGGCAGGAGGCTGAGGTCCATCAGGACTAAGACCACCCGCCACACGAACAGTTTCGTCCTGTCGGCAGTCGGGCTCATCAACAGAGCCCGGTCCCCCACTGACTGACTCTGACATCCTTCTCCACCAGTCACTCCCTTCGCACTGCACGTAGACCTGTCACTTCTGTTTGTGCATTTTATTTTTAACTTTTAAAATTTTATTTGTAATTTAAATTCCTTTTGCACCATGTTGTTCTTGCACTATGTTGTCTTATCTGTCTGATGTTATGCATCAACCTCCAAGTCAAATTCCTTGTATGTAACATATTTTGGTAACAAATCTTCCGGATTCCTGATGTAAAAGTACTCTCTTACGAGTATGAGTACTAATACCACAATGTAAAAGCACTCTTACGAGTACTAATACCATAGTGTAAAAGCACTCTCTTACAAGTTAATTTATAATACTATAAAGTACTAATACCCTATTGTAAGTCTGCATTGGTATTGAAGTAAATGCTAATAACACTGTAAATTACAAGTACTGATGACTGAGAAAAATTAGGCCTATTAATACTATACTTCAAGTCGAGATCGAGTTGATCCTTAACATTGATCCGAGTATTGAGGGTATAGCTACTAACACTATAAATGTTTTGCTCTGATGTTACTTCAGTTCAAGTATTGAAAGTTAATTTCTTTGACCAATGAAGCTGAATTCGTCAGTCCCTGTCTGTCTCATTAAAATGTATAAATTCAAGACAGAGAAAAAAAAAAAAAAACCCCACAAAATCAGTTATTCATGAAATATTACATTTTGTCATCAAGTTATTTTGAGTCAAACATTTTCCCATCTTACGAGAAAAGGGCCTGAAAGACCGAAGAGCGATTAAAAAGTAGGAAATTAATTCCCTCAGTTGTCATGGTGACGTGACCTGTGGCAGCAAAGTGCCATCCCTTCATATTTACTCAATGACCAGATGTCCCCAGTAAGTCTCTGGGGGGGTCAGGGGTTAGGGGGGCACGCTCTTTAGTTGAACCACTGAATAGAGTTTAGATGTTCATCTATCAAACGAAACAACATGTTAGTAAAGACTTCCTACAAAATGAAAGCATCAGGGCCTTGAGATGTCATCTTTGAGGAAGCGGACTTATTGCGACCTCTACAATCTAGAAGGTCATTATGCCGCTCACGTGAAGCCCCTTTTGAGGAGCAGAACGTCTCCAGAGCTTTGTTCCAAAGCAGTTCTGCTGGTCTCTGGAGAAAAACAAGCTTAGACTTAAGAAATAGCTTATTTTAAATGCTCATTAATAGCTGAAATAAGATCACACTCAGGAATTATCAGGTGTCACATTTTACTTACAATAAAACAACTCTGGCCGGTTTATAAAAACAATGGGTATAAAAATAACACGATGAAGTAAAACAAGACAATATTAACTTTGCACTCATCCCTTGAAGGAGGATCCTCGCGCTCATTCTCTGTACACTTTATTTCCGCAGAAGACACTCCCTGTCCGGTCAAATATCAAACTTTTCCTCACAGATGAAGTGTCCGTTCTCCTCGTAGTCTTCTCGGGTCACAACGACCTCGTCATAGTCCGGACTGTGAGCCAGCAACTTCCCTCCTTCCCACGCGTAACAGATGGGACTACAGGAGCAACACGGAGACATCATCATCAATAACCACTATGATCTCTTTGACTTGTATTTCTTCCGCTCATGAAACACGAGTTGTAAAGGTTCTAAACGTCCTCCGAGGCAGGACTCACTTGGCGGGTTGGAGGACGGACACAGGTAGGTGGGCGGGGGCCAGCGATCTAAGCTCCGCCTCCAGGCGCTCCCTGAATCCCGGGAACAAAGTGTTCCCTCCGGTTAGGACCACGTTCTGGTAGAAGTGGGCATGCATCTCTGGAGGAGGAAACAAAATGTTTATGCAAAGATGGAAACTACAGGAAGAACAACACTTCTTCAATCATGATTAACTAGCTCAGTAAAACGCACACGCACGCACCTTCAGGCATAGACTGGATGGAGTCCACGATGGCCTCATGGACACCCATCTCCTGGATGCCGATGTCTGACGGGTGGAGAAGCATCTCAGGGACGGCAAAGCGCTCGTTAGCCAGACGCAGGATCTGTTCCCCGGTCTTATACTTCCCACTGAAGAGCATCTCATCGGGGGGCTGCAGGAGGGGGGAGACAGGGAACTGAGACGAGAAGAGGTGACAGGTGGTGGCGGGATGAGGTGACGGGTGGAGGCGGGTTCCTCTCACCTTGCAGAAGCCTTTCTTGATGGAGCTGAAGTCCGGGAGGACGTAGTCCTTCACCACGGTGTTCTCTCCGCCCTTTAGCCTGACCGCAGAGGAAACACAAGACCTGAGCACAACATCTTTCCCAGCATGCTTCACTGCTCCTGATGCTGGGGAGGCAGAGGTCAAAGTTTGTCTTTTCAAGCGTTCGGATGCAAATGTTACTTGTATTTGTTTGTAGGGGGAGAAGGAGAAATCTCTCCTAAAAAATAAACTAATTTAAGCTGTAACGGTTTCAGCAGCTTACAGACAAAAACACAAATAAGAAACCAGAAATTCCTAAATTAAATGAGTATGTTATCAGTGCTCCCCAAGGACTCACTGTGACACCTCCATGTCTTTGTAGAACTGCTGCGACACGTAGCAGACGTCCTCCTTTACCTGGTTGATCACGTGAGTCTCGTCCATCACGTGCAGCTGACTGAGAGACGGAGACAGTCTCAGTGAGACGGACGCTCAGACAGACAGGCGCTCAGTGAGACTACTAGCAAGGCAACCTACCGATATGAGATGATCTCTTTCAGGTGATTGGTCAGCAGCTTCCCTCCCACGTTCAGCCTGCGGGGAGGGGAACAAACGTTAGCTCACGTCATTACCGTGGTTACACGTGGTACCTGAGAAGGTGAGTCCTCTGACCTGCGGATGCCCTCCTTCATCTTCTTGCTGCGGCAGTAGGGCACCACGTGGGTGAAGGAGAAGCCGCTGTCCACCAGCAGGCAGCAGAGCTCTGAGGGTCTGGAGTGGAAGTAGTGGTGAGCAGAGAGAGAGCCGGCTGGGGGAAAAGACAGGAAGCAGCCAATTAGTCTTTCGCCCAATGACAGCTGGGACAGACTCCGCACCCCCGCGCCCCCCCCCCCCCCATTACCCTGTAAGGATGAGCATTATAGAAGATGACTGACTGCTGTTTGAGGATATTTATCAAGTTAATTCTTTGTTCGTGCTAAGAACGTCTTTCACAAGAAAACTGGCCTGAGACCGGGGAACAGGACGTGAGGTGAGGTTGGACTCACCGTTGGTTCTGAGGGCCGACTGGAACTGGTACTCCTCGAACAGAATCTCGTTCATGGACTCCTGAATGGAGGAGAAGTTGAAGTAGGGCTCGGTGATGATGACGCTAGTGTCCGAGAAGTCCACCTGGAGGAGGATGAGGATCACGTCACACATGGTTCCCACCTTCCCAGAATGACAAACATAAAAAAGCCTGGAGAGAAACACTGAACCTTAAACATCTCCTTTCCAAACAGGTGATCCCACACTTTCCTCTGGACGTCCCAGTTAACCAGATAACCCTGAGGACAAAGGAGCAACAGAACCTCAGAGACCGCTTCCAGTCCAGATGTGACCCGGCGAGGCCTCGCATGGATCGCTCACCTTCTGGAACGGCAAGATGTAGAAGAGGCCCGAGGGGTCCTTGATCTCGTCCAGCTGGTTGGCTGTGAAGGTTTTCAATCGGGACGTCTTGGAGCGAAACTGGCAGTTTGGGATGACACTGAGGGAGGAGAGAGACTGGAACTAACACGGAGATAGTTTTACTTTTATTCATTCGGGTTAAAAAAAAGGGCGCAAGTGGGACTGAAAGTGAATTTGTTGTTTGTCACTACATGAGTTGAAGATCTGGAGTTGAGATGTTGACGTAGTTGTATTAATAATTCTGTGTGAAGCAGTTGAAGTAACTTCTGCAACTCTGAGCACAATTTAGCTTTATTTTACTTCATAAGGGGACAATTATGCTTTGAGCTAAATGACACATGTAGACCTAGTTCAAGTTTAAGGACACAATAGAAGCAAATATAAATGTCGATTCTGATGCTATACAACAGTGGGGCTTGTAGATAATAAAAACACAATTACAATCAGAATATTTAAAAAATGATCATTTGAAATGTAAAAAATGTATATGTTGATCAGGAAGAGATGATGGAAAATGTTAAAGTATTAAGAAAAAAAGACGTATTATATAATTATATATATTATATAAATAAATAAAAAGATAAATGTACAAAAACATTTTCTACCGAAACACAGTTTGACACCTCGAGCTTCATATTTAATTTGAACATCGATAATGTCATGATCCATAACCTAAAAACATTCAAACTAGAGTTTTATAAATGGACGTTTCCTGCGTCCAGGCCAGCCAAACGGTGCGCGGTCAGAGGTCCCTAGAGTCTCTAGAATAATTAGCTACATTTAGCTGTTTGACAACGATTAGAACAGGAACACATTACTAACACTAACCTGGTTTAAGACTAGCTAACGCTAGCTGGACTGAGGCTATGTTATCGTTAGCATCAACTTTAGCCACCTCGCTCCCTCGGCTGGTCACGTTACCTGACGCTCTCCTGGCTGTAGCCGATCTTCGCAGTATAGGCTCCGTTGTCCAGAACTAACGTCGCCATTTGACTCTCTGTACGGAGCAGACTAAAAAGAACGAGTAGAGTTTAATCAACGATTAATGGAACACAAAACCTTTCTACACTTTGATAACACGACTTTTCTCGGCCCGCCAATCAATTCGTCGCCATGTCTTTTTCCGGCGGAAATGGAGCTCTGAGGCAGCCAATCAGTTCTTCTCTTCATTATGTCCATAAACTCATTGGCCAATCAGATCCGCCCTACGGGGTCCTTTCAGAATAATGTTCGGGTGGAAATGAGTCTCGAAAGGTCCGTTCTGTTTAGTAATGATTGAAAATATAAAATCACATATATTATATAAAATACATAAAAAATAAAAATTGTAGTATCAGAATCAATGAAAAAAAGGGAGATTTATATACAGTAACACAAAAATACAATGTAATTCACATACAGATATATATAAAGATGATGTATATCAATAAATGGTGGAAATAAGAAATACTGAAATTACTTTCAAAACATGGCTGAAAACACAGAAATGACAAAAGCTGAGATGAACTTTTAAAAATGTATTTTTTGTAGTAATATTAGTAGTACTATTAGTTGTGACAATAATTTCAGTTATGTGACTTGTAGGTTGAAAGCCAGAGGGGAATTTTGGTACTAGTAGTACTAGCAGTCGAAGAAGTAAAAGTAGTATCAATAGCAGTAGAAAAAATAGAAGTAATTGGGTTTTGGCCTTTCACTTACACAAAAACTGAGGTTTTATCACGGAAAACGATTTCTAAAAAACCCGGCCAAAGCGGAGATTTCTGAAAACTCCGTTTTTGTGTTTGCGTGTGAACTAGGTTAAACAGAGTTTTAGGTTGTCAAACGTCACAGTATGCGACTAAATGCTTCACGTCATGTAAGCGTCCTATGTTTTCAGTTTGCTTAGGCTACTAATCATGGATGGTGTCAAGGTAGTGCTCATTTGTGCGTTAATGCAAACCCTTTTGGCCTGTTTGTAATTACAAACACAACAGATTTTTTACATCGAGGAGCAGAGGCGAAGAACTGCACGGAGGTCAGCAGTCCTTCTTCAGCTTTCTATACTCCCAAGACGAAGGTACATTGCCTGCCAACGTCGCCGCCGACGGTTTTGGATCCGACCAGGGCGAACCGCTGTCTGGTGGGAAAACTTCGAAAAAGAACTCGTCCTCCCGGAAGAATGGCATGAAAACTTTAGAATGTCGCACTCATCACTTCTGTCTCTTTCGGAGTTACTGCGCCCCTCTATAGAAGGTCAGACTACTGTCATGCGGTCGCCAGTCAGTGTTGTTAAAAAAAGTTGCCCACACCCTATACTATTTGTGTGATGAGGGTAGACTACGTCTAAAAACGGCAAACGCAATCGGTCTGTCTCGACCGGTGTTACACCCCTACTGGTTTTTCCACCTACTGGTTTCCCTACGCGTGCGTGTTTGTGTTCACTCCACAGCTGCAGATGTGTCCGCCTCAGTTCCCTGATTCGTCACACATTCACAAACATATTGCTAAAAATCTTCAAAACGCATCACAAATCCATTGCAGCGTTTACGATTGTATAAGTGAGCACCACATCACGGCCACGTATGAAAACATTTACATGAAAAAATATATTAAAGGAAAGATCGGCACAACCTGGATTCGAACTCGGGGGATCAAAACATCAAAATAGTACCCTTGTGGCTGCTCTTAGCAGTGCGCCACACAGACACACAGCAATTTGTGACCCTCAGTATAAATTATTCATTTCGTTAACGTAGATCAGCATGAAGGAAACCTTTTGGTGTCGTGGATCTAAAACAACTGGTTACCTTGGGCGTGTCTTGGAACACTTCAGGACATGTGCAACGCTACTTCTTCACGAGGCTGCAGCCTTGCAGCGACATATTTTGATAAAGAAAGGATGTTGTTTTCTTACGGCCATCGCGTGACGTAAACCACAGACACGAACAAAACAAAGTTTAGAAAATATATTAAAAGATCGAACCGACCAGGTTGCGAACCCATGCAGCAAAATACAAACACATCTCAAAGCTAGTCGCGCTGTGCACTGCGCCACAGGGTAGTACACAGGGTTTGGTCTTGATATATCAATGAAAGGAGATTGACATGGAGGAAACCTTCTGGTGTCGTGGATCTGAAACAACTGGTTACCTTGGGCGTGTCTTGGAACACATCCAAAGAAATGTATCCATTCTTAATTGTCACCCAATTAAAGTTAACAAGCAGCATCCCTATAAAAACGCCATGAGGTCGTTCATACGATCTTTCCGAACAAGAGATGGACCCACAAAAAGTGAAGGAATTGAGTGAAACAGATTATACACTTGCAAAACTTCTATTAGGAATCAAAAACCTTATAAAGCTCCCAAAATGAAATGTTATTAAATAATAGTGTTTTAACAGTCACAATAAATAAATAATTGAAAAAAAAATAAAGTAGCTCTAAATAAAGCATGCTGGACAGCAGAAGTCCTGCTCCAAAGGTGGTTTCCCAGTGCAAACCCAGTGGAACCACAGATGGATGTCACGGAAGACACGCCCAAGGTAACCAGTTGTTTTAAATCCACGACACCAAAAGGTTTCCTCCATGCTGATCTACGTCAACGAAATCAAAAAATAATACTGAGGGTCACAAATTGCTGTGTGTCTGCGTGGCGCACTGCTAAGAGCAGCCACAAGGGTACTATTTTGATGTTTTGATCCCCCGGGTTCGAATCCAGGTTGTGCCGATCTTTCCTTTAATATATTTTTTCATGTAAATGTTTTCATACGTGGCCGTGATGTGGTGCTCACTTATACAATCGTAAACGCTGCAATGGATTTGTGATGCGTTTTGAAGATTTTCAGCAATATGTTTGTGAATGTGTGACGAATCAGGGAACTGAGGCGGACACATCTGCAGCTGTGGAGTGAACACAAACACGCACGCGTGGGGAAACCAGTAGGTGGAAAAACCAGTAGGGGTGTAACACCGGCCGTTTCAATAATAATCAGACAGGTGTGTAGAGCCATAACAGTTTACTTGGGTCCTAAATATATAAAACTGCCCAAAACAGAAGCTGCTGTCCAGTCCCTTGTGCAGGGATTTGAAGAAGCTCATGGCCTCCCTCAGTGCCTGGGTGCTGTGGATGGGACGCATGTATTTTTGCAAACTCTTCCCTGAACACGTCCTTGAAAAATGGAAACATCCCTCCCTGTCCAAGGCAAATCATTGAAAATGAAGAACTGATACAAGTGTACATACTTGGTGACCCTGCATATCCACTGCTCCCATATGTGATGAAAGAGTATGTAAATGGGGGAAGCACTGCCCAGGAGCAGTACTTTGGACTATCTTTGTGCCGAGCACGGATGGTGATAGAGTGTGCGTTAGGGAGGCTAAAAGCCCGGTTCGGAGCACTGAGAAGGGCTCCATCCAGTTTAGCCTTTACAAAGTAGACCAAACAAAATGTATTCATTGTAACTATAATAGTTAGTAACTAATTTGCAGAAGTCAACCTATCCAAATACTATCTCATTTGATATCACCACAATAAATGATGGCCCTCACCATAATAAATCTATGTCCAAAGTCCTTAAGACTAAAAATCACGATTCACAACAGACTTTGTATAGGAATATAGAAAAGTATTTGATATAAATTTACATGGAAGTCTTAAAATAAATAACATACACACACAAGTTCCTTTTAAATCAAACCAATAATAAATAGATGACAATAATATGACAAATACCCTACATACCTGAAGCAGGGCTCTCCTCTCCTTCACTGTGGGGGTGGGGGCCACACTGCCATCAACATGTACCTCTGCTTCAGACTCTAGCTCCGTGACTTCAGACGAGGACGTGGTAGATGGGGTGGGGGAAGTTTGCGACGGAAGACTCCAGTTCGTTAGTTTCGATGCCGGACTGGATGGTTGTAGTGGCAGGGGAACCACCCCAAACTTGCTCACATAGTTCGTAGTAGAGAAGTACCACTCTACCATGGCCGCTCCTACGTCCAGTGTCGACTGCATTCCGGTACTTTCCTCTGACTGCCTTCATTTTCGTTGTCAGGTGCGCCCGAGTTATTTCCTCCTTGACATGAGGATACTCCTCGGAGGTCTCGGACGGGTACTGTTCTAAGAACAATGCCAACATATCCCTATATTTAGTTTGGCATGATTCCCAATCCACATTATCAAGTTCTTTGTTTGCCTTGTAATCTAAAGCGACTCGAAGCAGCAGCTCCACTTCGCTGTCTGTCCATACAAATGAACCTCGCGCCATATTTACTCTCTAAAGGAAAAGGAAGTTGATCGTGTTTTTCGTAGTTGTTGTTGGTTTTGAGAATTCTGATTGGTTTGCATGTCTTTATCCTTCTCGTTACACTGCCGACTACAGGTTTGGCATAGTAACGATGACCACGGAAACACAACGAATCTTTCCGGCCATCTACTAAGGCGCCGTGGGATTAAACAACGCCGACAGTCAGGACCTCTAGCAGCGTCACCGCTGCAGCAGCAGCAGGTAACTCCAGCTCTGCAGACTCCTCAGGCCTCACCAGCACCAAACTCACCATCACAGTAACAAGTTTATCTGTAAAGACAATGTGGTTGAAAATCCGGGGATCTGTCAATTGATCCAAACATTATTGTGTAATGTTTACATTGAAAATGGATTTAAATAAAAGGTTAATACATTTGCCATTAATTGTTGTTTGCTTGTTTACTCCATCTATTTGTATTAGCACGTAACCTTATGAGCATTTCTGCCTCATCCGTGCCGTGTGAGCGCCTTTTTTCTAAAGCTGGGGAAACAGTATCTAAGAAACCGACTCAACCCCAATACTGTGGAGAAAATTGTGTTTCTCAATAAAAATTAATAATTTCTTGCCCCATATATATATATATATATATATATATATATATATTTATATATAGATAAGTGTTTGTTCCACTTCTTCCCAATGTACAGAGAATTGAAATACACAAACAAGGACACAATTCCAAGCTGAAAAACAATAGTTTTATTCATATAGGAATCCATGTATTTATTAGATGATTTATTGTTTCAACTTTTCATAATCATGTTCAACCCACAGAGACTAGGCCAAAATATACTGGTAGGCTATTCGATACATATGCACTATAGCAGCGGTTCCCAAACTCAAGAATGCCGCGGCCCACTTTGAAATCTGAAAATCTTTTGCGGCCCACCCAAACCTTTAATCACAACTCTGATCAAAACATGAACTAGGTATGATTAAATGACCTTAATAATCTAACCGACAATGTATGTTTTGTATACCATTTTCTCCGGAGCTCATGTGCCGTGTTTTCCGCACAATAAGGCGCATAAGATACTGCAGTTTATCAGCGCAAATCACTGTCAAAATTCGAGAGCGCAAATCAGGTTGATGCGCGCGCGTAAATCAAACATCCACCGGCAAAAGTCAGTCTTGAGCGTCCGCTCCCGCCGCCCCCCTCGCCATCCACGCCTTAAATCTTCGGCTGCTCTCCAGCCACGCCGCCTACCAAGGCTTCCTTTTAGAATAACTTATTTCCCCGTTAAGATGGTTCAGCTACTGCAAAGAAAATGGCACCGTCTCTCGCTCTTTAATCTCATTATGTGCTCGGCAAGAACGACAGCTTTGTTTCTCCGACGCGCCCTGAAACAAGCTCCATATCTCACGCGCTTGAGCGCCGCTCAGCATCTCGCCGTCGTAGACGAGCTTTGGCATGTTTGGCAGAGCGCCTTGCGCGCAGTGTACAACCAGTATGGATCAACCGATTAACCAATCTGTTTGTTTAAATTGTTTGTGCTTCAGCAATTAATGTTTCACATAACTAATGTGCCGCATCATACATATTTTTATATTAATTTCAAACTTTTCAAAATTGAAAATTAAAAACCTTTTATTTATTTATTGTAAATGACCACCTGCAGTACCTTCACTCGGCCCACACTTTGGGAATTGCTGCACTATAGGTTTTCAACAGCAGAGGTCATCATAGAGTTTGCGATGCATAGAATGAATGAACCTTTTTCCGATACAATTGGCTGGAAAGCTTCACTTTGCCATCCCTACTACCAAGCATGGGCGCCCAGCCTGTGCGGTCCAAAACGGTTTGGCTATTCTGGTTGGAAACACCCAACGAGCCCCCATAGGTTCCTCCCCTATATAGGCTAAACCCGCCCATCAATCAGCTCGTCACACACATCAAATTGTCTCTTACAAGCAGTGCTGTAGTGGTAAAATTAGAGGTGGGTAAACTCTGAATTTTGTGATCATACAGACCTCGACGCGATGCGAAGCAACGCAACACAAAGCGTCGCAACTCTGTAAGGCTGTCCTGGCTATATTGCATTATGTTATCAGTAAAAGTCATATACAATCAATGACAATGAATAAATGTTAGTAGTTTATTAAATTTAAGAAGACAGTAAAGAAAAGTATGTCAACACAACACAACAACTGCAGATTAAGAACTATCTACATACGGAGTCTCCTTTTTACAGTAGTGCCCAGAAGGCCTCCTTGTCCTCCACGTCAGGTCCTGCCTTGCACAGAGGAGCCATGAACCCCAGAACGCGTGTTCTGGGGTTCATGGCTCCTCTGTGCTTCTCTCGCTCTATTGGACCTGGTGTTTCTCCTCTGCCTGTGCTCTCTGCATCATTGCCTGTCCTATCACTGCCTGAAAAAATATGTTAATGTCAATCACACTGACAACATAAGTTAAATGAACACTCATGTACTACTATGTCATCATAAATAGCCTACAGCATGTTTTGTTTTCACATTGAGAACTGACTTGTTTTCTAACGCTTACAGGCTACTCTACACCTTTCATGACTTAAAATATAGGCCTATTCAGTGAAGCAACAGCTTTGCTCCCCGCTCATGATGACAGGGGAGGCAGAGCCTTTGAACATTGACTGGATTCCCAGTCAAATGATGCTTTCCCATGATTTGTACAGACATTACATTACATTACAGGTAATTTACGCACAACTGCTTTTATCCAAAGCAACTTACATTGCATT